TGCTCTCATTTGGCCTTCTGCCATGACACCCGCTCGTGTCGATTCTTGTGTTGAACTCACACCCTCTCTTAGGGGGGCCTTTGCGATAGGTGCTCTGGGCACATGGGCGCTAAGAGCCTTCGTCATACCATAGTCAGGCACGGATGACTAACCTTTCACCAGTCCCGATCCCACCCCGGCAAAGCCCGGCCTGTCGTTCCTTGTCTGAGACCCCTTTTGCCTTAGAGCCCTGGGACCACAGATTGCCTACCAGAAGCTTTGCGCCTCTCCTACCTCTAACCTTTGCCAGCGCGGAATGGGGCTCCGAGTCACGTGCTTCTACTGGTCGAGGGACCTGTCGAGCTCGGCCCAACACGGCCCCGGGGGTGCCTCCTTCACCCCTGGGGCACTGGCCTCGCCACACAGTGCCGGTGGCCTCGCCCACCACCGGACGTGTTTGCGCGGCTCACCCCTTGGGTATCCCTCGGCCAGACGGATCCATCGTGCGCCCCGCTACCTGTGGAGTACCGTGCCGGAGAGCCAGAGCGTTGGCGCAAGCTTACAGAAGACCACCCTGCCCAGGGCTTTAGGCTATCAATAGTTTTCCAGTGATCCTCCGATGTTTCTGTCTCACCAGCAGCCCCAACAATCCCCTTGGCCTGTCATCCGTGGCCTTCTGCCTTAGTGTCTGTCCTCCTCACCATTCACAGTAGTTCATTGAAGGCTATCTGAAGGGTTTAGGGTTTCCAACCCCAGTATCCACCCTTGAACCTGAGCGGGTGTCTAGGACCTTGGACATGATGCCTCCTGCCTATCCCCGCCTCCAATGTGGTGGGTGTGTGTATCTGGTCGAGTTCTCGCCAGCCTACCTGTTTTTCGCCTCATTTGCGGCTTCATATCTCCCATATGCCACCGTTTGCTTGTGCCCCACCTTGCTGGCAGATTGAGGCATAGTTTAGGGTCACATTGCCAGCCCCGAGCGGCACCTAGTGGTAATGGGTCCGAACGCGATCCTGTTCCATCCCTGTCGGCCAACCGTATAAACGTGCCTTTCATGTCTGTTCCACCACTGGTTGCCCGCACATCCATAATTGCCTGCCAGTGATTCATGATTGCCTGCTTTGCTGTGACCCCTGCCTCCAGCTGCAAGCCCTAGGCTTGCCCCGTGGGTCCTCCAACGTCACCTCAGCGGTGTTGCGTTGCCGGCGGGCTGGAGTGCGCCTCTGGGGATGAGGTTACCCTCTGGTGCTTGGGACATGTCCATCGCTAGGAGCCTTTCTGTTGCCTTTCTGTGGTATGCCTTCATGCTTGCGCTTCTCTTAAGTATCGCATTATCCTCCTGCGGGAGTGCTCTGCGTGCCCCAACTCTGACAGGTTTCCCCAAATATCCTATTGCATGCGTGCTGGGAAGCGTGCGACTGGCACCTGTGTAATAGCGGGGGCTTCCCCTTTTAAAAAAAAAAAAAAATGTGATGTCCAGATGGAGAGTGCGGTGCGATGTCTGATGTGCAAGCGGTTGCTCTGGAGAAGGCAACTACGCCGCCAAACTGGTGTAGTGGCCCAGAACGCGATTCCGCGACAGTTGCAGGAAGCCAGTTGGGGCCCTTCTGCTGCCTTTTCCTCTCTAGAGCTGTGGTGTGTCTCCTGGAGGAGGATTATGTCCGAATTGTCACGCTTCAGAAAGTTGAAATTGCAGCACCGTTTGTATTTGTCCCGCAGGCCGTTGCTGCAGAGCACACTCCGTGGGCAGCTGCACACTGGGCGTCGCGACTCGAAGCCCCAGTAGGATATCAGGTCTACCCTGCTGGCGGCCAGCTTGTCGCAGAGCATCCTGTGGCGCTGATCTCTGGCTGCTGGGTCTGATAACTGCAGCGCAAGCGGCTCCTCAATATACAACTGGCTGACCAAGCGGGCAAGGACCGCAGGGGCACGGCAGCTGTGGAGCTGCGTGTGGCTGCTGAGCCTGGGATGATGGATGGGTTGCCTCATCCGCCCCGGCCGCGTGATGTTGATGCTGGTGTCAACGGCGATGAAGAACCGTTTGGGCAAGCGGGCAAGATCACTTGGTGCTTTGGACATCTTTATTGCAAAACTTGCCTTTCTGCGGTTGGTCGGTTAATCATCGATATATCTGACGAGGCTGTAGCCCCATCGGGCAGAAAATTTCACGATGCAGTTTACAGCGGGCCACCTTCACTGTCAGCATTCGCGCATTATCATGCACGTGCTATACTATGAAGCGCCCTGAGAGGGCCTTACACAGACTATTGGCGCAAGTCTCGCAGGTCTGGGCCATAGCAGCCAGGAAGCCGTCGCCGAAAGGCACCTCTGTCAGGCCGCGACAAGCAGCTGGACGCTCTCATTGACGGCACCCTTCCGTGAGGTGCAGTGGTCCTTCCAGCAGTGAGCCATGCGTTTGCAGACAGCGTGCGCAGCATGGAGATACGTCGTCCAGTTTCAGTCACCAGCAATGTGACCGGCAGCTCCTGGCTCGGCATACCGTGCGTAGCAGCAGGCCTCTACCTTTCCAGTCACACCGCCAGTAGCACAGGAGCATTTTGTCCCGGTGGATTGCCGCCGCGCAGCCGGCGCTGATGAAGCACTGGGACATCACGAGGCCCTGGCACCCGCGCAACAAGTAGCCACAGGAGCAGGAGGAGGACGCTCTGCCGCCCGCTCCCGCGCCAGCGACACCGTACCTCTTCAGCCTCTGGGGCAGCCAAGCCGTTGATACTCTGGCATGCGGCCTTGGCCTGCCGCCGTCACACAAATTCATGGTCAAGGAGGCCACCACGGGGCGCCAGGTGCTTCACAGGTTGAAGGGAGAGGCCAGCCGAGTCCCCCCCGGTGCGGCCGGCCATTTGGGCCGACACCACCGACGATCAACGCAGCAGGCTGCAGACGCTCGAGGCTGGCGGTCCAGAGTAGCGGCTGGGTGCAGTGCTTTCCAGCGGATGACGGGCTTGCCATCCGGCTGGTTATCCACTGTGCAGAACATGACGATGGCACGAGCGGGCTAGAATTCTACCTGCCGGTGGCGCCCCTCGAAATCAGCCAATTGGCACGCCCATTGCGAGCCAGGCATAAGAATGGCGAGTCACCAGCATCCCGGGTTTTTCAGGAACACAGATTGCCCGTAGCGACTACCGGGACCACGGCCGTCCCGCCTGCGGCGATTGATGTCGGTCGCGTTGGTACGTACATCTGAAGTCTGGACACGCATGTGGTGTTGTTTTGCCCTGCAGTATCACATTCAGCATCAACAGTGTCGGAAGGTGGTCCGTGTGATCGCGCTGACTGGATTGCTGCCCCTGGCGCAGGATCCCTGTGTCCGGAAACCGTTAGCAGGCAAGAAGTATTTTAGGCCATGATATGAGGACGTTACAGTCACCTCAGCATATAGGCGGTAGAGATCACTCCCTCAGAGCTTCTTTGCTCGAGAGACAGTGGTCGTTTCTAGGTCTCTATCTATGGAGGACCCAAAACGCATCACCAGTCTCGTGGAATGCAGCTTGCACTCCAGGCCTCGCTTGAAACGTGTTGGCTCTAAGATGCCCAACCTAGAGGTCATCTGGTCCTTACCTATCTAAATATAGAGGTTCCAGTGATTCATGAATCCGAAAAGCGTATCACACTTGTTCTGCCATTCACAGATTCGCGGCATTGCTGCTGGCGAGATGTCAGAATGATACTGTAGGCTGCCTAAAAGTTGGCCAGTGCAGTCATTAAATGTAGCAAGCAACGGTCGGCAGGGTGCTATTCTATTCACAGCCCCCGCCAGCCGATGTAATATATATCTAGAAATTAGAAGTGTCGCAACTCACTCGAGCTCACTCAAATCGTGACGCAAGTCACTCTCAACTCACATATGGTCTCAATAGCAATGCAAGTTGTCCCCCTGACTGTACAGCATATTGCAATGGGCTCTCTTGCGTCATGATTCAAGGTTTTTTCTTTGGGTTCCGGACACGGTCGAGCTCTTGGGAGCTGAATTCTAGGAGGCGTGCCAACACAGGCAGCATTGAACTCTTAGCTGGCAGCTCCCCAGACTCAAAGCCTCGCAGGATGACATTCTTCAGATACGTAAGGTCAAGACCTTCCCTTTTGCCCTTTCGCTGCAACTCTGCAATCTCCTGTTTTGCCACAGCTTGCGCTTGGTCCCTGCATCGCAGATGCAGCTGATCAATACTAAAGCGCGCCACCACCATCAGACAAGAACACTTACGTTGACAGAAAAGGGTTGTCGGCTTTGGCATCAGGTATCCAGGGAGGAGGCGGGACCTGAGGCGGTGTGTATTCTCGCTCTCCACCAGCTCATTTTCCAACAGCGAGATGCGCTGTTTAAGTAATGTGATCTCATCAACACCAATGACGCCAGCTCCAGTGTCCTGAGAGAATACAGCGCACCTCAACACAAGATAAGTACGAGACCAGTGACATGTCCAATGTAAGCGCATGTAGAGCGCTTCGATGGTGAGAACAGCAGAAAGTAAGTTGATTAGCGCACGTCACCTGTTCCTCCTGAGACAGCACCCCTGCTGTTGGGTTGCCGTTATCGCTTGCCCTGAGCTCTTGACCTGCTTCGGAAATTTGGGCACCCTGCGCAAGAGCGTCTTGCACAGTGGATGTTGATGCTGAGTGAGACAGCGGAAGTGGGGAGTCCACTTCGGCAGGATATTCTGCAGGCCTGAGAATCTTCAACCCCTGCAGAAAATGCACTAGCACAATTTACAATCCCATGGCACCAGGCAATGATACTGGGACGACTTACATTAAGAACCTGCAACAAGGTTGAAAGTGCCAGGATGCTTTTCCGTCCCACCTTGGCAGCCTGCAGCTGAGCGTCCTTTTCCTCCATGAGCGCCCACGCCCTCTCCTTGACAGCTGAGAGCTCCTTCTCTGCAGCCTCAGCCCGCGCCTGGATGCACACTCCAGGTTAGTTGCTGCATGAGTTAAATTCTATTGAACAGAGATCACGCCCCGATCACACTGCACAATCCTTGCACACAGAGAGCGCTTGTTCACACCTGCCAGTCTGCTACATCAGCGCGGACAGTTGCAACTCGCAGCTCCAGCGTGTGCCGCAGCTCGGCTATATCTGCCTGGTGTTCCTCGCTGGCAGCCGCTGCTTCTGCCCGAGCAGCCCGCAGCAGGTTCCCGAGGCACTCCTCCCTCTCCGCCAGCTCTTTGCTCACGCCCGCTGTGTGCGCCTCAGCCTTGTCCCTAGACAAGATTCAGAGTGCATCAGATCTGCCTTTTGCTGCCCATCGTTAAATTGCTGCAAACTGTGAAGATCAATTGGTGGAATGCTCTCACCTGGCGGCGATAGCCTGGCGCTTTTCGGCTTCGGCGCTGTCTCGGGCAACGCGAGCCTCCTCCAGTTCCGCCTCCAGGGCCGCTTCCGCAGCGCTTGCCTCCTGCCGCACACCTGCCGCTCCAGCCTGTACGCACAAGCAGCAGCAGGTTTTCATGCACAATTGTCCCTTGGGGAAAGGGTGAAGCTTGCATGCGCCTGAGCGATCTGCCTGTGCATGATTACAAGCCAGACATGCCTGCTGGCTTCAGCTGCTCTTGAAGCACGCACCTCTGCAGCAGCTGCCTCGCGCTGGCGCACCAGAACGCGCACGGGTGCTGGCCACGAGCTCACCGGCTTGAGCGGCAGCCCTTCCAGCTCCTCGGCATAAGCACGTGCAGCCGCCGCCCGCCTTGCCCGCTCCTCCTCCACCGCCCCTGCAGGCAGTCCCGCCGGGTGTCTCACAAGAAGCCGTCGTAAAGGGGCTTCACGCCTTGGAACATACTCCCAAACCAGGTACTCCCCATCACATTGGACTCTTCTGTTGTCCTTGCAAACGGGAGGGTCGAGCACCTGTGATGCGGTCCATCTCCTCTTCCGCCGCCTGCAGGCGTTCCTCCATGGCAGCGGCTGCCGCCTGGGCCACCTGTGCCTCCTTCCTGGCTTCCGCGGCAGCCTTCTCGGCAGCCACCGCCCGCTGCTGGTGGGCCGCTGCTGCAGCCGCCGCCTCCAGGGCTGTGGTCAATTCGCGCTGTGCAGCGGCAGCCTGGAGTTGCAGTGCCTCGTTGGCCACTGTTGCTGACTTCAACACGGCCACCTGTCAACACAGAGTAATAGCCGCTGAGACCCTGACGGCTTTCATGTACACCCGGTAAACAGCAAATGGAGGTGCTCTCGTCAGCAAGATGAAGAAAGCCTTGTCTACCTGCTCAAGCAATTGATCCTTCTCCCGCCCAACGCCGTCAAGCCGCGCCTCGAAGACTGTCGCAGCCTTCTTGGCAAGCGCATCGAAGCTGGCGATGCGCTTCTCCGCCGCCTTGACCTCTGCGCGACAGGCGCTGACCTCCTCCAACAGCTGCGGATGCGCAGCGGCCAGCGGCTTGATGTCAAGGTTTTCCTTCCGCAGCTGCTGCAGCTCCTGGAACGTCTGCGTCGTGCCGACTGACCGTCAGTTTGGCGTCTTGTGTACTGCCATTGATACGGCGCAAGCTTTGCAACAGATACTGCAGCACCAAAAAAATCCGAGATCCACGTGTGCTGTATTGCACCTGGTCATAGGCGGAAGCGCGCTGGTGCATGGAGGAGAGCTTTGTCTGCATCTCCTCTATCTCGCCGCGCCGCTGTTTGTTGGCCCTCTGCAGCCGCTCCAGCTTCTCCTTGAGCCCATGACGCTCTGCAGCATGCGCCTTCTCCATCTTCTCCATCTGCGCCGCACCCTCAGCACCGTCACTTGAACGTCTCGCAGCATCTTCTGATAGCGGCAGGGAGATCGCTTGTACTCATGCAGGGGCCTCCGAGCTCCCCTTCAGTCCTTCTCAAGATGATTCAGTTGTCAAGGTCGTTCAAGGCATACCTCTGCCGCCACCTGTTCCTTCTCTTGCACGGCTGTTGCGGACTTCTGCAATGCCTCCGTATGGGAGCGTTGAATACCCTGCAATGCGCAGCAAAGCAGATAAAACACAGAAAATGTACTAGCTGCTGATCACATTGCATTTGCTTCCACATGGGGCGCTCCTCTACCATCAATCCTGATCAATTTCCGAGATTTGTCACAATCACCGTCGCGTCAGAAACACACCTGGAGTTGTTCGTTGATTTCTTGCAGGGCTGCGTAATGGCCATCTGCACGTGCTGATGCTGCTTCCAATTGCTTCTTGAGGGCTTCTACATCGCCATCTCTGAGAGACACAGCCTTCTGAAGCTCGATCAGCTCTTTCTCGGCATCTCCCTGGGCTGCCGCAGACTGCTGATTTGCGTCTGCATCGCCATTAGCTGCCTCACCTCCTACCGAGGGAACGGCTCTGCTCGCCTCAATTGCTGCCTCAAGCTTGTCCATCAGCTGCTTCAACTGGCCTTTCAGGGATGCTATTTCTGCCTCAGCCCCTGAGCTTGTCATCTGGAGCTCGCCACACACACGCTCCCTGTCTGCCAATGCAACCTGCACGCCACATGCAGGTAAACCTCGATTGTGGGCCTGCATGTTGGAGTAATGACCGCCGCAGGGGCATGCAGGGCCAGGCCACGGTGAGGCGCATGCAACAACCGCGTGACTGACGGGACTGAGAAAGCTTTACCTTGGCATCGTCGAGCTCGGATGCCACAGCTGCCAGCCTTGCCTCTAGCTCAGCAGCGGAACGGTGCGAGGCCTGCTCTGCCCTTTCCACATGACCCTTCAGCCTGACCACCTCTTCCTCTTTTGCACCAGCATGCGCTTTTGCCTGAGCACCCGCATTTGTTCCCTTAGCTTCCAATGTCTCAGGGCTACCAAAACGCAAAAGGAACCATGTGTATCACAAGAATCTGTGGGTATCTGCTGCTTATTTTGGCTTCACAGTGACATGCCAACCTGATCAAGGGCAAGGATTGTCTCTGCAAGAGCTGCTTTTTTGCCACTGGAATTTGCACGCTCTGCCAGCAAGATGCTTTGTACTTTCTCTCTTTCATCTTGGGCAATCTGCAGGCTTGTCTCCAGCTCCAGAAGCCTCTCCTGCTTCTCCACGTCATCATCCTGGCAGCCATAATCAGGACTGCATGAGCAATATGTACTCTTCCATCACAAACATGGAGGTCATTGAAAAAATTCGCAAGTGTTGACCTGAGCAAAGAAGCGCTTGATCATGCCTCTTAGGGGGGCCCCACTCACCGTTTTTCTTCTCTTCAGAAGCGTCAGCTCGGCCTCCTGCTGAGCAATTTGATCTGACATCATCTTCACATCCTCCTCCTTGCTTCTCAGGGCATCCTCAAGCTGAAGCAATTCAGCAACCTTCCCCTTGGCCTCTGTCAGTGCACTCTCCAGCTCACTATCGCCTTGTGCCTTGAGCTGCAGGTCGAGCTCCAATTCCTTCTGCTGGGCTTGACTGGCCTGCAGCTGATTGTCTGCAAGAACAAATCGCGCCTTCTCTTCCTCAAGGCTTGTTGTGAGCTCTGCAAGCTGCTGTCTCAGCGTGGCAGCTTCAGCCTGCGCCTGTGTGTCACGTGCTTCCAGTCCTTCAAGCTGTCCCCGAAGCTCTGCCTCAAGCACAGCGCCTGACTGTGTTTGTTGCTCCGATGCTGAGTCTGAGGGCCCTTGCTGTTCCTCAGGTGCTCCCACCAGCTGGTCAGTGGTCGCCCCCATAGTTCCAGAGCTTGCTGTGCCCTTATCAGCTTCACCTTGTTGAGCCTCCGCCTGAGCAGCATGAGGTGCTGCAATCTCAGTGGCTGTGAAGGTAAACTGCTGCATCTGAGAATTACAGCACAAAGGCTAAGGACTTGAGCATATCCTAAATTAGCTGACACAAAGCCAGTTCTCAAAAAGACAAATACATGAGATGCAGTCTCCAAGAGAACCCTTGATACCCTTCCACATTGTGACACATAGCTCATTTGCCACATGCGGGGCACCTACCTCCTCCTTCAACTCTGCAACATGGTTGTCCCGAGAGTGCAAAGTCTCAACTTGCTCCTGCAAAAGAGCCATCTCTGCTTGGAGCTTCTCTGCCATTTTCATAGCAGAGTCTGCCTGCGCAGCCTTCTCGCGCAAAGTCTCCAGTTGTTCCTGCAGCACCAATCACAGATCGTCATGTTCTTACTTGACCTGGTCATCACATCAGTAGAAAGCAAGATACATTTAACACATGTAAGCAAAGAATCGCAAAGGTGACCGTGTTGCAACAAAGAGGAGAATAGGAACATGCCTCAGAGCACACGCTGCTGAGGGCGGCCACTTGCTGGCGCAGTGACTCCAGCTCCATCTCCTGCTGCACATTCAGATCCTGCGCTCGTCGCAGCTCATGCGCCAGGTACTTGCCCTCCTCCGCGTGCCACTTGCGCTTGAGGCTGCTGAAGTGGAAGTCAGCCTCAGCCTTCTCAGCCGTGGCCATCCCTGCATCACCATGAGTATGCTCAACCGTTTGCAGCGCGCCATATGAAATGACCTGGCTCTGTCCGCAAGCCTGCAACCTGCAGCAGTCACGCACGCATGCAGAAAGTGATCAAAACAGATGGTGTTTAAAGTGGCAATGCAAGCCCGAACTCTGACCTTCCTTGTCCGCGGCAGAGCTTGCATCTTCGCGGCTGCCTGCTGTGGAAGGCCGAGTGGCTCCTGTGCCATCCTGATCATAGGCCGAATTCTCAATGAGCGAGAATGCAGGGGATGCGCCTTCCTCTGCAGGCTCCTGGACAGAGTCACAATCCACCTTTGCCATTGTGCGGTGGCAGCTAAAGCCTCAACGCTCTTGTGTATGCATGCACAGCTGTGTAGCAGTACCCAGGTCAACAGAGATGACGTCATTGAGAAAACCTACATGCCCTTGCTCTGCCGCTGCTGCCTGAGGCGTGACCCCATGGGCCTCCTCAAACACAAGAGGATGTTCCTCGGTGCCGCGAGGCGAGTTTTCATTGCTGCCCAGGTTCCGCCCAAGCGACCCTGCTTGGACAGCCTCCAACTCGCTCTCCAGCAGCTGCACGTGCGCCCCCAGCTGCGCATTCTCTGCTGACACGATCTCCACAGTCTGTCTGGCCTCATCAGCCTTGGCCTGCATAACAGCAGTGATTGCATGGGCCCGCAAGATCCTTGACAAGAGAAACGCATACCATGGGAGCCTCCAATGCTTGTAGCACAGTGACCGGGCATAGTCGGTGACATCAGGCCATACCTGTAAGCTTCGAATCTGATCCGTGAGCATTCTATTTGTCTGGTGCAGGGACTCTGTCTCTGCCCCAAGCTCTGCAATCGACTTGCCTAGCGGAGTTGGTGCACTAGTGCTCTGCAGAAGAAAAACATCACAGTGAGAGAGGTACTACGCCTCCTCAGGCTCCGTACAGCGATGTTGGGTTTGTTGTTGATATTGCACACCTGATGAGCATCCAATAGCTCAACTCACCTCTCTTTCTGCTGCCTTCAAGTCGTTCTCCAGTCTGGATATTTCCGCCTGCAAAAAGAGGCACCAATAAATGCAAAAAGACTCAGAGCAGAGCAGCCAAAGTTGAGTTAAGAGGTGAGAGAACCAACAGCCACACACAGGGGGCATGAAACGAACCTTTGCAGAGGCTAGGTCAAGACTCATCAAACGTTCATGCTCAGTCCACCGCGACTGCAGCTCCACACGCTGAGCATTTGAGGTCGCCATTTGAGCGCTCAGCACGTGATTTGCCTCCGCCAATCGGGCGTTCTCCTTCTGCAGCGCATCCTGTGAGGAGACACTGCTCTATAAAGCAGAGAACAATGGATGCTGCAGCATACTTAGGCACTCAATTTTAGTGCCGCGTCCTGGCAAGAGAGCTCGGGATTCCTCACCAGCTGCATCCAAAGCTGACCCTGCGATCCTCCATCCTCACTGAGACTGCGTGTCTGCTTGGCGGAATGTGCTGCAACATCCCGCCCTTCCACAGCTTGGGAGTTGGCTCTGATCGGATCTCCTGCAGGGCTCAAGCCCGAGGCTGCAAGCCGCAGCTTCAGTTGCGCGACTTCGCTCTCCATCTCTGAGGATGACACCCTGGCTGCCTTGAGGTTATCTCGGAGCATGCCCACTTTCGCCTGGAGAAGGCTGTTGGCCTGAAAGATACCAGTCCTCCAATAACCTGTGGCTATCTGTCACGCTGATGCTACACGTTGATCACAAGGAGAGGGTGGTAAGGTCAGCCTCACCTTTTGCAGTTGCTGGAAATTCTGCGAATCATTGATCTGACCTCTGGGCGCAGCTCCTTTTCCTCTGCTCTCGTCCTCTGAAGCAATCTGATGGCACCGCATGCAGCATCGCTATTAATAATTGGAGCCAAGGTAGTATATTCACAGCAAGGAGACACGCATTGGCCAACATCACAGGCACTGTACACACTCACCAATTGCGCAGTAAGCCTCTGCAGCTCTTCCTTCAATATCACGTTTTCCTCCTCCAGATGCCTTTGCTGGCTCACATCTTGCTTGGTGAAAGAAGGAGGATTGGAGTCTGTATGAACCACCATTGAACCTTAAAATGCATTTAAAGGTGTGATTGAGGTCAGCCGGTCTCATATGACTGTACCCACAACACATCATTCCCTGATACGATTTACAGAGGAAAATGCTGGTCCCAGGACAAGAACGAGAGCGCGCCTCGTCCTGCAATGGCCTCGGATTGTGAGCCCTCCGCACTATGAAGTCTGCTCTGAATGCCATGTCGCGCTGTCTCGACGAACTTCCTCATCCCCTTTATACTTACTGGGCCCCTCACACGTCAAACTTTCTCCAGCAGTGTTCTGACATCGACCGCCTAATGTGATTTTTTGGAGAAGGAGTTTTTTCCTCTGCACCTCAGAAAGTTGCACGCCAAAATAGAGATTTTCAAGAGGAGCCTTTGAGACAAGTCTTGCTTCCAAGAAGGTCCCGATTCCACTCAGCTTTATGATGTTGGATTTTGCCCAAATTTGCCATGGCCAGCTAATAAATTATATAGAAAGCCGTATATATATGGGCGAAAAGCCTTTCCGCCATGCATGCGCCATAAGGAACATTAGCTTGCTTGGGCCGCCCTCTTCCCTAGATTCTTAGGAACAGAAAAGTTTATACACAGAAGCGCGGATTCTTATCCTAGAACCACTTGAATCTTTCCAATAAGGTATAGTCTGCTGCCTGAATCGCTCCCTCACACAGCACTGGAAGTAGGCTTTGTGTTGAAAGCGTCTTATGGGGACAATAGCATGATTCCCAAAATTTGCTTCTGTATTTTGGGAGAGAATCGTACCTTTGGTGCCTGATCGCAGCATCTGAAATGATATTTACAAATACTGGACCTTGGCCATCTACAGGCAACTTGTGCCTGAAAGAGTGAGGTTGCATTCTTGAAAGGCCTTCTTCTGGTGCAGGATGTCTCAGAGTCCGGATAGGGAGAGCCCTGAGAAGGACAGCCCCGAGAAGGAGGTCGAGGCAGGTGTGGAAAATGGCGAGGAGATCCCTGAGGATCGATCAGAAGACGCTGCAAAGGACGAGGTGAACGGGGCTCATGATGAAATTGATGGGAAGTCCGACAAGGAGGTGGAGCGCTCCCCGTCCCCTCGTGCACGTTCAGCTTCGCCTGCTCGCGACATCTCTCCAGACAGCCGCTCTAGATCACCGGTGCCAGTCCTACCTTCCTCACTGTACTAAATTGATTTTAACACTGTCTGCAACATCGCAGCAGCTGAAAAAGAGACCGGCAAGTCTTTGGGTGAGCCATAATGTGCCCGGCCCATGTACCATGCAGGTGCGTCGTGGCAGAAGCGATTCTCGTGAGAGAGCAAGAAGTGACTCGAGGGAGGTTCGGCGCAAGCGATCCAGGTGAGCCTCAAGCGCTTCATTCGTGCATGCACCAGCTTGAAGGACCTCACTCTGGTGTGATGATTTTGCCCTGCAGAGGGCGAGCATCACACGGCAGCTACAAGTTTCTTACGGGGCGGCCCAGTGAACAGCTCTAATGTGGTGAAACAGGAGCGATTCAAGGGACAATCGACGCGTCAGACACTCCCGCTCAAGGTATTTCACTGGGGCAAGATGCTGATTGCAGATCATGAGTCATGCAGTCACTGGAGGGGTGCCATTTTCTTCCACTTCACCTGTCGGTTGAGTGCTTTCTCCGTCATGCAGGAGCCGTGACCGTGACATCAGGCGCAGGAGCCGCTCAAGGTGATTTCTTGCCTCTATTCCAGCACTTCTAAAGTGGCAGTGGTTGCCGACCTAGAGCTATGCATCAGCCAGAAAACTGCTTCCATTCTACATGGACACTCTTGACAAGTCTTGGCACATGGCAGGGATCGCTACCGATCCCGGCGCAGCCCGAGCCCCCGACGGGACCGGTACCGCAGCAGCCGCTACTCGCCAGAGCGCCGTCGCCGCTCTCCTATTGCGCCTTACTACAACCGGCCCCGCCGCACTCCCCCGCGCCACGGCACCACACTCTTTGTAGCCGGTCTCAATTTTGTCACCAGCGAGCGGGCACGCCCCCATCTTGAGCCTGCCTTTCTTGGCATGTGGCAGCCTGACATGAGAGATGGGCATGGGTCACGCTCCTGATAATCGAGGGCAGTCCCTGAAGGATGCGTGGGAATGAATGCAGGAGGTGGAGTCAAAATTTGAGAAGTTTGGCCCTGTCAGGGAGGCACGCATCGTGCGCAATCCTGTCAACGGCGAGTCCAGGGGCTTTGGCTTTGTTGCTATGAAGTACGAGGAGGACGTCGATGCGGTAAGTTCGGAGTTGTGCCAGTGTTGATCGCTTGACAGTGTCTGCTAGGTAGTGTGTCAAGTTGACACACTACCTAGCAGTGCAAAAATTATTCTTGTACTGGAGCGGCTGCTCAGGGGTTTTCTTTGTTACATGCAGGCAATCCGTGCTCTTGATGGAGCAGAATGGCAGGGGCGGCGCTTAGGCGTTGAGCGAGCAAGAAATGTGAAGTGAATGGCGGACGCAGAAATAGGCCTGGGGCCGGGCACCATTTTGAGGATACGATGCAATGTCTGGCATGCAGGTCATCTTGCACTTCTCTCATTCAGGGACACCCTGTGTGGGAGCTCAATGTATAGAGAGCACATTGCCATGGCAAAGAAGTGAAGACATTTGCTGTGCTCCCTGGCAGGGCCTGTTCCCCGGGCCGAGTCTGGCAGAGATCGCGTTCGTTGTCATTGTGCGCTGTTCCCCTTCACCTGGGCCTTCTTTTGGGGTACCTGTTCCTGTACCTGGGCCTCCTTTTGGCTGTTCCAGGGCCGCGTGCCTGCCTCCGGGCCTGTCACTGTCACTCCCACTTAATGGGTCCTGGTCCTCAGCCTGTACCCAACACGTGATCCCTTGCCTCGCCCATTGTCAAGTCTTATGCAAACAAGGTATGCGCACTTCTCACACCAGCCAGGTGCTGCTATCACCCGTGAGCTGTTAGCATCTCACAACGTGTGTCTTGTTGCCTGCAAGCTAAAAGGCATTTGCCTTTGTGCAATCAGATAGGGCGTTGGAAAGACCTCATCAAATGTTGATATCAGAATCTGCTTTGGACACCAATGGCACTATTCTAAAAGGACTCTGGGATATTGTGTGGAATGCACATTTCTGGAGGTGGTTGATTGCATCTCCTGGTTGTAAGCTTATGGTGACGGATGGTGAGCTGTGATGAAAAGACCTTTTCTGCAGTCACTGGGGCACAGCCATTGAATTGCATGATCGACACTCTAGAAGTTTCGCATGATCTCAAAGAACATCATGTTCTTGTTATAACTCAATACAACATAAATCATGCCCGACATGGCCCATACGTGATCAGTACAGGACTTGTCTTCAGAACACAGCTGTGGGCGGAATTCGGTTCCTGCTTGGTGGCAGCAGTGCTTTTTTTAAAATGTTCAAATTGTGAGCTGTAGCAGGCATGGAGGATGCAGACGCGTCCGTACGTCTCAGAGTCGACTCTGAGGCATGCTAGCACTATATGACGAAGCAAGTAAGTAGATCAGGTTGACCATCTGCCTATGCCTTGTGGGGTCTGATAGGTTATCACATCAATTCTTCTCTTGAGGGTAGCCCCAAATCTGGCCACGAATAAAAGGAAGCGAACGAAGAAAGAAAGGACAGGGGAAAAAATACAAAGGCAGCTACGTGACAGCTCTCCTTGGACGAATGCACATGTCCTCTTGCGTTTCAAAGCTTCGTTCTCCGATGAGAGATAAGGACGTGGAAACCAGCGTTTGCTCATTCTCTTGAAAAAGTTTTACTGCTGTGCATCCCTTAAGCCGTCTCGGCTTCAGATGTTGGGCAAATCGAAAAGACACACTTAACACTGGTCTTTCTCGACCATGGACATCCGTGAGGCGAGACCGAATGATCGTCTTCATGATCTTGACGACCATATCGTGAGTTTCTTTTCAAGAGCTGCATCGTATACCCCTGAGTGGCAGCATGATCTGACTTTCTTTTACGTTCCCCAGGTTTCTGGAGATCGTGGAGCTTTCCATTTCCGCTTCAATCTCGAGAACGACGGCTCTTGTAGATTGCAGGTTGGTCTCGATCACCAGCACGTAAACTGTGCTATAGTACTATTGTGCTGCTACAGGGCTTTGATGACTTTCATGCTTCTCGATCTGCAATTTACTTTTAAATTGTGCTGCAGTCCCAGAATCTTGAAGATCACAGGAGCATAACCCGTGAGGGGAGCAGTGTGCAGCGTGCACAGAGTCAGCGGTGCCCTCAGCCGAGCAGTAGCGCAAAATGTAGCTCTGGACGCAAGCCGTCTGCAAGATCTGTTGGATCAGGTCCCGCTCAGAATTTTGCCAGTGTGCCCCCTCTGGCAATTGCCCTCCTGGTCTGCGGCACCCGTGGAGACGTCCAGGTACGGAGCAGTCTTTCTAAACCATATGTCCTGTCAAGCATTGCTACTTCCACAAATTGATAGATCAAGTGGTTTAATGACGCATTGTTGTGTTCTCCGCAGCCATTCCTGGCTCTCGGGTTGCAGCTCAAGCAGTTTGGGCATCGGGTGCGGCTTGCATCCCATGCCATTTTCAAGGAGCTTGTGGAGGACCACGGCCTCGAGTTCTATCCTTTGGGCGGTGACCCCCAGCAGCTGTCTGCCTACATGGTGAGTCCCCTGCATGTCTGAACAGATGCGCATGGTTGCTCGCTGCGGAGTCAGCCCCTTGTGCTCTATGCAAATGGCGTATTGTCTGCGCAGGTCGAGAACAGGGGCATCATCCCGTCTCCTTCGGGCTACCTTGGCATCATTAATCAGCGGAAGCAATTGAAGGATGTGATCTGGAGCTGCTGGCCCGCTGTCTCTGCACCATCGCCCCATGCGCCGGACATAGAGTTTAGGGTGAGGGCCACTCTTCATCCGTTGCGCCATCCAGGCAGCATGTGCCCTTGTTTTATTCAATCGCATACAACATTCTTGAGCTTTGTTGCAGGCAGAGGCCATCATCGCCAATCCGGTGTGCTATGGGCACATACACTGTGCGGAAAAGCTGCAGGTGCCCCTGCATCTGTTCTTCACAATGCCTTGGACTCCCACTGCAGCATTCCCACATCCGATGGTGAGTTTGATTTTCTGCCAGTCCTGACCTCCCCTAGTGTGGCAACTCAAGGTGATCGCTGATGCTGACTTGATGCATACACCACACGTGCCCCCCTCATGTTTTCAATTTTGATTTCTCCGTTCCTTTCTCTACAGGCACGCGTCTTCTACGCATACAAATTGCCAAATGGGCTGACGCGGCTCTCTGGAAAGGCAGCATATTATGCAAACACGGCAGACGCATACAGAGACCTCTACCGCCAGGGCAGCGGGATAGTGTGGCCCATGGGGAGGAAAATGCTGAGCTGGGTGTTCAAGGCTGAAGCCTTTGCAGCGGGGACGGTGCTCCGCCAGATTGAGATGGCCAACCTCCTCTCATACCACGCAGTGGAGGACATCATGTCGACAGGAATGGTGCGCTTCAAGCATTTCCAGCACTCCCTGCATGGATTGATAAAGGCGGGTTTAATGCTTTCGAAGTACCAGCCATATTGCACATCAGGACACACTAACAGACGCTCACCCATGATATGTGACAGGCTGATCTGCTGGGGCAATTTCGGTCAGAAGTGCTGGGCCTGCCGAGTGCGTACCACAACGATGACCTGCACAGAGTGCCGTTCTGCTATTGCTTCAGTCCCACGCTGGTGCCGCGGCCGAGCGACTGGCCACAGGACCTCATTGACATTGCGGGATTCTTTGATTTGGGGGAGTCAAGGAGCAACTATAAGCCACCTGAGGGGCTTGTCGCATTCCTGGCAGACAAAGACAAGCCAGTATACTTTGGTTTCGGCTCTCTGGTCGTCGATAAGCCAGAGGTGCGCAAAAGATGCATTGCAGCTCCTGTTGATGGTATATTCCTGGTAAAAGCTGGCGTCTGGGCTTTTTTACTCTGTAAAGTCACCTAAGCCGGCAAGTTTTGATCGACTGTTGCTTTGCAGGAGCTGACCCAGAAGATCCTAAAGGCACTGGCGCAGACTGGGCAGCGGGGCATCATCTCAAAGGGCTGGGGCAAACTGGGCGTTCTGGCAAATGAACCCATCCCACCGCATGTGATGGTCATTGATGCAGTGCCGCATGACTACCTGTTCCCACGCTGCGCAGCAGTTGTGCACCATGGTGAGCACCGCGATCTTGTGCATTAGCTCCACACAAAGATATCTTGCCCAATAGGCATAATGCAATCGATGGGGAACAACCTAATAAGCGTAAGGCGCTCTCATTTTTGCTTTGTGCAAATGCACAGCCCCTGAGATAGTGGCACTGGTGTAGGCGGAGCGGGGACTACAGCAGCCGGCCTGCTTGAGGGATGCCCCACAACGGTTGTTCCCTTTTTTGGGGACCAGCCATTCTGGGGAGAGGCCTGCAGGCGTGCAGGAGTGGGACCAAAGCCCATCCCAGTTGACAGCCTCAGCCGCCACAAGCTTGTGCAGGCTCTCAAATTCATGGCGCGCCCAGAAGTGAGGCTCTCCCCACAAAGCTGTCTTTCATAAGTGGTTACATCACAAAGCTGGTTGCAATGCAAGAACTAATAGATGTCCTTCTTGCAGTTGGAGCGCTGTATCCAAGCGCTGTGTTTGTGAACGTACAGGTGAAGAGGAGAGCGGTCAGGCTTGCAGTGAAGATCAAGAAGGAAAACGGCGTTGCCAATGGTGTTGCATCATTTCACAGGTAATGTCCAAGCTACTGAGGATGGCTTGCAGCCAAAGCCATACAATTATGCTGAAAATCAATGTGACCGAGGATGTTCACTGCTTGCTGCTCACCAAGCCATGTGTGGCAGGCATCTGCCGGAGGATTACTTGATGGAGATGCGCAAGCGGAGGGCAGGCATCCCCACGCTGGAGCCGAGGGCGCAGCTACCAGTGCTGCTAGCGCCGCCGCCCGTGAGCGCGCGCACTGACAGCGGCCGGCTGCCTCGCCTGTGCCTGCCCCTCCCTGCCCTACCCACTCTGGGCCGTGGGTCCGTGGCATTCCTGCGCCACCGCTCCTGGTGGACCTCCAGCAAGAGGCCTCCAGTGGCCGCAGTTTCTTCTGAGGCACAGCACAGCAGCAATGAAGAGCTTGTGGTGCCGTTGCCAGAAGCAGCCAGCACAGAGCAGGCGAGCGCGGGAGTCAAACCCTCCAGTGTGGCTGTTGCAGGCGCGACTGCAGCAGTACTACAGGGCAGCAGTGGAGTGGCCTCCCTCCAAGAGCCCCACATGATACGCTCCCTTCCGTCTCCCTTTCAGACTAGAAGTCAAAGTGGGTTTTCAGAGGATGGCATAGCTTCCTTGAAAGATTGATTTGCCTTTATTTGGCCTCTGGGTGTGAAGATTTTGTGCCTGTCTCTGCTGTCTATCTCTAATTCTCCAAAAGGGAGGATGTATTGTGGCTAGCCCCTCTGTGGGCGCATAGTTGTCTGTCAACATCATCGCCGCACCATGTTATCGCGCTGAAAGGAGTGCTGATTTCGGGAGGCATTATGTTCCTTATCCGACCATGTCGTATTCACGCTTTCAGTCCAATTGAGCAGTGCCAGATGTGGAGTGTCATGCAACTTTGTGTTCATGCATGGTTAGTCAGAGCCAGATGGTGTGTTTGTTGAGGGCTGTTTTTTTGTCGGGTAACAACAGCGGAATGGTGCTTTGCAGCAGGGGGAATAACTTGCTTCCTGCAATGCCTAGCAATTGCAAGGCTGCGTGCAATGTCCAACACTGAGGTGAAACGTCTGATTTGAGATGATTCAAGGGCGCAGCTTTCCCAGGGTTTCATTCGGAATCAGAGTCTAGACAGATCTGGACTTCACAGGAAAGAACAGGAATGCCACTAGAGGAAGTTAGGCCACTACATCAGAGATCTTTTTTAGGATGCAATTGGGTAGAATTTCTCCAGGAGTTGCTGGTAAGTGTCAACCAAGCTGATCATTACAATTGGCGGGGCCTTTAGGGTGTGTTTGTATGTGGTATGCACGTGATCAGTCCTTCTGATTCACTCTACTGATGACATGGTCTCTTGGCGCATGCTCTCCAAAGTTGTAGATAGCAATGGAATGATCTCCTCAACACAATAACACTGTTGATGGCATCTTACCTGTCGACAGGTCCTGGTGTCAGGCCGTTCATTTTTTATGCAGTGTGAAAGTTTCACGTCACCACTGCCTGATTCACTTGAGCTTCATCTATGACACTACCCATGACCATAGAGAGCATGCTGCCTGCGCATGCTGGCACTACTGTATAAACCAGGACTTCCGCATATTTTAACAAAGTTCTGGGTGAGCACCAGCAGATACCACTGCAGGTGATGGCATACTCTGACAAACAACAGCAGTGTTGTATTAGCCTGAATTGGCATGAGGGCCTCAGGATGAGTAATTCAGACATCCCCCCATTTTTAACTAACACAGCAGCAGAGATGTGGTTTCAGCATCTGGGAATTTGTCGCCGCTGCAAAGAGCACAGCACCCACAAGTTTGCGCAAGGGAGGAAGAGGAGGTTCTTCTCCCTCTTGCGAGCTCTGATTGCGCTGACGCAAGATTCACAACGAAAGTGGCACATGCCTATCACTGGCGCACGAAGTGCCAGCCTCACTCTTACTGCTACAACCCTTTGTCCTCCATTCTCTAAAAAGAACAGAGTGAAGTAATCTGCAGCGGTGAGAGTAGCAATAGGACAGAAAGCGATTGCTGCATGTGGCTTGAGGAAGGAACACAGCCATCTCCTCGCTGAGCAATCACGTGGAACCCGTTCCCAACCCTCAAAGTAGCACAGGCATGCACAGTTCCACTCATGTCATTAGCAGATCCCGTCCGCAGTCTGAAGAGAGACAGTACGTCTATGCATCCATGAGGTCATCGATGTCATCGTAATCTTCAGAGCCAAATCCTCCATCAAAGCTATCGTCGTCAAGCGGTAACCTGCGCCAGTCCATGTGGAAGGGTCATAAGTCGCACAACCATCCTTGACATTCCTCAGTTGCCAGTCGCAATTATTTTGTGGTAAAAGCCCCCAAATTGTGTTCAGCATTGGGAAAGTGCACTTGGGGCGTACATTGCATGCTTGATGACCTCAATCATCTCATCTAATGGCTGTGACACGAAGTAGTCTGCCTCTTGCATAGCAAGGCATTCTTCATTGACCTGGATCAGGGATGCAGGCAGCCCTTTGCGAAACCTGCAGAACACAGCCCGTCCTCAGAGATGCCCTTTGCTTCGATTTCTAACAAAAGAGCTCACAGAAATGCCAGAAGCACACTTCTGATTGCACTCATCTTTGAGCATTGAGGCCCATGCCTGAAATAAAAAATGCGGTTCAGGGAGACTGAATGTGGAACATAACCATGATCTTGTCAGTAGCGAAAGGACAACAGGCGCATACCAGGGGTGCATCTGCATGTCCTGTAAGCTGTAGCGCTTGACAGGGTCCTCCACCAGCACATGCTGCAGCAAGTCCAGCGCTTCCGGTGAGGCGGATGCATGCGATGGTAGCCTGTACTCCACCTGTGCAAAGATGATGACAGCAGGCATCTTTTAGTCACACCAGCCGTCACGCGCCACTTTGGTCTCTTATAAAAAGTCGCAAGCACAGTAGAAGGTGCATGCTTGTGCTTAGAGGAAAGACACAGGAGCAGAAGAGGTGCACCTGGACAATGCGGTGCAGCGTCCTCTTCACACTTCCTTCTTCCTGGTCGCTGGGTCTCTCGAAGGGGTGCTCCCCAAACAAGAGCTGGTAAAGGATGACTCCCACGCTCCAGCAGTCAGCCTTCCTCGTGTCCACATCCTTCTTATTGAGCAGCACCTCTGGGGCCACGTAGCCAAAGCTACCAATGCGAGACTTGGGTAGTGTGTCCAACGTGCACTTCCTGCAGATAGTGCGCACACCTTTCAGGGCAACGGGGACCATAGCAAAGGCAGTACTTCCTTCCCTTGCTTGGCTTGATCGCTGAGCCAGGTGGGTGCGCAGCTTACCAGTAGCCGACATCCGTCATCTTGACCTTTGGCGGTGTGCTTTTGTCGAGCATCACGTTTTCGATCTTCAGGCCATGATTGCCAACGCCCTTCGTTTCTAGATATATCAAGGCAACGACTATCTGCTGAAACAGGTACCTTGCATCCACCTCCTGCGCAAATCACCAGAGGGGCATCATGGTTCTCGCCATAGTTGATTAGGTAGCCATTCATACAGCGTCGGCTGCATTGCTGGGCTTCCTGGCTTCCACGGGGACTACCTGCAGAGGGCTGCTGTCCCGCACATAATCTTGCAAATTTCCACCAGCAGCGTGCTCCACCACGATTCCCAGAGCTGTCTCTGTCAGCATCACTTTCCGAAACAGCATGATGTTCGGGTGGTACAAATTTCTATGCTGCACTACTTCTTGAAGGACAATGTCACTGATGTTGCTGGGACCCTGCAGCACAACACCCTCATCTGCTGAGCGGATGTCAATCAAACAATCCTGATTCAACATGCGTTAGATAACCTCATGGATCTTGACCGACAATATAATGCACCACGTTTGGGCCGAAGCATACACACACAAAGCAACGGCCCTCAAGATCGGCCAGCATGCAGTACTGACCCTCTTCAAGTACTTGACAGCCACGATTGCGCCAGTTGCAACGTCTTGGCAGACATTGATGTGCCCAAACGCTCCAGCCTCTTCCTCGTGTAGGAGCTGATAGCTGTCGGAAGTACTCGTGGTCTCCTGATAGAACGTCATGTCTATCCACCACCCACAAATCCCCGCAGCTGAACCGCTGATGTCGCAAGAAGAAGGCGTGCCGATCTTCCTTTCACGCAGAGAAAGAATTGTATTCTGGAACCATCATTCCAATCGAAGTTCAGTCGGCACGCCGTCGTTCGACCGGGCAATTTTAATACACCCGAGTCACACCCTATTATGAGTTCAGCAATTAAACGGAACAGCAAGGCAGTCTGCCGTGCTTGTAGCTGCACATCTGCAGCCGAATGCACGTACAGCAAGCAGTCCTGTTCAATGAGCTCAATCACTGCATGCAATCATATATTGTTGCAGCGGCCCAAAGGCAGGCCTGGTCCCACATCGCCTTCGCTGACATTTCAGGCTTCCGTGTTCCGGGGGAAAATAATCCATTCTTTCAAATGGGACAGCAGAACATCGCGCATCGGCACCACACGCTGCTTGAGCAGGTCCTCTGTCATCACCTCAGCAGCTGCAGCAAACGTACTGACATCTGGGGATGATCTGTGGCCTCAAGAGCCCAGAGAGAGGGTCACGCCACCAAAACTGCCTCCAACACCGGCTTCCTCGAAACTTCTGGATGTGCTTCCATATCTAGTCAAGCTTGCAGTGTCTGATCGGTAAGGCTTTACTTGGTGTCAACGAACATGTCGGAAGGCCTACAGGTGTCGGGATGAGTCGGTGCTGCATCTCTGGCCTTTTATTGAGCAATTGTTGCAGGCAGTTGTGGTGGAGGCTGGGAGCTTCTGTAGCCCTCATGCTGCTGTCCAAGAGCTCAGGTGATCCAAGAATTTCCATCTGTAAGTGGTGGTATTGGGACCTTGGCCTCGTTCCTATTCTTGCCCAAATTCGCACATGGCATGGGTGACCCAATCTGCTCCCATCTGTGTTGCACAGGGCTCATGGCTCCCATTTTCCTGAAGAATGCGGTGGACGCTCTTGGAAGCGTGGTCAATGAGAGTGCAGTCACAAGGACAGTGCATGCGTTGCTGTTGTCTGGAGCGTGCCGAATTCTGTGCAGTCTGACCAAGGAGATGCAGGGACCCTGCTTCACACCCATAGCACAGGTGATCACCGGCCATGCAATATTGGTGCACAGTCTTGTTGCAAGAGCGTTAAGATCGTTGGCAACTTGCTATGGCAGGCAGAGAAGCCTGGCTTTGAATATCTGATGCTGAGCGGCCGAAAGGGGTGCAGGCTGCAGGGCGACGAGTTGCGTATCACACATTCTCACATGTCCTCGATCTAGACATCAACTTCCATTTGGAGAGGCGAACGGGAGCGCTGTCTCGGATCTTGGAGAGAGGTAGTCTCTTGCTAGCTTAGCACTGGGTTTCAGCAGCGTGAGTCACAAGTGTCGAACTCACTGTCGCGCTTCTCGTTCCATGGGACTGACAGAAGAATGCATGACAGAGAATATTGAGACGGGACTGGCACGTAGGCACCCGGAGTGTGTCAATGGTGTTCAGAGCGGTGGTCTTCACGTTCTTGCCAACAGCGATCGAATTGGTGCTGGTGTGCGGGCTACTGGCTCGGACATTTACGCCCATTGTGTCTGCTTTGGTGGTAGGCACCTTTGCGGCATACGTTGGATGGACAGCTGCGCTGACCAGAGCTGCAGCAGAGGTGAGGCGCACACTGCTGCCAATTAGGGGAGGGCCTCACCTGGTGTGCACCTGGTGAGGGCACTGAGGTACCCAAATGACCTGATGGACCTGCATTGGGAACATCTGAACGATGATGGCAAGAGATAGAAGGTCAAAGGAATCGGTTTTGACTATGCTGTGCACTGTCTGTCTTGCGTATAAATGGAGTGGAAAACTTGTTGCTGCAGGCGCGTAAGCAAGTAAACAAGTTGGACAATTTGACCACGTCCAAGGCGATCGATGCGCTGCTAAATTATGAGACCGTCAAACTCTTCAACAATGAACAGCTGGAGGTACCCTTCTCACGTGGCCTCCAATACATGTGCAGCAGACTTCCGAGCGCATATGCTGTTGACATTGGGGTCTCTTTCGATGCTAAAGCTACCTAAAAATAACAGCAAGATTGGACCGAGATCAATTTCTGGATGCTTTCAGGTTGACGAGTATGACCGTTACCTTGTGGGATACCAGCAAGCGTCTGTGGCCACTGAAACCATAGCGGCAGTGCTGAACGGGGGCCAAGGGTTTGTGTTGGCGGCGGGCCTGACTGCTGTGCTTGCAAGCGCCACTCTGTCCACAGCTGTGGGGTCCTTCACCGGCGGAGACCTGGTGATGGCACAGGGCTTGCTGCTGCAGCTGTGGGGGCCACTCCAGTTCCTGGGCTGGTTCTACCGCGAGCTGCGCCAGTCCCTGGTGAGTTGCAAAGACCTTGCGCAGCACAAGAAATTATGTTTGCCCCGTGAGGTTACAGGGGGGCTGAGTGAGAGCCTCTGAGCCCCTGGCCAGAGTAAATCAGGAGATTGACAATTTACTAGTGCGAGCCATCTGTTGCTTAGCTGTGCCATGGGCTTGCAGGTGGACATGGAGGCCTTCTTCAAGATCCTGGCCACGCAGCCAAACCTGCCTGATGGCAGCCGCCAGTTGCCGCAGCGGCGCTTTGCAGCGCATCTTCAGGATGCTGCTGCATCCCACTCCAACGGCCACGTAAATGGCAATGGTGACGCCCAGGGGTGGGTTGCAGAACGCCTTCAGCTTTTGTTGCATTTGCTCTGTATTTTGGAAATATGCAAAGAGTGTCCAAGCCTGAAAGGAGCAATCTTATGCTGTGGCAGGGCTACTGTGTTAGGTGAGAGCAGGGGCCCAGGTGAAGCCAGCACTTCAGGACAAGACCAGGGCGTGGCTGTGGAGCTTGACAATGTCGTCTTTGGGTTTGCATCCAATGCTGACCTTCTAAAATTTAGGGCAAAACTTTTGCCCTAGACTTTCCTTTTTGAAGCCTTCAACAGTTGCCGCAAAAGCCAATTTATTGATTAAGATTTTCAGTTTTTTTTTGCAAAAAGAAATTGCTATGGTCCCAATTCACTGAGTTCGGACTGGGATCACAGGTACCGGATGGGCAGGCCTGTGCTGAAAGGAGTAAGCTTACGGGTGGAGCCGGGGGAGAGCTGTGCCATTGTTGGTTCAAGCGGCAGTGGAAAATCCACACTGCTCAGACTACTTGTCCGCTTGTATGATGCGCAGGTAGCTTGTCGTTCTCAGTCTTTATGTGTTTGTCTCTGCTGATATGATATCAGACCTCAAGGTTGTCGACCCTCAAAATTGTGCGAGACACTGCTTGTGCTGGTCTCAAGACATGTGCCTCCTAATGCCCTTGCAGAGCGGGAGCGTGCAGTTGGATGGAATTGATGTCAGGGAGCTGCAGCAGAGCAGCCTGAGAGGGGCGGTTGCGGTGGTGCCCCAGGACACAGTGCTCTTTGCTGACACAATCCTGCGCAACATCAGATATGGGCGCCCAGATGCCACCTTTCAGGAGATCGAGCGCGCTGCTGGTAGGTTTCCCATACAGTCCTGGTTTGCACTGCTGTCCCAATGCCATTGTTATCTTGCTGAAGGTGTGTACAAGAGCACAGCATGCCCACCTGATCTGCCTGCAGAAGCTTCCGAATGAAGTGTGCACAATGGCCTGAACTCTAGTGTTCCGGGAGCAGAGATGGCGCAGCTGAAGAGGGTGATAGATGGCATGCCTGATGGCTATAATACCATTGTTGGCGAGCGCGGCCTGAAGCTGAGTGGGGGAGAGAAGCAGAGGGTGGCCATTGCGAGGGCATTCCTGCGTGGACCGCGGCTGCTGATCTGCGATGAGGCCACATCAGCCCTTGACACCGCAACTGAGCGCAGCATCATGGCCTCCCTCGAGGTGCGCAGTCTGGTGGCTCGCCACCACAACACTGCTTGCTGTCATCAGAGGAGAATAGATCTGTGACTTGGAATGCAGTGATGGCAATTGATGACCGTGAAACGGGCTGTCAGAAATAATCAGCAGGGCGGAGCTGAACATGTCGCGAGTGGCGTTCAGGAATTGGCAGTTGGGCGCACGTCTGTGTTTGTGGCGCACCGGCTGTCGACAGTGCAGCGCTGCGACAAGATCGTTGTGATGGCAGACGGGCAGGTCGTGGAGCAGGGGACACACGAGGAGCTGATGAGAGCTGGCCAGGTGTATTTTGACATGTGGCAGGCTCAAGCTGCCGCAGAACAGTTCCATGAGCAATGTGTTCCAGAGCCATTGGAGGCTGTTCCCCTGGATGTGTGATCGATTTCAAGGAAGCTACATCGCAGTGGGCCTTTTCTGTGGACTAGATATTCAGATTTTTGTGTGTGGAAGATTACATGTTTGCAAAGCCTTTGCAAACTCTGGGAGTAGGATAGCATTCTTCCTTAAATCTGGAGTACTAGACTCGCTGCAATGGATGTGCCATTATTGCAGGTCACATACAGATATCTAGTTTTGAAGTGGGTCATTTATGGCGTGAAGGAGAGAGTGTGCATGACGTTATCCTCAACATGTATTGACACATGGAAATCCAAGCATTTCTGGATGCATTACATTGCCGCCATTGAGTCAACCATGATGTTTACACAACAGCATGAAAGTGCGACTATGTCCCCACATCACCATCAGTAGGCCTAGGAGTGAACCATGACTCAATGTCTGTAAGGCCACCCAGTACATGCTGTATCGCCCACTGCCCAAAAGCCTGCAGGCTGCTAGTCATTGTCACCGCCTCACAATCTCACACCCGGCGGCCATATGCCAGCACCCTGTGTAGCATGAGGTCTTGGGTGGACAGATTATTTAAGGCTCTGCGCCTGCATGCGAGTCCCCATCAAGCTACTGCTACACCCAGTCATTGGGCGGATGCCTTGCGCATCTGTTGAAGCAGCCAGAAAGAATTGAGCAGCTTGTTCCATGGAGTGTACTTCAATCATTTCTCCCTGACTCGGAAATATGGAACAAGCACAGGCATCGCAATCAAGCCCTCAAGCCTGTCTGCAGAAATTCTCTGCTCATGAAGCATGAGAGCGGGGCACAGGCGACACAGACTGGCTAGGTCGACACCAACATCAAACAATAGTATCAAAAGGTGTAAAAAGGCAGGTCTGCGCTTGTGCAGATCGAGCTGCCACCACATGTGTCCATGCTCATCGGATCCCTACCAGCCCTGCTAAGCAGATGCGTGCATGGCGCCCTAGACCGTGGCAAGTAATAAACCAAAGAAAACGCACATGCACGCTCAAGTGCGCAAGAACATCAAAGGCACTCTGACAGGGGTGGGCAGAAAACAGAGCACAGAGCAGACCAGAAAACACACACACATACACGGACGAGAAACTCACGCGTGCGAGCACGCACACACACACCCTATGCTCCCTGCTAGACCAACCGGCCCCACCAGACAGAATACACTGGTTGGGGCATGCTTGGTCCAGGGTTCTTCCAAGAGGGCGCCCAGAAAGCGCCCTGTGCGTGTGTGCATTGGGTTGCCTGCAAATCGCCGGCCCAGCGCCCGCTGCCCAAGTTTAAAGGTGGGCAATTTAGACAGTTTTGGCTGGGCGTGAACAATTCCCCTGTGCATGTCTATCAGATCTATTCCAAGCCACGATGCGCCCCTTGTTTGCCCATTGCCCCATCGCTCTCTTGACTGAGCGGAAGCACTCAGCGCCCAATGCCCATGTTTGTGGACAGAGCATCGGGTCAGAAAAGAGTTATCTGTGCCTCAGCATATTCCCTCATGTGCGTTCCACACCCAATATAAGTCATATCTTCAGTGGGACGACCCTCCTAATGAAGTGCTTGGACTGCCGAGAACAGCGCCAAACGTGCGCCAAATGATAAGGCAGGTCTACACACACTGCTGCATGCAGGGGCTCCTCACAAGGAGCCAAATTTCCGTTCTTGGTGGCCCTCTCGAGGCCACAATGCCGTGTGATGGTGGCATGTGGAGAACTCTGACGCTTCTCCTAGATTCTGGCACTCTGCATCAGCAGGTGCCAGGCCGCTTGATGCGGCTTAGTCCCATGCGCTTTGGTAGCCGGCGCCGCCGCTCTGGACGCCGTACGCGCCAGCCGCACCGTAGCTGGGAGCATGGCTGTAGCCAGCGCCGCCATCTGTTCACCAGAAGGAGATCATGTCATGCTCCAGCTTATGAAGACTTCAAACAAGCGAAGGCATCACAATAGCCCCCAGATGAAAACGAGTGACTGACAGCAAGGAATCAAGCTAGTCACAAGGTCATGAGCCAGGCAAAGACAGGTGAGGGAATGAAAGACTCACAAGCAGCGCCATATGCAGCTGGTGCGACGCCGTAGCCGCCGCCGCCACCGTAGCTGCCGCCGCCCCCGTAGCTGCCGCCGCCACCCCCGTAGCTGGCTCCGCGGTCCTGGCGGTAGTCGCGGCCTCCAAAGCGGTTGTTGCCGCTGCGGCCGCCACCACGCGAACTCTTCTGGCCGTAAGGGGCCGAGCGCGCCGAAATGTTTTGCAGCCAGCCTGGCACCTCCTGGTTTGTCTCCTAAACGAACACAACAGGCATCCTCACTTGCTGCACACATTTTCTAACCTGCAGACAGTCAGCCAGTGCTGCCACAGCAGAAGAGAAGCATGACGCTAGCAGTGGGAGGCAACGGACCTGCAGCAGCTCTGCGAGGCCCTTGGCCAGGCCAGCGTCCTTGTCAGTAAAGAAGGCAGTGGCGAGGCCCTTCTTGCCGGCACGCCCTGTGCGACCGATGCGGTGCACGTAATCGTCCACATCGGTGGGCAGGTCGAAGTTGATGACGTGGGTCACATGGGGGATATCCAGCCCACGAGCGGCCACGTCAGTCGCCACCAGGATTGGCGTGCGGCCCGACCTGAAGCTGCGCAGGGCCTGCGCACACAGGGGCAGGCCAGCTCAGGACCAGACTGATGGCAGGCAGAGGCATGATGCAGTACCATCATAAGAGGATCGGAAATATGGATGACAAACAATCCATGAGCAGTCGATGCGTGACACTTGAGACAGAGGTGGCTCACCGCCTCGCGCTCCTGCTGGGAGCGGTCGCCGTGGATAGATGTGGCAGGGAAGTTGTTGCCGGCCAGGAAGTCCTCCAGGGCATCCGCTCCGCGCTTGGTCTCCACAAAGACCAGCGTCAGGCCCTGTGCCCAGAAAACGTCGACTTGAGCACGCTGTCAATTGGCATGGAAAATCAACTGCCAATGGCTGTTACTTCGAGGTGCTCAGCGGTGCACTGCAGGGGGTTTAGGCAAATCGGAAACTGTGTCGCTCGGAAAGCAGAAGGTGGGGGGGCCGCGCACCTCGACGGTGTTGATGAGGTCGAGGAGGACCTGGCGCTTGTCACCGGGGGACACATACTCGATGTGCTGCACGATGAGCTCGGTGGAGGAGCCCACGCGGCCCACGGCCAGGAAGATGTAGTTGTGCAGGAAGTCAGCGGCCAGGCGCTGGATCTCCTTGGGGAAGGTGGCGCTGAACAGCAGCGTCTGGCGCTGCCCGGTGCGCGGCATGTCCTCCTGCTCCACGATGCGCCGGATCTGCGGCTCGAAACCCATGTCCAGCATGCGGTCGGCCTCGTCCAGCGCCAGGTAGGTGACGCGCGAGAGCGACACACGCGCGCGCTCGATCAGGTCGCTCAGCCGCCCGGGCGTCGCCACCAGGATGTCGCAGCCGCGCTCCATCTCCCGCAGCTGCACAGTCGCAGCGCCAGTCAGATTGCTGTTGCATCACAGAGCACTGCTACACTGTGCGCATGACAAACCAGAGGCAGCGCTGGCATGCAGAGTGCAGGCCAAGAAGGAGCACCAAGAGAGACTGATGAATGCAGGGCGCGCAGCTGTACCTGGTTCATGACGGGTGCGCCTCCGTACACGACGACAGGGCGGATGCCTGTCTGGTAGGTGAACTTGCGGGCCTCGTCGTAGATCTGGGAGGACAACTCGCGCGTGGGGCTGAGCACCAGTGCCATGGGGTGCGCCTTCCTGCTGCGCCCCAGCGGCTGCACGTTGGACTTGAGGATGTTGGCGATGATAGGGAAGCAGAAGGCGGCCGTCTTGCCGGAGCCCGTCTGCGCGCAAGCCATCAGGTCGCGATGCGCCAGGCCGATGGGGATGGAGTACTTCTGCACTGGTGTGGGCTTGGTGTAGTTGCAGCGCACTGTGTTGGCTGCCAGTGCAGGGGGCAGGTCGGCATCGTCGAAGCTGGTGATTGGGTTGGGCACCTGCTCCCCCGTGGCCTCGACCTGAGGCAAAACAGAAGGTGTCACCAGAGAACTACACGTCCATCACACCCTGATCCAAGGCTGGTCACAAGTTCAGGGCATATGAGGGACATGCAACTTCATTTAAACACTTCTTCCGGCATTGCCCTCACAAAAACAGCAGAAAATCCCAACGCGGTCCCTCAGGCGTCCCCTGCAACATATTTCTGCCTCCCCTTATTCTCGGCCAGTAGTAGCGCCCGCACGCACCGGAATGTCGTCGTAGGCGTCGAAGTTGATCCCCGTGTTCTCTTGCGTGAACATTGCATCCACTTCCTGCTTGCGTGCCTTGTCTTCAGCAAATGGGTCCCGATCGTCTGAATTTCCACCGCCCCAGCCGGAACCACCACCACCGCGCGGCGCGCCATAGCCACCACCAGGCCTGGAACCACCATAGGCACCTCTGCTGTAACCCCCGCCACCACCACCTCTGAATGCGCCTCCACCCATAGGGGCACCGCCTCGACGATCATCGAAAGGCTGCGGGACTCCACCACTGCGCATATGGGGAGGAACATAACCACTCCTCATCCCACCAGCAGGACCTCCGTTCTCATGATATGCCATTTTGATTATCTTCACCTGTATTCAGGTCCTAAGTCTGCAGAGAGAAAGGAAAATACGGCCGGCGAAGGCGCCCACTCTCCAAGGGCGCAAGGGAACGCCGCCCAACCAGCAAGTGCTGGTGCAGGAGCTGGACGGATTTTGTGGAAGAGGAAGGGGAGAGCAGGGTCATATTTTTACAGCAATTCACTTCAAAATATCTATAGTCAGGTGGCGAGTATTGTTTGGGGCGAGCGTACAGCCGAATTATAATTTGCGAACGGTCTTTGCAGCGATCCAATTGCGGTACACTGAAAAGAAGATGACGTGACAAGCGCACATAGGACGATCGGCAATCTGATTGTGCATGCAATGTCTGCAAAAGGAGCTAGAAAAGCGTTGTTGCGATTCAGAGTGGCGTACTGGACCCAGTGGGGTCAGAGCGTCGTGATTACAGGCAACTGGGATGGAGCCTCTAAGAGGGGGCAGCCCCTGACCTGTCGCCACGAGGATGAATCCCTGGTATGGGAAGCACAGGTCCTTGTGCCTGTCAAGAGCGATCATGTGGTCTACAAGTACGTCGTCACGAACGAATCGGGCGAAGTCGAGGTAGAGGAGGCTGGCATGCGCAAGGTGGCGATACCAAAGGACTTGCAGGATGGAGGTGCCATTGACCTGCAGGACGAGTGGCAGGTATGAAAAGTTCATCTGACAAGTTGGACAGGGTCGAGGGGTTCTGTATCTGAGTGTGTCGGGTGTTGATGGTGCTCAGAGCTTCTTTGCCTGTATGTGTGTGGGACTCTGGCAATAAATGTGCTCTGAAAGTAGATTGCGAAAGGAGCCATTGATGAAAGGTGCAATGCGAAGGAATTACTGGTGCTGCAGGACACCTCCCATCCGTCCTTTCTCTTATCCAGGAGTGCCTTCAAGGGCACCATCCTTGCCACAAAGACAGGACGCAGTGACGTCCAGGTGGAAAGGTTACAGCCAGCTGAAGGGGAGGTGATCGTCCGATTTCGTTTATGGTGAGCTATCCACTGCTGCCTCATCCACCTGCTGCCGCTTGATTGCAGATATGTCCATGCAAACTGGAGTCCATGCCATGTCACCACGATCATAGAGCAAGTCTCATTTGGTGGTGATTGTGCAGGGACTGGGGAGTCCAGGATGGAGACTGTTTTGTCGTCAGCGGCAGCTTGCCACAGCTGGGAAATTGGCAGCAGGACCAGCCTTTGCTTCTTTCTGAAGTCCAGGAGCCATTCTGGGAAGTAGAGGTCAGCAACGCCTTTCTCAAAAGGCACTATTTAAATCTGTGCATTACAGATTCCTCATAAAGATGCAGAACAAATGTCTGGTCGAAGCAAACATTGTTGTTTGCATTGCATGCAGGTCAGAGCACCTTCGGAGAGCTTTCCAGTCACTTACAAATATGGGCTGCGACGGAAAAATGGGGACCTGGAATTGGAGGTGGGGCAGTTGCTCTAAGCAACGTCATGCCCAGTGGCATTGGTGTGTTTTCTTAGCACATTCCATCCGCGCTTCATGCAAGCTGGGACTTACCTACCTGTGCTGTGTGCAGGTTGGTGAGAACAGGATAGTGTCTTTGGAGGCGGATGAGACGGGCAGCAGTGAACCCGCAATGATTGTGCGCGACGATGGCACGTTCCGGCACGAGAAGCTGTGGAGGGGTGCAGCAGTGGCCCTGCCTGTCTTCAGCCTGCGCACCAGAGACAGTGTGGGGGCGGGCGAATTTGAGGACATCAAGAAGCTTGTGGACGTCTGCGATCGGGCAGGTCAGGCTAGGCTCCTGCAGTCCTGCCTCTGCACATTGCTCATTTTCCACGACACGCTTCTGCAATCTCTTGCAAATCGACTGAGGCAGCAGTGTTTTTCTTATGCAGGGCTGCGCATGATACAGCTGCTCCCAGTGAATGACACGTCAGTGTACAACATGTGGTGGGACTCGTATCCATACAGTTCAGTCTCGGTGAGTCTTGTCCATAAAACCCCCACAAGGAATGTGTTCTTGATACATGGTGTAGATAACAATCTGCTGATTTGTACTTAGTGTTGGTGACGAGCAGGTGTTTGCTTTGCACCCTCTGTACCTGTCGCTTACCGCACTCGCGCCGAAGGACATGCCAGAAAAGCTGGCTCAACGCATCACTGAAGCACGCGTCGAGCTTGACCAGCGCGAGGTGGAGTATGAACAGACCCTCGCCACAAAGTTGGCCATAGCCCGGGAGCTGTTTGATCGCCGTGGGCCTGCCGAGCTTCAGGTGAGCATCCTCGAAGGCCTGATGCCGTTTGCATGCAATCAAAATTTGATTGCCATTGAGGTGGTGCTGACAGATGGTCCTTCTGTGATGTGTGCAGAGTCCAGAATTCGAGAAGTACTTTGAGACCAACGAGAGATGGCTGCGACCTTACGCTGTGTTCAAGTTCTTGCAAGATCTCTTTGGTACAGCAGAACATTGGCACTGGGGTAGCCTGAGCCGGCCCACACAACGGGTGCGCAGGATACTTCCATATTTTGCTCCCGCTGCCAAATCTCGTTTCTGTTATCATTGTGAGGAGTTCCCAAACATTGATTAAGATGTGTTCCATGAAATGCGCCCTGGTCCTTGCAGATGTTACACCGGCTGAGTGGCCCGGACCAGGCGCACTACAGCAGCATCCAGTTCACCTACTGGTTGCAGTGGCACCTGCACCGGCAGCTGCGTTCAGCCTCACTGTACGCTCAGCAGCACCGCATAGCCCTCAAGGGTGATCTCCCCATAGGTGTGCACACCAATTATTTAACCTTTGTGGGCAAGCGGTGTTGCTGTAAATATGCATAATACGAGGCTCTGCAGGAGGCCAAGCATGTCGAGCAAATACTGTGCCGTGTCGTAATTTGCTTTGGCAACACGTTTCCGTTTTGTTGGACTTTCATTGTAAACTGTACTTGTGGCAATGCACATATATGAATGTTAAACGCACATTGACCATTCTTCCACAGGAGTGGACAAGAGGAGCGTGGACACCTGGATGCACCCAAACATCTTCCACATGCAGTTCTCCACAGGCGCGCCGCCAGACTACTTTGATGCCAACGGTCAGAATTGGGGCTTCCCCACCTACAACTGGGAGGAGATGGCCAAGGACGGCTATGAGTGGTGGCGCAGGCGACTGACCACCCTCTCACAGTGCGACCCGCCTTTAGCCTCCCTTTGCTATTCCCTCAGCTGCATTCCTAGTGCGTGAGAACTCACTTCACCTGTGCAGGAATTTCTGGCAATACAACGCTGAAAGTGAAGCAGAGAGGTTTGATGATGTGCCAGGTACTTCCATGCGTACCGCATAGACCACATCCTGGGCTTCTTCCGCATCTGGGAGATCCCTGGTGACTGCACGCTGGGCCTGTTTGGCCATTTCAGACCCTCGCACCCCATCACGCGCCAGGAGCTCGAGGCGCATGGCATCTGGGACTTCGACAGGTGCGTGCAGCTCCCATAATCTTCCATTTCCTGAACGCAGGAGGACCTTGTAAGTCTCAGGTAATATTCTCCTAGAGGGTTTGGTTTTGATTGCTTGATTCACCTGCACAGGTTATGTGATCCTTACATCACCACCACCATCCTGGAGGACACCTTTGGGGAGCTGGCGCACGAAGTGGCTTCCAAGTACCTGGTGGAGTATGAGAAGGGCAGGTACCGCCTGCGCGAGGAATACTTCAGGTGCCCCCCTCCCCCCCTAAACCATCTATACACATCTCCAGGCGCCCCTGAGCTGAGGTCTCCCTTGTGCGTTCCTGTGACGAGCCTTTGGTGCGCTGATATCCAAGGTTTGCAGGGTTGAGTCGGTCTGAAAAAGCATTGATCTGCGGCGGTGTGACTGCAGCGAGGCGGACATTGAGGCGCTGCAGCCGCGGCCGGGGTCGCCGGCGTGGCTGGTGAGCGAGGTTGATGCCATCCGGCAGGGCCTGCTGGACCTGCGCCACAATGTGGTCCTGCTGCGCAGCCCAGACTCGCCCAATGACTTCACCCCAGTGCGCCCCCTGCTCTTCTCGCAGAATTTATTAACATACGTCTCGCGTTGGTTGGGCTGTTGAAGAAGAAAGGCTTAGCTGATAAATTCTGCTATGCCTGCAGCGCTTCAACTTGGCGAGCACTACCAGCTTTGCGTCCCTGGATCCTCACTGGAAGGCACATCTTGTGCGCCTGCACGACGACTACTTGGAGACCCGCCAGGTGAAATACATGTCTTTGCTCCTTCACAATCTGGCTGCACCCCTAATTTCTGTTGGTGATGGAGTGTGACCTTATGGGCTCAAAACTTGATGTTTCTGAGGAACGGACTCACATTGGTAAGCACATAACGGAAGGCAGGGTTGCTGACAAGGCTTGCTGTGTAGCTGGATTTGTGGTGGGACCATGCGCACATGTCACTCCCGGTGCTGATGCGGGCGACAGACATGCTGGTGTGTGGCGAGGACCTGGGCTTCCTGGCTCCCTGCGTGCACCCCCTCATGAAGAAGCTCGGCCTCGTTGGTGAGTTTCTTTCAAGCATGATCTATGAACACCACCTGTCACACCTGAGCCTGAGCTGGTGATGTGCAGTGTAAGTTTGCTTTCCAAGTGCAGGGTTGGCACTGAGTAGGCTTCATCGTCAAGATTTGTCTCATGGAAACAATTTGTTATGGGCAGGCCTTCGGATTCAGCGCATGCCATCTGAGCCAGACGCAGAGTTTGGCGATCCGGCAAACTATCCCTACATGTGCGTGGCATCCCCATCCTGCCATGACACCTCAACCACGCGGGCGTGGTATGAGGAGGATCCTTCACGGCGCCAGCGCTTCACCGTGCGCCTTTTCCCTCATGATATATCCTATATCTCCAGCATCATGTGCATTTCGTTTCTCTTGCTATATTTCCATTCTCTGTGGCAATTAAAGACGCCTACAATATCTCTCACCACAAATCATGTTGTGCAAATAAACTTGCTTCACTGGCGCAGGAATTCCTTGGTCTGCCTGGACCTGCACCTGAGCACTGCACGCCTGAGGTCATGCATGCAGTGGTCAAGCAGCATGTGGAGTCCCCCGCCATGTGGGCCATATTCCCTATCCAGGTATAGATTCCACCTTAAGTTTAAACTGGTAGATGCCATGTCCTCTGCATCAAGACAACAGTGACTGCGTGGGCCCATGTTTCCATAAGTATGCTGGCAATTGACAGTTCTCTGGCTTGTTCCGAGCGCAGGATCTGCTGGCCTTGTCGGACGAGTATGCAGCGCGGCCTGCAGGAGAGGAGACCATAAACAACCCCACAGTGCGCAAGCACTACTGGCGCTACAGGTGCCATGTGGAGCTGGAGAGTCTGCTGGAGGACAGACCTTTCCTAGCCACGCTGCAGCAGCTACTCCTCGGTGCGTTCTTCTGCCCTTATTCCCTGGCCCAGCCCGTTGCCATCGTTCAGAGGTCTGCCCGAGTGCCTCTACATTAATCTGGACTGAGCAGTTCTTGTTGTTGCAGGCTCTGGGCGCGTTTCCGAGACGGACGTGCCTGCGAAGCTTGCACCTCGCGCCATGCTGCAGCAGAATGGTGCCGCACCAGATTCTGACAAGCACTAGCCATCAGGACGGTTAGAGAATATGTCTGAGCAGGCCTGTACCGCACTCGACCCTTGCAGACATAAAATATATGCAAGTAGCAACCGTAAACTTCAGGTTCTCGTCAACTCTTGCTCTTTCAATGCATGCTAAGGGTGTCACGCACGGATGTCTATTCAATGAGAGTTTGATCTGCTGATGGCAGCTGACTATAGCCTGCTATGACTCGTTGAATTTCTCGTTACATGTTCATCTCTCTGTTGTAAGAAAGCATTCAGCATCCCACAAGATAGTGCTTTTCACTAGCAAGTTCATTAGATCTATAAATATATGAATGCATTGCGCTGAGACACTTGCTGTGAAGCTCACCCAATTCTTGGTGTCTTTTGTGTCACTGTCAAAATCTGTGGTGTACCACCAGTGCCCGGTCTCTGGATTGCCTGCTGAGCTGATGCTATTGCTGCAGCTCCTCTTGCAAACGCAGCATCCAGAAAGTCCTGCAGTTTGGTGCAAATATCAGCATGCTTGGCAAGCTGCTAAGTTTTTCCCAAAAACAGTCCACCATAATCTGGTGATCTAGAAATACCTAGCAGCCTCCATGGGGCAATGGTATGCAAAGAGGCTGCCTGCACATGTTGCCCTAAATTGCAAGCATGCACAGGGCAGGACATGAACTTAGTGGGAAGGACCTGTGCATGTGGGTTGCCCAGGTCGCAAGTTGTCCTGATGGGGACCTCCAATTCAAGCGCAAGAATGTTGTCGGCGAGGAACCGGGGAGCTCCAGTCTTGGCAGCCTCAAGCGCAAACGCGCATGTGGGCCTCCTCAGCGCTGCATGTCCCCACGCAGACACCCTCCCGCTGCCTGCACGCACACTGCTTTTCACATGCCGTGCTTCATACTGTGCTGATGATTGGATAGCGGACACTGCACGGCACTGCAGAGCTGGAAGAGGCTTGGCACTCCTTGTGCATGTTCCTGATGGGCCACTTTCGTGCGCACTTGTAGCCTCATCATGTTGAAGGATTGGTGTTTCAAAGGTGGTCCTGTCCCAGTGAGCATCCCAGTCTGGTCTCTCCACAGCCTGCTCCGCACAAGTTGTCATGATACTCTGCCATTCGGACATTCACTTCTATGTCACGCATGTCGTCTGTTGAAATTTGAAGTCAGTATCCAGTTGTCCCACGTGTGTCTACCTGGTTGACACTGCCAAGCAAGTGGGACTCAGCTCCTGCAGGTGCCGCCCAATGAGCCTCTTCAGGATCTGCATGATCTCTCTGTAAGGCTGAGGGCCCCACGTCCTCAACACGGCCGGCATTTGCTTTGCCTTTTGCCTCAAACACGCTCTGCACCTGTTTTGTGATCGCCTCAAATTCCTCCTGCACCATGTCTCTCTTGTCACCGTGGATGCTGACAGGCAGAACCTTAGCTTGCAGCTCCCTGTGCAACAGCCTCTTACATGAGATGATTGTGGATGTCAAGCACATACCTGCAGATCCACTGTGCCCCGAGCACTGCCATTTCCATTTTGCAGCTTGCTTTGCCTCCTCGCTCGTTCCGCCTGCCAAGATCAGAGCCGCATGATCACACATGCATGGATTGATGCTCTTATGGTAAATTCAACGTGATGCTTCTGCGCCACAGCTGAGGCTGAGCCCACATTACCTTGATACGCCAAGCGGACTGGTCATATCGATGGGATCCATCATCCGTGGGGCGCTGTGTGCCAACAGTTGCACCCTGGTCTGCCCCGTTCAGCCTGCTCTCAAGCTTGGCCAGCCGCTGTTGCAGCTCCTCCCTGTGCATGCATCACCAGAGCACACCAATTTAGATTTAGATTACATGCAAACAGAGCATGATCCAATCATATTCCCAGACGGCAGTCTCCTGCTGGCAGAAACTAGGGAAGTCCAGCAAGAGCTTGTGCAAGACAAGCTTGATGGGGAGAGCTGCTGTGTGCCAAGAAGCAAGTACGTGTGTCACCTGGTGGCCTGCTGGTCTTGTTGCTGCTTTTCCAGGGACTGTAGGGTGGCTGCCTGTGCCTGCACTGAGCGCTCAAGCCGCCTGGAATGCTGCAACATTTGTTCCCGCTCCTTCTGGCTGGCGCTGATGTCAGCATGCGCCTGCCGCCTCGCCTCCTCTCGAACCTTGGGGATATTGACGTTCAAGAGGTCATGCGTCACACCCAGAAGAAGAAGAAAATCACACATCTTTCTATGTTGTCAACTTGTATGGCAACACTGGAGAAGGCACTAAGCACGGAATCACCTTGGCTAAAAGGCTATCATCTAGAACATTTCCATGCAAAGCATCAGCGTTCAGCTGCAAGCCATTGCTGCCCACGTTCGGTTGAGGCTCTGCTCCATTGCTGCCCTGCAGCGACTGCCCTGAGTGTTGCTGAGAGGACTTTGCTGTGTCCAGCTCTGATCGGAGCTGCATGATCTCTTCCTGATATTTTCTGAGAAGAGCATCCTACAGACACAATCACCGTTCTCAGCATGAAAGAGATGTCCGCAGCAGGACTGCAGCAGACCTTGCCTGTATTGCAGTTGCACTTTCATCCTGAGACACGAGAGCAGAAAGCAGCATTGTTGCGGATGTTTGATTGTGGGACTCGTGCCTTGGGGTCCTCATTGATGCGCGGAAGGTTGCGGATGTTCTTGGCGCGATTGGCATAGCGCAGCGTGCTCATGGTCTCCTCATAGTCGGTCTCTGCCGGGCCTATGTTGGCTATCATCACAGTCTTCGTGTTACCTCCCAGAGAATCTTGCAGCAGCCGCGTCAGCTTGCTGTCCCTGTACGGTATATGCCCTGCATGTAAAGAAGTTGCAATTGCTTGTCTTGTTTCAGGCATCAAAGCAGATTCTTGTAGAATGTAATCTCTTGTCTCTCAGAGTCCTTGCAAACAAAAATTTGCTGCAGCTGTGAAGGGCACGCACGGACTCTCGGAGATTGATACTTGCTCTGCAGATAGAAACATGACCCCAGTCTGCTGTAGCATTACAGCTGAGGAGACATTAGCTGGTGTTGGGGACATACCAGTGCGGTTGTCAACCAGAGCACTGATGACGTTGCCGAGCGCGCTAAGTGCCATGTTGATCCTGGTCGCCTCTTTGAGGCGCTCCCCAGATGCCTGCGTTCTGCTCTGCCGCTCACTGCCCGCCAGGTCCACCAGGTTCAGTTTTCCAACCCTCGTGTGTCCGCTGCTCTGCCAGACAAGGCCATGCCACAACATTAGCCAAGCCTCTGAGCAAGACAGATTGTTGAGATGCTTAGCCGTCATCCTGCTGCACCTTGTATTCATGTCCTCTATACTGTGTGCACCACCACGCATCATGAAAAGAGATGATCTGGCATCACATCTGCAATGGGGAGCTCACCTCTTTTGTGACACCTTCCAGCATCTCAACTGTGATGGTGAAGATGGAGTGGGAGCGCGACGAGTCCTGGTTCATCAGTGTTGCACCAATAGACCTATTCTTCTTCCCGACCTGAATCCCAGAACACCACTCAACTGGGTTTGGACAGCGTTCATGCAATGCGGACTGTGGATAAGTCATACCAGGCATGATCAGGAGGGACTGTGCATGCATGCTGCAGGGTTTACCTCAAGGACTTTCTCAAGTTCCTTTGCAGACTTCACAATGATGGCGGTCAGTCCCTTTATGTACACTCCAGTGCTGCGGTGCTCTCTGACTTCCAAAGCCCTCTTTGAATCCTTTGACAGCAGGTCCCTCACCTCCTCGTTGTATACCTCGAGGAAAGAAACTCGGACCTGGCACAGTGCCCAGTATTTAGCATGTAGGTCGTGCCCTTGGAGGTAGTTCAAGTCTGAGCAACACTGCAGAGCAGGCCGGATTGAGATAGATAAGATAGACTACCGGCTGCTCACCAAAAATTGTACTTCGTGACTTTGCTCCTCAATGTGTGTGTATATTTGGGCAAAGGACTGGGGTATGATGCCCTTGGAAGCCTCATCAACACCCCCCTCCATCGTGTATGTTTTCCCTGTGCCAGTCTGTCCATAGGCAAATATAGTCCCATTGTATCCGTGCAGGACGCTTGCCACCACGTCGCTGACGCTGCCATGGTAGACCTGCAGCGTCCAAGACCAGAGCTTCAGCAGTGCTTGAGATGACACCTCAAATGACCCAAGCAAAGCAGAAACCACCATGCCCCCGCAAACCTGATGTTGACTGCTCTCCACGTCATAAACTGAATCGAATGAGAAGGTCTTCCTGTCGGCCCCGCTTGGTATCCTCGGGTCCTCAACATCGATCTGCTTTAGACTTGTTACGACAGACACGATGGACCGCAAGCTTGCGGCTGTTTCGGCTCTATTCTGAGGACGACACCGTACTACCACTTTTACACATTCTCCTCTAGAAGATTGTTGGTTCGACTTGCTCATGCTATCTTTCCTGGAAGTGGGCCTCGTCTCCTTGCGCGTTTCTCACTTGGGGACGTCCACGACAATCTGGCGCATGCTGGCAACGACCCTGTAAGCCCATTGGATGCTTTAAGCAGATAACTCAGTATACTGATAATGCAAAATGAGAGGGTTGAGCAAACGGAGCAAAGGCAGTGTAACTTCCGCAAAACATCAATGACTGATCAGCAGTCATGATGTCACGTGCACGTGCTGCCTTCCCCGAGTACTTGCGAGGCTTCTGCGCTGGGGAAGGACTCTCGTACATCTCTGCGGTGATGCAAATTCAGCAATGGGGTGGACGCACTAGAGGTCGCCCACCCATGATGCTGCAGACATGCATTTGCACAGTTTGAGCCCTGGTCGGTGCTGTCCTCGGTCAGATCCGGAACAATGGACAAGACTGTTCAGGGTGTTGAGGATCCAAATCAATCGCAATGCATTCCTGAACTTGTTTTTCGTCTGGCAGAGTGTATTATGAAGCAAGGATCTCATAACTATCAAGAAGGGGATCTGCAAAAGTTGAAATTGAAGGCTGTTGCTGTGTTGAAAGAATACCAGGTGATTTATCATGTGGATCTTTTCAAAAGTATGATCGTCACTTATGAACAAGCGTCAACATGCCTCACGAATGCATTTAGTGCCAATTTCTTCGTGTCTGGCAATATAAGAAGATGTGCGCTTTTCCCCCTAGCGAGTGATTTCCTAGGCCAAGAGAACAAAACCGTGTGATCGCAGGGTTTTGAAGGGTCAAATAACACTGATTTGAAACGTCTGGAGCTTTTGAGTGTAAGCACGGACATCTATCTACACGTTCATGTGCCACCCCAAAAAAACTTACCAAGATATTTGCCCAACAAAAGCCAACACGAATAACGACGAGTCTCTTACAGAGATGCCTGAGTGCAGGCAACTCTTCAGCTTCATCAGTCCGGACGAAGTGTGGAGGCTGACCAACTGCTCGACTTGTCAGACAAGCTTTCTGAGTAAGCCCTCCGGAATCATGCTATGCTTAAGCAGTGCGCATATGCTGTGCTCTACTTCAGCGCCGTTGTTAACTGCTTTATCTGGATGTTAACAGGGTGAGAAGATGGGAACAGGCAAATGGGGCAAATGAGGTGCCAGCTGGTGGAGAAGAAGTAGAGGAGCTGCCTTTCCAGACTCATGAGCCCATTCTGCATCTATTGCTGTCCCTGCAGGCAAGTCAGATGGGCATCATTTGAGAGATTGGTTGCTGGCCTTGCAAAAAATCCCAAATCCTTTCTTGTAAACTCAACAAGCCACACCACCCCCTGCTGGCGCAGGGAAGTGCAAAGCCATTGCTGCAGCGTGGTCGTTCAGCAAGTGGCAGAAGCGGCGATTCGAGGCTTGTAGTGGATCCGTTCTCGCAGCGATTGAGGAGCATGCACGACCATGTTGGGCATGTCAACAGACGGATGTCAGAAGCTCGTTTGCATGACAGCAGTTGCAGTAGCCGACCAGACTCCCAGCCCGGCATGAGCCCAGCGCTAGACAACATGCTGTCAGCCATGAGAAGCACACCTTGCTGGGATGCTGGCACACCAGGTGCATACCGCTGTCTCCTGCTCAAACATGCCGGCCATGCTCATGATTACATAAGATGCTCCACAAAATTGCGAGTCACAAGCACATTCGCATTGCATTGAGCAAAGTGGTGGTGCTGCAGGCTCAGGAAGGCAGGCAGCGCCCAGCAAAGCTGCAATTGGAGCTGCTGGGGCGAGCTTGCTGTATCATATGGACGCGCAGCCAGACGCGAGCCGAGCAGCATGGCAGTTCTCAAATCCTGACGGGGAGGCCAGCCGTGCTGACAATGACATGCAAAATGGTCACTCAGTGAATGGGGCCCAGGCCAATGGAGTGTCCGGGTCCTCAGACCACTCAGGTTGGCTTAAAATGCCTTTCTGTATAAATGTATCTCCTGTTAAGATCAGCGTTTCCAATCATGATTGTTCCAGTCAATGCTCCACGGCAGTGAAGGACCGCAAATTGCCCATTGATTTCTTGTTCGACTCTCTCAGCCTGTGTGTCTAGGCACAGGTGTGGATGGCAAGGTAGAAGCAGACAGCGAGAGGGGGGACTGGCCTCTGTCAGCCAGCTGGGGCCACCAGAAGCCTCACAAGATGAGGGATACACCTCATGTGGTCAATGAGGGCCAACTGGCGTACGAGCTGCTGCTCGCCCTTCAGGTGCCACTTGCACATGCTCAATTCCATTTACAGGGCTGTCAGTACTTTGCGAATTGCCCAAGCTTGACCGGACATGAAGTTGTGACTTGCTGTGCAGGGTATTGTGCCAGCAATCCTGCGGCTCGACAGCGGGCAGTTCCAGACGGAGAGCTTGAGCCAGGCCAGCCTTTTGAATTTGTTGAGACCCTCCATTCAATCAGGTGCATTTTAATTGTAATTCGACCCTCCACAGCGGAATGTGTACACAATTGGTCTTTGTGAGTCCAATAGCCCATAATCTTTGAGACCATCAGCATGAATCTGACTTGGCTGACAGAATGAATTGGCTTGGCAGGAATCCGACTTGGCTGACTAGATTGGGCATGCAGGTGTGCTGAGGGCCAACCTGGACACACATCTGTCAAAGATGACATTCCAGGCCATGTCCGGCCCCGCCCCAGACCCATGCTTGCAGGTACGTGCGTACCTCTCGCACGCCACAGCGATATAATATTCTGCAGTCATCCCGGTTGGGCCATGGCATGGTGCGTGCGCTGACAAGGGGCATGTGTGCGGCAGGCCTTTGCTGCAGCGGCGATCGAGATTCTGCGGGAGCAGTCGGTCGCGCTGCAGAGCGTGGCGGAGTCTGTCCGTCTGAGGCGCAAGGCGGATCTGCAGAACAGCATCCGGGGGGTGACCCCGGGATCACTGCGGCACCACCTGGCGTGCGTGGGAGTCACTGCGGCCGCGGATGATGACCTCACCGTCTTGGAGGTCACCGTGCACACGCGAACACTGCAGGTGCGCTGCCGACCGAGAGCTTGCTTTATGGCGTGGGCATCCTCTGTCCTACAGTGTCAGCCTGCTCAATGCATGTTCGACATGGGTTTTGAGTCCAAGGATGATATTATTGTGGGGTGCTGCGGCAGGCACAACTGCGAGCCCTGGCGACTGTGTGCGGCCTGAACTCGCCCGGGGCACGATTCTCAGGTGAGTACTGTAATGCCACTAATTCTACACACCACAAACTGCTCGGTTGCATAAGGCAGTGTGTTCCATCCGTTTTTGACCGCATGACACCTGCAGACCTCCACGTCAAAGGGCCAATTTTAGCTGATGGGTGTTCGACAACTGCAGCAGATGCTGAATCAGCACAGCTCAGCACAGCAACGTCGCATGCGTTTGGAGCATGTTTGTCACAAAAAATGGCTGGGGTGCAGGCGCGGAGCTGCTGGATCACCTGCACGCAAACTTGGAGGCTGCAGACGACGCGGCAGCGCCCCTGCTGCGGCGGCTGTTGTTGGCAGCGTACCGCCCCTATGCAGAGCAGCTGGAGGGCTGGCTGTTCCGGCCGGCCACCTGCCTGCCGCGCAGCTCCGCCTTCTGCGCCCAGCTCCCAGCCCACTTCGCAAGCCTGCTGCCAAAGACAGCCTCCGCCCAGGTAGGCCCCCGCCCTCTGGACCCTTCTTAAGGCGTGCACACATTCAGGAATGGTCCTGAAGCACAGCGAGGATGTATCATCTGCCAGGTTTGTGTGCCTCCCTGGGTGTTGCTTGGGATGCGTTATCAAGTCCGTGGGGATTGAGGGTGTGAGACCACGGAAATTGGCAGTATCTCTCGAAGCTCGTGCATAGGCCTGACATGGAGCTGGGTGGACGTGTGTGCAGGCCGTGCCATGCAGCGTGCCGGCGTTCCTGCAGGCATGGCAGGGGCAGGTGCTGCTGGCGGGGCTGCACCTGCGAGTGCTGCACTGCATGCCAGCCCCGCTCGACCGCCTCGCCACCGGCCTTGCTGACATCGCTGCTGCTGAGAAAATTCCAACTGATGAAGAAAGCCATGCCGAGCCACTCACAGGCAAGCCCCCCTCTAGTCACACCTCTAGTCATAATTTGCAACACCACAACTGTCGCGATGGGATGTTTAGTTGCCCAGGAACTCGTAAAGGTGCCTTAACAGGATGACTGGCTGCAGGGGCGGAGAACTTCTCCAAGGGCATGACAGCCAAGGAAACTGTTGCCATGCCCCTGACGTTCCACAGGACTGAATTGACAAAGGTGGGGGCTTGCATCCATTCCCCCTTTCAAACGTACCCGCAGGTCGCTTGTGAGACCTCATTTTATTTCCCTCACCCAATGCATTGCATACCTGTGACCCATCATCGCATGCTGTGCAGATTGTGGCGGCGCAAGACACGGCCATTCTGGAGCGGGAGGCATTCATCTCCTCCCAGCTGGCTGAAGCAGCGGCTGCTGCCAAGAGAGAAGGGGTCACCCAATCAAGACATGCTGGGTTCAGTCCTGAGGGCGCTCGAAACAGCAAGTTTGCCGCCCACGAGCCGGCCTTCCTTGGCACCATGCGCGTACTCACCGCTGCCAGCCCTTCCAGGCCGCAGCAGTGCACTGTCCTCCCCCCCGCCAGCAGCCCCGCCAGCACCGACAGCATGGCAAGCATCAGCAGAAGCAGCAGCAGCGCCGCTTCTGTCTGCAGATCTGACAGCAGCGAAGCCAGCAGCGCTGACAGCAGCCCTGGGGAACCAGTGCACTCCCTCAAGGCGCGCATGGGGGCACTCCCAGACCTGGGCGCTCCGCAGCCTTCTGCTCTGGAGATGACGTCCGCGAACGGCGTTTCAATGAATGGCCACGGCCCCAGGCTCCCCAAGCCCTGGATGCTGGGCCGGCAGAACGGCGCACCATCTCGCGCGGCCATCACCGGCCCGGCGTGTGACAGCGAGTGCGACTCGGACGACGAGGAGGAGACGGTGCCGCTGGGGGCGGCGGTGGAGGCATGCATCGTGCGCCGCGTGCTGTCGCAGTACGCCTGCACCGGCAGCGCATGCATCAGGTGCGCACATGCACAACACAGAAATTGCGCTAGGTCACGATCATTTTCCCAAGCACGCCTCAAGATGCTTCTTATTTCTACCAAACAAGCAAGAACCACTGAAATGTGGGCCGGGTTGTCTTCTAATGGTTGAGGATTGTGTCTGCTGACCAATGTGCAATCAAAGATTTGTTGAGCTGGAGTGGGGAATTCCAATGGCTGGCTGTGAGGTGTGAGTGTGGCTGGTGCTGTGCAGGTGCCTGGAGCATTTGGGGCTGGGGGAGGCGTTGGCAGCTCTGGAGCGCTATGCCTTCATGGGCGCGGGGGACTGGGCGGCCGCGCTTGTGCAGCAGCTGGCTGATGCCAGCATTTCCGTGGAGGTCCCCGGGCCGCACGACCTGCACCGCATGCTGGACGCCACCGTGCTGGTGCGCACGTTGTTATCGACCTGTTGTACCACACATTGGTCCTTGCGAATTGCACCCAAATTGGCATTAAGCTGGAAGAAAAGGACTGCCGTGGCAATTGGTGTCAAGGCCAAATCTGGCGGTTGGCCTCTTTGGACCAGCCTCTGCCATGCTCTCAGTGGTGTGACTTCCGCAGTCTTGCCACTCCACAAATCTGAGCTCCTTGCTGGAGGAGTGTGTGCGTGGCGGGTGACCACTGCCTGAAGCCTGCTGATGTGAGGACATGCAAAGGTGATCACGCATGTGTTTGTGCGCCAGGCGTCCAGCGCAGCGGATGACCCCTGCTCTGCCGCGCTCAGCCTGCGGCCTGGGAGAAGTCACAGTGCTCTGATAACACAGCGCAGGCACTCAGCCGTGCTGGGCCTGCAGCTTGGCATGGATGTCAGGTGGCCCCTCTCCATTGTCATCAGCCAGGTATGCAGTCCCGGCCCGCATGCACTCCCAATGCCTCCCCTGTCCTAAGTGCTGGTGTCCCCAATGAATGAAATGTGCTGTGTACAAGGAAGCTGATCACAGAACTTGGGCTAGCAAGCACGGGTCCACAATCAAATGAGTGGCTGGGGATGTATATTGCAGGGTGTCATAGCGCAGTACAATGAAGTTTTCGGAGTCCTGCTGGAGCTGCGCATGATGAGCTTGCAGCTGCAGCGGCTTTGGCTGGAGAGCGTGCATCGACATGGTGACCCCCTTACTGCCAAAACTGCCCTTGCTGTGTTGCTCAGAACCCCGAAAGATGCATCATGTGTTTGTGATATGATGGAGACCTGAGCAAACGTCCATTGCGCAGGTCTGGATGACAGGGCGTGGGTCTCTGCAGCCACCTTGCAGCGAGTGAAGGAGCTGCGCAGCTTCCGGACAGCCGCCGCGCAGCTGCTAGATGCCGTGCAGGGCTACATGTATGCCCAGCTGCACAGCACATCCCTCTCAGCTCTCCTACAAGATATCAAGGTGAGCATATCTGCAACTGCATATACCGATCGATTTTCGACGAAGAAAGAGTGCTGCAAGACTGCTGCAAGACTTTCATGACCTGAGGAGCATTCTTCATGGTTTGCAGGGCAGCAGAGATCTTTTGGAAGCACAGGCGGCTGTCTCTCGCTACCTCTCTGGAGCGCTACATGCCTGCTTGCTGGACACGGACATGCAGCACTCAGCGGAGCTCATCGCGCCTGTGCTGCAAGCCATCTGCGACTGCCTCGCTGCAACACTACCTGCCCTGTGAGTCTCTAAGACTTCCCTTGCTACTGATAACCATTGCCAACCACCTTCTGTCTTGTGCTTCCTTCAATATGATATTCTGATCCAGCGACATTGCAGACAATCTCGCTGCATGATGTGCGTGGTGGCAGCGCTAATGATGTGCATCTGTGCGTTCTGAGAGACCTGTCCTGCCACATGTGCAGGAGGTCCACTGATGGAAACCTTGTCGAGGCCGTCATGTCCGAGAGGCTCTGGCAGCGCATGCATGTCCCTCTGTGCGCCTTCAATGCGCACATGCGCACACTTGTGTCCCAGTCAAAGCAGTCTGCAGATCAGGAAGTCCTGCAGTGCGTTTTGGCGTATGTAGTCGTGAACGACCACTGGGTGAAGGAGTGATTTATGCAGTTCAAAAATTTGCAACATGGTTGAGTAGCATATTGCAGTGCAGCAACCCATAAGCAGAAGTCTCAGGCTCGCCAGGTCAGTGTGCATTGCAAATCTGTTTTCTGACAATCTTGAGTATCAAGCATTGCTTTCAACTTTCATGTTGGGGGTGTTTCACGAATGACTTTTGCTCAGTAGCGCTTACTCTTTGCACCCAGCTGCTTACAATTTGTGGTGTGTATCCGGGGTGGAATTTTGCTAGCACTAGCATCAGTGACTTGGGCCTGTGTGACATTGATTGACAATCTGTGCCACAGTATCGAGAGGATCAAATGAGATTGATTAATTTGGAAAGCGCAAAGATTCCATGAATCCAGAATACTGCATTCGCAGGGTGTATGCCATGCATTTTGCTACCGCACAACTGAATAGATTGGCCGGTACGTACATTTACTGCAGCAGTGATTCTCACTGAAATAAATACTACAGTATCGCACATATATGCCCCAAGGATTGCGATCCGATAGAGAGTGTGGGTCGGCACAAGATCTTGCTGCAAAAAGCGTTGTTTGAAAAAAACGGCCGCCTTCAACTACGATGTCTGCTCGCATAGGAAACATTAAATGTTTGCGGCCACACTACCGAGGGCCCTCCTGATGCGCCTGGGAAAATCACAACCCTTCATCGTTCATGTCCTGATGGAGCAGGACAAAATAGCAGGACAAATAGTCACGGAAAAGACTAAGAATCTGTACGAAAGCTTGATTAGGCCTGAGCTCATCTGAAAGAGCACGACCATGCCACGCAATCATGTTGCTATGTGCCAAATAATGGAAGCCTCACAACCCCACTGATCAAAAGGTGCAAGGGGCAAATTGGCAAAGCACAAGTACAACAAGGTAAGACAGCATCATACATGGAGTGCCTCAGACCCTTAGATATCCGCTCCTCATGATGCGCTCTGGTAAAAGTGGTGAAGGTTATCATCATAGGCAACTCCGAGACCTCACACTGATAATATATGAAATTGAACAAAGGTACACACCTTGAGAGGAGCACCCAAGCTGACATCAGCAGGAGCAATGCGCTGTCCTCAGAACTGTGACATGGCCTCCATTACAAGACCGCCCTCCTGCAGCCACACAAATAACATGACAAAAGATCGCTGTGCCACCTCTGGGCGGAACAAGCACTGAGGGTATGGTATGCCAAGTCATCAGACAAATGCCTCGTTGTTCGTCACCAACAGTAGTGATCAGCAAAACGCTGCTACTGCTCAGCTTCGTCATCTAATTGCTGTCATCATTTGACAAGGCACAAACCCATTTTGCGATTCACACTAAATAGAAGACAAGCAAGTGATCAACCTCCAGCTATGTTAGCACGACATAGTAAGCAAAAGTCAGCAAAAGTGTTTCAGTCAGCAAAAGTACAAAGGGAGAAGCTCGGTGGGATCAGGAATCTGGCTTGACCTCTAAAGAGAGTCTGTTAGCAGTGTCTGTATTCAGCTTCGATCATTCGGGGAAAGTATCATCATTTCCCACCGAGCCCTTGCAAATTCAGTCAATATTTCTAAATCTGGTGAGAGCCCCACCTTGCCTCGAGTGTTTCAATGGGCTCCATCTGACCAAGCTTTTGCGCGCACATGCTGCTCCACAGTGACTCATGAAGACGTGCCATTCACCTGAAGCACAGACACATAAGACTGTGCCGCGCAATGAATCTCTATGCTCAGGAAATTTAGAATTGAATAATTGCATGTGGCACTGTATAATTCGAGGCTGTTCAATTGCAATGATCAGCTCGTCTCAACAAGTGCCAGGTTGGTATGCGCCTTCTGGGGATCAGCACCATCATCCTGTCCTGCCGATGCCGCAGCAAAGACAGAGATGGTGAGAGAAGATCAGGCGTCGCACATGTGCTACTGCATGCTTGACACAATCAGCATTGAAATGTTGAAGGAGATGCAAATTGAGGCCGTACCTTGAGTGAAAGGTGCTCCTGCTAAAAAGCAGCCACCTCCAGCAGAGACACTTGGAAGTCTGCCAATGACCCTGCAACAGTTCACACACACTCCCTGACTTTTCGACAGATCTCAGGACCTAGATCTGTATACAACACCAGCACACAAGTAGAAAGGAAAGTAGCAATGGCAGTGGCGGGTCAGGAAGGAATGGATATGCCTCAAAGTTGTTGCGTTCACTGAGCAATGCCCAACTCACACATCTAATTGTTTTCATCATTCCCACCACACTTTGAGCTGCCAAACAAGTTAATAGTTATGCTTATTGGCCTCAGTCAAGCCGCATTGATGTCTTCAGGCAATCAGACGGTAATTCCATAATAACTGCATTCATCCTCGGCCAGCACTACCATAAGATCCAACAGAAAGATGCTCTGGGAAGGCATTCAATCTCACCTTCACAGCAGCATGCTCTGGAGCTGCTCCATGGAAGAGGGTCTGCAGACAACAGTAACATGGTGAGCACTTTGACCCACAGACTTGCAACAAACAACCAGCTTCTTGTTAGACAAAGACCCACAAGATTGAGCTCAGTACTTCTTAGAGGGTGTTAGTCTCCACATGTTTTTATTCAGTGGATTGACAGATGTCATATCATCACTGCTCAACTCTTGTGTCCCTTCTCAAAAAACCCAATAGGACAGAGCAAGTAAAGGTCAGCCGTACAGGAAGAAGCTCTCAGAAACCCGTGCATCAATCACTCAGGTCAGACGGCACTTCCTAGTACAGGTAGTCTTCATCATAGAGCTTGCATCTGCCTCACAGAGACCTATGAGCCATCTGAAACAGCAAGCTGACAGCAAACTTGAGCACTCACCGGGCAACAGCGGTCCATCTTTTTGGCGTCCGAACGCACATCAGCGCCGCCTGCACCATGTAGGCATGTGGATCAGGCACTCATTCCTACTGGAAGGCGTGGGGGAAAGTGGCAAGGCAAATAAGGTATGTGATCACCCGTATTGGCACTTGCTCTGGCATTGGTCGGCCAGGAAGCTTCCTATCAGGAGGTGAAGGGTCGATCTCAGCACAACTGTGAGCAGTCAAGGTCACTGCACAGGGCTACCATGACCGTGGCAAGAAGGCTGAAAGAGGCCAGCAAATGCATGCATTCCTCAGGGCTACAGTGCAGTCAATATGGATACTCACCTTACATTGTGTCAGTCATGCCTGCGAGGCGGAAAGGAGGAGCAGTCGGCCAGGATCAGGCGGCTGCTACCTGCAACAAGCAGACGTGCTTCTTCACATGCTCGCAACTGGCAGGCAGTAGATGAGCACGAAGATGAAAGGGCATGTCAGGGACATTTTAAGACACGACCTGGGCACAGGATCATCCCAAGCCGCAACACGAGTCCCTGGGTGGATGTTGCACACAGTACAGGGACATGCGAAGCACAGAGTTGCAAGGCCGTCCGGGGTTTGATGTGTGCGTTGAATGTCAGAGCGGGTAGGTGAAATTTGCGACGGCGGATCAAGCCATTCAGAGCCAAGCAAAGGCAGCCCACCTGGGATGGATAATAATGTGCCATCGCGGCGGCCCCTTCCGGCAGGTGATACGCCATCCTTCAGACCTGCAATCAGTTGTGCCAGTGAGACAGGTCGGCATCATCCCATTTAATAGAGGGAGACGTCGGTTTAAAGCTGGCTTTCTATGGTGTGCGCCCCCTTTACCCCTTGGTCATCATAGGAGGGATACCAAGGAACGCCTCTGTTGAGGGGCAAACAGCTGAGGTGTGAGGTGATGGTTGAAAGGATGTTTTCAGTAGCACACCTGTGGCCTGGTTGTGTAAAAACAGCAGACAGATGCTCGTCACATCCTAGCACTATCCTGGGCTGGTATTATGTAGATCTGACACTGCATGTGCTCCAGACAGCTTAAGGCTGGGCACAACTTTGACATCCTCTAACGTCTTGCACAACTGTGTGCGAAAATGAAGAATGCTTCAGCCGCCTGGCTTTGGCAAGCTGCCTCTGCAAACCCTAGCTACCTTCCAATTTTGGCCTCCATGTGGCCACAGAACCCTACACAGTCAGTCAATAAATTCTGAGGAAAAGTTTGAAAGAATCAACAGTTGTCCCGAAACCCCTCCAAAACGTTTGTTCGAGAACGTTGTCTCAAGAGCAAGGATTGCTGATCACAGCAGACTCTTTCCTTCAGTTTAGCAGGAAAGAAACCCAGATCGAAGATTTCAAGATACATTGACGTTCGCGCCTTGGGCTGGGGAGATATTAGTCTTACTTCTATATAATGCTATGTGGGAGGCAGAAGTATCGGGCAGACAGCTGTAGGGACAACGACATCGATTAAAAAAGCCTCTTTAAAATCTACTACCGGGAAGTGGCCACCTGAGATCAGGAAGCTTCGTTTGTTTCACGTTCACGATCATGTCTGGGAATGCGTCAAAAAAGCTCCAGGAACTCAAGGATAAGATGGAACAGCAGGTGAAAATGAGATCTGAGGATCTGTCATAGTATCCTTTAAAATTCAGCAACCTGCTGTTCCATTGATGTGCCCTTGGTGATACATGCAGGATCAAGAGCTTGAGACTGCCTTTGAGGCAGGCCCTTCTCACCAGCATGAGATCTCCATGAAGGGGGTGGGCACCTTTAGAATAGAGGAACCCGAGTCGGTCAGGCTCCTGGCGAGGAAACAGAGGGCGCAGGTGACTTGCCAACTTGCTGGATGCATGTCAGAATACGCACCAATGATGTCACCTGACACACTGATCACACAATTTATTGACACTAAAAATTATGTCTTTTGGCGCCCCGGCAGAGGGAGGATGCAGCAGTGGACCGTTACGGGATATGCAAGATGGTGGGGGTGGTCTTGATTGCAGCTGGGATTGCGATTTTCCTTTTGTGGCTCCTTTTCAGCAAATCAGAGACTCAGAAGGTGCGCCTTATGCGGGCTTTATCTTCATGCAACATAGCAAGGGCATGCTGGCCGAAGGACTGTGCTGGCATCCAAATCGTGTCTTGTGCTTCCGGAGTCTCACATCTCTCTGGTGCCCACAGATGATCCCGCCAACTGTGGGCTTTCAAAGACCACCCATGAACGCAAGGTGAGCCCTATTAACTCTAACCATGCTTGTAATGTCTTACAACCGTCTTGCTGGTAGTGTCTGTTACAACGAAAATCTGAAAGCTGAACGTATCACTGCAAACACGGCATGACGGAATCTGGTGTATCTCTGCGGCGCAGTGAGCTTCAAAATGTGCGACCTGGCAATGTATGCCCCGAGCCAGAGTGGTTGCCGGAGGAATGCCTGGGATCTATGCGGCAGAAGAGCAAAAAAACCTTTGATGGATGCCAGCTGTTTTTCGAGGAGACAGGATACAGTCTGGCACTGCTCAAGGCTTGCGGCATAATTGTGGACTCTCCTTAGACTGCAAAGTTCTCTCTGGCTTTCCATGCTGCAACTGTACTGAACACAAAATGCCCAGACGCTCAGCGGCTGATGGTAGTTCAGAAAGATCCAGCAAGTTTGAAGGTTGTGACGCAGCCTTGCTGCTGACCATCTACTGTACATTGCTTACATGCGTGTCCCTTTTCCTGTGTCAGACGTTTACAATCAGACAATACTGGTGATCTAGCAACAGTTGCCCTTTTTATATAAACAAGCTAGACCAAAATGATAATACTGGCCCGGGAACATCAACAGAAAATGAGCACCCCCCGAGTTGTTCTTGAAGTTGAATGATCTAGATATTGCTATCTTCAGATGTTGGAAAGGCCTGATGCACAGTTTAGAACAGCGTTTGCAGCAGACAATTGCGAGGAATCAACTCAACTTGAAGTCTGCCCAAGTATAAATTTTAGTACGCTTCCCAAAACAGAGTGAAAGTGTGCTCAATGCAACAATTGCACACTTTTATGCGCATCACGCACCCTTGAGTCAAGCGTGCTTCAGGATTTCCCACATTTGGCATGCAAATAATGACACGATAACGCCAACTTGCCGACATACATGCAGAGCAAGAAATTTGAATTGCTTACAAGCGTTGGCCCTAAGCACTCGTGCACATTTTTTATGCAATCAGACAGATCCATTGTCTCAAAATCGCAGTTTCCCCCTTCTGTAGGCGAAGTAGGTCAAAGCTCCCACTAGTGCGCCGCCAAGATGCGCTGTATGTCCCACAAAATTGCCACCGGGCCCAGGGCTCTGCGGCCCTCCCTGCCATTATCACCAAGCTTGCTTAAGAGCAGAAATACCTCAAACCAGGCACTGCAACAAACAAAACGAGTGCATGCACACATACCGTTGCGCCAATTATGTCAGAGTAGATCCACAGTCCACCAAAGAGGAAGGCCGGCACTGGGATGATGCCTGCAGGTGGAAGATATCGTGTTGTTGCACCGAATCCGCGGTTGCTTCCGAGCTTCATTGGACCAGTTCACATTGACTCCGGTGTACCTGCTGATGCAAGCAGATGGAGAAGCATACCATAGAGCAGGACTGTAGACTGCGGAGACACCAGGATGTTGAATGTCACGCATGCGTTGACAGAACCTGAAGCGCCGAGTGCTGGAGGCGAGTGCCTTATTGCTATCTCACGCCCCCGGGGATGCTTGATGGAGCCTGTTGCATCCACACTTCTTATTCTCTCCTGCCAGGCATGCAATGTCACAATAACATGGGTGGTGTCACTGCATCATAGGTGCAGGCTGCACATGCATGCGGCTCCTGGAGGTCACAATCTGCAAGCACGCTCAAAGCATTGGCAGTTGCGCACTTGTGATCTTATAGTATTCCTGTGCCAGGTATGCTACATTGCCGGCAACACCTCCACACAGATAGAGGAAGTACACCTGGCACACGCGCATGCATCACCCAAGGAAGTCTGCATTTACACACTGGCATAATAATATATGTACTAATGACAACATAGTCCGGCATGTTGCTGGCCATAGTAAGAGAGCTTCATGCCAGTGACCAGGATCATGAGGCACACCAGTCTGCCAGGAAAGCCGCGATTCCAGAAGAAGTACAGAGTGAACATATTCGCCAAAAGATGCATGCCGTCCTTGTGGCTGAAGCACGAGGTGATGAGAGTGTGCACATATCCAGAGCGGATATGCTGCAGGCTGACAAGAAAGTGCTTCATCATGAAGGCTGGGTCAATCTTCCAACCCAGAAAAGCGGCAACATTGAGCCCCACAAGCACCCTCAGCGCGTTCTCGCAGCTGGAGGATGGCGCTGAAAAGCTCCTGCAGAACAGATACATCAAAATCGGGATCAGAAGAGCTGAAGAGGATGGGCAGGGTTGATGAGAGACAGCATCGATGCTGTTGATGCGTAACGATTGATAAAGAGTATGACAAGGTGGATTACCTGAGTACGTAAGATTGTCTGAAGGTATTGTACTGGCGTACGTGCGTGAGAGACCTGTAGCTAGCTGGGAACTGAGGGGTCGCATGCCGTGCATGTACAGCAAGCGAATTTCCTATTCCTTGTGCAAGGCGTGGATCTCCAGTATATCTTGATATTGTGAAGTTAGAGCGTATGGATTTAATTTTGAATTGTCCTATTTGCTTGCTTATTCGACTTGTGAAGCAGTCTTGATCGGTGGTTCTTAGGAGTTTTACAAGAGCTCTTTGCATTTTTCATCGAGGTGCACCGAACAAGAACCACTATGCAGATTCTGGGTTCTTGTACTTATTCGAAGTAACTTGTCTCCAACAAAGAAGAAAGCAACATGCAACGTCGGACGGGGCGATGGTAAGGGAAAGATCCAAAACAGGCACTCGTTTTGAATTTGAATTTATTCCTCGATACCTCCCATGCAGAATGCTCTCATCAGCTGACACAATCTGTTTGCTGAACCAATGTGGCATCTGTTAAGTTGTGATTTTCGAGACATAGCAATTAGAAAGCTGACTGACTTGATCGTCAAACAGCCGATGCTCCGCACGCGCGCTTCATTTAGATATTCAATAAAGTTTATGAATGCCATTCATTGAAGGCAGCTGCAAGTTGCTGACGGCAAGGCAGACTGCCGGATAGGCACAATTGCACAGTTTTGGTACGGCCTTGAACGGGAGTCGCAACGGCAGCTACTCATGCATGCGCCCTTCACAGCCGCCGTATTCACCTCCCTCAGGGTGCAGGTGCGCATGCGGTTCAGAAACAGCTGACCCGGCCTTGACGTCTGGGTCAATACAAAAGTAGCCCAGCCTCCCCAGCTGGAACCTGCACGCAGAGACAGAGGCCTTACCCCACTGATCCCGGGACATTTGCCATGCATGCAGCTCTCATTTGGAGGGAAAAAGAAGACTCACTAGTATCAAAATTTGCTGCGAAATCTTGCAGATTTCATTTGTATTGTCACACAGATGGTCTCACCGCCCCTTGTAGATGCTGCATTCCTTTTATGTAGATGGTGGCCCGCTCAGTCACTCAGCAGAACAGATGGTATTACATAACAGCATTGTTTCAAGAACACATCAGATGAACTTGAGATCAGACTCGTTTCACTGGCGTTTGATTCCACTTACTTTGCAGTCTCCTCGCCCAAGCCAATGCTCAGGAAAGTACGCTCCGCCTCACTTATTATTTCATGGCGGGAGGCCATAGTTTCTGAAACCACTGTCATTTCGGATTCGGTAAAGATGTCCTCCCAGTCTATGATCGCTTTCTTGACTGGTAACGGCCGACAAAGAAAGTCAAATGTCACATGCCTGAAGCCTCCTCTCTAGAGATCTGGCAGGCCATAAGAGGCACACTATTAATACTTAAATGCAAGCCATGGATTTGTAGTAAGTCAAGCCGAGCCGTGCCATGCCAATAATTGTGCCTTATACGCATACACTCACTACTGTCCAAGAAGGCTACTAGCTAGCTACTAGCTATAGCACCATACCGGTGCTGTCACTGCACGGTGCAGTGCTAACATGTTATTGTGCAGAGCCACAAGCAGCCATTCCGAATGGCTGAGCCAACTGGTCACTGACGTGTGGCATGGGCATAGATAGCTAGAGCTATGAGCACTCTGTGGCAGCATCATGTTCATGTTGTGCCTCATGCGTACGCATCAACTCAAATTAAGCAGCAAGTGCACATGCAAATGTATTGTAGATATCTAGACACTGCACAGAAGAGAGCCTGAAGAGAAGCTATTTTTTATCATTATTACAGGGTGTTCCTGCCAGTGGCAAGATGTGCTCCAGACGAGCTGCATGTAAGAGCTGCCACGATCCTACCCGTTGTTGGACTTGCCAGATCCAAGCAAGACCCAATCCGGTTGAGTCAAACCGTGGGCACGGTGCTCAGTATATACATATATGAAAAGCATAAGGTGCTGTATCGCAAAAATGTGAACTTCAAAACCAACTGTAAGTTTTGCCTGCCCGATTCATACCGCTCATAGACTTCCAAACAATTGTTCAGTGAGCTCTTCATATGGGTTCTGCAGCAGAGGACTTTTCAAGCATGTCAGCTGATTCTCCAGGCCCTTGTGTCCATCGCTGCCATTTTGATCAGCAAGGTTCTATCCACGTCATCAGACTTTGTTTCTGTACTCTTTTACTGCTGCGATGACGGCCGTGACATTGATTGCAGCTACCACTGCCATGTCAACTTGAACTCGCAGCCACTTTGGGGTCCATGCCTGAAGGAGGCTGCATGCGTGGAGGTGTACTGACAATGGCAGGCTCGATTTCCCAGCATCAATCAGCTCAGGTACATCCTGCATGCCATTGAAACCCAGTGGGACAGATGACAATACCAGCACATGAATGTGACAAAAATAAATTTTGAAAGGGCGTATCACAATGTTGGCATACTAGGTCGACGACACACCTCAGAAGAAAATTCTGTTTTAGTGCCGAGCACTGCAGCATCTTCAAGGCTTGCGGGCTCAGTATTGCCATGCAGTGTAGGTTCGACTGCGGCAGCATCCTGCTGCATTGGCGATCTGTCCTGCTCACTGCAGTCTCTGCAGCTGTCTGGAACATGATCCGATGAAGTCTCTTGGCAGTCATCGTTCACAATGTTCTCCTGCAAGACCTCGGCTGGCTCACTGTCTGCAGATTCAGAGGCGCTTTCATCTGTGCTGCCACTGCCTTGTAGGTGACGAGAAGCTGAAGCCTTTGCAGGCGTGTCTGGAGTGGCAATGGTGCTTTCAGTATCTGAGGTTTGCTCCAAGTCATCAGGAGGGTTCAACTCTTCTTGTTCGGGGGACTCGGGCAGTCTGCGCTCCCCAGTTGCGCTGCTGAGAACCCCAACCTCAGGTGCCTTGGCTACTTTCTCGGACACTTCTCCTTGCAAAGCTGCACCAGCTGCTGCTGCTTCTGCTTCCTCTCTCTTTATACGTTCAGTGACGGCTCTCTGCATAGCCCATATTGATAAAATATCACGTTTGAAAATTCTTCACGTGGCGGAAGACCTGAATACAGGTTTTGGTCCACGTTGCACACGCTGATGCGGAAGCAACTCTGTGTGAAGGGAGGCAATTACGTTTTTTGACTACTATCTTACCTGTTTTGCTCGATATTTTTGCTGAGAAAGAGTGTATTTCTTGCCCATCGTGATGTCTGTTCTCGAGGTATGTCTGCTTCTTTCACGTGACCATTGCTCGACGGCTGTCTGATTTTTTGGTTTCACATAAAGCAGTGAAGTGACACAAACAAAAACCCGCCCCGTATGCAAACCGTGACTTCGCACGATATTCAGCAATCCACCTTTTCGCTGGTTGTGTGCATGGGCTGCGCTCGATATCACTAGTGTTCTGAACGATGGCCAACGATGATATTGTTTTGACGAATGACGTAGCCTGATTGTCTTTCTTTTGGCCAAGTCTTCTCGTTCCCTACCGGGTTCTTGACGAATCCAATCTATTATTCATTCCTAGAGAAACCCTATTAAGGGGTGTAAGTCGAGCCCTACCACTCGGGTAGCACGAGGAGGCGGCCTTTCGCGATCATTCTCTTCGTGGTTGTTCTGTGCAAGCAATGTCCTATAAGTTGAGAGTGGGATAAGAGGAACTTCCTTATCTAGTGGCGGACATGGCGACCACCATGCTGCTCAGACCAGATGAAGAGAGGATGTTTGAAGGCCAGCCAAAGGTGGGGAGCACGCGATGGCCAATTATCAATTGATGCTAGTAGTCCCTCTCATTTTTTGCACAACTATCTCCCTTCTATGCTTTCTTGACGAAACGTACTTGCAAGATTTGCATGCAGAGAGTCTAGATCATCAGTGGTCATGTATGCCAGATTTATTGATTGCAGGGGTTCCCGTTCGAGGGCTTTCACATGGAAGATGTGATGCTGCCCGAAGACGATGACATGGATATCCCCAGCGATGAGGACGATGAGGATGAGGAAGAAATCCAGACAGAGACTGGTTTTGGAAGCGTAGTCGGTGAGGGACTCTCAGCTCTTGCTCACAATCCTTTTTCTCATTGAATGTTCTCAGAACAATATACGATGCATGTTATGACAATCCCTGAGGCTGTTGTGCTGTGCAGTGGTGGACAACTTGCCACAAGTGCCTCCTGAGAAGTATGAGAAGCTGTCTGGCGTGGTGAAGAAAGTCATCAGCCAAGCAAAGGTCGTCATACGGGAAGGTGAGGCATGTTTGCAAAACAATTGCACATGGAGATGTTTTCGGTACGGAGCGGATTGGCAGACTCACTCGTGTTTGGCTTACACAGGGGGATTTTTCATGCCAGTGGATGAGGAGACAAAGTTGAGCAAGGGATTTGCCTTTGTGGAGTTCAACTCACCAGAGGTCAGTCAGCCAACTCTTACCGACAGGCTTTGCAGAAATGAGGCAATGCTGGGGGCACTGAGCAAATTTTGTGACATCGGGTCTGACTTCTGAGGCCATGCACACAGACTTGATTATTTTGGACGTTTTCTTGCAGGAGGCACTTGCTGTGAGGCAAGTTGTGAATGGTTTCAAGCTGGACAAGAGCCACACCTTTGCAGTGAACTTGTTCGACGAGATAGACAAATACATGCGGATACCAGACGTGTACGAGTCGCCTGAGGACAAGAAGTTTGAGCCAACAGTGAGTCCAGCCTCCCATCCATCGCGTTTGTGATGTTAATTGTCAGCTTCCTGGATGCACCATTGTACCACTGGCTTAGGACTGATCATGACTCTGCAAGGACAAATTTTGGACCACTAGGCCACTGAGATAATCTTTCTGGTGCCACTATTGCATGACATCCCCTGCAAGTCCAGACTCAGGAGCCAGAATTGGTGTCCGTGACGGGATTAGTCATTGAGCGTGTTTGTGCTCCAAAAACAGGAGAATCTTTGGACGTGGATGATGGACAAGCGGGGTCGCGACCAGTTTGTGGTGCGCTACGGCGACGAGACAGAGGTGCACTGGAACGATGCGCAGCGGGCTCAGGCAGAGGAGGTGTACAAGCGCTCCTTCTGGACGGAGTCCTTTGTGGTGTGGTCACCCCACGGCTCCTACCTGGCCACCGTGCATCGCCAGGGTGTCGCCATCTGGGGCGGGCCCTCCTTCCAGCGGCTGCACCGCTTCTCACATCCAAATGTGCGCTCTCTCTGTCTTGCTACTTGTGTGCTGCTTTCCTGAGCCTGTGCGACCTGTTTGCTGACTTGTATTGTGGCCCTTGTATTGAGGCTGTCTGGTTTCAGCGTGTGCTTCGGCAGCCATGCAAGACATGCGCCAATGGAGGAACTTTCTTCCAGAAACAGGTCTTCAATATATTGGTACCATCCGTCCACTGTAAATCAACGGAATGGTGGAGGTCTCATGGTGTTCATGTGCAGGTGAGATTAGTGGAGTTTAGCCCAGACGAGAAGTGCATCATCAGCTACAGCAGCAGGGAGCCCAGCAATCCCAATGAGAAGGCAGGCCTGCTGCTCAATGTGTATGACTGCGCCACCGGCCAGAGGCTGCGCTCGTTCGAGGGCAGCATTGACGACTATGCCGTCGGCTCGGCAGCCACCAGCGACGGCTCCCTCAAGTGGCCCATCTTCAAGTGGGCCGCCAACACGTGCGCGCCCTATACTCCTTGCATCTATTTTCTCCCTGTACTCTTCTCAACTTACATTCAGCAGAGCAGATCGCCTGCTAAGGACACTGGAGGGCTAATCTGAGGGAACTGTGAAATTACTGCAGTATCTGGTGTCGAGGAAGTGCAGCATGCAGCCGTAGTCAGGGAAACAGTTGGAACCCATTGAGGTTTGTGGGTTGGATCGTTGGCGATATCTATCGATGCTTCAGAAATAGAATGTTGAGTTGGGCATGTCGATCTCAAATTGGTGTCTGTAGCCAAATGACGCTTGGCACATTGCGTCTGTGAGGTGTGCTCTTGTGCGGCCGCAGGTTCATAGCGCGGCTGGGCAAGGGGTCGATCAGCGTGTACGAGCTGCCGGACATGGTGCTGCTAGACAAGAAGAGCCTGAAGCTGGAGGGCGTGCAGGACTTTGCCTGGTCCCCCAGCCAGCCCATCCTCTGCGCCTACCAGACCGAGCAGGCTGGCGGCAACCTCCCCGCACGCATCTCCCTCATCTCCTTCCCCGAGAAGCGCGAGCTCCGCCAGAAGAACCTCTTCTCCGTGTCAGGTGCGTCTCTGCGCCTGTTCCCCGCTGCGTGACGGACTGTATCCGAGTGTACCAACAAGATTGACCGATTTACTGCATGTGTCAGGGTGTTTGGGACAGTAATGGCCTTGAAGCAGGATGACCCCTATCAATATGGCTGATCTTTTGCGAAGTTGCTCAGAATAAGTGACCAGAGAATGGAAGCTGATCTTGCTGTGGTGTGCAGATGTGCGCCTGTTCTGGCACCCTCAGGGCGACTACCTGGCCGTGCAAGTGGACCGCTTCACAAAGACCCGCAAGTCGACCTTCACCGCCTTTGAGCTCTTCTCCGTCAAGGAGCGCGACATCCCCATGGAGGTCCGTCCTGCGCCCTGCTTCCTTACTTCGCTTGTATCCTATCTCTCCTGCACCATTATAACATCCAATATCAACTGTTGCAGCGCTAAACATACTTACACCCAGCGTAGGAGGCTAGGCGGCTAGGAAGGTTCCCCTGCCGCTCTGTTTGGCCTAGCTGGTTCTGGGTTCTCTGCGCTGGCTGAGTCAGCGGTGCATGCTGAGTCAGCTGTGGGGGGGTGCAGGTGCTGGAGCTGCCCAATAGGAACGACAAGATCGTGGACTTCCAGTGGGAGCCGCGGGGCAGCCGCTTTGCGGTGCTGCATGGGGAGGGTCCGCGGCCCAACCTGTCGCTGTACGCGATGCGCGACATGAAGACGAGCGCGCGCGGCGTGCAGCACATCACCACCCAGGCCGGCAAGCAGGCCAACTGCATCCACTGGTCGCCCCAGGCACGCCCCCATTTTCCCATCTTCTCTGCCCTAATGGCATCATACACATTCTCTTGTCTCTAGCCCATCCCGAACGACCTGCATCGTAGAGGGACCTCTCTTTATCCCATGCCACAGTTCATGGGAGGAGTGGGGAAGCATTTTTCTGGGCAGAGAGGGCAGAGGGGAGCTGTGCTTGGCAGTGTCTGCAGCTACGATTATTTGTAAAATGACAGAAAAATGTGATTGGATGTGTTTTGGTGGTGCAGGGGAAGTTCCTGGTGCTGGGCGGGCTGAAGGCGATGAATGGGCAGCTGGAGTTCTTCAGCGCGGACGATGGAGAGGTGATGAACGCGGCGGAGCACTTCATGTGCACCAACATTGAGTGGGACCCCACGGGGCGCTACGTTGCCACCTCCGTCACCCACATCCACCAGATGGAGAATGGCTTTAACATCTGGCTCTTCAACGGCACCCTCCTCTACCGGTGCGCGCCTCATACCTGGCCTGACTTCACCTGTGCAGGGCGTGTTACCATTTAGGACCTGTGGTCCCCTGCTCTTCAATTCTGTAATCTAGAGAAAGGGGACTTTGAACCTGTTTTAGTGTTAAGGTAGCTAGCCATAGGAAAAGACGGCGAGCAGCTGCATGTCTTTGGGCTGCTACCTGGGATGTCTTTGCAGTAGCTAATTGGCCAGTCTCCCCATAGCGTGCAAAGCAGCACGCCAAGCATGCAGCGACCCGAGTGGGGCAATTGGTGTGTCAGTTTCTGAAGCTGTACTGAGGCAGCTCTGTGTCACTACACAGGGTGCAGAGGGATCAGTTCTTCCAGTTCAGCTGGCGGCCGCGCGCGCCAACGCTGCTGAGCAAGGAGCAGGAGGCCGACGTCGTCAAGCGCCTCAAGGAGTTCTCCAAGCGCTACGACGAGGAAGACTCCAAGATCCTGGAAGAGGTGCGGCCCCCCGTCTTTTCATTTATGTTTTGCGCATCATATCAGGCGAACAAATGCAGTTCTGGGCATTCTGGGCATTAAGCTTGTCTTCTGTGCATCCTCCTGCAGTGGTGCTGCATGTTGCTCATGCAGGATGTGATGCAAATACTACTGTTGGGTTTTAATCGGATTGCCTCTTCAGTGTTCTGCCAGGCTTCAATGGCTCTGGCGGGTGGGGACTGGTATTTTCTAAGAGGAATTCTGACAAGTGGATGCTTGGGGTGCAGACGGATGTGGCGATTGTGGCGGAGCGGCAGAGGATGATGGAGGAATGGAAGGAGTGGTATGACACCAAGAGGGAGTGGCTGGAGTGGCACACGCAGGGCCTCAACCAGCTGCTGGGCGACCGGCTCACTGAGGGCGATTTCACTGTCGAGGAGGTGGAGACAGAACTCACCATTGGCACAGCTGAGGAAATCGTCAAGGCATGAGGTGCTTCGAGGGCCCCTTCGAGGGCCCCATCCGGGATGCGGGTGCTTGTGATGCGATGCGTTGTAAAATCACCATGTAAGCAGATTCAGTTAATTGTAAAGGTCACTAAATGAATGATTGTTACAATGCGAATCTAGCTGACATCAAGTGCATGGGAGTCTGGGGGCCTCGTGACTCGCGAGCGGATCCAGACCATCATGCACACTCATCGTGACGATGCACCAGATGATGCATGCCATGATGGCCGGCACTGATGACCACTCAGCTCATTTCAAGAAATTACTGCGGCACTGACAGTTAAATTTCTCAAAGAGCAATATGATCACGAGCGTCTTTGAATTGCCTTCCCTGCCTTGCAGTCAACAAGGTCAAACTTGAGGTCAAACTTAAGCTTGAGCAGCTACAGGTGTCGGAACCCCATCTAGGTTTCCACGAGAAAGCGCGCAAAACTCCGACACGTATACGCATCAGCGAACGATTGCACTTCGATACACTTCGAGAAACTTTCGGAGGCACTTCCAGCAAGCATCCATGGCCACGTCTTTGACGACGGGAAGCCTAATGCAAGGGCAGCTTGTTACAGGACGACATGGCGTCACTGGTTCTGTAGCATCCTTCAGATCAGTGAGGAATGTGCAGTCACATGGCCATCTCAAGGTGAAGAGGATTCAATAAAAAAATTGGCAGCAATTACGCTGCCGGATATATATACATCAGCACAATTTGCCTTACTTTGTGTCTTGATCTTCCAAACCCTTGTGTCTCCTGAGCACTATGGTCGTTACCTCAGGCTCATAGGTGACTCACGCAGATACTTGTGTATGCATAGGCAAACTATAGGAAAGCTTTAGGTCCATCGTGCAGCAGCACTGCAGCCGCAGGCTCTTACGATGTTACAGATCGGACCACGCTGAAGCGCTATGCCAAAAGGGCAGTGTACGATCGTGCAGTGGTGCATGCCATTCTAGACGAGGTAAAGACTCATGAGATCCAAGCACTACAGATCTATTTACTGCTTGAGCTTGAGTTGTTGTTGTGAAGTTGTTTTACCAAACCTCCACCACCATGCATTTCATGCGCAGGCATTTGTCTGCCATATTGGCTTCGTGGTCGATGGCCAGCCCTTCGTTATCCCCACAGGGTATGCACGTGATGGCGACGTCCTCTACTTCCATGGCTCAGTTGGGAGCAAGATGCTGCGCGCTTTGGAGTCCGGGGCAGGTGGGAGCACCCAGCAAGCGCTCTCCTGCCATTTTCCAGTAGATATGAACTGAGACCCATGTTGTTGTCACCTTAAATAGAGTAGCATGCTGACTTAAAGTGGTGTACTCGCAGATATCTGCGTCACTGTCACGTTGCTGGATGGCCTTGTGCTGGCACGGTCCCAATTCAACACTGACATGGTAAGGTCAAAGTGATTCAATCTTCTCTTGCCGCATGATGCTCTTGGGACCTTCAGGGAATGCCGGCTCTGCATGCTACTCTCGTGTGATGCTCAAGTGTTTTTGCAATCACTGTTGACGGGGGATGGCTTGCGCAGAATTACAGGTGCGTGGTGATTCTGGGGAAATCTCGGTCAGTGAGCGACCCTGAGGAGAAGGCTTCGGCGCTGCTCAAGCTGACGGAGCACATCATCCCCGGCCGCACGCAGCATGCGCGCGCAGCCAACGACCGGGAGCTGTCACAGACTGCCGTCCTAGCCATCGACCTCAATGAGGTCTCTGCAAAGGCAAGCGCGTGTGCCCACATAACATGCAGTCAATGTCAACCGCATGCAACCTGGAGCACTCAATGGATCACTGCGGCTGATGATTGTTAACTTGGCTGAGCAGCTATGGGCTGCACTGCGTTGGCAGGTGCCATAATCCTTGTTGCTTGACCACACATGATGCAATGTTCTGCATCTGTGCATCTGTTCATACACATGTGTCAACAATTTTCTGCCGGGGTGCTGCCAGGTGAGCGACAAGAATACAAACGACGATGATGAGGACTATGTGCTGCCAATCTGGGCAGGAAGGGTGCCGCTGAAGCTTGTGCCTGGCACCCCAGAGCCGGACCCGCGACTAGATCCGGCGTATGCAGATGACATTCCCGAGTACATCCTGCCATACAAGCGCCCCACAGAGAAAGTGTGAAAGGTTTGGGATGGCTGCTGCACTTGAACGTTTGAAACAAAGGTAGTGCAATACTATTCCAAATTTCTTGCCCTGCTCAATGCAGAGCCAGAGGCATATGAAGCAGGGTAACCATGATTCAGCATCTGATATTGATGATGAATGATGAGCTACCAACGACATGCTGCATGCTGTTCAATTTGAGACTCCTGCTCTCAAGCGTTGAGGCTCTCAAACCCGGCAAGGGCCTTGAGACCGGGGCTCGTACCGCTCCTGACAGGAGCCTCCATATATGCACCTTGCACGGGATCACAGTGTATTGAAAGAACAACGTGTTGAGGCCATTGCAAGTGTGTAACCAATGTAATGATGAGCATGATGCTGTTGACATTGGCATTATAGTTGGGGCCAATTAGAGGTCATCAGTGGAACAATTCTTGGGGTCCCCCCGTTTGCATGCATGCAGACTTTTGGCTGATTTCAGAAAGCTGCATTCCGTTTTGCAAATCTGGCTCCTCTCCTTTCATGTCTGCACATCTCTTGGTTTTATTCCAGCTCACATTTCATTTATATTCGCTGGTATTCAACATAGCACACTGTCCAAGGAAAATTGCAGTTGCGTCCGGCATTGATGTCGTAGGTGCTATTTTAGGTCCTGAGGATTGATCACTTGTGTCGTTTTTACTGTTGATGTACAAGTATTCTCTGAATAAGGCCGCTGGTCTTCCGTATAGCTCGTTAAGATGCACAAAGAGGAGTGTCCTCCAAGTATCGCCAACTTGGCCTTCAGGACTCTTCAGAAGCGCTTCGAATTGCCTTGTAAAAGCAGTATCAATATCGCCAGTCATCAGCAGCAAGCCTCTTGTTGTGGGAATTGGATGGCTGGGCTCCAAGGCGAGGCATTTTGACAAGTGATGACCCTCCATCGTTTGTTGTGTACATCGCACTGATGCTCGAAATTGACCTCTCACAGGTGATTATAGATCTTGAGGTGTGGACTTTTGTCTTGACGACAGTTCTTGCGTAAGCAGGTATATCGATCTTTGGAAAGATGTGGGGCAACCCACCCTGGGCATTAGGCCTCAGACAAGGTCGATCATGGTCCCTCCTCTTGGAGACAGGGCTGCCTCAGATTTTCTGATCCAGCTCAGGGATGCACAGGCACAGAGTCCCAGCCGGCCCATTGTGTTTCACATTTTCAGGTTGGTGCTCTTGTCCCAAGCACAAGCTTCTGTGGAGCTCTGAGGATACTTTGAAGGCAACCACAAATGTGGCGGCTGTGCTGACAGCAATGCAGGCTTCATATTCTTTGGCACCATGCTGCGCAAACTTGCACAACAGGACGAGGAGCTCTACTCCAAGGTACTGGGGAGGCCCTGCTCCATGAGAGATCTGGGCCGGCAGCCCGAAGTGCCCCTGGACATCCTGGATGCCACTGCTGGCATAATCTTGGATTCAGCACCTTCTCGCTTGACACCTGACATTGCTGCCAGGTAAATGCCAGCCTCACGGACAAGACAGCAAATGCTGGCATCTATAGTCTGCGCCATCAAAATTCAGAGCATGCTATCAACTTCCCCAAAAGGTACCGAGATGGGTACCGCAGGGGGTTCACAGCAGCTATCCTTGGAGAGCCCGCACAGGGCATTGAGTTGAGGCGCCCAGTTCTCACACAGGCCTCAAAGGTGGCCCTCCTGCCGGTGTTGGGCCTGCCAGTGATTTCCGCGCGCATTAGAGAGGTGACCTCCCTGCATCCAATCTAGCCCCTGGCACACCATGATGCAGTCCAAACCTCCTCAAAGCTCACACTGAGACGCGCAACACAAGAAGGGGCGTAGAATGACCAAGAACTGTTTGGCAACTGGAGCCACTTGCCACTCCAGGAACATTGGCCATTTTACAGTGCTGTGCTTTGGGGCTGCTGGGGATGAGATTGAGTGCAAGCCTTGCAATGTTATTGAACTGGCTGGATCTCCAGGTCTGGAACGCATGGGACAATGTGGCTCCAGTGCGGCCTCAGCTGTATCTATATTCTCCAGTCGATGCACTGATCCCTCCTGAAGAGGTTGCCAGATTCATGGAGCAACAGGTATAATGCTGAGGAGCAAATGTCTGGTAGAAAGCAGTGGGTGATTGAGGACTGTACAGAGGGTCTGGATCTATCTTGGAATTTCAGTGCGTTACAACAGTGCATTCCAATACGCCAACTTCTACGCTTTTACAACCATGACCACATGGTGCTGTTGCACCGCAGGCTGCAAGGGGAGTCACAGTGCACTCCAGAATGTTCCCCGACTCGCCGCACTGTGAGCACTACAGGGTCTACCCTGATGAGTACAGGGAAGAAGTAACAAAATTCATGGACGCTCTTTAATTCGTTCGTTTGATTCCAGAATGGAACCCAAGGCGTTTGCTGGGCACTTTATTGCTTCAAAATTGTTGGATAGGATCCAGACTCCGATCCCAGTGAATTAGCCTTCACGCCAGTTGTGCGCGCACTTCTCGCACTTGAAGAACAGCGTGGCAGGCTCATCTGCAGACCGCGTCTGCACTTCCATGAAGTATGCTGCCGTGTGGCCGCACTTTGGGCATGGCACTGCATTGAGCCACAGAATCATTCTCAGCATGCATGCCTAAAAATACAGAAGTTGGACATAGGCACGCTAGGGTCAATCGTGGTAAATGAGCTGGCCTTGTAATGCTCACTGCCGTGACCAGCACTTTACTGTAAGGGCTGAACTCACCATTTGTCTTTTGGACGTTCTTCCAAGCGTCCTCACCTCCAAGCACGTCATCGACCTCCTTCTTCTTTAGAGGGACAGCCCGTGTGATCTGCACAAAGCCGCCCCTTTTGTTCACACTCACCAACAACAAAATATTGTACTCTTGCATGATTGCCTGTAGAAGTGATAAGCACACGTGACAAGAATTGGTATTGCAATTTTCAGTGAATCATTTGAGTGGGATTACCTGTCTGTCAATGGCATAGACGTAGGGGCAGCACTGGCAGTAGAAGACTAGATCTCCTACTTCAGACGCTTTCACTGAAGTCCAAAACACCAAGTTTTCATGTCAAAACGCAAATGACCTTTCATACAAGTTAGATGTTGACAGCAGAATTACCGCAAGCATAGTAAAATTTGCACCTCACCAAATAGTAAATTTGCACAGGTGGGGCAGAAGGTGTCCGCTGCCATGGAATCTCGTTGATTTTATCATCTAGAAATCATGTCCAATGCCTCAAAGTCATTCAACTCATCTCTGTCTCCTGTGCTCTGACTGATGAAGCAGATGCCCTGGCACTGGAAAATTTTCTGCCACCTCAACGGTGTCTTGCCCACAATGAGGCTTGCAATTGTATCCGATCAGGAATTAATGCTCTAGGAATGAGGCGTACCAGTCGGAAGCATTGAAGTGGAGTTGCTACCACTTCAGCACATATGGGCTGATGACTCATGCCTAGTCAAATGATGACCATAGATACCCATACCCAGAGGGCATCTGGTCACATCGTACACATCAGTGATAAGATCTCATCTTACGCTTCTAAATACTGGCTCGATCGATTTTAAGGAGGGTCCTCACGGGCCTGCAGCAAGTGCATTCACTCTTTGCAAACACAATAATGTGGTGTTCTTGGGAATGAATTTGATCCCTACACGCCCTGAACATATTTAACAATCTTTATAATACGGCGACGGAAGATTGACAAGGACAGAGTTTGTCTGGAGAGACTGCACAAGATCCAATGAGTCTACTCTCAAAATCCATCGTGCAGGCTTTTGCTGAGAGTGTGGCTGTGGGAGATCTTGCCCCTGAAGCCGCAGATGCGCTGGGTCCACATTTGGAAGTCAGATTGCGGGAGATCATCCAGGTATTTTTCCTGGAACCAACGTGCTTTCTGTTCCCATTGGTTTCTGTTCTGTCTCTAACACTCCATATGTTGTGCTGCAGGATGCGTCAAAATTCATGCGGCACTCAAAGAGGCACACACTGTCCACGGAAGACATCAATAGCGCTCTTATCTTAAATCTGAAGGAGGTGATTGCTTCACTGCAGTTGGCCTGATTACAGCTCGGCATGACAATTCTCCTGTACCTGCTTTTTCATATTTTTGCACATTATCTGGTTGACTCCACCAATTCTGTCTGTGTGCAGCCAATATACGGCTATGGCAGCAAGGTCCCCGCCAGTTTCTCCACTGCACAGGGCCTGCGAGACACCTTCTTTGTCCAGGACCCCCTCTGCGACATCCAAGAGGTGAGACAGTCAATCCAGTGCGCTGTATATAACCCTGCAGCTCACATTTTGGTGTCCACACACTGTCACAATCTCTGCGCATTCAACTCCGAGCGCTGATGTAAAGGTGTTGCTGGCTGGATTGCAGGTGCTAGCGCAGCCGCTGCCCAGGTGTCCTGTGGAGGTGGGCACGCTGCCGCACTGGCTGGCCATCGAGGGCAAGCAGCCCGCCACTGCAGAGAACGCCGTCATCGAGCGCCGCAAACCAACCGCCAAGCGCACCAGGACTGCTGCTCAGCTAGACAGCACACCAGGCATGCAACCCTGCAAGAATTCCTCGTTCAAGATGTTCAGTCTTGTTTCTGGGCAGCCTGTTGAGATCCGCCCGGACCTATCTTAGTGAATGGTGCCCCAGTTTTGCAAGGTGGTTGGTCAAATGGAATTGATACATAGTCCAAAGAGTCTTGATTATGAATCCATACGTCCTATCTTGGTCGTCTATTCCATAGACAGTGCCATGTACAAGCTGCACTCCGCATGGTTAATATGAGCAGCGCACTCTTCATATGTCCTTGAATGATGGATGCTTGCGCAAGCAGGTACTGTCCCTGCAGCCTCATCAAGCGGCAGAGGCAGTGAAAAGGAGGAGCGTGCCGCACCGGTGAATGGTCCAGTCGAGCATGTGCTGTCCCAGGAGCTGCTGCTGTACCTGGACAGGGTCAAAGGCCTGCTGCAAGGTCAGCAATCAACCCTTCCTGCTCAATTCACTCTGTAAACAAGGCACAAGAATTTCAATTCTGCCTCGGATACCGTTCAGGATGATGCTGCATGCTTTAGCTTGGCAGCCCTGTGGGGCTCAACGGAAAGAAACTGTCTGGGTGATGCCTGCAGGCGATGGTATTGGCGGCCAGCATTTGGAGGTCGGCCTGCTCACCAGCCTCGCACTTGATCCTGGTGTGCTCCCCTGATGCCTCAGACTCTCGCCAAAATATTTGTCTTGTCAGCGTGCGCATGCACACCCTGCCTCTGCATTACCGAGCACAACCTGCCTGATAATAATGGGGTTGTTGCGCCTTCCCTTCTAAAGTAACACCATGATGCCGCACTGCATGTGTGAAATTGCACCTGGCTAAATCTCGATGGTTGTGGTGTGGCTGATCCAGGGCTGTCACCGCTGCTGCCGTACTTGGCGCAGCTTGTCTCCGAGGAGATCCAGAAGTCCCTTAAGTCCCTGCGCCGTCTGCGCCTGCTGCTCAAGGTACACCACCCCCGGTGCACTGACCCCTACTACTTTGATCATATCCTGGCAAACTAGTTGGGCACTTATTGTGCTGATCCCTTTTTGGAAAACTTCCACACGTCTATGCAGCTCAATGAGTGCCAATGCAGCTTGTCGTGCTATCATTACTGTAATCAATTTGTACCATGCCTGCTCTTGCAGCGGTGTCCATGGATGAATGATGAGCGCCCACTGCGGTGCAGGTGGTGAGGGCGCTACTGCAGAATGCCCACATGGCACTGGAGGGCCACCTGCACCAGCTCATTCCAGTAACGCTCACCTGCCTGGTGGCTAAAAATCTGGGGGGGTCCCCCGCGGAGGACCACTGGTCGCTACGGGACGCCGCAGCCGCTACGGTGGGTGCCGTAATCGCCCGTTACGGCGCTGACTACCCGGACGTGCAGACGCGCATCAGCCGCCAGCTGCTCACCGCCTTCCTGGACTCTGCCCGGCCCCTCGCCACCCACTATGGTGCGAGCCAGACCCGTCTTCGCATCCCTGTCCATCATGCCATATAATTACTTAATGTCCAGCTCGATCCCAGGGTCCAGACTTATCGACTATGGTGCTTTTCCCCACAGCCGCGACTGCCCCAGCGTTCGAGCTCCCTTGAACCCATACACAACCTAATGCTGTCATTCTGGTTCTTTAGCCCTCCTGGCATGGGGTTACCTGCTGGAGTGAGGCCCGTTTCCAGAAGGAACGGCGTAAGCATTGGTGGCGCCGTGCTCTCCCGATTCTGTGATCACCAAAAGTTTGCCTTCAAGGGGTGTATGTTTGTGCGCAGGGGCGGTGAGGGGTCTAGCAGCGATGGGCCCTAGGGTGGTGCGCCTGCTGCTGGTGCCCCACATGCCGGCCTACAGCGCCCTCCTGGACAAGGCGCTCACTGGCGGCCGCCCCAGCAGCGTCCGGCGGCTGGAGGCCGAGCGCGTCCGCTCTGCGCTTCTGTCCGCCTTCCGCCTGGCATGGTCAGCGCCCAATTTGCCTGGCAAAGTGGCTACCAAGTAGTAGGAATGTCCTTCCCCAAAAGATGTGACCACTGCTTGGCCAAGCTGTGAGCACAGCGTTGTGGTAGAGCTAACCACACAAGGTCTCCTTTAGGCAGATATTCTTGTAAAATGTGCTCGTGTGTGTTTCTTAATGCAGGACAGAGACATCTATGGCTCAGGCGGTGAGGTCGTATGGAGAGGCTGGCATGCGATTCAAGCGGCCTGCCCCAATAGAGCCGATACAAAAAGGAGCATCTGGCACTGCAGAGGACAAAGCAGATGTAGCAGCAGGCACTGCAGCCACAGAAGCAGAGGAGGCGAAGACCACAGGTGGGCACTCTTTACTTATTCCACCCGGTATCGCTTCCATCCATGATCATTTCAAGGTCCAAACCTACACATGCTTCTGTGCATGTGCAGGAAATGCTGAGGAAGGTAATGACCAAGCAGCCGCAAGCAGCGCAGCAGAAAATCCATCAACAGAGAAGCCCAGTGGGTCAAAGGAACAGGGGCCCATCGTGGCCCAAGCGGAAGAAGGGGCATCGGCTCAAGGGAGCATGCAATCAGCGCCCAATCGCTTTTTGCAGGGATCTGAAACATCTGCAGCTGCATTACTGGCAGCATACTCCACATTTGGTGATGCAGCACTGCCGTTTGTGCCTTTCGCACCTCTATTTGATGTACTTTTGTGATGTGGATTGGAGCAAGGCGCCCAGGTGGGATCCTGCAGGATCCTCTTGAGGGGTTTTGAGAGAGAGATGCATTTCATCTCTGTGAGCTAATTATGTGGCGCTGAATTGTTTAGATGCAACTTCGGAAAATTATGCTATGTAATGTTTGAAGGACAGAATCTGATCGTTCGAGTATCGTTTGGTGAGTGGTGTGTCGCGAGTGTATGCATACGAGTGTCCCTGCGCATCCTTACATGGAGATTCGCTGTGCAATGTGCACAGTTGTGACACATTATGTTGCGCAACCTACAATGTCAATGTCTGCTTCATACGTACTGCCTTGCTTCTACAAGCTTACCTGCTGCCTGCCTAGTACTAGCAAATTGCCTGCTATCAAGTCCTGTAGGTTCTGAAGCTGCAACTAATCACTGCCTACAGCAAATCACAATGTCCTCCAAGCAGAAGCTTCTGTCCAGGATCTCGTATTATCTTGGGCACCATATCACTGGAAAGCAAATCCCTGCTGTTGGACCTCTGGCATGCGGCAAGCCTGCACAGTACAATTGACATGTCAGAAAAATAATGTACTCGGTTCGCAAGCAAGCCTAACAAAGGTTACAATCTCCAAAACATTTTGTAAAATTGGACTGAGGAAGCACTTGACCATAAAGTACCTGGAGCTTGTCGAAGTAGTAACGGCAGCCCTCAAGGTCTCCATTGTTGTCCGACATGCAGTCAGCGAACGTCTTGGCGAAGTTTGAGCACGGCTCATTGGGCGCCTGGGCAATCTGCTCTGCCGCAGCCTGCACGCAAACCACATGCGTCACTTCCCTTGGGGCATCCCAGCGAACACTCACACCAACACAGCTGCAGCATCTCTTAGGCAGTAAAACAATCATCAGCAGCAGAACAGGGACTTTAGAGCACCCCACCAAATAAAAAGTGTGCAATTTGTCCACAGACACATCTCATGGCAGGAAGAGGAGGTGATTTTGACATGCAGGATGGGCCTCACCTGGGCCTGTGCTGGCTCGGGGTGACGGCTTCCAAGCACAGAGTCCACTGCGCGGTGAGCCAGTGCGCTTCCAGTGCCCAACGCCATACCTGATTTAATGCACGCTCTTGCAGTCAGAGAGCAATCACAATATTATCGATGAAGGGCACCGAAAGATTGCAATGACTAGCTGCTGAGAAGCGGGCAGTCCATTGTGAAGGGAAGTGTAATGGCAGCATAGTTGATCTGTGAGTGCGATGACTCACCCTGTGCCACCATCCCGCCGAGTCCAGAAAGCATTCCGCCGCCGCCGCCAGACGGTGCAGGTGGGGGAGGTGCTGCAGACACAAATAGAGCAGATTAGGTGCACAGCCTCAATGCCAATGATCAGGCATCCCGACGATGTCAGTCACTGCTGCTGCAACGTACTGGGACTCTGAAAATTGCTAAGGACACCACGACAGCTTGCTTGGATGATTATCCTTCATGAACGCGTCAGGTGAGTCTGGAGAAAATACGCGCCAGAGCGAGCTGCAGGAGGAGGAGCAGCTTGGGTGCTAGCTGGCCGGCGCGGTGGTGGTGACATGGGCCTCGGCGCAGGCCGAGCAGAACCTGTCAAGGCAGAAAGAGGGTGTGAGTGTCCTGGGCCTCGAAATTCCCGAAGATCTCTTCATTCAGGATAATGCCAGTAAATAAATCCTTTCACAACCATGCTACACCACAATCCCTGCACAGTAACAGGCGTGCATAGCACTGCACGAACTGGGCAAGTCCATCCATAGGGACAAGGGATGGGCCTCACGTCCACCACCCCGTCTAGGCATGTTGATCGGTGTCCAAGCAGCGACGACTCAAGCTATTGTTCAAAATCCGTGCTCTTGATGATCTGGGAAAGGCAAATTGTTTCGCAAGATGCCGTTTCTCTCGAAACATCTGTCGTGGCAAAGGATGGCCTGTCCTGGGGCGTTCCTTTGCTGGGTGGGGCAGGCGAGGGATCGATATATTGTGGTCTTTCATCAGAAATTTTTGCAAGCCACAGCGTTTGCGGGGTGACAGTCCGTTGTGCTTTTGACAAAGCTGACAGAGGCAGCGACTTGATCAGCGCAGTGTGGGGGACAAGTCTGAAGTTCTAGGTCAGTTGAGGGAGGCCCCTGCGAGGGCAATTAGAGGTGGGGCTTCTTAAATTCTTCAAAAAGATCACTTGAGAGGATTCGTGCGAGGTTTGGGGTCCTGTATGCGTGGCAGCAGGGTGCTTGCAGTGAGGATGGTGTACACAGGAGTTCTTGCCATTCGTAATTCAGAAAGTACAGGCCCTCTCTCAAGGGTTGTGATATATGATTAGGTTCCTGTTCCCAATCGTGCATCCATGAGCTGCAGCAGAGCAGAGGCAAGCATGGTTGTGAGAGCGCTGGTGGCTCTGCATGACTTTGCAAGAGAGACTACTGAGCTGCTCCTGCCATGTATGATGATGACAGGCGTCAGGACAGGGTTCGTGAGGGAAGATGTCGTCTTCAGCAGCAGCCTCGAGCTACTGGCGGGTAGCCGGCATGAGCTACCTCAAGTACTCCAACCTGTGCGCTGACATGCTGCGCTCCTCACTGAAGGAGCCAATGAAGACAAAGGCGAAGCTGCGGGAGGCCGTCTACTTCCGTGCAGCTGTTTGGAAGGATGGCAAGCCCGAAAAGCAAGGTGTGTTCTTTGAACCTATGACAGAGTATCTATGCTGAGCGCCTTTCAAGCGGGCAAGGTGCAGGATGTCTGATGCATGTGCGGGTTCAATGTGATTCTTTAAAATGCTGCATCTGTGTTTCGCAGTGATCACGGATCTCACGGATGCGGGACTGGAACAAGCAGTAAAATCCTGACCTATCAGCAGTCATGAGAGATAATTGACAGCATCTGAGTCAGGATTGCGAAAGGAAGATGGAAATTGATATCCCTTGGAGCACGCTGCTTCATTTGTGCTCAGGGTCATGTCAAAGAGAGACAAGAAGGTTATCTGGAATGATTAATTGGTGCAGCGCATAGCAAAACGGGAGGCCTCTTTGTTTTACAGAGTTTTATGGTCACAAGAGATCTCAGCTTGATCGACTGTAAAAGTGGTTCAACAACCAGTAATGCCTATCTGTTGGCCAATGATTGGTGGCATGTCATTCTCATCTTTTGAATGCTTGCAGCCGCTCATCAATTACTGCGATCTCATTCTCATCCAGAGAGACCTGTAGCGCGCCAATGTGATCCTTGACTTGCTCCACAGACTTCGCCCCTGGTATGGGAATTGCGCCTGCGCGGCACACTCAGTAACACTGTCAACTGACCCTCTAGATTATAATCTTGAGGGATTATAGCTTCATCCCATCGTTCGGTGCGATGTGGGCCAATATATGAGGAATGGATTTTGTGACAATTCTTGACAAAAGACTTGTCAAAAGCCAATTCACCTTGTCTCTCTCAAAACAATTCAACGTCCAAAAGACTTTTCCGTGACTGTGAGATCCTGCAGAACCTAGTTCCGAAGTTAGGTCGACAGCAACAAGGTACATTGGAGATAACGTGCGAAAGCAGGTTTAGCAGAAATGAAGCTTTCTGATCTAGATCCTGATGTGCTCAGCAACATCCTGCTGCTTCTGTGTCCAGAATCACTGGCATCTCTTTCGAGCACATCGAAATTTTTCCTAGAAAACTGTTCGAGAGATTATCTGTGGGAGCGATTGTGTAAACAACGATGGAAGATATGCAACAGTTTTATTGTAAGAAAAAACCCAGGTACGAAGTTATTAAATTGCTTGCAAGTGGATGTCACGGTATCGCCGTCGTGGATCAGGGCCATTGCTGTTCACCAGGTCGAGCACTAGGAGAAGGAAGCGAGCGTCCAGCTGAGAGCTTGCTGGAATGGAGATCTCTGTACGGGAGGCAGAACGGTTGGAGGGAACCACAATTTCAGGAGTGGGACATCCCACCAGATAAAGAAGGAGATTTCATATCAGCCCTGCACCCATTCATACCCAGCGACGTGCACTGGTCTTTACCAGGAGGAGAGGATCAGCATATAGCTGTCGGTTGTGCAGATAGCGTTCAGGTGAGATCAGGCTAAATGAGCACGTGCACGTGCATGTATGAAGTATTGTGCTGCTTGATCAACTGAGTGGCCACTGAGTGACCATGGTGTTCTGCTATTGCTGCCAGATTTGGCAGCTGAAGGAGAACACTCACCCCAAGCTAGTGCTGCGGAGCATGCGGCAGGAAGAAGACCACATTTTGCATTCGATTGCACCATTACCAGGGAACAGAATTGCTACCGGTTCGCATACTGGTGCAATCCACTTCTTCCATCCAAAGGATGGTGCCGAGCTGGAAGAAGGCGAGCTGCAATGCTCAACCATCCTGCAGGCCAGCACGTGAGTACTTTCAACTCCCCCATGTACCTTTGATAATTTTGAAGTCCTGACAAAGTGACAAATTTTGGCATATACATGCCTCCGGCAATTGCTAAACTGATTCAGTCCTCCTGAGAACGTGGAACATGCATGAGCATTCGGGCAATAATGGGCTTCTTGCGGATGACAGGGCTTCCTGTGTAGACATGCACTACTGCCCGGCGAACAAGAGGATGTATACAATGCACGATTGTACGTTCCACATGCTGACACCCATTGGTCAGCGCAATGTGCTGCAAGCCGTGGACGTGGAGTCGCAGACTGTGGTGGCCAGTGCGCATGAGTTCAGTGAGCAGTATGAGCTCATCTGCATGGCCCCCTTGGGCCAGTCAGCGGACTGGGGCAACGAGCTTGTGGCGGGAGCAGTGCACGGAAGTGAGAAACTTCCCAAGCTCACATCTGGGGGCTCATGCCTATCATTAGTAAATTCCAATAGTAATCCTGTTAGGACTGGGGTGCGTGGGTCCATCCAGGGGCCCCCTAATGTAGTCTTTAGTACCCCTGGGACCATCTGTTTGCAGCCTGATTTGAATTTTGTCAATTTGATGGCGCAGGTTTTTGCACCAAGTGCTACCACAGCGGCTTGCCTTCCTTGTGTCACCACAAGCCTGGCACATCCACGTCCGCTCTGTGTGTCTTTGATCTGCGATCTGGCGTTGATATGGTGAGGGCATCAACATGCACATGCACTGCTGACTGAAGAGCGATCTGCAATTACTTGAGTGACTTAATTGCTGAAAACTTAATTGCTGGAAACTGAATTACTAACGTCAAAGCTGGCATGCACACTGATTGTGTGCCTGCAGGTGCAGCGTTTTGGGACACACCACAGGAGCTTGTACCCTCACATCTGCTGCGCGCGGGGGACCTACATCTTCACCAGCCATGTAGGCAAGCCGCTGTGCGTCTACGACCGACGGTGTGCTTCAAGTGTTTGCCAGCTAGCATGCCATACTTGATTCTAACCAGTGCAATCACTCACTGACCTGGCATCTTGCAATGCAACAAACTAATGATGTTTCTTGATTGCTGCAATGTTGCATGCATAGCTGAAATGGTGAAGGCAGGCTTGCACTGCGTGACTGCGCCTCTGATCACACCTGCTTGCGCCAGCCCAAGAAATGTTCCTCTCTTTTCAAAGCTGCAAATTTTGAGCAAGTGACTGTTCTTTTTCTCAGGAGCATGAGCATGCCGGTGTGGGAAGAAGAGCAATTGGGCAATTACTCACACAAGTACCCTGAGAGCATGCCATTTCCCAAGCCAACAGAGCCCTCCGAACACAACGCCATGTATCTGGACATTGATGCGGGCGGTGACACTCTGATTGGCAGAGCAGCCAATGGTAATGCTTACTTACTCTGATGGAGCAGGGACCTTTCATTGCTTGTCAAAGTGACACATTACCAGGCATGGCTGAGTTGATAGCCAGCTTTTAAAGGCCCGCTATGCATGGGGCACAAAGATACATCTGCCCTGCTGAGATCAACCTTTCTCTTTCTCGTGAGCGTGGTGGTCCACAAGGTAAAAGTATATCATGTGTGGCTGGTCAGGCATGATGTGGCTGTGGGATTTGACGGCGACGTTGGGGTGGCAGTCACAGCCTGTTGGGGCCCATGGGCAGGGCTCCTGGCTGCACCGCTCAACCAGTGCCCCTTGGGAGGTGCTTTCCCTTCCCCTCTGCATTGCTCCTATCTATAACCCCTTTTCACGTTGAATAAGACCCTTGCCTGAATCCAGCTACTTTGGTTGAAATGGTGCAGGTAAAGACAGTAAAAGAAAAGGAAGGTGGCAATAATATGATTTCTGTATATGTCTATTTTGCGAAATCTCAGCAAAACATCTTGAGGCTGTCTCTGCATGCTATATGCAGGACGGCACCCGTTTTGGAGACTGGCCTACGCAATTAGGTGCATGGCCCTGTGATGGCCTGCCACAAACCCACATTCAGAGCGGGTCAGGCGGTCACCTGATTGGGCTGTGCACTAAACGGTCTGAGATGATTGGTTTGAATCCTTTTCCTCCTGAGCCTGAGGAGCTGTTCGAGTATGTTGCATGCGCCCGCTTGATCTGACTTGCAGATCAGAGGTAGCCTGTTGGCAAACCTATCAATGCCGCCCAAAGAACACACGAAGAACATAGGTTGAATTCCAGATATTAGGCAGTTGAGAGCTGTGCGAAGCTATGAATGTCATACATGTAGAACTTGTACAATCATCTCACCATTTACAATGCTCATACAACACTGCCGAAGAGCAGTGCTGATGTGGACTTGCCGCGTGGGAACTTCTCTCTGTTGTGAGAACATTGAATCTATAAGTCGAATTTGATGGTTGAACAACTTTGGCTTAACTTGCTGGCATCCAGAATCAGGTGAGTCTTAGCATTGTATGACAGGCAAGTGTATGCTTTCTAGTTTCAAGTCCTTGACAGAGAAACATTGGTCAATACTGGGGAACGCAAACAAGGTAGGCCTTGTAAATTCTAATCAGATATCCATGATCACACGGATGCTTGTGCAGACTTAGCCACCCCAGCCGTAACCCCGACAATTCCTCATAGATGGAAAGGTACATGCAAGTCTCTGATCTACGCGCGCAGTTATCTGATTCCAACTCATCGCAAACACTGCACTCTCACTCCCTCTCAAAGGCTCTTCCTGGGCGTCTACACCCTCTTCCTGCTGACAGGGCGCCGTGGCCTCTGTGGGAAGATATCTTCCACCAAGAGCATGCGTACCGCCAGTGCCAAGGGCACAAGCAGGTACGGCAGGTAGAAAAGAATCAGCTCTGTTCGACGGACACCCGCCTTTGCAGGAGTGAGCACAAGCTCACCCAAGATTGGCAGCAGGGTTGTTGCGGTGGAGACACCATACACTATTGCTGGCTGCCTGATCCATCTTTTGCCTGCTGCAAACGCGTATGCTCCTGCAGATCACAAGGTTCTGAGTCAGCTCCAAAGGCATCCAGCTTTATAGCATCGTGCACTGAGCAAGCGCACAGGAGTGGTGCCAAGAGAGGGAACTCACCAACAAAGAAGAATGGTAGTTGCAGCAATATCTCGTTCCACACCAGCACTCTGAACCATGATGGGCTGTCCTTCACCTGGACAGACACAGCAGAGTGAACACGCAAGGAATTGGAGCAGGCCATGTTTTGCAGCACCACGTGTGACCCTTCGTGCAGGGATGCAAGGGCCTCACCAATGGATCCCCGAATTGTTCAACATACCATTCCAGCATGTTGACAGCGCCATCAGCGTACCATGACCTCGGCAACACTGCACACAATTTCCACACTTCAGGCATCCATCAAAGGTGTCAAGGTGGCTCCAATGAACGGCCTACGTCGCGGTGCTTTACCTGATTGTGAATCGATAAAAATAGTGATTGGAATGTGTGTCAAGAAGAATATGAATATGAGGAGATCAAATGGCCGAGACAGCAAAGACTTTATCGCCATGAGGAGGTCTGATCTGCAAAATGTAAAATTATCTGCAGGCGGCAGGCGTATTGCCAAAAGGTAGATTATGAAGTGTTTCAAAAGACATTGACAATTCAAAGTCTGGTCACATGATGCCAGTCCCTCACTCCTTGGCAGAGTCTGCATGCTTTGATGAGTCATCATATTATATTTTTGCACGGGCCTTCGAGTTAAGTCCAAGGTAAATTTTTACATAGCCCAACTTTTTGCTGTAATGGTTTATTAAAGTCTCGTTTAATCTCACTTTGCACTTGACATGCATGTAATAAATGCGTTTTGAACATGAACAAAGCAATAGACCAGTTGATTGCGCTGCCAAGTTGGTCCCCCCTTATTCCCCCTACTAGTAGCGCTAGCAACTTGCATTGACTGTCTTGTCTAGCATTCCCTTCTGGATGCTTCTGATGAAGTTGCTCTGGACTGCAGACTTTGCAACCAATTGGAGGCCTTGTGCGCAGCCCAATGCTCTGAGCATGCACTGCAAAAGGAAGCCATCTGAGGCGTTATTTTGCATCAATCTGAGCCAGGTGCCACATTCCACTGACTTACACACTTGGAAAAATCACGAGGCATGTAGGAACCTACTGCATAGGGCCGTTGCTATTTTCATTGTCCCCAAGTACTTCTGGACAATCTCGACATAGTCTGAGACGTCCAGTCCTGCAGGTGATCTACAAAAGGATTCCTGCAATTCCCCGACACAGCCCTTGGAACATGGTTAAATCAAAAATCTGCGCCAAACAGGCGCCTGTCTAACCAGAAGCAGCACTCTTAACAAAGCTGTTGTGCTTTGGAAGGCTGTGAAGCAGCCACACTCTACTGCAATAAAAGCCATCAGGACTCTCCCTACTCCAACATCTCGCTGCAAAAACTGCACAAATCAAATACTTACGGTTGTATTAACAAAGGCGCCAAAACACTGTGCGCGACATCATGTTTGCATCACTGTCTGCTGGAAAGCTTTTTTGTGCTGATGCGGAAGATCACTCAGCACAGCAAACAAATGCCTCCCATCTACCTCGTTCATGGAATAGAGGGACCCATATGGATATCTGTCATAGCAGGATGGGTTCCCGGCATCTGGTCTGTAGTGTACAATGGGGAGTGAGCTGCATTGCATGGTATGTGCAGCATCAACCACACCAGAGATGTCCTTCAATGCTACATACAAATCACACTATTCCATGTCTACAAAGACTTGCTATCTACTGCTACACTATGACCACTGTTGCTACAGACTGCCAGACGTTTCCAATCCCATCTCCCAGTGTCTGTCAAACCCTCCAGGCCTTCCAACTTTTCATGTCCGAGAGATATTTGTAATATGACATTCAGCAAATCTTCATGCTGTGCTGCGCAGCGAGAGCATGCAAAACCAAAGTCATCCTCAAGGATGAAGCTGTGAGCTCTCAAGCTTCAATATCACCAATAGTGATGATTTATCATGACATCTGTATATGCTTAGTCAGCATGTAAAGGCCTCCTGCCTTTGCAGATCACTCCTGTGGAATGAATGGAATAAACAGGGCCCAGGCCTGGTGGATGGTGGTCTGGTGACCATCAAGTCAAATCAATATCTGATGTCTTTCTAGGGCAGACAAAGAATACCTGGTGGGGATGTTGTGAGGCTGCGATACTATTGGAGTGCGATCTGGTACAGATTTTGCTGTGCGAGACTTTTGGCTTCACAACACTCTAGTCAGCAGCCGATCGGAAAGCAGCACAATACGGATGATCACACCAAACTTGGTGCATGAAAGTGTTGATTGTCTCCCCTTAGAGTGAACCGCTGCGGCATGTGACTGATGCCAGCGCGCACCCCATTTGTCGGGACCTAGGTAGCAGAATTGATCAGATGTGAATCTTGCAGCAGGCCACCCTGCCCACTGCCCAGCTAGCAGAACAGGTACGGTGCCAAATCAAGGGCGCGCATGCATGCATGCGAGTGTCACGCCATGAGGTGGCAAAATACCTCATCAAGCCTTCGTTACTCCGCCGAATCTCTAGGAGCGCAGGAGCAAACCTGTCCCACACTTGTTATGGCCTACCCAAGTGCAAACCGAGCTGCAAAAACGGATGCTGCGGGCTCGAAACAACAGCAAATGCACAGACAGATGACGAATGGAGACTTGAGAGTATTGGCGCAAGTGCCCACATGCGGATCACTCTACTTACTGATGTTCCTACTCCATGGCGGACTGCGTGCGCGTGTCACTCCATGAATGCGCCAACTACCTCATTACCCCTCCATCATTAGTTACCCCTACCCCATGGCGGACTGCACGAGGCTGCACAGGTGGGAGTGGTCGTCCCAGACGATGACTCGCGCGACGACGCCGCCGTCCTCGTCGGAGTTGGATTCGCGCTCGCGGATCAGGCGTTCCAGGGCGTGCCCTGCGCGCGCGAGCACGGTGTCGGAGGGCGTCAGGGACAGCGCGGGGCAGAGATCGTTGGCGCCGTCGCCGCAGTACACGATGCGCTGGTAAGGGTGCTGCCGCCGCAGACTCTCCAGCTCCTGCCCCTGCAAGACCCGTCCAAGCCTCAGCGCACTGCTCCTCTTGCTAAAGACCACTGAACTACCGCAGAAATGTCAGATATGGCTCTCTTGACTGCCAGACCTGAAGCCCTGCTGTGTCAGAAGGTGGGGCAGACGGTCCAACTAGAAGGCAATCTGGTCCTGCAGAATGTATTCTCTGCTGATCGGGTGGGCACAGCTTAAAATATGCATTGAAGTACCAAGAAGCCCAGGCGTGCCTTGCAGAGGTTGGCGGGGCAGAGCTTGCAGCCGTGGCTCTCGCCGGCGTCGTAGGGGAAGCGCGGGTGCACTGTCAGCCGGTGGCTTGCCGGCCGCAGCCTCGCCGGTTGCGCGAACGGCGCTGCACCGTCGGCCTTGGAGCCCGGCGAGTTGTAGGCGCCCGGAGCGTCGGCCGGCTCGCTGAGATCCATGGCCGAGTCGCTGGCGATTCGCTCAAAGGTGGTCGTGTTTGTGATCACCTCCTTCACCAGCGAGTTCACCTTGGCACCTGAAGCATGCACACACCAGTGAGACCCAGCAGATTCAATCCCACTCGCATAAAGCTTCACCGCAGCCCGTAGCTCTTCATAACCCTCACACAAACGGAGAAATTGGGAAGCGGGAGCAAGCCAAAAATCCTAGAAGACCTCCCAGGACAGCATGCACGGAATGCCGGCCAAAACAGGGCCGAGGGTGGCACTGCTGGAAACAGCTGGGTGGCAACATTGCCTCGGGACTGGCTAGGGCAGGCATGGCCGCCACTCATCACCAGCATCACAAGAAGTCAAGACAGAAAGGCGGCGGACCAGTGAGCATGTGGCCGATGAAGAGCGAGTTGCAGTCTGACAGGATGCGGACGTCAATGCCGGCGCGCCCCGCCCACTGCAGCAGCCGCAGCGACCCGAGCGGCATCTCTCCGCCCATGCGCCGCAGCGTGGCCAGGATTCTGTCGCGCGCGACGCCGCGGCGTGCCATCTCCGCCAGCACAGTATTAGTCATCGGCACGAAGTTGGCCGGCATATCGATCGACGTCAGCATCGGGGCCAGCTCGGGCGCCAGCTCCTCCACCAGCCGCTCGCCTGATCACACGTGCCACACAGCATTAGTCACATGATTAGTAACATCACTATGCACACTGAAACTAACGCTGTGAGCTGCATGTTACCAATCTCAGTCACCGCATGGGCTTTGCATGCAGCAGAGGGATCTAAGGTTCCATGGGCACGCACGCTAGCATTGTTATAGACTACCAATCCACAACCTGCTCGGTGTGGACGCAGAACCACCTCACGGGTATGTGGATTCCAAGGCACATTCTCAACTTGAAAAAGACTTACCAGGAACATGCAAGCCCAGCAGGTATCCTCCATTGACCAGCAAACAGAACATGGACAGGCAACCAACCTTCTGTCCTTAGCACTTCAGTCACGGAAGGGAGTTTGAATCAGGTTTATTTGAACACCAATTGAGGATGTCAATTGATGCATGCACCACAAGCAAGAGGCAGCAGTGCATAAGGCTCACCAGCGTCATAGTCGGTGAGGGTCTTGTCGAAGTCGAGCAGCAGGAGTGTGGAGGAGGATGCGCGGTGGCGCAGGGCCAGCAGATCGCTGGAGCTGGGTGAGGTGGGAGGGCGCGCCGCCACAGACAGGCGCCGCTGCTTCGCCGCAGCCGCTGCCTTGGCCGACACCGGCGCCGGCGCCAGCGCGCTCACACCCTGCAGTTTCAAGCCGGCATCATTAAGGATATACACGTCACATGGCAATATTTATATTTTGATATGGCGACCAGACGCGTTGGCACAGCATCATAGGAGACCTTGCGAACCAGACATGACCGTCTTCAGATAATCAGGCACAATCTCAGCCTGCCCCTCATGCACTTGGGCAATGCATGTGCTGCTCGCGTGGTTGGCTGCTGCTGAGCGAGTCAACAGCAATCTTCAAGATTTTTAAAGCAATAGCAAATTTATGCTTTCAATGGAGGAGAAAGTGTTCGTTTATGAATAGGGACTTTACTGACCTGGGAGAGGAACCAGCGGGGCATGTCAAAGCGGCGGTGCAGCACCGGCCGCACATCGGCGGTGGTGGACAGCGCCTGCAGCAGCGGCAGAATCGCCTCCGTCAGCACCCGGTCGTCCACGTCTCCCCTGCATAGCACAATTCAACCTGTAAATCCCCTGTCGTCTTAAAAGAAAAGTTGCAAGCCAATTTGGCTTGTACCACTGGAGGAGACACCCATGCAAGACCTGAGGGATCCAGCTTCACCAGGATGATCAGTCTTGGGCGGCTCTTCCTCTGTGCATCTTTGAAGGAAATCTCCCCAACAAATGCACAAAGCAAGAAGTACCAGTACAAAACATCATGCAGTTTGGCAATCAGAATAGTACCACCTCCCTTTTCCCACCCACCTTTTAATAATGAAATTAAAGCAGCTTGGTACGACAGTATAGAGCAATGTATGCGGCTTATGAGGCGGGATCGTGCCTGAAGTTGAAGATGGGGATGCCATTGTCAGGCTGTCGCAGGAACGCCAGCGGAGTGTCGTCCACAAGCACAGTCCGCCGCAAGTCGCGCCCCAACCGCGACAGGTCCTGCGCACACAGCCACCACAGCAACATGACAATGTGCACCAGCGAATGATTGATGCCGCATGCATACTTCCTTCCAAGCAATTGATTTGTCAGGCACTCCCATGCTGCATGCAACCTCCTGCTGCTGCCTATATAAGCGTCATGCTTGCAAGGACAGGCAGCAAGCAGCTTGGGGAAGCCATCCAATCAAAGACTTGGCCTCGCTGCTGTTTTTGCACTTTGCTCTGTGAGATGCAGGTTATCTGCAGTGCCGGGGCTAAAGTCAGCGCACCTTGAGGCAGGGGTAGGCGGAGCATGCGACTGTGGCCGGGCGGTACAGCCGGTACTCGAAGACACCGTTGTAGCGGCGGTCCAGCTCGTCCAGAATGGGCTTGGCATAATCCTCCAGGCCGGCCGTGAATAGCACAACCTCTGCGCGCATGCATGCAAATTTGCAACTCAGCATGCATGCTGCAATCTTGAATTTTGCAAAATACCACGCAAGAGAAGTGCACCGAGACCAAATGGTGCAAATTGTCCAGCATCTTTTTCAGTGAAGCAGCGTGCGCTGCAGTATTTCTTGACAAGTCGGACTTGGGGCCATGGCGGCAAAGAGGTCGACTGAAGACTCGGGCCACCAGAGTGCAACTTTTGATCATTGGCATTGCATGCCCAAATAGTGAAGGACATTGCACATAGAAGTGTATTCCTCTGCTCATTAGTAAGCAGATGACCTCTAGATGGGGCACCCTATCAGAGCATGCAAAGCAGGATGCTTAAAAGGCCTGGCTCGGGTGAAGGGGCACAGGAGAAGATGCCACACCGGCAAACTTGCAGAGCTGGTCAAAGAAGGCGGTGAGTCCCGGGCGCTCGACCACAAACACGCCGTTAGGATTGAGGCGGCCGCCGCGGCCGACGATGTAAGAGGTGGATCCGGCCGGCAGCACGGGCGCGCGTCGCGGCGTGAAGCTGCTCAGCAGCGTCCCGTCTAGATCAAGCACCACCGTCAACCGCCCAGCATGCTCCGGCTTCTGCAGCAACACGCACAACGGTTGGTGACCCACTGCTTGTTTGTTGGTCGCACACTGAGAGGCTTGCAGCACTGCAACACCTTGCTGCCAAAAATATATTTACGTTAGGTTGATTCTCAAGTTTCTGTGTCCACAAAGGAATGCATGACACAACAATGTCATCACAATGCAAATATGATGCAATCGAAGCTACTGGTCTATGCAGATGTTTCCTGCATGAACTCCGGCAGTAACACATGCGTTGAAAGACCTTCCCTGACACTATAATGAAGGCGAGAGAGGTTTGGTGTTGTGCAGTGCACCTGGGGAGGCAGCAGGGGAGGCTCGCCGTCGTTCTTCTTGTGGGCAGCGGCTGATGTCACCGACTCGCTGATCTCTTCCTCCCTCCTGCGCCGCTCCTCTGCCTCCACCACACTCGCCAGCAAACCACCTACACCAATTTACCAAATTAGGACAAAAGGTGCAAAACATGCAAGGCAGTGTGAGCGCCAAGGAGCAAGAAAGGGCTGCCTCGCGTTTTGGATGCAATGCTTGACATACAGGACACCATCATCTCAGCTTGCACCTCTCGTTTCAAAGCCACGCCATGAATGACAGCACGCATCGCCTGCCAAAGAATTGGATGGTGCCAGGAACTGCCATTTGTTCTGCAATTTACAATGGTTAAGGTAGACAAATAGAGTCTAAGCGTGCAAGCGCAGTGTGATAGGAGCATAATTCAAATGAGAGCGGCAAAGCATGCACAGTGAAGTTGCAAGAAATCACCAGCGAGATCGGAGGGCTTGGAGGGCTCAATGATCATGTCCTGCCTGGTCTCAGGGCACAAGATTGCCACGCTGTTCACCGTCACCGCGCTCCACTTATGCCCCTCAGCCCTGTGCACGGCACACCTTGTCAATCTCCATTTCCTTGCATGCATGCATGCATTGAGACTGTTCTAAACTACAGCAAGAATACAGATGCACCTGCCGCAGATGCTGCTCACAATGCCAACAAGCGACATGCATACATGCTGGTGCAAACAACACCCAGCGGCCCATTCGCAAGTTTCACAAATGCCAGGCAAGCTTGCATGTCGGAGACCAGACAGGCGTTGGCAGAGCAGTACATCTATACTGGGCCAGAGGTGTCTTGCATGTTGCAGACATTGCAAAAAACATGAGTCAGCCCTAACATGGCGCAATTGGGAGCATTTGCACAAAGTCAACGCCGCTGTGGCCGTAGGCAACGCCGCGCTAGCCAGGTACTGCTTAAAATTTTAGCCAAGAGCGAATGCCAGACATGCAAGGCAGTGCGTCAACAAGTAACAGTGCAAGCAGAAACAGGCAGCCCATCCATATCTCCCAGATTCAGGCTAGCCATGTTTGGCAACCAGACCGGGTTGGGCAGAGCAGTGGAATTCGGTGAAGCACCTGGCTAGGGCGGCGTTGACTTTGTCGGCGCTGCCCGGCGGCGGCAGGTCAAGTGAGTCATCCCGCGCGATCAGCTTGTCGGCTGCGCGCTTCGCCGCCGCGATGAGCGACGCGCTCGGCTGCTCGGTGCTGGTCTGCGACGGCGTCATGCGCTGCTGCAGATCCTTTGTGAAGCGGTCCAGGTGGGGGTCCACCTGCAAGGGACCACCAAATTTGAACATCCAGTAATCAGCCCTTGTGGGGCACTAGACACAATCACATTGGAGGTCCTTGGTGGGGGTCACAGTGCAATGTAAATCAAAGCCCTCTGGAGTGCTGATAAAAATCCCCGGCCGCACGCATTGCAAGTTAAATGGAGGGGACACTGTGCAAAAGCAGGCAAGAATTTGTGAAACAGCAGCACAGGCAACTGCACCAGACTGCCTGGGAAGGACTGCTGCCTCTGAGACAACAGACAGCACAAGAGGAAGGGGCGTAGGGGTCAATTTCACCTGCAGGCGGTCAAGGTCAAGGACATGTGCCTTCCTGCACACTGGGCAGTTGTAGGTGGCCACCGTGGAGGCCGCCGAGTCCTCAAACGCCCCGGTAGCCACTGCCACCTTCCCGCACTCTCTGCTTGCATCCCCTGTTTCTGTGCTTGTGCTGCTGCCGCCTGCCGCATGCACAAACCTCCAACGTCAATATGTAGCATGCAGAGATTGAGCAAGCAACATTTTAAAGACGGATCACACATTAAGAGTGTGAGACACAGATCAAGATGACATGGCGGGTGCATCTGCAAGCAAGATTGCTCAGCTACAGCATGATCGTGGAAGTGTGAAATAATGGAGTCCAAAAATTCACAAACTAGCCCAGCTCGCAGGAAATAGGGCACCTCTTGAGCGGAGGGTAGTGGCGCAGTGGGAGAGCAAGCAGCCCCAGCAGAAGCGGTGGGCACATGTGAGCACGACCGGGTTGTGCAGCAGGCTCAAGCAAATGGGGCAGTCATACTCCGCCTGCAGCTCATTCGCCGGCGGCCGAGGCTCCAATCCCTGGTTTCCAACACAACACACCTGTGTCACGTGCTGCATATGCCATGCCATGCGATGCCATGCCATGCCGCGCCACTGACCAAAGAAAAGCTGGCCAGTGTGCGGCCGTGCAACCCCAAGCATACTCTGCCCCCTCCATTCAATCCATGCTCAGACACACTGATTTATAGCTGGCTGTATGCTCCATAAGTAATGCGATATGTTGGCAAGCACCCACCCAGCATACTCAGGACAAATGCAACTAATGCTCCCAAAGGATGAGCAGAGCACAGGGGGACTCCATGGCTGGTGCCCACCTGCAGCAGGATCTCTGCCTGCGTGGAGAGCGCGGCCAGCTTTGGCGAGGTGTAGAAGTGCTGCTCGTTCAGTAGGTCCAGCGCGCATAGGGGCTTCAGGCTGCCCGCGCCCAGCCTGGCGCCCAGGTGGCGGTTGCGCTTCTTCACTGCCTTGATGACCGCGATGTAGTTCAGCACCGCGTACTTTCGCACGTCCGTCAGTTCTGTGCGCAGCGCGTGCAGCGCCCCGCTGTGAGGGCTGTGCCGGACTGCCTCCATCATTGCCTGCACCACACCATTGCTATTTACTATCATTACACGGTGTGCCTGCCACAGGCAAGGTGCGATTGCATTTAAGGCCCACACCACTAAATCTTTTCCCTCCTTTGGGCTGTCTGGCATGTCCTCAAGGCTGCACTGTGCAGCTGAGCTTCTCCTGCCAGGAAGCAATTCTGCGCAGCCTGCCTGGAGGGGTATTTTCTGCATCCCCCTTGTCCCCATCATATTCTCTTGCTGTGTTCAAAGGGCCATGTGCATGTGGGAAGAGTGACCCACCTCAAGCTCGTTCTCTTTTCCGACATAGAAAGTGCTGATCTCAAGGAGCTCCTGCCGAAGAACTTTCTCGAAGTGGCTGCCGGAGCGATCTGAGAAACACAAGGAACAAGTCAAACACTCATGACCAGACATGGGTGTCATACCTATAAAGAGGATCTCATCTAAAGACGAGAAGGATACATTAACAAAGACGCCAATAAGAATGCACTTGTTATGTTCGAGTCATAAAATTTTGCTGCACCCACCATTTGCAAGAACGTCCTGCTGAACTGCTCGTTTGCAAGATTTGTAGTCCAAGTAGTGCGGGCGCCAGCGGCGTGCTGCTTCTGCTGCAAGCCGCTTGCCGAACTTCATTCTCGATCCTCACAGCACCTGTACACCAGCCCAGCGGTCATGTTACGGACTGGACTGCTAAATGTTCGGGCAATCCGCGAGAATCCCGCTTTCGCAGCACTTCCTCCCTATAATTGACAGGTCCCTCAGTCTACCAGAGGATCTCGATATAGATTTCTACAAGGACAGACATGTGTTGACTTTCACGCGGATTCCAGTGACTGAGCCGGCGGAGATGTCACCGTGAACTTCAAGCAGAACTGAATGCCGACGACGGAATCAGCAGTTGACAACTCACCTTTCAGCTGCTATGCTTTCTTTGCAAGATGGTAGGTTGTACGTCACGGATTCCGATGCTAATGCAAGATAACATCTACTCCTCTAGCCACAGCCTGCAAAGTCTACGGCTGTGTGTGAAGTGGGACGGAATATTCCCTCGATGATCCAAATAAAGGTGAAAGTGCAAGAAATGCAGAATTCATATTTTCATCTCAAGCGACCGTCAACCCAAGCATCACTACGTACACGCGCACCTTGCCACAGAACACTTTATAGGCCATCTCCGATCGTTAGCAGTCACGTCTTTCTGCGTCCCAGCGAGATCCTCTGCTCGCGGGACGCTGCCTCCTGGTCCCCCAGTTACCTTCAAATCGGTTTTAATGTCGATCAAAGCGAATTTCAAGCTGGACCTCGGTCCCCAGGCAGGCTCATTCTTGGAAGAAGGAATTGCAGGTTTGCATGCATGACGTTATCCCACGTGGCACTTTAATCATGAAAAGTCACCCCCATAACAAATCCAAATTGCCATCCAGGGGTGAAGCTGATGAGGGAATGGAAGACATTTGTCCCAACTCATGCATCAGAAACATTGCTTGATGAGACTGTAAATCCGCGGCGTTGTCGAGCAGATCGGTAGGTTGCTGTGGCCCACAGCCTGTGGGCTATAGGGCACGGCCGATGCTTGGGCTATGATCCAGACTTGATTAAACCGAATAGGATACAGCCAGCTTTTTTGGCTGCTGTTCCAATTCATGCAACCAACAAAAACTCTGCGTCCCACGCGTCGTTCTATGTGATCCGTTCATCTGATGCCGTGAAAGGCAGCTCGGCGCTTAGACTCACTCCCAGGAAAGTAGGATATGGCCACCATGAACCCCAAGGTATCAATAAAGGCGCAGAGCCCAGAGAAAGTGCCATACATGGCGCCTTCACACAGCGGTGTAGCAGCTGGCGCTCTGTCTGCCGCTGGAATGTCGTCCCGGGTGAGTCGCAGGGTGGACGTCAGCCCAGAGCATTTGCAGCCGCTGCCAGACGATGTGGAGGTGAGGCTTGAAATGACGGAACCGGCGTTCTCGAGGGATTGGTTCCAGCACTTCAGAGTATTGTTGCTGCTGGCAAGGCCGACGAGATTACCCGAGATACAAGTTCCAGAGATCGTATGCTGTGCCTGACAGGCGGGATCCACGAGTGGCGCTCAAATAGAAGGGGAGGTTGGCACCCTCATGGTGGGCGTCAAGCTGCAGATGTCAGAAGTGCTCATCGCATGGCTTGCAGTTATTGTCATGACGCTGTCCGCCATCCTGTCTCTTCTGGGCACCTTGATCCTGTCCTATTTTAACCAACAGGTACGCTTTTTTTGACGAGTCTGGACTGTGCAGCTGCGAGTCCTGCCCATTGCATGAGTGGCTGTGCTCCTACATGTGCAGGTCAAAATGCTCTGCACCAAATGGACCCAAATGGACCCATATGATATCAGTGGTTTTTAAAGCTTTATTCAACACAGTTGTTTCCAACACCGCATCGTGTGTGCTGGTTGCAGATCTCTGTGAGCATTGGCATGACAGATGCTCAGTACGGCATGCTGACCGGATATGCTTACTACCTGCTCTTCAGCATAGCCATGACCGCTCAAGGCTACTGCATCGATAGGTACTCGCTCAATCGCGTCTATGTGGTTGGCTTTGGGGGATTGCTGGGTGGAGCAGCCCTGCTTATACAGGTGCGAGCCCAGTCTCTTGAGATGTCCTGGGAAGCAATGCATGTTGGCCATGTCTTTCTCCTGCTCAACAAGCGCTCACTGATCGAAGGCATGCACAACAAGCTTTTGTCTCCTGAAGCTTGATTGTTTTTGGGGGGTGCTGTGCGCAGGGCTTTGCAACAAGCTTCACCATGATGCTGATAGGGATGGTGCTGAGCGCTGTTGGTGGCTCAGTGTTTGCCATCCTCCCAATCCCCATCCTCTCAGACATCCTGCCACCAGAGCAGCTCAGGTGCGGCCTCTCACACTGTCTTGGGGTTTCCTTGATGAGACAAATGTCGCCAAGCCGCTTAACCCCAGAAGCAAAGTTTGTGGAGCCCCAAGAGCACAATTTGAGCAAATTTTAATGCAACCACAGGCATTTGAGAGCAGGTGTCTGAGTTGTACGATCTTCCAGTGCTGCTTCATTCCTAGCATCATTCGCTAATGGGGCAAATGCTGGCAACGCAGCTTTCAATGCTAATGTTTGACCGATTCAGACTTCAAAAAGTGTTCAATCGTGGCGCGCAGCTTTGCGGGCGCGATTTTCAGCTGCGCAGCGTACCTTGCCGAGGCGTTAGCTGGCAACCTGGCGTTTGTGTGCGACAAGAGGGGCATCAGCTGGCGGTGGGCGGTCGTGTCTCTGGGGATCGGCTGCGTCGCGGCCGCGCTGGCAACCTTTGCTTTTATCAGAGAGCCGCCAGTCGGCCGTTTCATTGTGAAGAAGGAGGTGTGGCGCCCGCATGCTTGACTGATGTGGCATGGCGTGCATGCCATGCCCTTTGCATGTATCGTGACCGCTTGGAAAGCCATGACAGAAAAGCTGACAACATGGAGGTCAATTTGGCTGGTGCCACAGCCTAACTGCTGGAAGAAAGGCAGGTGCATGACAAAAGTGCCTGAGCCATTGTCCTGCATGGCTCAATGGTGTGAGAAGCAATTTGGGAGGGGCTGAATGATGTGGTACATTGCAGGGCAAGGACAAGCCGCAGAAGTCAGACTTCACCATCAAGCAGACAGTCACCTACATGGCGTCCATGTCATCCATGTGGATCCTCACCATTGCCACAGGTGAGCACCACTTACCACTATTTAAATCTAGCACTCTGTGTGCATAGGCCACGTCATGGACAAGGAAGTGTCAAGGAAGTGTCCCTTGATAATCGCTGCGCGCGTGCAGGTCTGAGGCTCCTTCCGCTGGACCTCAGTGGGGCCTACATGCCAAGCTACTACAGCGCGCTGTACCCCAGCCAGACCACAGTGTTCACAGCCATGGCCAGCATTGTGGGCATCTGTGGACTGCTAGCCTCTTTCATGTGAGCCCTTCCTTGCAATCTTTGGACCGCATGAACGCTAAATTGCCGGTTCATGCGCGATGTCCCTATAGCTATTTCATGTACCGGTCATCTGTGAAACCACTGAAGAGCTTCTTCATGAGCTGGGAGTTTATGAGCATGAAGCTGAAATACACCTCATCCTCCTGATACAGACACAGAGTGGTGAATGGTATCGATTTGACATGATTGCATTTTGCTGCTGCAGATATGGTGCAGTGTGCCAGCGCTTCTACGTCAGGCTGCCCACAATCTCCCTGTACACGACAGCGATTGGGGCGATCATCGCTTCAGGCTTTGTCAGCATGACCGTCTGCTCGCGCGCGATCGCAGGCGGAGATCAAGACAAAGGGTGCGCTGCCTTGCCGTCTTTATATCACACTTGTGACTGGGATCAAGCAACTGAGTGACACCCAGAAGCCTTGTCTGGTGTCCTGGATCTCTGTTCAGCGTACACTGCAACACTGTGTCTGGAATTCACGTTCAGTGCTGCCTGATCTGGGCGTTTTCTGCACATCCATGTATGCCCTTGTGGACATTTGGCTGTGCATGAGATCAATCCTGCGGTGCAGACTTTTGCAGCGTCGCTTCAATATACACACCCTCCCAGACCTTTGCTTATTCTGGTGACTGCAATCCCTCATGGTCACCTTGCGGTTCTCTGCCTACTGAGTTGACTGCATCGGCTGCAGGTACGGCATAGCCCTTACGGGCATGTCACTGGCGGTGCTGATTGGGGAGGGGTGGCAGGGGCCGCTGACTGTGATGCTGACGCTGGCGCTGCCGCCTGACATCAAAAGTTTTGCCATCTCCCTCTGGTCCGGCTTAACCCAGCTCATCGGGCCTGCCACCAGCGTCCTCTTTGGCATCTACCTCACGGTGATCCACCCCCGCCCTCTCCGCACCCATGCAGATCTGACCGGCAGTGTATCTCTCCCCTCTGTTGTCTGTCTACCTTGTTTTTGACATGAACGTTTCCATGCCATCTGTTGGAAATGATCTATCAAACAGCGGTGTCAATAGTTTCCTTGTCTCTTTTGGCTCTGCCAGATATCTATCACCTGCAGTCAACTGTGCAAAACAGAGTGAATATGGTAGGGCTGCGCATGTGGAGGCTGCCATGATGATTTCTGACATGTGCGCTTGCCATGCAGATTGGCGGCTGGAAAAAGGGAACGCCAGAGTACATTCGCCCAGCGCGCATTTTCATGCTGGCCGCCATGCTGGGCTCCTACCTGTCTGCTGCCGCATTGTACATTTCGGCCATCGGCGCCGTCAAACGCGACATCGCCAAACGCGAAGCTTTGGCGCGCACCGGCGGCCCGGCTCAGGTGTGTTGCCTTATTAGTGTAATAAAATACTAAGTGGGTCCAGATTAGTAATCCAAAAGTTAGTTTGGGGGGCGCTGCCTCCCCGCCATTACAAAGTGGGCTCCAGTGGGTGGCCGATCACCATAAATGATTCGGGTTCCGGTTGCTAGTAGCAAGCACGGCGTGCTACCAGCCTCCCAATTATGGGGACTGTGGCTATGCTCTTGGTCACGCCATGATGCTGTGTTACATTGAAAGGTTCTGTCTCTTGCAGCAGTTGCGAGGCTGGTAATTGCAGCAAATGACTGCCCAGACAGACCACTATCTCTATGCCTGCACTTCAGCAAGCAGATTGTGCATCTGTGTGCTGGCCTTTGTGGCAGCCCATGGCGCCTGTGCTGGCAATACTGTTCTGTGCTGTCAGAGGTCATTCAAAGCTGGGACGAAAAAAATGTGTGGGTTCTTGGCGCAGATCACGCTTTCACCGCGGCGCAAAATGGCCTTCATTGTTGGGTCGACAGTCCTTGTAGTAGCGGTGGCGGTGCTCATTATAATGTCCTTCTTCTTCTCCTATGACCCTGACATTGTCATGCACCCAAGGATTGGCTGAGCGTGGGCAAGGCACTGTGCGCCATTGCTGCGGCAGATACTAGGGCTGGCCAAAACATTTCTCCCCTGCAAGAGATGGTACTGACGCCAAAGTGGAAACTATGTTTTGTTCATTGCCATCAGCGGCATGATAGAACACAGGGGTGCACAATTGACCCCATTATATTATATCCCTCTTGATGGAATCCTACAATAGGAGCAGCTGATGAAGTGGACAGCAATGTCATTCAAGTGAAGCGCTCCTTACTCACTGGTACTCTGTCCTGCCAATAAAGCCTGGTTTGTATGGTTCGAATTTCTTCATACATTGTGGAATGAGCAGACTCTAGTATAATATATAAAGCCATCTGGGTTTTCTTCTGGGCAGCGGATTGGGATCATTCATTCAAGTATTGCATGGCCAGACCCAAACTAAGAGTAGGTGTTTAAGACTGGCCCTGTTGCCTCAGATTAGTTAGACTTGGTGGCTCTGCAAGGCCTTCATCCTTGATGTATTCTAGGAGGTATTGGAAAACGTATGATAAAATCACGACGTTGAGGGTTGCTGAACAACTTGATATAAAATATAATACCTCGAGGCACAACAGGGCTTCACTTGGACTTGCTTTTACACTGAGAGAAGGTTCTTTTGGCAGTTGTTGTGGTTGATTGGGCATGTGACCTGTATGACAACAAATGTCAGCCCAATTTGGGGCCTCATGGAACCAACCTCCTAGGACTGCATGGACCCAAATTCTTGCTTGTAGAGAGAGAGGGCAGGGTTGGCGTGGTTGTCTGGTGTCTTCTTGAGGCACTGCAATTAGTCTGAGATGCAATCATAATTTTGGTCCAGTGCATCGAGCCAGGGTGTGCATGTGCCACTATTTGATGGCATACGCAAAGACCTTTGGTATTATGATGAAGGCTCAGAAGTTTGACATATTGATCTGGAATTTGAATCACATTCGTTTTAAAGGAGTTCATTGTGCCACCAAAGATATCAATGACATGTCTTGATCAAGCATAGTTTGCTGGGCTGGAAAATATTCCTTTGGGCAGCAGGCAATGCTGCTTCTGCAGTATGACTCAGCAGTCGTATGTCAGTCACATTACAAATTGTAATTTACAATACCTGCAAGTGACCTCAATCTGACTTCAAGACTTGAAATTCATCGTTTCCATCAATGCCGCTAGCTGGCCAAACATCCAGCGCTACAAACAGCCACCCAGTGATGCCATCAAATACCGCCATATGGCCCTTGCGATGTACTAGCCAATATGACTACAGAACAAGCACTGCTTTGAAGACGCTCATTGTGATCTACTCACAAAGATACTCATATATGCTTATGTAAGCATGCTCAGCTTGAAAACACGAATGATGAGATTGTTGCTACCCCTGCAGCTCGGACATGAATCGTTCATACTCGCTCTGCACCTGCTGCTCTGGCGGCAGCGGCGGATTGGCCTCCCCGCCACCGCCCGGCATCGGAGGCGTCGTTGTCTGCTGCTGCTGCTGCGATGCTGATGGGTAAGCGCCGGGCTGTGGCTGACCTGGGTAGCCTGCCGCAGCTGCCCCCTGCGGCGTGTACGCCGCCTGCTGCCCCGGGTATGCCGCCTGCTGCGGCGGATAGCCGCCCTGCTGCTGCCATGGCGACGCGCCAGCCGGCGGCGCCGGTGCGCCGTAGCCCATTGGCGGGGTCCCATAGCCCGGAGGCGCCCCGTAGCCGGGCGGCGGCATGCCGTAGCCGGGCTGCGGCGCGCCGTAGCCGTAGGCCGGGGGTGCTCCGTAACCGGGCGGCGGTCCGTAGCCGGGCGGCGGCGTGCCGTAACCGGGAGGCCCGCCCTGCGGTGCGCCCCAGGGGGCTGCGGACGATGGACCACCGCTGGGGGGTCCCCGGGCACCGCCGTATCCGCCGGGAGGGCCTCCGGAGAAGCCTGGTCGCGGTCCGTCCATGCCCCGATTGCCGGCCATTTTTACGGTGAGCGTCTTTTCGCCCATCTTGTAGCCGTTGAGGCCTGTGATGGCTGCCTGCGCCTGGCCCGGTGCGGACATGGTGACGAAGCCATAGCCCTTGGACTGGCCGGTCTCGCGGTCCACGATGATGCGCACGTTGAGCACTGGGCCGAAGGGGCTGAACATCGCCCGCACGTCCTCCTCTGATGCACGCGGGTCCAGGTGGGCGACGTACACCTGCAAATGCAGCCACATAGAATATCTGGGTGAGAAAAAATGATCATGATGGTCAAGGTGACCCAGCAGTTATGAGCAAAAATGCAAAGCAACAATGGGCACTAGAGTGAGAATTTTGTTCTGCAAAAGCGCGTTGTGCAGGCGCCCCTGCAATGCTCAGCTTTACGGAAGGCAAGTCTTGCTGTAGAAACAGCAGAGAGAGACTTTCTGCGGTCACATGCCGGAAGCCGCGGGATGTCTTCCTACCTTGCTCTCGTCGTTCTCGGCAGGGCCAAAGCCGCGCGGGCGATCGGGCTTGGGGCCGCCTGGGCCCTCGCTGCGCAGGCGAACCACGAGCGGGCGGCTGTCCATCATTTTCCCATGCATGGCCGCCGCAGCATTGGTCGCCGACTCCGCGTTGTCCATGTGCACAAAACCAAAGCCGCGGCTCTGACCTGCACCCCACCAACAACCGGCACTGTCAGATCACACTGTGCAAGCAGATACGCAGTAGCAAGTAACACAAGTTCCGACATAATATGCGCCCTCAATGCCAGTCTCTAAGTGCCCTCCAATGGCCCAAATTGTTCTTCCACACCACCTCAATTTCAGTAAACGCCAGGCTGATTTCACCAGTCAAAATATCATCAGCACCAGAGCAAGGATGAGTAGGACAGCTGCACTGGGACCGCACCTGTGGTCATGTCCAACAGGATGACTGCGTGCAGGACATTGCCAAAGGGCTCCATGAGGGATTTGAGGACGGCGTCGGTGACATTGGGCGACAGATTCCCCACGTACAGCTTGCAGTTGTCGGGCAGATCGTCCCCGGGCCGGCCCCGGCCGCCGCCGCCACCGCTGCCGCCAAAGCCGCCGCCGCGGAAGTCTGACTGCGGGGCCCCCTGCCCCTGAGGGGGGCCGCCGCCCAGCTCTGCCATGAAGGACTTGTACTCGTCGTCAAACTTGCCTGCACGCACCCACAACTGTCAGATAAAGGGTTCTTTTCACCTCAACATATAGGTGACAACAGTGTACTCGACGCCTACACCAATAGAAGGAATCTGCAGAAATGCAACCTATCCCAACCAACTCAACATGTACTGACGCCAAGACCATTCCGGCACAAACACAGGGTCTAGCCGGAGTGATCACAACAGATTGGTAAGCATGTGAGTGGTCTGCATGTAGTGTGGCAAGAAAGAGTATGATGAAGGGTCGGAGCAGACCTTGCCCGGCGCCGTCGCCAGCCATGCGGCTGATATCTTTCTGGTACTGCTCCTCCACGCGCTCCTGGATGCCGGTGGGCAGCTTGTACACCTCCAGCGACTGGTTGGGGCACTCAAACTGCCGGTGCCCATTCTGGCCGCACAGGTAGCAGTGCTGGTCGTCCTTCAGCGTGCCTGCACATGCTCACACATTCATGATTCGACAATGTCAACATGAGGCCGGAGCAGCCGCGGACATATACAGTTCACAGCACAAGGCAAGGGCCTGAATACGATTCCTGCAATGGAGGACATTGTGCAAGCAAGCAAGAATGAGAAGGGCAGCTGGGAAAGTGCACCGTTCAGTGCAGCCAGCTCCTGCAGCTGCAGCCTCTTGTGCTCGTTCCTTGCCTCATCCGTGGGCACCAGCAGGTCCTCGATCATCTGCGCTGCTGCATTCACCTGCGCACACACCAGCACCCTCGCCTCAGCATTCTCTTCACAAGGATAAAAACAAGGTTGCACACCTGGCAGAAAACTCTTGTCATCACTCTCAATACCAATCAACCACAGGCAATTAGGACATGGGAAAAGACCTCCTTCTGATGATCAAATATGGGTTGGAACCAAAACCTGCTTCTTAGCGCTCAGAGTTAATGTCACAAACACAAACAATTTACAGCACAGCGTTTACGAAACAGGGTGCAAAATGGAGGGGCAGGCGGCTCACGTCCTCCTGCTTGTCGCCAGTGATGAGCACATGCAGCTCCTCGTCCTCGCCATAGTCATACTTGGGGTCGCGGCTGGCGCCCTCTTTGACGCTGCCCTTGCCGCGGATGGCAATTTTTGTGTTGGTCTCCTTCTGCATGCGCTTCTGGGTGTTGCCGCGCGGGCCGATGATCAGCCCAATGAAGTTGTAGCCCGGATAATCCTTCTGGGGGATGAACACCTGCACACACATAAGGGGCTGAGAGGATGCAATAAGATACAAATGCAGCTCGTGCGGCTTTTAGGATGCACTGAGATGTGGATACTGCTCATGGGGCTATTACTACGCAATGAGATGTGAGCAGAGCTCGTGCTTTGTCATGCTGTGTGTGTGCTCTGTGCTCTGTCAAGGCTCCCTGCTACGGTGAGACAGAGAACAGATAGGCGGGTCTAACCTTGTAACTGGCTGTAATTTGGCAATCAGGTTAATGTGTGATGCTAAAATGCAGGCATGCAAGGAAGCAAAGACTGTGCGCGTTCCACACCTTCCTGTGCTTCTTTGCAGGCCTGTAGTCTGCAGGCGGCCGGTAGGTGTGATCTGTTTTGATCAGCTCCTCTATGAGAGTGCTCCGCCGTTCCAGCAGCTTGTCCTTCATGCGCACCTGTTCAATGGGAAATCACAGGCGGTGAGGGAGGAAGGGAGTCTTTGCCTGATAGGCTTCCGTCTTCTGAGCAATATCTTGCGTCGACAGCATATCACACAGAAAGCAGAAGTCAGTAGAAGCTCCGTACCTCTCTGGTGTTCAGCCTGACACCGTTGCGGTCATATTGCGGCTCTGGGGAGGGGCTTCGCTCCCCCTCTGGAGGAATGTCCAGCTCGTTGTTCAGTATCTTTCTGTTCACCTCCTTGAGTTCATTGTGCAGCTTCTGTACAGCTGGATCAGCCGAGGAGGGTCCCCCCACCAGAGCGGAAGGCAGTTGCACCTGCAGGTAGTGGCAAAGCAGATTTATGCGTTCACGTCTGAATGGCAACAAGTGTGTAAATGTCGTCCCCTCGTATCACGGCAATACTGAAAGCATGCAGCAATCTGCTTCCCGATAAGAGTAAACAGTGGTCATAAGATCTCGGATGCTTCACAGAGACAGTGGCAAATTGGGGCACCCACGCACCCTGATGCCTCCAGCGATGGTGATCTCCTTGGGTACGAGTGCTAGAGTTGTGTCAGTGGATGTTTCGGGCACTTCCTCCCATCTGCTTCGTCTCTTTTTCACAGCAGGCTTGTTTTCGCCTTCACCATCCTTTTGCCCATCGCTAGCGGGTGAAGGACCCCATCTGTTCCTTTTTCTTCTCGAATTAGAGGTCCCATCTGATGCTGGCGCGCTCTGCTCCGCAAGAGGAACAGCAAGTCCATTCACTTGATCTTGAACTGGAGCTTGATCAGGCGCAGGTACTTCAGTAGCATGGCTAGATGCTGCTCCGTTTGTTTCTGCTGCGAGACCTTCTAGAAAATTTTCTGCTGCTGTAACAGTGTCCATCTGATCAGCCAAAGCAGCTGGCCAAAGCTATTCTTGCCGGCCACACTTGTAGTGATAACCCTTTAGAGCCAGCTTATACCGTGCAACGGCTTGATACACATGAAATTTAAGACAGTCAAGGTCGTTGTGAAGGTTGGTGCTTGTCTGGCCTGTACTGCCTGAGTTTGCAGCCGTCCAGACCCAGGACAAAGCTGCTCCTGAGGGTTTGATATATAGCCCTTCAAAAGTATCTGGGATTATAGGGCTCCCCAGGGTGAATGCGGTGGACACATTTGTCAAACCTTGGCGCGACAGAAGTGGAGACAGAACATTCCAGAGCAACAAAATCTTGGCGATCGAGTGCCTCCTGTCGCACACCACCACTCCCAAGATCTTTGACGGAACAGCAGCATCGTGCTCCACCGCATCCCCAGCAAGCCAAAAGCAGCCGCAGCACTAAGGAAACACCCCTGAGCAGTATGGCGAAGCGTTCATCAGCAACAAAGAGATTCAAGATCATCAAGGTGGGGACATCATCGCATGTGTCGGTGCTCCTCTCCTTGACACGGCCGTGATGTTTACACTTTGATCTGTGTACCATTGATCTGCGTTTCCTGACGGCTCCTGGTTACTTTGTATGCAGGCTCCCCGTAACGAGCGCCAGAAGGCAGGGGATACATTAGCCTTGCAACCTACTGCGGACATTGTCAAGCAGCTTCTGCAGGACTTGGCAGCCACCGCCAAGTTGGCACTATGCCTTCTCAACGAGAGCCAGCCGACAGGCAGTGCACCGTGCGCGTCAAAATCAGCGAGTCCTGGCCACACAGACAGACAAATCGCGGTTGACAGCGACTTTGAGACAAGAGCAGAGCCCACAGAGCGAGCCACTCCTGGAACACCAACCCAGAAGGGTCCTGCAGCCCTGGCACCATCAGGCTGCACAACACCACGATCAGAATGCAGCAACACTTGCGAGGTGGACCAGCCTGCAAAGAAGATCGAATGTGCCAGGACATCAGCATTCCCGGCATTGCAGCAGCAGACCTGCCCTTGTCCTCACCCCAGCAGCTCCAAGCACTTTCCAGCGAAGACAGCGAGGCCACAGATGGGCACCAGGATGACCAGAGCCCGCCATGCCCAGAAGAGCCAGTAATCAACAGCAGCTTGACCCCCTCGTCACCCACAAGCAACACTGACAAGGTGCTTCAAAAGGGCTGAACACCATGCACCTCAAGCAAATTGTCCGAGCTGACAGCCAGGTGCCTTTGCATGTCAACACCGCCTTCTGTAAAATTGTGTCAATGAAGCTGTGTTTGCGTCTGCGACACATCAGCAACTCTTGAGAGCGCAAGGGAGAAGACCGAATGCCTGCCAGGCCCAGAGAGCTTTGATGAGTCTGCTCCTGCGCCACCGACACCACCTGCAACCAGCATTGAGGTGTGCAAATTCATGGATCACTCCACAGCCCTGTCGCCATGATCTGCACATTGTGTCTGCACATTGTGTACCTACAAGCACCTCTGCTGTGTCCTTGTGTACTTGACACAGATGAAAGCCTGTGGTTGAAGGGCACAGAGTTGACTGTAGAGTGTTCTTTAGCAGCAGGTTGTCACACATGTTTCTGCAAGGTTTTGGACGAGACAAGGGCGGCTGTGAAGAGCGCAGTGGAGCACCCCGGGAGGCCTGGTGCGCATGGCTGTGTGGCTTGCGGCGCCATGCAGAGCTGGACACCTGGGCTGGCCAGGCCAGTTGTGGACTTGGCTGTTGCGGCTGCCATAGAGATCTTGGCTGCATCATCGGCCCTGACAGATGTGTGCTGCTGATGTGCCACATGTGCTTGCAACATGCTGAGTGGGTGCTGCAGCGCCTGTGTCAACGTGGCATGCGTGTCGCCTGGAATATTTTACTGTACGTTGCACACAAAACCTGTTCCCCATTATATGGCGGCATGTGTTTCAAGCCATGGGCTATATATATGGAAAACCTTGGCTGGTAGATGCGTAGTAAGAATATTGTGAATGTGCACCTAGTTGTGAATGTGCACCTAGTGGTAATTCATCAATCATATCTACAGGAACAGAAAGAAGGTGCAAGACTTCAACTTGAAGCATCTCAACAACTACTAGTAGAAGTCAGGCACCTCACAAGCACACGTCTGGAGGGATCCTGTTTTGGCGGCATTGGTGGTACCATGCATAATCACCATCTTCCTTTTTATAGCACCCGGCTTCCCGTTCATGGCCCGAACAGAAAACGTTCGAAACAATGTGTAATCGCGAAACGATCGCAGGGAAAAGTGTAAAGAACATATTTCCGCATCAGTTGAGACAGAGTGCAACTAGGCAACCAAGTGCACGACCACGCATGAACCAATTGAAGCGGGTAATGGCGTCAGCAGGAAGCAACGGGAACAGCGCGAATGGCACATCGAATGGCCAACCTTACCCATTGGTGAGTTATTCAGAGTCTTTATAGCTTCAATCGGACACGTGAAAGAGAGCAGCAGATCATTCCAACAGTGTCTAGGACTCCACGTAAGTCGTTGATTGTGTGCATTCTATCCAGTAGCAAGCCGATGATGATGTTTCGGCTTTCGATACGAATTGAAGGCAAATCTATAAGAAAAGAGATGATTTCTGTCCCATTACAAATCTGCCGCTAGCGAGTTTCACACATTTTGGGCTGAGATTATCAGTCCAAGATCGTGAGTCAGGTCTTTATTGGAGGGACTGCATGGCAGGATTTGCGTTATCAGTTTGACAATGGACTCTAGATTCAGGTTGCCTTATACCAGCAAGACTTGAATGAGGCTGCTGAGGGCGGCATGTCCTTCAGCGTGCCCGCTGTCTAGCGTGCTTTCCAGTGCTCGGCATCAGGCGAGCAACTTAGCATGATAATTTGAATTGTGGTTTTTGCAGGGCAAGGAGACGCCAAAAATGCCAAATGCCGCATTCAACACGGATACCTTGACAACCAACACTGGAGCCCCGATCGTCAGCAATGAGTTCTCTCTGCGCGCTGGGAACCGAGGTGCGAATGAGGAATCTTGAGCATTTCGTTGCTCGCAGCGTATCGGTCCAAAATCTCTCCTTACCAACATTTGCACATGCTATTGCAGGCCCTGTGCTGTTGGAGGACTACCACATGCTGGAGAAGCTTGCACAGGTATCACCCCTCCCGTGATCTGGATCTATGCTACTCGAGCTACTGCGGAAATCTCTTGTTCAACCGAGCAATTGGCTGACATGCAATTATTACTGCCGTGGCATTAAGCTTTCCACTTTGCCCTTTGTAGTTCAACAGGGAGAAAATTCCGGAGCGCATAGTGCACGCCAGGGGCGCAGGCGCGCACGGCTTCTTTGAGGTCACGAAGGACATCACCAAGTACTCCTCAGCCGACTTCCTGGGCTCTGTTGGCAAGAAGACCCCCGTCACCGCTCGGCTGTCCACAGTGGTCCATGAGAAGGGGTGCGCAATTTACCCAGCACCACACACAGCACCGCAGCATAAATAGGACTTTCCTTGTTCTTGAATTATTGATCCTCATATCAATTCCTCAGCAGGCCTATTTCTGCGCCAAACAATGCAGTTGCTGTGTGCTGGCTTGGCTGCAGCGTCCACGATTTCAGGACAATAGCTGACAAGCTCTCAATGTGCGCAGGTCGCCAGAGAGCTTGCGCGACGTGCGCGGCTTCTCCGTGAAGTTCAAGACACAGCACGGAAACTGGGACTTTGTCGGCAACGACATTCCGGTAAGCTCTTTATTCCTGGCACATGCCGGCCTGGCCAAGCTCCTTCCTGCTTATCATCAAAAATGCAAAAATCATTTGCTGCATGGGAGTGCTTTACATGCTGTGCATCCAACTGGCGCTGCTGGCTTCTGAAGGCTTCTTTCCTTGGCTGCAGGTGTTCTTCATCAGGGATGGCATTCAGTTTGTGGACCTGGTGCACTCGCTGCGGTGAGTCATACCAAGTACCATGCTGCAAGTCTATCCTCATGTTCAGTACTTGCAGCTTTGTGCCTGTGCTGCTCAGTTTTGCCGGACGCTGAGAAGGTCAAAGAATAAGGATGTATTGGCAACTGCAGGCCCAACCCCAAGACCAACATTCAGGAGGGCTGGCGCATTCTGGACTTCCTTTCCCACCACCCAGAATCCTGCCACATTGTGGGTTTCCCTATGTAATTCGTTATTTGCTCCTTTTGCATCACAAGATAGCTGTGTAAATAGCTCTTTGGCTGGCACCAGAGTGCAATGAACAGATCACAATAGAGGGTGCTTCATGTCAATTGAAGTAATGTGGATCCTGTGCAATGGGGACGAGCCAAGGGAGTGATGTCTTGTGTGGCTGCGATGCGCAGTTGACGTGGCTTTTTGACAACGACGGCATCCCCAAGAACTGGAGGAAGCTGAATGGCTTTGGCGTCAACACCTTCAAGCTCATAAACGCTGATGGCGAGGAGCATCTCTGCAAGTTCCACTGCCTGCCAGTGGGCGGTGAGTCTTGTGCCCTCTTTTCTTCCAACTTATTTGAATTTGAAAAGAGGGGAGATGGAAGTAGCAAACTGCCACCTTGCAGCATGCCATGTGGAGACATGTCTTATCCCTCTTGAAACTCACACTCTGTTTCCTTGATGGCGCTGCCTGCCACAGGGCCGTGAGTATATTGCTTGAATTCATCATTATGTGAAATTCTGAATACATGAAGGCGACAACCTTTAGTCCTCGCTGCAAGCAGACACAATATATTCCTTGAGGCTCACACTCTGCCACACTGGGCCTCAAGCAAGCGTTATGTTTGGCTTTTGATAGCGGCATCTGTATATTAGACAGGTGCTGCTTCATCAACCCTAAATCCTACTTCCTCAATGTTTGGCGTGTGTCAGGTGCGGAGTTCATGACCGACGACGAGGCGGTGATGGCAGGCGAGAAGAACATGCGCCACAGCCATGCAACGCACGACCTGTACAACGCCATCGCAGAGGGTGACTACCCCGAGTGGACGTGGCTCATCCAGGTCATGCCCGTGGACACAGACCCCGCCTCCATCGGATTTGACCCCCTGGATGACACCAAGGTGACTCATCTGCCCCTGTTCAATTACATGCTGGGCAAGCAGTCCCTTGAAGTATGGACAGATCTGAAGGGCCATTTGACAGGCGCATGCATGCACCAGGAAGGCCCCTGGCAGGGACAGCGATCAATCCCTGATGTGGTCTAGCTTCAACTAGTGCGCAGAGTTTGAAGTTGCCTAGAAGCATAGTTTGATGCGTGTGGCTCCACAATTCGTCATCTAGACGCTTGTTGAGAAGTTGCATGCATGTTGCAGCTGTGGCCGGAGGAGGACTTCCCGCTGATGGAGTTTGGGCGCATGGTGCTGGACACCAACGTCAAAAACTATTACTCCGAGGTGCGCCCAGCAACACACTCGACTTTCTCTGACACTATATTGCAGGGGTTTGGCTGCACGTGATTGCATGACATGGCAATGGTGTCATCTTTGACAGTTCTGTAGCTGACTGGTGTTTGGTGTGGTGACAGGTCGAGTCCATCGCATTTGACCCCGGCGTGACCGTGCCAGGTAGGACACCTTGCATTTTCGCCAGATTCTCCACGCTGGATTATGCACTCTGCTATCTGCTATCAAATTGCACACCTTGCGCTGCAAAGAGCCACAAATAGCTGTCTTGCAGGAGGGGTCGTTGCATCCCGCCTTCAGCTTTTGTTCAAGAGATGTCGAATATGCATTGCAGCATTCATTTGGTGCCAGCGCCCCTGAGTTGTTTTATTTTGCATGCGCAGGCATTGCGGTGTCGAACGACCCGGTGCTGCAGACGCGTGTGATGGCATACGCTGACGCGCAGCGCTACCGTCTGGGAGTGAATTATCAGATGCTGCCGGTCAACATTCCCGTCTGCCCCTTCCACAACAACCACAACGATGGGGCGATGAACTACATCATCAAGGACGAGGAGGCAAGTTTTCGTCTAAAGCACTCCTGACTGTATCTTCCCAGTCTCGCTTTGTGTTCTTCAACGTGTTCTTATTAGCAGAATATGGTTTTCAAGAGTAGGGATGCTGCAGAGATGAGGCTGTTCAGAAAAGGCAGCTGCAGTAGACATGAGGTGGTTCAGAGTTCGGAATAAAAGCAGAAAAAGAGAATTAGAAAGCAATATGCATCAAGTGGTGGCCCCCCAAGCATGTGCAACAGAATAGAGCGAAGTGCATTAATTGCTGCCCCAGCAAGCACGTGCAAAATACTTCCTAACGTCCCTTTTGAATTGTACACTGTGCAGCACCATGCTTGACGGTTGCATGGTTGTGTCTCATACATTTCAACCCACTCTGCCGCCCCGTGCTGACATGGTTGTGTAATGGTGCCTCAGGTGAACTACTGGCCGTCAAAGGTGGAGAAGACAGCGGAGGCGGTGCACCCGGAGGTTGCCAAGACTCACATCAGCAAGGAGCCCATCAACGGCGTGCGCGTTAAGGAGGACCTCTTCGTGGGCGATGACTACAAGCAGGCCGGCGACCGCGTGCGCTCCATGGACAAGGACAGGTCAGGCTCATTCTCCCAGTCGTCACACAGTCAGATTTGGATTTTTGGAGATGGAACGAAGGGTTGCTGCAGCTCGCCCACAGTTGCACCATGTGTGTGGTGGATTGCGTGCCTTGGTCAGCAACTGAAGAGGACCTGCTTGTCGAGCTGCAGGGCAGCTTGCTCAGCGAAATCTCCTTGAGCAAGGCAGCGCAACACATGCTCTGGAAGGCAATGCAATCTTTTCTTGGTGCTGTGGATTGACAACTCAAGAGCAGAGCCAGCTGTGCTCCGGCCCCAATGTCTCTGCGTGAGACCACTCCATAACGAAGAATATACCTGTTTTCTGACCCAAGTGAATTCACATGCGCAGGCGGGAGCGGTTCCTGGAGCATGTGTTGGGCTGGCTGACGGACCCCAAGCTGACAGCTGAGGTGCGTGACACATGGCTGGACATCTGGACGCGCGTCGACAAAGACCTGGGCGCAGAAGTGCGCGAACAGGTCAAGGACACCCCTGCCGGCCACCCCTCCAAGGTCGGCGCCACCAAGGCCTGATTTTGCTTTGGCGAGCGCAAAAATTGATAGGCACTGATCTAATGCATGCAGTTGTGATGAGGTCCGATGCAAGGCAGTGCCTGCAGTTGAAGGCAACGCAAGACAGTGCGAGGCAGAGCCAGGCAGCGCAAGGGCAATCGAGGGATTGGGTGGCTTTTTGGTGATGTTGCATTGATCCTTAGGGGAGTGTGCAGCCCCAAGCTGTGGCCATAGCCTCAGCAGCTGTAATTCGTAGGATGCAGTGGGTTGGTGTTCTGGCAAGACTGTGTGGAAGCGCTATCCTCTTGTGCACCCTCAAAGATGTACCATTCATTTGTTAGTCATAGTCCGGGGTTTGCCCTCAGGTATTGGCTGGGGTTTGGTGGTACAGCCGTGTCGTTTCACAGAATGCGAGAGCAGGCTATCTGCTTATAATAAAAGCTTGCGGCTTGTGTTGTGCTGGATTGATTCACCCACGTGCCGGCTGTTCAGCATGAATGCAAATAAGCAAATAAGTGTACGAGACGCTGTTGGCACAATTGGCTAGATGCGTCAAAGGAACTACTACCCAAAGAAGTATATACTACATTATATATAATGATGAGCGTAATTATTGCAACTTGCGTTTTGGATGCAAGCTGCTATCATGATGTGCTGGTGCCCTGCTGAATCACTGTTCTGATTTGCATGAGGCACTGGGCAGATTTGCTTGCTTTGCCACCAGTCGTGTTCAAGAGCTCTTCAGCATTAGAACATTAATGATTCTCTCTGGTATGGATGGCACCTGCTCTGACTTCATCAAAATTTTAAATCGAACAAGAGCTTCAGTTGCAGCGACAATTGTCTGCTGGCAGTAGTATCTTAGAGTCTATTATTCATGCAGCTTGAGCAGTCATGGCTGTAAATATCACTTGTCTAAATCGTGTCCAACTCACCATTCAGTGGGGGGGCAACACCAAGCAACACCAATAATGGCTGTGTACGGTATCTTCAAGCATTAAACATTTTAGCTTCTGCTGACTCTCGCCTCAGTTGACACTGTAATCATTGGAGAATCCCTAAAAAGTACATGAGGATCAAGCCCCACAGCACAACACCTGTGCACCACAAAATATGCATCACATCTGCATGCATGTCGTTCAATGGAAGCTTTCACGAATTAGTGCAGCAAGGGCGTGCATATGGCATTATGCGCCACAGCAGCATTTACCACTGCTGCGCCACAGGCCTTCAGTTTACATCTCTGCTCCATCAAAGCAAGACAGAATGCAATGCATGCAATGCAGTGGGAGCGCCAAGAAGGGAGGAAGGGCAGCCTCGCAGTGTATAGCTTTGCGGCGACAAATAATGTGGTCTCTCTCCTCAAAAGTGAGTGGATTGGAGTGCGCACCCAGCCAACCCATGAGCACGATGAAGAATGTCACATCGCCTATCATCTGCTCCTCAGTCACATCTGCCAGCGCTGCCGATCGCCCGCCCAGCTGCAGCTGTGATCCCTGCCCCTGGCTCAGCCCCTTCAGCAATCCGCTGGCCGCTCTATTGCGCAGCCGCAGCGAATGCGCATTGTGCCGGCCCGGCTGCACCGCCGGCATCTGCACAGGCCCCGGTCAAATCAAGGCAGCTGAGATGTGCAAGACCCTCTTATTGTTACCTCCCGGGGGATACTTAAGACATCAGGTGTACTTAGCATCCCCTCAACCCCCGTATGCAGGGCACCTGTGAGCAGGTGCCACGAGCATCAACAATACACAAGCAATCTTGACAAGCCTCGAGGAGCATTGCACCATTCTGCACAAGAGTTGCAGCAATTGACCAAGACGCTGTTCCCATGCCACAAGCCTCTATGCTGATGCCGCAATTAAAAAAAACCACGTTAAAGGCAAAAGAAGAGGCACCCACCGCTTCGACGGGGTTTGCCAGCTCTGGGTGAGCGTCCAGCCACTGGCGGCCGTCAAGGGTGGATGCCTTGGGTGTGCCCAGCCATGAGCCTGACCCCTTCTTCTTGCCGGCCCCGTACGGCCACGCCGATCCCTGCGCCACCGCCGTAGTAGGCACCTTTGCATGGTGCCGCACCTGCGCAGCACCAACGAGTTGTGACGCCGTGAGTTGCCCGTAATGGAAAATTTCTAATGACAGCTTCCTCAACATTTGCAGTCCCCGCAGAAGCCATCGCTCTGCAAGACTCCGTGCGGACGGCAGGCACATACTTTTTCGAACAGTGCATTTGCCCCTACAACGTGTGATGCAAGTGACACCTACTGTCATGCCCATAGCCTTGATATTTTTGGATACGTTCTAGAATTAGAGTGTATCCATAGTATTGGCTTTGTTCAAGTCGTAATCTGGCATTTTGTCGCTGAATGAATGTGTCATGTCTGCATGGCCGCATCATCTCAATGCAACTGGGCAGCAGCTCATGCTGTTACAGGTAGGCCATGCTCAATCAACCGGGGAGGTCACAACCGGTAAGTGTCTGCAAATGATTAGAAAAGAAGAAGCAAGGTGTAAAAGGGCGGGTGTGGCAGGGGTTGCTTGAGGCAATTTTCTCAAGGGGGCTGGGGCAGGGGAAAAGGTGCACAGCTGAAAGGGCAGCAGTAAGGCCTGACCTGGAGGGTGGGAGGGTAGCAGCGGCCGCAGGAGAGGCGGCATCCCCAGAACATGTAGCGCGGGCTCTTCTCACACTCCCCGTTGCGCGCCCACTCCTCACAGTCCGGCTGCGCAGCCAAATTTGAGCAGTGAACATCTATTGGTCCCCAGGCTGCTGCATGTTTGCACGAATGGCCATTCATGTGATACGCCCATCAAAACGCATGACCATCTGTCCTGCGAATTTGAATCCTCATTCTGCAGGAGAAAGCATGCTTTAGGACGTTCATGCAGCCATGCAGCGGTACACGGACTTCCCTGTCCATTGCCATGGGAGCAGCCTGAGGGCTGGTGAAGGGCATATTTGGGGTCCATGCTTTCATTTGCTTTACATTGCTCGTATGCAGGGCTTCCAGACAAGGTGTGGAGGCTACAGACGAATGAATGAGTCAGTCAGTCGGTCAGTCAGTCACAGTAGTTCAGTGAGCGCGCACATGTTTGTTCTGGCACTCCTCTTCCTGCATGACCATCTCCATGACATCGAATGCTATGTCCATCTCAATCTCCTGCTGCCTCACCTGTCACCATTGGCATGTATCCTCTAAAGGTATTTCTCCATATGAAGGACTTCCGCTCATCAAACCTATGATAAGATAAGAAGATGATCTTATTGCATAATGAGACAAAAACTGAACCAAGCTGTCAGTGCACGCATGCAAGCCTCTCTGATCATGGCAGAGCACAAAAGGTATCTTAAACTCGCAGAGCTTTCAGATTATCTGTTACTGTGATTGATCATTCCGGGGATTGCCACCACAAACGACAAGCACTTTGACAAAGGCTGAGTCGTGGGGAGAAAGCTCTGCATGGCTCTTCTGTAGGGGCAGGAAGGCATGGCTACCTTGGCGCACTCCTGCTCCAGCTGCTGCGATTTGGGGCAGTGCTTCATGTGGCGCTCGCAGAAGGCCGCGTTGAGCACTACCACCGGCTCTATGGCTATCAGGTCGCGCAGGAAGTCCTCCCCCTGGACTCATTTCACCACACTCATTTCAATACGCCAGTCTGCTCCCATATTGTGTGTATTCCATGATTCTTGCTTGCAACATTTGTCTGGGTCACCTCTGCTGCGGGCAGCGAGCAGGATTACCTATATGTCTGGACCCTATAGCCGCAGGTGACCTCTAAGTGGGGCACTCTATCACCCAACATGCACAGCAGGGATGCTTGAAGACAGTCCTGGCTCGGTCTGGGATTATGCTGCAATCTCAAGATTTCCCAGAGCAGGTGCTGCAACCCATAATTTGCCTGCTGGGGTCAGGCCACACGACATATCCTATGGTCATCATTCAGATTTACTGAATCCGGTGATGCAAGCGGTAGGTCATAGGGACAGCATGGCGGGGTTTTGGGGGAACCTCAGAGGGGATTTCAAGGGGCCGCGGTGGGTAGGGGAAGAGGCCGGCGGAGGGACGCTCCGCAGACAGGTCCCAGGGCGGGCACACAGTGACATCAAAGTCATCGTGATACCACGCCTTATGCCACGCCCACGTTGTGTTGGGCACCGTCCACTTGGCACCATAGTGCAGCACCTTTGGCGGCCCTGCAGAATTCAAGCCGTCTAAAAATGTTGATTCAGTGTCAAAATGACATCAAAAGCATCACGTGTCACAGTAGATGACATGTTTACACAGAGTTGAAAGATACACCAAAGAATTTACAACTCATTGGAGCAACTCATGAAAGAAAGGGAGTGAGCACGCTGTGTGCCGCTGGCGAGGGAGGTAGCTGACTCGTTGCTTGGAAGGTGGGCATGTGAAGTGAGCTGCAGTGCAATCCTATCAACAAATTCTCCAAAGAGCACCCATAATCTTGCATGCATGATGGAAGGGGTGGCTCACAGATGGCGGCGTAGCCTGGTAGCAGGGAATCTGTGTAGTCCACTCGCCGGTGCCACACATTTGCCACAGCGGCTGCATATGAGTAGCCATACCTGGAGAGTTGACGATATATCAGCATTGGCAGGTCTGCAATTATCTGGCATGCAAAAAAGCACAAAAGACAGCATCCAGCGAACTGATGCTTTGGGGTTCATGCATAGGAGAGCATGCCAAGAGGGCAGACGCACATCTCACTCATCCACGACTTGTCCCCGGGAGTTTTGGTGAAGTCGTCACCGGTCAGATTTCCATCAAAAGTCTGCGCAGCAAGGGAAACTTTTAACGTGAAATACTCTTTCTGCCCCACAGCAGCAGCCGCAAGCCAGCACAGCTGTCTCATGACCAAGCTTGCAGCAACTTTACTAGAAAGGTGACATGAAAAGGTGAGATATTGGGGTGAGAGGCCTACCGCCGGGTCCAGCCTGAATCTCTTTGAGTACTCCAGCCACAGGGGCGCCACTTTCTTTAGGTCGCTCTTTGCCATCAGGATCGGCACGCCCACCTGCGCAGCCTTAATACAACATACATCTGACACTGCACAACTGTAGGCAGAGCTACATTGACAAAACATCGACATGCATCCCCCCCGACAAGACAGGCAGGCGCCTTCAGGGCCACACAGCACAAAGCATGCACACTTAATGACTTAATCAGTCGTGTTCAATCTCTTCCAGCCACTTTTGGGTTGATCCAATGCCTAAATTGATTTACAGAGTCAGCTCCTGGCATGACACTCGGACATAAAATCGCACATTGAATACGCACGATGTGGGAAGAAATTACAGATGTGTGGTGAGGAGGGAACGCGCCGTGTCTGCCCTGCGCCCCTTGGGACCGGCGAGGGTATCCTGCCTCGGCTGCACCTGGGCAATGTGCTTGTCTGCCAGCTCATTGGAGCAGCCCTTCAGGATCTCATAAAAGTAGTACCCTGAGTACGCCCAGCCTGACACCAGATCGGTCTCTCTTTCAGCGCCAAATGCAGAGGGACAACGCAAGATGACAGAGTGACACACTTTCTCTCTCAAATCCTTCTTGTCTCACTGCAAGCAGTCAATGAAAGGAATCGTTGTTGAGCCAGGCATGGCGCGCCATTATTTGAGGTTGAGATTGGGATTGTTCGAGCACTTGTACCTGGCTCCACTTTCAGCTCGATAGGATCAAAAGGGAAGCGCATGATGTTGTCTGCATCCACGATCAGGATGTAGTCCTCCTTAGGCTCATGCTCCTGCAGATTAGACAGCTTTCTCAAGCCAGAAACATGCAACATCCCAAGCTACCAGGCCTCAACGGACAGTCCCTTCCCCCTCAACACGCCAATGACTTATGCAACAGGCAAGATGACTGAGCTACCTGGAGCCAGGCCATGATGGCGCCGGGCTTGTTGTAGGCCGCGTATTCATCGTCAGGCACGATGTTTTTGAAACTGGGTGCCACAAAGGTGGGCACCAGGTCCATCCCCTTGTAATCCTTCAGCTGCTCCTCTGTGCAGCTCATCAGCCGAGTTATGGGACCCTCCTGGCCTGCTCTCCTGGCACTGCAAATTTCAAACATTATCCTCATGTTGCTTGCTCTGTGCAACTTTCCACCTATAGCGTGCTTAAAAGCAGATGGCCTCAGAGCAACCTTGGATTCTGCAGCTGTACCTGTATACGAAGCCCAGTATTTGCCACTCGAAGTAGCCATTTGTGCACTCCACAGGGATGATGGTGTGCACGCTGGCTGATTTAGCGCGCGATGCATGTGCATACCCCAGGAAGCACAGGGCTGCAAATAGAACGGCTAAAGTCCAGAAGCAACCAGGTCTGCGTGCACGCTTCTGCTTGCTATGCTCATAGCTTGTTGTGATGCGTGCTGATAAATACATGCTGCCGCTCACAGAGATCCCATGCTGATCGCAAATGTCGCTGAAAAATTGCAAAGCCTCTGTAGAAACATCCTTCTATATATCGAAAGATTGGTGTCCAACACGATCCCTTTCTTATGACTGATGCTGATGTACTGAACAGTACAACATCCTTCGAATTTTCTCTTCTGGATCCAGCCACTGCCAGAGCTTGGGGTCAGCTCAATTGGGGCAATGCCCACGTGGAGGACCGACAGCAATATATTTGGATCATGAGGTTCTCATTCGGCCACTAAACTTTTTTTCAATAAGTGAATGTCATACTGATCAAGAGTCACCAGATCAGTGATTAAAGAATGGAACTGTCAGGCCTGATGGCGCCACCGAACACCAAGACACGAAATCCTCCAATGTGAAGCCGATATGAGTGCAAAAATGTCACTTCTGACCAGTGTGGCTGCAAATAAAAGAAATGCAGACTTCTGAGACGACGAGGGAGAGTTTGCCAATTCCCGGACCTGCTGAATATAAATTTTAAAGAACGGGGTCACGTGCCGAATTATCTGATCTGGCGTCGACAATTAGAGCCTGCCAAAATGCAGTATATAGGCACTGAAAATTCACGAATGAGCACGACTATACTCGAACAGGATCTGTTCTATAGTTCGTACACCTTGTTGTCTCTCTCAAGAGTGACAAGTTTCTCAGCCCAGAAGATGAAGGGAAGCCTCCAAGCCTGAGCGTGAAAGTTTCGGCGGCTGTGCCCGGCCTTAGAGCTGGGCGCGCCCCGATTGAGGAACGTCCCCAGGCTTCATTCCGCCGAGGGGAGGCTTGGAGGCCGTCTGATGGGTCAAACCTTTTGCTGCACCCATTCTCTCTCAGGTTTTGTGGTCCCGCTGGTGGCAACCGGCGGAAATGCGTGGCTTGGCTTCGCACAGGGGGTCACAGGTTCGAATCCTGCTCTGCGCCACTTTCTTTTTGCTCTCTTTTTGCTTCCAAGTGCAGAGACAGGTGCAGGGATTAGAGAGTGCTGTGGAAGATGTTGCTGGTCATCACAGAACTTGTCGCAGGACATATGGTTGCAAAGAGGACACAGCAAAGTTGCCATAAGCACCATTCCACAGGTTTATACGAAGACTAGAAACAGGCCAGATTAAATTGGTGGGCGTAGAGTATATTCTTACACAATAAATGCCCTTTTCCAGCACCAAACGCTCTCATGCTGTCTTTGACACTCATGTCACTACAACGCATTCACAATAGCTTTGCGAATGTCAGGTCATATATGTCAGATTGTAGTATATACAGCCTCCAACTTTCGAACGACACTAAATCTGCATAAAATTGAAGGACTTGAGCGCGCCGTCAGTGCGCAAGCCCTGACAGCATGGCTTCGAGCGAGGGACCTGCCAAGACAGACAGTGGCGGCAGCGCATGTGACGGTGCATCCCACAATTCCTGCACGCTGGTTTGGCCATCATCAGCCGCGCTATATCTGGCTTCAGGCTGCTCAGGAGTCTTGCGTGCTGCGTTGAGAGGGCCAAAGGCAGCCTCAAAACCCACTGGTGCCCTCTTTGGAACACCTGCAGGGCAGACCGAAATAAATAAGCACCCCCTCGTTGAATAGCTTGCAAAAGAATAGATGGCTGCACTCCCACACGACATCACCTGCAAATCTCATCATGTGCACAAAGTTGCATAGCACAGATCATTAAACTGAAGCGGAGCAGAGAAACACACCTGCGGTCTGGGCAGCCGACACGTCAGCAGCGCTCTCAGTGGTGTCAGCTCCGGGAGCAGCGGCGATTGTGTACTGCCGGTCATTGGTCAGGATGAGCAGCGGACTGGTACCGGCTGGCGCTCTGTCAGCACCGGCAGCCGCCAGCGGTGTTCCATTTCCAGCAAACATCAACGCCGCCGCACCAGACCTGGCCACAGCAATCCCAGAATCTGTTCAGCAATGGTGGTCACAGCAGTGAATCAAATATCTGTGTCTCAGCTGAAGTGGGCTGCCAAGTGCATGCTCAGGACACACTCCCACAGACTGCATCTTGTAAGGTATACAGACAGGGCGAAGCTTCATTGCTGTGTCAACTTCAGGAACCTTGGCACCCTTGTACAAGGTAAAAACAAACCAAAGAGGCTCGGTTGAACTTTCGTGAGAGCATGCAGGAATGGAGCCCCACCTGGGCAGCAGCCAGGCTTGTTTCGGGGTAGGGCAGCCCGCATCAAACAGCAGCACGCTGCCGCCGCCCCCGCCATACATTAGGCCGCCCCGGCCCGAGGCGGCCGGCTCCGCAGCAACGCCGCCGCTCGCATGCGCGAGAGCGCGCTCGTCCCCAGCAGCCTCGGCTTCCTCAAACCAGAACGCACCCCCCGAGCACGCCGCGCCTGCCTGCAGCTGCCTGGCTGGGTCTTCTCCCCCATGTCCTGCATCCTCGTCCGACCCGCTGGCAGCCTCCCCTCCATTCGCAGCCACGCCATTCATGACTGGCCGGCCAGACGTTGCCGGCGCGTCCCTCCGGCCGTTCATGTGCACGGCGTTCAGAGGCGGCAGCGCGCGCCGCGGCTGCCGGACGGTCGTCTCGGAGCGGCCGTTCGTCATCGGACGCGTGGGGGCCGGCCCGGCCGGCAGGGCCGGCGGCGCGGCGCTGCCGGAGAATCTGCGGAGGGGCTCCGGTGGCACCGCGATGGCAAAGGCGCCGTGGTGGGGGTCCACCGCGAGGCAGGACGAGGCGACGGCTGCTGACCACCAGACTGATGCCGTGACGAGGTTCCACACCACCAACGAAGGGGCTGCGTCCGCGCTGATGCCCACCTGCATGGAAGATGATCGCAAAAACAAAAAAATTTATGGACGGGGAAACGGAGGATATTGTGGATCAGGAGATAGCACATCTGATGCTGCTGCCATCAACTGCTGCTGCTGGATGTTAGTGTATGTTGAACAAAGATCCTCTGCTGTTGCAGATTCTCAAGCCCGACAACCTCATGTTACAAGTTGTACTAGGATTGTTTCAGGAATTGGAAGAGTCTCAGTTGGGCGCACCAGGAAATGCGTGCTGGGCACGAACTCTAGGCGTCTCATGGCACTGGAGCGAGCGGGGGCCGGGTTGGCCAGCACAGTGATGAGGGCGTTGGAGGAAGGATCCCACAGTGTCACGCTGCCACTCACTGCGGCAGCCACCAGGCTCCCATCGCCGCTGAACGCCACTGCGCTCATGGGCTGGCCTGCAGCACCCCACCAGCATCATCAGCACTTGATGCTTAGCTCGGTGCAAAGTATCAGGCTCTCTGGACCGAGACACTACCAATGTGCCAGATACCAACGTAATCTGTAGCAAGTGAGTCACAGGCTGACTGCATGGCATTTTATCTGGTCAGGAAGCACGAGCATCAGTCCCCATGCAGAATGTGCAGCCGCGTGTAATGCCCTTTTGAGCGATCAAGATAGCTGCATCAGAGCACTCAATTACTGATGCACATGCATGGCCTTCATTAAGGATCTGAGCTGCTCCTTACACCTCTCTGAGACAGTTTCCTGCCTGCCTGCATTGTGTGCAATCAAAAAAGTGCATGAGACGGCGGTGAAGGTTGCAGCACAGGCCATCTGCGTCATGCCACTGTCCCATGCAGGGGCGCTATACTTTGGATGTCAAGTTGGAATATGGCAGGCCATTGGCACCTTTGTAGGCAGCAGTAGAGGTGCAGCGCCAAGCAGCAGGGGCCTTCTCAGAGCGCTTGCCGGCAGCCGAGCGCCTCCACATGCTAAGCACGCCGTCCACGCCTGTCGTGGCTGCTATGTGCTCCGATGGGTGGTATGCCAGCCCGCTCACCACACCCCTGCACATCATGCAAATCCCTCTAATAAATACCTGAATGGCACAAACAATATTCTTCTGCAGACAACAATTTTAAGTCAGAATCCCACCAGCAATCACAGATACATTTCCTCCGTGCTTGTCAGATGCGGGACACGCACGTTTACAGCAATTTTCCAGCAAAAGCTTCCCGCGGACAAGCTTCTCATCAGAATTCAATACATCCAAAAGCTAAGGGGAGCACAAAATCCCGAGGTATCTCTTGTGGGAGCATACCGCTGGGGCTCAGAGATGTGGCTGTTGAGGGTATAGAGGGGGGCGCCACCGGCGGCGGCGCCCGTTATGCGGCGATCCCAGAACTTGAGGGCCGAGCCCACGGCACCGCTGGCAGCCGCGCTGGGGTGCACGTCCACCGTGGCCATGACTGTGCCGTCGCTAGAATAGGCGATGTGCGAGATGTGGCTCTCGACTGCCCTCTGCCCGCCCTGGGAAGCCTCGTCCGTGCCTGCCAGAGACGCCACGTTACGGTGCCCCACCTGCAAACCAGGGGCTTTAATAAAACCAACTACAGCCTGCTCTCCTTGCTCAAACTTGCGACAGAGTCATTGCCATGAGTATGCACAGCGATGGCATGCAAAATCTGCACGATCCTGCACCTCTGTTGCAGTCTTCAACTGCCGTGCTTTACCAGTCTGCTTGCCTGCATTGCTGCTGCTGATTGATCATCGCAAGGAGCCAACAGCAAGTTGATCGGATCACATCAAGGATGTCGTCACATGGTGGCAGCATGTCGGCAGGTCCCCCCCACCTGCACGCGGTCAATGTGGCGGTCGCGCACGGCGTCAAACAGCTGCAGCACGGAGCCTGCCCCGGCCAGCGCCAGCTCGCCTGAGCCAGGCACCAGCGCGGCCACGGTCCCCGACGGCGTCCCCGCCACCCGCGGCCGCAACCCGTGCACCGAGCACAGCACACGCATCGCCGCCACATTCACCTGCCACACCAGAAAAAATGCGCTACAGAATACCCCTTGAAACCAAAAAGCCACGTTCACCCGTCACGGCATACCAACCCATTACTTGCTGCAGAGCTCTTGGGTAGCCTGATCTCTGATGCAGCAATGCATACACTTAGACAGAACGAAAACAAGCAACTCCCAGAGGTCATCTAAGTAAGTGGCCTTGCCTCTGAAGCGACACTGGATACCCTTGCAAGCATGAGAAGCATGCAAGTCCCATATTATCTGAGCAGCGAACAAACGCTGGAGACTTTGCGCATGATGAAACGGTTGCAATCGATGCCCGCACACTATAGGCTGGACCCATTGTCCCACGGTGGTGCTATCAAGAAGCATTTGAAAACATGTGTGGCCACGAGGTAAGGGGCAGGAGCATGTAAAGGGGAGGTGGACGCACCATGCGGATGGTGTTGTCGGCCTGTGTGAGGATGTAGCAGGCGGCATCGCTGGGCACCGGGGTGATGGCCGTCAGCGCGCCAGCCATGCGCGGCAGGTACGTGCGCGCACCATTGTCCAGCCGCCAGATCACCTGTCGTCCAGAATGCACAGTCCCTAATTCCAAGTCTTCCAGCACCGGCCTCACGTTCTGTCCATGGTACTGCCTTGCAATCCCTAATTATGCCGCCATGATATTGTTCCCAGGAACACTAGGGACCATTCGCCCGAGATCCATCAACACACTCCTGCACACCTGCTTCCATCCACCTTTTGCCAATATGCAGAAACATACAGCGGCCTGCACAAGATACTTGTTCTCGTTGCAATTGCTGGCGCTCTTGACAGCAGCAGCAGAAGAAGAGTGTGTGCGCACCAGCACTGCTTCTGCGCCGCCAGAGAGCAAGTAGGAGCCGTCCTGGCTGAAAACTATGCTGCGGACGGCGCTGGAGTGCCAGTGGAGGGTCTCCTTTGCCAGCCCGGCATCCCTTACCTCCCTGCTCTTTCGTTTCTGCCCCTGCTGCTGCGCCGACTGGGATGCCACCTCTCCAGCGGCTCCCTTGTCCTCTGAGGCGGCCGCTGCAGCAGCGACAGCTGGCGCAAAGCCGTTCCACATGCTGATGCGTCCGCTGACATCACCGGCCGCCACCCTGTCCCCTGTTGCATCTATTGCCACGCACTGCAACAAAATTGCGAAGTGAGAACGTTGCTGTGAGAGCCGATATCACATATAATCCAACACATAACGTGCTGCATCGATGTCTAGCAATGCCCCAGCTTTGGAAGGGAGGTGTGCATCTAAGAGACAACACTTGAAGAAAGCGGTGGTGCTTACAGTGAAAGCCTTTGTGTGATGGAGGGCGAGCGGTCTCTTGTCTGCGTCCTTCGTAGACCAGATGAAGAGCGTGTGCTTGTCAATTGTGGCGACATAGCCACCTCCCGGGCTCACCTGCAAATGGGCACAAAAATCATGAACTGATCTGACACAGCACAAAATTGAGCTTGACTTGTGGACTGCTCCTACAGTCTTGAGCTGCATCAAGGTCAGCAAGCAGCCAGTAGGTCTATGGTGACCGCATGCACTGCCAAAGAATGGCAAGATCGTACTGTGAGGGGCCTGGCTGCAGAGGTCCGGTGAACCTGTGGCTCAAGGGCGGCTGTTGCCAGATTCAGGCGTAGCACACGGCCCTGCTTCTGGCCTCCAGCGTGCGCGACTGAAATGAAGGCATGCAAACCCACCGCTGGCACTACCTGCGCAGCAAAAGAAAAATCATCAGAGACACTGTTGCGTCAGCAGATGAGATAAGAGAGGTTGAAAGGTACGCTTTCGATGGTTAAAAGGATTGCGTAAGATGACTGCCTCCTCACCATGCTCCTGATTGGCGAGCCAACATTGAAGGTCTTCAAGAGGGTTCCTTCTTTGATATCCCACAAGCGCACTGTTCCATCACTGGAAGCAGAGTAGACCTGCGGTAATTGCCGAATCAGGTAAGCTGCAACTTTCGATGAGCCTCTATTGGTCATCTGTATTGGTCATCTGTCATATGCAACAAGCCATATGCAAAAGCTCTTGCACAATGCCTACAGCAGCCAAGCAAGAACACCGACAACTAGAAGATCTGTTTCGCAAAATCCGGCAATGTCCCAGAATCAAATACCTTTCTGCTACCATGTGGGCTTAACGCAAGGGCTGTTACATCCGCTGTGTGCCCCTTCAGCTCAAAGATCAGTGCTGCAGTGGCACTACTATAAACTCTGACTGCTGCGGCTGAGGCTGTCAATATACTCTGGCCGTCCCTCGAAGCTATGGCACTGATCGATGATATGTATCCACCTCCCATCCTGCCTAAGACGGAACTACTGCACTCAAGCTCTCCTTCCCAAGCTTGAGTCGCCGTTCCGGAACATCTCGACGACCCCTAGATTCCGCAAGGCAGGAAGCTAGAGCACGTCGCAATTGCGATTAGAGAAACGCCCATGTTGATACGACCTGCACTAAGATTGATAGATATAGCTCTAGAGCAATGACTGGTGATGATTGAGACAACGTGCAGATGTTGCTTAATCACTGAAATTTTGATGGTGTGCCCTCCCGATCAGTGTCTTACTTCTCACGTCAATAGAAACTTTTGGATCTGTCAGTAATTATCCTATCTTATTTTCAGTTGATGACTTCAACACTGCAGCAAAATGTCAGGCGTCTGGCCATCGAGCATCCAGCTCTCCAGCGCATGGCTGTTCAGGCAATCTGGAAGAGCTTGGGTCAGCATGGCACGTACACGAGCAAAGAAGGAGCTGCTACGTTTCAAGAGATTTTGTCAAGCAAGCACAAGGTAGTGGGTCCGTGAAAGTAGAACGTCTATGCTATTCTCTCGTGAAGAGACTGGACTGCTGACTTCGCTTGGTGACTCAGGTGGTTGTGGAGGAAGCTGTACGTCAGCTCATTGCTTTTGTCCCGAAACCGGGTATGATTAGGAGTGCCTGGCAATGAGTTGCCGATCGAATGTTCATTGCAAGCCACCCACTTTGCGAGGTGCCTGTCATCTGAGTGAGGCTTGCCGCCTTGCAGGTCTATCAACCTCTGATGCTGCTGGTCTCCTCCTAGCATCCCTTAGCACCAGCGGTGGGTAAAGCTTCGTTGCATTGGGCGCGCTTGCATGCCAGTGTTTGTGCGGTTTCTGGGTTCTTGAACGCCTTCCCGAAAGACTTGGAGGCATATGCGCAATGGTAGACCACTGCACCTGATCCTCAACCCCTCAATACCCCTACTAATGCCCGTTCTCCTGCGCAGATACCGCCACTGTGCCGCCTTTGGTGCGGGGTCTGGTTGACCTCTTCAAGAAGCAGGCGGAGGAGGGCAGCCAGCCAGCAGCTGCTTGGCAGGCGCACCTGCTCAGCAAGACACTCTGCGCGCACCCGGAAGCCTCCTATCAGCTGCTGCAGTGCATACAGCAGTTGCTGGTGGAGATCAATGAGTACACGGAGCCGCCGCCCTTGTGGACGCATCTGAGGCCTTTCTTGAGCTTCGCTCTGCTTGATCCCGGACCTCAAGGTAAAACACATTGTGCAAAGCTCCATGTGTACTGCTGTTGACACGGAGCAGCTTTGTATGTTCAGATTGATGCAATCGGTACATAGTGCCGGTGGTCAGGTAAGCATGTACTTGCAGCATGGATTGTGGTGCTTGATTCAGTACAACCCAGGAACATTTACATGTTGGGTTTGTGTGTTCAGGAGAGAGGCTCGTTTTTGCATTGAGCCTGCACAGCATTCTTTGCAATTTCTCATGTCAGGACTCGCCAATTCTGGAGTTGCTGACCTTCCATACACCATGCCTTCCACTGATGACAGCACCGCAGCGCAACTTTGCAGTCCAAGCAGCTTCGAATAATATCAACCTTGTTCGCAAGGCTACAACGGGCATAAATGCTTCATCAGGTGGTGATTCCTAGGGATTGGTCTAATTCCACAAGCGCAAGCAGGAGAAGATTTGCATCTGTTTCAAAAGTGATAAATTTGGTTGGTCTCTGTCCAGATCAAGGCCTGCAGAGGGAGGTCCTACAGGGGATTAGGCAGCTGTGCCATGAGCTGAAGTCTCAGGGACTCCCAGGGCATCTTTTGCAGCGGCAGCTTGGGTCTCATTTGTACTGGGAAGATGACGAGGAAAAGCTTGCGTTGGAGGTTGCTTTGCTGGCTCATAATAATGCCAGCCCGGCTGACCCTGACTTGATGGACATGGTGTCAGAGTACTTTGGTTATGACGGGCTGGGGAAGACAACAGTCCCCCTAATATTAGGTGAGCACGCTGCAATCATGCTCCTTGGCTGCAGGCATCGGCGCTTTGACATCTAATTGGCAAGCATTTCAGCATGCATGCAGAAAGCACCTGCAGAACCATATGCACTTCGTGGCTGCTTTTGAAGTATTGGTCATTCCTGTACAGGGCTTTATCTGAGTCCTATCATGCACACGCTTGTATTTGATGCGCCGCCCCTTGCCAAAGAGAAGGCAAATCACCTCCTGCACAAGCTGCGCTTGCCTGAAACGGATGAAGACGACTCAGCAGCCAAGGAACTCGCCAATGCTAACCGGCGTGTCCGTTTTGAGAGGACAGACCTCAGGTGGAGCCTGTGCGCCCTGAACACAGGCTGCTGCAGCCTCCTCCGGAACTTTTTCAACAGCAGCGGTAGGCATTCTCTTCCCTTTGAAAGTTCCTTGTGCCTTCTTCCTCGCAAGAGCTCTGCATGCAAATTACAACTCACAATAAAGACATGAATGATTTTGAAAGTCACTGCATGTTGAGCGCTGTGAAAGCAAGAAGTACACCTGCACACGTAGGAAAAGCATCCTTTCATGCTTCTAAAAGATCTTTCGAGCAGATCTATATTACCTTGCCAACCCCCGCAGCGTGTAATGCTGCTGTCAAGGCCTTTACATTTTGTTAGAGGCACGCGTATTGTTGTAGAATGACTTCGCAAGGGCTCTTCCTACTGCATGCAAAGCACATATCCATCCATATGGATTACATGATTCTGCTTGGCGGACAGGCGGAGAGGCGGTGGGGTGGCTGCAGTCCCTGCAGGCCAGCATGCGCCAGGCAGCAAACAGCAGATCTACAGCTTCGCGCACAGCTGCCGCGCCCCAGTCTGCAGCGTTACCATCTGAGGCTGCCCAGCCGAGCCTCTCTGAGCCATTTGTCATGGCACTGCCGGCTCTGCTGTGCCACCCAGAGGCGGCAGTGCAGGTTAGTGTTTCTTTAAGGGATATTGGTTGGAAGCCGATCTGGCTACAAACTTAAGCTAGATTATATAATGTGGAAGCCACAGGAGTGGCTAGAAGCTGGACTTTTCAGAAAATTCTCTTCAAAAGCGGTGATGCCGGGCGTATTTCTGCTGAGAAGGAATGATGGCTTCCTGTGTTGGTGGGTAACGTTATAGAAGCCAATCGGTGGCTTCAAAAGTAGGACACCCTCGGGTGATTGATGCGCCACGAAAATGCCTTCTTTACTTGTCAGAGCCACGTTGGCTTCAAGACGCCACCAGAAGAAAGTTGGTGCTGCAGGTGGAAGCTGCCCGGACTCTGGCGCAGGCTGTCAAAGCCGTGCCCCTGCTGGGCATCTCCTTCCTGCCGCTCATTGTGTACCACCTGCAGAACTGCACCTCCCCTGGTGAGCTTGCAAATTTGCTTTTAGATACATCACCCGCCATCGCATGCCCCTCCGCCTTGTCATTGCTCCCAAAGGTGGCCCCCCCCCCCGTCGATCTTGACCAGAAACAATAATCGTGACGGTACAAAGATCACTCTAGTTCGAGAAAGATGGGCATCAATCAGCACCTGGTGAATTTTCAGAAGGCCGTAACTGGGGAAGAGGGGGTTGATTGCAGGGGAGGAAGGGAGGGCAGAGGTGGAGTCAGCGCTACTGGAGGCGATCCCAGCAATGGCGGTGCACAGCGCAGCGCTGCCCTTTGTAAACAGGGCCCTAACACAGCTCCCACCTCTGGGTGAGCATCCCTGCACCACCATCTACCGTTGCTCGCTGACGCTTAGGATGGAAGTAAAGGATGACGTGCGGTGAAACTAAAAGATAATGTGCCTTGTCCTCCGGTTCTCTACAACAAGTGTGAGAACGGGTTGGAGGCCTGTTCTGGAGTGACAGCCTCTTTCCTGTGGGTTACTGTGACTGAAGATGAGTCCGTTGTCACCTTGTCACACAGGCTGACATATTTGAGCAATTATTTCTCACTGCAACAATGTGGAGCAGATGCTCAGAACCAAGCGCAAACCAGATGTACCTCATGCTGCATCTGTACAATGAGGGCGCCATGGTGTTGTGTTCCTCATCTTCCTTGGCCGTCTCTCTCTTTCCTAAGATTGCAACTGAAGGGGAGTCAATTATCACCTTGTCACGTAGGCTGCTATATTCAAGAAGCACTTTCTCTAGTGCAACATTATGGATGCAGGCTCGCCCGAGGCAGAGCAAGCGCGGCTGATGCGGCTGCGGGCGCAGCTGTGGCTGGGCAGCGGCCACGGCTTCAATGCTCTGAGCGATGCGCTGCTGGGTACGGGGGGAGAGATTCCCAGCAAGCAGCAGCGGGAGAGCGTGGAGCTGCGAGTGACTCGAGCGCAGTGCCTGCTCGATGTGTGCGCGCAAGATGTCGGCAAGGGCTACCAGCTGCTGGAGGGGATTGAGGTAAGCAGTCTTCTGGATTATGGTGGATTAGGATATATGTGAATGTCAGCCTGTCTCAGGAGGGAGAACAGCAGAAGTCTGCAGCTGCATCGACGCTGGGGAGGGCTCCACGTGACCAGCTGTGTCAGAAACGCATGGTACAGCATAGCGGAAGTGGGAACTGATACGAAACTTTGCTTTGTTGCGTTGATGCAGCTGGCAACTTGAAGCCTCTACAGCGTCAGAGCAGCTGCGCACCACACATATTCTACAGCTCCCCAGAGCATATCACGTGTGGTATTGCAAATTATGTAATGATATGGGAGAATTGACATCCGGGCAGGGGTGTCTGGGGAGTGATCTAGAGGAGGAAGCTGCGCTGGCGTTTGAGGCACTGGCACTGCTGGTGGAGAGGGACGGCCTTAAGTTCCAGAAGGCATGGGCGGCCGTTCAGAGGCGTGCGCCGACGCTGCCTGATCAGGCGTGGGTGGCGGCTGCATGGCTGGCGCTGCTTGGGCATGCCCACCGGGACGCCGAGAAACACCCCGAGCAATTTGCTGGATTCCATGACACGCTGTGGCAGGCCACAGAGCACCCCTCTGCAAGGGTATTTCCTGGCCTCTCTCTATGTGCATGTGGATCGTCCTCAAATTACCATGCACCTCTGATTGTGAAGGAGCTTACTTAAAACGCACTTCAAATTACACCATTGGGTTACCTTGACCAGCACAAAGGAAGTACCAAGACAAACATATGCCCAATGCCAGTTATAGCTCAGCAGAGGTAGGATCGACCACTCTCCGTTCAAGCATTCTCTTCGAATATGAGATTGTGCTATTGTGCGGACGCTTGGATGCAGGTGCGAGCAGCAGCGTACGCGGCACTGGCGCGCTGCCCAATTGAGACTCTGGAGCTGCTGGAGCTGGCCAAGCCTCTGCAGCAGTACAGCCGACTGCTGCTGCAAGAGCGCGATGCTTCCGCCCTGGCCGCCTGTGAGGGCCTCGTCACCGCCGCCCTCTCCTACGAGCATGCCCGACGCCGCAGGTGCCACATCTCTGTCCTGCCAATGTCTTGACATGCTTGGAAAGCCGCACACTTTGTCTCTTGCTGTAGCGTGAGGCAAGGACCTCACGTTGCAAGCTGGGGCTTAATGTGCAGTTTTCTCAACAGCATGCTCTCCTGACCCTGATACTGACAGAGGAAAGTTGGCCTCTTTGGCAGTGCAGATAGAGTCTTTTGAAGTCCAAGGCCGCGTGTGGCAGGTATGTGGGCGTGGCAGCCAAGGGACCAACCGCCGCTACCCAGAAGGCAGAGGATCCACTGCTGCGGCGTATGACCAAGGTCCTGCCCAAGCAGCTCTGCAGGGCGGCGGTTGGATCATCTGGCGGCGCAGCATCCCCCGGTGTGCCCTCTTCTGTTCCCTCTTCACTCGTTTCTTACAATGTCGGCAAGAGCAGTTTGCACTTCATTACCCCTGGTGCAATCAAAATGTACTATTTCTTTCGGTCGGCAGCCCATGGTATGGATCGGTATGCAATGTCCACATTATGCGGGGAGCTTTTAGAAGACAAATGCCCAACTGAAAGCTTCCCTTGTTCATCAGAGCTCGTTCAAAGATCATATCTTCATGTTGATGAAATGCCAGGTGCGCTGCTGCTGTGCTGGGCACCCCCGGCGCCGTCGGCCGATGCGTACGTGACCCCGGCAGAGCACGCGCGCGAGGCGGCGGCTGCGTATCGCGCACGGCTCGCGGAAATCGCCGCGGACGGCCCCGCCACGGCCGGCAACTGCGCCGCCAACAGCGACCTCGTGTTTCACTCCTGGAAGCGCTTCCTGTCCCGCTGGATGGGCGCCCTCAAAGCTGCTTCGCAGTCGGATGGCAGCGCCTCACAGGTCAGCTTTGCTCCTCCCAGGATCAACTGTCTCTGCATTGGACATGTTGTACCGTCTTTAGTTTGAAAGGCAACGCCGGAACAACTCAACATGAAACAAAGATGGTCTCTGAGGCGTGATCGAGGGGACAGATGTCAAGCATGCCAGAGGCATGCTTCACCCTGCCACCTTTAGGGACACAGGTGAAGTTGTGCCCCTAATAACAATACTAAGGCGTTCTCAATCTGACCGTTAGCTTTGCAAGAGATTGAAAGTCTGTTTGCACTCATCTGCTGGTGCTCAAGGAAGGCCAGAGTGCGGTTGAAGAGTTGAAGTCATAGTTATACCTAACTTATACTTATATACTTGCACGTACAGTTTCATCTATAGTCATGTATGAAGGGATAAATTATTTGGCAGGGGGAGGCGGCCACGACTGCAGCGGGCGAGGAGGTGTGGGCAGCGATTCAGCAGGTGATGGAGGAGGGAACAGCACCGGCACCAGACGAGGCAGTGTACGCGGCAGGCGCGCTGTGCTCACTGCTGCATGGCCGGGCCAGGCACACCTGCAGCGCCATCCTCAACAGGCTGACATCAGCCGTCTCGTCCCCAAGGTGCCCAACACCACTCACGCTGCTTGCTTGGTCTGTCAGCCTCTGCAGTAGAATGTGTGTCTCGTCCCCAAAGTGCACACCACCTGAGCTGCTTGCCTGATCACTCTTTCAGAGCTCAGACGATGCATTCTCAGCATGCAAATGTCACAGCGCTGTGAAAAGCACCACCATCTTTTTGCGGGAACCCTGGCTTTCATCACTTGGGGCATGGTTCGATGAGGTAAGTACAAAGGGGATGCTGGAATCACCATGCAAATAAGTGCAATAACGTGGTGTGCAGGACTCATGCTGCGTCAACCAGGGCCTACCTCCTGGCTTTGGGCGCTGCAGCCCAAGGCGGCGAGACATCGGACGCCATTGTATTTCTTGGAAACGCCCTGAGCACGGATGCCGATGCCTCTATGTGGCCAGCAACTGCTGAAGCACTTGGGGCCACTTGTGTCAGCGTGAGTTGTGATCCCTCACTCTTGTATCTAGTGACCGTGTGGGGGTCGGGTCGGGCAGACATAAAATCTATGCATGATGCTGTCCCCTGCTCGTTGTATTTGGCTTTCCATGGGCACGGTCACAAAGATTAGACAATGTTTATTGGGTTCTGAGCGCAGGAGTCTTCAGAAGAAGATAAAGCGGTTGGAGAAACTTTGACGCGCCTTCTGAGATTGCTTTGCCTCAGATCAGCGTTCTTCAGGCGGGGCCTCCTAAGAGCTCTTCAGTGGCAGGTATATATTTTTATGTATCATATGTATTCCTTCTTGCCGTGTGACTTTCCTTCATCGCATCATGCATGCACTTGCTAGCCTGATCACACCTCAGCAACTGAGCAATTCTCACGCGGACTCATTTTGTCACAGGTGGAGCCCAGTGATATGCCCGAGCAATCAGCCGAGATTACCGGCATTGTGAAAGGTGCGCAAGGAGGGTCACAAATTCCACATAGAAAGTCTTCACCTTCTACAGTCCTCGATAGGGTGTCTCAACGGTTGAGCCCGCACAAATCTTTTCCGCAGGTGTTGCAAAAGTTTTGCATGCCATGGAAACCAGTAGATCTGACGAAGTGCTGCGCGCTCTTTTTGGGACTTGCTGCACTGGCCTGGTGGCCATGTCGCTTCGAGCTGCAGACGTGGGTCTTTCCAGCGAGGGCGTCTGCGTTCTCTTGCCTGCTCTTGTCACCACAATGCTCAGCATGGGATTGGCCGATGGATCTCATATCCAGAAAGCGCTGTCAGGCCTCCGGGGCGTTCTCACAGCCCGCCACTTGCCAGGTCTGCTCTCCACCCGCCTGATGCGCCCATAAGCGAGACATCAAAGGGCCACTTAATCAAGATAGGTGCAAGCTGTCGTTGAATTGTCAATTCTGCACGTACGTTGCATTGTGGACGCTCAATGCCATCTTCAAGATGGTTTATGATGCTACTCGTTCATAACAACAGTGCAATTCTTCATGGTAGCATGGCTGCCTGGTAGCATGACATGCCTAGCTGAGGTAGTGTAGCAATTTTCATGGCGGCAGTTTGTGATATGCCCAGGTCAGGTAGTGGGAGCGGCGGCCACCAGCTTGGGATGTCTGGTGGCCGGCCTGGCGCCAGATCAGGCGCATGCTGAAGCGCAGCGCAGCGTGGACGCCATGCTGGCGGCGATAGGGAACGCCCCCCGGCTGGCGCAGAGCGGCGGGGCCAGATCTGGCATTGCCGCCGGCCTGGCCGCCTTGCTGGGGGCCCCCCACCAGCTGCCCGGGGTCCCCCCGGCGGTGGGACCCCCCGCCCTGCTGGCCTCCCCGCAGACTGCTGACGCCACCAAACAGGCGCTCCAGGTGTGACACCTGTCATCTACTTTGCTGGTATGATGACACACCGCACATGCTCCTGCTCTGGGCTGGAGATCATCCATCAGTGCCACCTTGTGTACGACATTGTGCCTGCGAGCTAGCAATGCAGGGTCTTAGCAAGATTGATCTGAGGTGGTATCAGCAAAATGAAGCCATGATCAATGTTACTGACACAGGCACTAGAGGCGCTGGCAACGAAAGAAGCGGACCCTCAAGTGCGCAGAGCGGCGGCCTGGGCTCTGGCGGACGCTGCCGTTGCAGCGCGCGGTGGGCCAAGCCCGGGCGCACCAGCCAGACCAGGTGCAGCAAAGGGTCGTTAATGGAGGGCCACTGACTTTTCCCAATTCCCTGCGACCCATCTAATGCTTTGCCTCATAGGTCTCTTCAATTGGGCATGTCTTTGCTGCCAGCTTGGGCACTTGGCGAACACACATAGGGGTTGCAGGATGTCTCAAGTTGGTAATGGGCCTCCTCGTGTGGCTCACAGTTGCTGGCCTTGTGCAGGGGCGAGCGCAGACGCGAGGGCGTTGCAGTCTCTGCCAGAAGACGGCGCCATGCGCAGCCTGCTTCAGTATGCCCTCAACGCTGCAACTCAGTCTGGTGAGCTACAACGAACCCGTGCTATATCACTCGGGCTTTATATGCATCATTCTCCAAACATGATCGCCTCTTCAGATAACGTGTTCCATTGCCAGTCCCCGATATCTTTGGAGCCTGTGACATCACATGAGGCTCTGTGTGCCGGTCTTTGGCAGGGGCCCAAAGCTGCTCAGCAGTTGTGCTGCACTGCCTGGCAGCTGCGGAGAAGCTGCCACCAGTCAATGTGGGCGCGTTGTGCAGCAGTTTCCTGCAGCGAGCGGATGCCACGCCCTCGCTGCAGGAAGCAGCTGTTGCTCTGGCACTGCGGCATTCTGAAACAACAGGTGCATCCCGCCACATAAGCCCATGCATGACAGCAATGCGGCAAAGACAGCATAAAAGCTGGGCCATGCTATGGAGCACATTGTTATATGAGCCCACAGTTGACACTGCAGAGCACGATGATGAATGTGTAGATTGCAGCAACGTCTTCAGTTAAGTTGAGCATACTACTAATATGTGATAGTGATGCTTGACAGGTTTTTCTGAGCATACTGCTTGTCATGCAGGGGATTTCCTGGAAGGTCTATTCCAGCAGAGCAGCTTTTCGTCTCTGTCCTTGCGCCTTCACATGCAGCTGCTGACTGGACTTGGCGGAGCCGTCAATGCTCTGTCCGCCACTCGCAGCTCTCTGCTCTTATCATCGGTCCCACAACTCTGCTGCTCCACTGGTGCACACCAGCCGGGCGCAGATTCCACAGGTCGGTGTTCTTGTTTGTTATGGCCAGAGTGACTATTATACTGTTGTGCAACTAGGTATGATGCGTACCAAAAAGACCTGCAGGAATGCTATCTGTCTGAACCTACTGCTAGGTGCTGCTAAATTGAACAAAGTGATGTCAAAGAAGGCCATTCTGTCGGAAAGGGGGTTATGAAGAGGAAATCATGTTGCAGGTGACGAGGGATTGCAGCTTCAGACAGCTGCCTGGGAGGGGCTGCGGAGCTTGCTCAGGGGGAATGAGGTGTCAGGCAGCGGAAGCATCAGGGGTTTGACGAATCTGGGGGATGTGAGCGATGCTGTGTACCAAGCCATGCAGGGCCTCTTTGCGCTGCTGCCCTCACCACCCGCAACCCTGCCAGGTGCGCTGGGTGAATCTACAGCATCAACTGTTCCTGTGTTTTGTATGTATTGATAGAGCTTCTTCTTGCCGTGTTGTCCCATCAAATTGTCCTGATTCATGCCCTTATGTACCAGTTGTGCAGAGTAGATCTCACTGTGCTGTTCGTTGGCAGGTGAGGAGGTTGACATGGAGGCCTGCAATGCAAAGGCACAGCAGACCAGTAGGAAGGGAGATGCTGCAGATGCGCAGCTTGATTGCCACTCAGATGCATCCATTTTATCCCTCTGGAGTGCTGTGCTGCAGTGCTTGAAGGCTGCCGACAAAGACAAGGCGAGACCCTCAATGTGCTTATCCATTGCTCAGCAGACACCTTTCTGATCAATTGGCATGGCTCTGAGAATGTCCACAGGGAACATAACCTTCCTGGGGTCAGCGTCATGTGAGAATGTTCGAGTGTTGCTGTGCTGTATGGGGGTGACCAATACTCCCCAGGGGTACACCTGAGGCTGCCTGGTTTCTCTGCAGGTGCTGTCCCTGCTGCCCTGCTCAGAAGGCTCACCGGCAGGTGCCGGCCAGGTATTTATCAGGGCCATGCTGGTGCGATGGGGGGCGCTGCCACTCACTGAGCTGCAGCCCTGTAGGTAGGGGAATCCCCAGCTGCCATCTACACTCTTTTGATCCTTGCATGTCTCTCCTTACACTGCGCGCATTTCGTGATGTCTGCCTACCTGTTTCAAGCACTCTTGCATGTCTCTTCTTACACTGCGTGCTTTGGTGATGTCTGCTCGCCTCTGCTCAAAATAGTAATTCTGGGCGGTGACTCATGTGCTAGGCTGACCAACGATTTACATCTGCTGTGCAGGATGTGGTGCATTAGGAGCACGCCAGATCTGGCCGGGCCACTTTTGGCAACAGTGGCCAGGTCTACAGCGGCGATGCCTCACACGCAGAAGCAGCAGCTGCTCATGGAGTGCCTGGACCTCGTCACGGTGCGCTTTCCATTTTCACCTATCATCTCTGCTTGCCGGACAATGACACATTGAAGAGAGAACACCTGACAACCAGGGCAGTGTATGAGTTGACTCAATTGCTCACAGGAATACATTGCCTGCATGCTACCTGCCTGACAGCGCTGAACTTGCTAGAAAAGCAATTGTTAGATTTCTAGGCGTATGGCAGTGTGTGGAATGGCTACACTCCTCACCGTGGCAATCAGCCTACTTCTGCCTGCCTGACCCTGCTAGCCTTGCCAGGAATATCATCAGAAGCCCTCAAATGCAAGACACTATGTGAAGTGGCTCAACCCCTCACCGCAACATTCTCATTGGTGCAGGTGTGCGAGCATCCGGCGCAGGCCTTCACGATGGCAGCACTTCTGGCGGCGACGTGGCGAGCGCAGCTGCACAGCGATCCAGGGGAGACACACGTAACTGCGCAGTCGCCACCGGCCGCGGCTGCAGCGCTGCCTTATGCCCTGCCCTCCTTGCTGGAACATCCCCAGTGGCGCCCGGCGGCCGATGCTGCTGCACACAGGCTGGCTGCAATCGTGGAGCATGCGGCTGGCAGCACCATGGTTCAATGTGAAGTGCTGGTGGGTCCCTGCCTGCTGCGCAAGTGTCTACTTGGTGATCGCACTGCCTTGTAGGTCTCTCTTGTCTTGATGTGCTGCTTCAGAAGCCGGCATGGCAAAGTAAGCAGGTGCTCTGCATCTGATGGGCACTCGGCACGTGATGTGAATTGCTCCCAAGATCATGGTCTCAAAGAATGTTGAAGCATCACATTGCTTGGGTTGGGGTGATATCCTGTCAATCGTGAGGCTGTGTGTGATGAAGGAATCTGTGGCCTGCAGGGAAGAGGAGCGCTTCCTGTCCCGATACTGGAGCTTGCCAGGGCGTGCATCATCGGCATGCGAAACCTGTTGACACCGCCCGCATGGAAGCATGTCTCTGCCATGGCTCTGCATGAGCCCTGAAAATCTATGCCGCTTTGAATTCAGATTGTCATCTTAAGGGATTGGGGATGTAACAAATTGAAAATCGCTTTCACTATTGTCACAATCGTAAGTCTGCACAGCTGTCAAGCATGCACTCTCATTGATAGAATGGCCCTTCGAAATGAGCGCTTGTTGCAGCGCATGTATCGGTAGCTACAGCTATAGACACCACCCGGAGACAGAAAAAGGCCACTCGACACTCCACATGCAAATTATGCACCAATTAATGCAAAGCACGTGGAAATAATCATTGTCCAAACAGCTTATGGGTACTGGTCAATCATGATGGGATCTAGACTATGAGAGCAATTCAACATACCCACGATCCAAGCTGTGTACTAAACATTTCTGCCGGAGATGGAAGGCTGAATTTCCCGCCAGCATCCTGGTTTGTCAGGGTATTGCGGCACTGCAAACAAGTCTGAGTTTCTGGGACATACCAGGCTGCTGGCTTTTGCCTGTGCAGTGCTTTCTCAGTGAATGTTTAGTTCACTCATGACGCAGGATTGTGACAGGTGCACTGCAGTTGTGAGCTCAATTACCTCAATGCCTTCACCTGCGAGACGTGCTAATTACCGATAACCCAGGTAAAGGTAAGGCGATACACATTAAACAGCTGTGCGGGTGGGGGCACCATACCTTGCACTGCAGCGGGTGCATCTCAAAGTCAGCCTGATCATTGCATCGCTGCGGGCACGAATGATGCGCATGAGAGCAGCTTTGCTGATGTCCATGAGCTGCGGCCAATGGCGCGGGTAAAAGCAACCAGCAATGTAGCGCTCACAGCAAAATGCCAGCATTTGCAGACCATAGCGCTCGGCCAACACGAGGTTATTGATTGTCTGGCATCTCCCCTTTCAAGTGCCTACTTCCTGCCCAAGCATGCAGAGCTGAGAAATAATATCTGCAAATTTGCTGAGCACCAGACAAATATGCGTAAGCATGAGTGCTGGCATCAACAAAATGCGCCTTTATCTGCTTCCAAAAATAGAGGAGCCAAGGGAAGGACCTCTCACCCAAAGTTCCAGCTTGCTTTTTCCATTAAGGCTCGCAAGATCCGCCGTACTTCTCACAGCTGTCCAGAATCTCTTGAATGTCGAACTTGTGAGCGGTCTTCAGAATGCTGGGCATTGCCTCGATAGAATTGCCTTTTGACCGTCGAAAGTGTATAGAGCAACCAGGAAGTCACAGGCCTCCTTGAAAGAGGTGTCAGGGAGCGGAAGCTGCAAGTCTGGTCTAGGCCTTTTCCTCCCTTGGCCGCTGGTTCCCTCGTTCAGTATCATATCAGCGATTATGGGCGAATGCGTGGTCAGGTATTGCGAGTGCACAGGCAGAACATCGCCACTGTCTAATACCATCTCAAGATCAGCACTATCCTTGTAGTGAGCTGCTTTTCCTTTAAAGTAGGATAGGTCCTTTCCCTCTCGCGCATCTGAGTTGGCAGCCATCAGGAGAATCCGCCACGAAGATTTATGAACAGGCGGTCTGGAATCTTCAGGAATTGGGCGCAGAAACGAAGACTATTTCTAGCACCCATTCCTCTTTTATATTAATTCGATCGTCTTCCAGGGTTTGAAGGATAGGGTGAGGGGAGCAGTATCGTTGATGCCAGCTTGGAAACTGACATAGATGCTGTTTCACAGCCATTTGCACCAACACTAGACCACAGAAGGACCCAAAATTGCAATTGGACACATGACATTTTCATTCACCACATCTTCTGACACACTACCGTTGTCTCGGCCAAGCCTACGGTGTTCAAAATATAAGAATGATCCAACTTAAACATACAAATTAGGGGGTCATATCTATGTACCAGGTCACGAGCTAGGTCAATTTTTGAAAGTCTTCACTCTTCTCAGGCGCTGGCTACAGCCCCCAAGCCACCGTCCCGCATGCATGACTCACTACACTGGAAGATCATCCGTCGTCTGTGCACCACCATTCTCCTGCAGCAGAAACACACAACTAGTGAGCAAGAAAGGGCCGCAAGCCTCATGCTCTGCAAGCGCATTTGCCTCGCATTGCCTTCTTCTGATGACATGCAGAATTCTGCAGATTCATGCGTGGTGCCTTCGTATCACTTGGATCCTTCTTGCCTCAGAACACGGTGGCACTGGTGCATGTTTGTCATCCCCACGTGACAAGTTGTCACTGACGAAGTTCAAGGGCAACGCACTAGGAGGGGCTGTTGGATGGCTGGCATGGGTCTGCCAGTTGTCCTGGAGCGTTGCAACTGAGTCACCCGCTGCCCGGGTGTCATGTTGTCCAGGTCAGCGCTGCGCACGCTGTGAAGCCCCTGCACCCCGGATAAGTCCAGTCAATTAAGCATGCAGAATCTCACTACCTCCATGTATCAAGTGCAACCTCCAGTGCCTGCCAGCAAAGCAGCTGATGAAGGCCATAATGAAGGGCCTTGTGCTAACGAAACGCTTGTCGCTTCTCTGACTTCTCTGAGTCATCACACTGATAATCTGGATTGCACATCAACAGCATTCACGACTGTAGGGATATACATGTGAAAGGTTGGGAATGTGGGGCAAGTAACTTGCCTGCAGGTTGGTGTTTTGGGCCTGTTGATTGAAGGCGGCTCGCGCGGCTGCCGCGGAGCCGGAGCCGCCGGTGACGTTGGCCGAGTTGCGCGTGACCATCAAGTTGCGTAGGTGCGGCGGCAGCGCCTTCAGCAGTACGGCAGCATTCACCTACGCTCAATAAAATCATGTCTTGTCTGCGACCAACGTTCTTGATCCTGGATTCTTCTGTTAAGTTGTCCGCACATAGGACCTCGCTCAGAGGATCCCTAGTCTCTACTCTAAGTTATCTGTGAATCTGCCGTCGTTTCGAGCTCCCCAGCCCCTCATTTTCGCAGCTCTAATTGGATTTGGGCAGGCCATAAGGAGGTAATCCTTTTTGGTCCCAGGTGCTCCTTTAGACTGGGCAGGCTAACAAGAATGACAGCAGGATGCAGCAGGCTGAGTCAGGACGTCAAAGAGGGACTTTCCTGCCATTCTGTGAGTTGCTGCTTCCAACTTTTGCGTCAAGGCAAGGCTCGGCACGTCCATATTGCGGCCAAGTAATAAACTTCAAGCATGTGAGGCACACTGCAGATCCTCGCTAGCAAAGGGGAAATGTCGCGGCACCTTCTGCATGCGCATGTTGTCGACAAACTGGTCGGTCTCGTCCACAATCTCCTGCTGCAGCAACTCTTCCAGCACGTCCTCTATGGTGATGATGCCCACCGGGTCATCCGGCGCTGGCTGCCCCAAAGTCGCCGCCACAGCCGCCGCCGCCGCGGCCGGCGTCCCAGGAGTCGCCTCTGAGACCCCCTCCTGCACCATGCGATCACTGAGCTCAAGCCAGTGCAAAACAACAACATTACGATGCACTCGTAAAGCCTGGGGCATGACTAAGGCGAGACAGGCGAGACCAGCCAAACGCATGGTTGACCTGCTTGCAGCCTGAGAGGTCTGGCAGCATACTTGTGTTTTGTACTGACCCGTGTGGCACACAGACAGACTGTCACAAGAGAAAGAAAGGGTCAAGATACGCACGTGACTGCCATTTGCGGCACACATGCTGTCCGACTGCGGCACGAGAAGAGTGACATCGTCTTCTTTTGCCCGGCGTGGCGGTGTGCGCGAGGCCTTGATCTGGTGGATGGACTCCGAAAGGTCGCGCGGGGGCGTTCCCACCACCATCGGGGTGTCCTCACCACCGCCGACCGGGACCCCCACCACCGTCTGGGGGGGAGCGGGGGGCGCTGTCAGCACCACCATGTGGCTGCGCCCCGTCTGGAACAAGGTCAGCAAATCGTACCTGCGCAGCAGAAAACATGCTGTAAACAATCACCCTCCATTGTCAAACGCATTTCAGAAGATGAGGCCTGGTGTCTGGGAAACTTCTCAGCAGCAACAGCCACACCAGGGCCAAGAAGACCTTCGATTCACCAACATTGGGGAAAGTGTCCTCCTTGGCAGAATTTTCAAGTGTCCATCATCACATCGGGTCCAAAGTACCAATTTTCTCAGGCATCTTGTGCTGATGTGTGATGGGTATCACACTCCTCTCAGTGTTGTAGAGGCTAGGCACAAAGAATAACCAGGCTTGGTGATCGAGACGGGTTGTCGATAGCACTGATGTCTGTGCTTGCACTGTGTGTTGGTGTAATCCCCTGAGAAAAGGATAAAGGATTGTGTCCAAGGGCTATGCCAAATTAGCTGTGTAAGGAGGAGTGGAAGTGCGCACATGGCGGTGTCTGCGCGCAGCATGGGCAGCGGCCGCATCTTGACATCGCTGACGCGCGTACCCGCCTCCAGATCCAACAGCGCCAGCTCCTTCACTATGATGAGCCCCAAAACATCCCGCCTGCACTCCACATGCACTACCCTTATTTATCTCTTCGCCGCGCAAATTTTGACCGATTTGCTTACTTCTGGGAGTGAGAATGGGAGACAGACTCTGACTTCCCGCCAGAAGCATCTGTCTATGGCTAGATAAGCATGGTTCATGATGGCATGTTCATCGAGCCATCGTGGCTCTGATCGAAGCCGAAAAAGAGTAGAAAGCAGTAACAGTCGCAGGAATGGGGGAGGCAAGGGGCGTGCCTGTTTCCCGGGCGGTGCACGGGGACGCGGCTGTGGCCGGAGCCCAGCACTGAGCGCATTGTGGCCACATTCAGCTCCGTGTCAGCCGACAGCATGAACACCTAAAAAGGCGCACACACCACCAACAATCAGGATGTCCCCGCTCTTTCCTGCAACAGTTTACTAATCCAACAGTGTATCGCTGTGACAGCATTGGATACACTTTATGTAAAGCCTCCGTCTGTACATGTAAATGGCCCATATAGCCACGCTGATGCTGACACCAGCCTGAGCTGCAAGAGAGGCAGCCAAGGGCCAAGAAAACAATGCTGTGACAGGGGCATCATCCCATTTTAATGGAGGTGAGATTTCTTTTTGAAGGATGCAGCGTGATTGCTGCCACGTCATAGCAGAACTCTCTGCTCTTGCAAGGACATGCCACAGCATATGGATGCATGTGTAAATCCACAGAATACCTGAGAGCTTTTATGCTTGCGGACAACATGTGATCTCCACAGCAGAGCCGGGACAATATGGTCCCGGCTAACAGTGCCGGGTGTTTGGCAGTACTAGTGCTGGCGATCCTGTTAGATCAATGTGAGTGGAAAACCCCACCTTGTCAAGGGGTGTCATGCCGACAACAGCTTTCTTCTCGGTCATGTCGAGGGCGCCCCGAATGATGTTGATCTCTTCAGCGCTCAGGTAACCGCCACCTATGCCGTCCACCTCGCTGTGAATGTCCACCAGCGCCTTCAGCTGCCCACGCCGGAACAGCGCCTGCACAGTGGCTGTTGTGAGGTGATCTCCTGACACCATGCTATGCTATGGTGTGTCAACTTCTGCTGCAGTGCAGTGTATTGCTTGCACAGATCAAGCTTGTCACAAGAGAATGACACTCAACATTGTCCTATTCACCAGAGCAAATTTCTCCATTTGCCTGCCATTTCCCAATCATTTAAAATACAGGAATAGTGCACTGTTCTGTTTGTCTCAAGCCCCAAATTGTCTTGAAAGACACATGGGCACTTTGGAGACTACATGATACACTACACGACATCCAGGTGTGAATGCGTCTCAAAAACTCCTGGGGTTCAAGAGAGGGTTTTCACCCCATGCTCGCTGCCCAGAAGATAGTCCAGGACCTTGGAGATGGGGTAGGAGATAATGCCCACTGCAAATATCAGGGCGCGCACAAACCAGGCCGAGTATGCCCCGATCGCCAACCCATACCTGGTGCACAGCGCCTGAGGAATTATCTCACCTGCCAAACAACACATACACGCCTTCATAAAAATTGTAAATACAGGCTCTAAGTATTCCAAGGTACCTCATAAAACCAGCGGGGCTGACAAGTCTGGTGTTCACATTGATGAATCAGCTGTGTACCTTGTTGGGCTTGGTCGGCTTGGGGCAGTCTTGATGTGAACGGTGATTAGTTGACTAAGCGCGTGCAAGTACAGAGGTCCAGAGAAGGGATATCAGGGCGCACCAAAGAACAGGACAGCAGTCACTGACAGAATAATGGCGGCAACTGGGCTGAGGAGCCGATCCAGGAAGATTGGCAGCGCCTCCATGGCAGCTGCATTCACCAGCAGCAGCGTGACCAGCAGCAGGTGCGGCCTGCTGAGCACCTGAGCACCATGCACACGCATTTGATCTCCAGAAGTGCACCACCGCAATGCCTGCATGTAATGTACTGCTAGCACCCTTGGATGTACTGTAGGTGGCAGGCCTTAATACAGCACTTTATTGAGCATGCTGGCCAATGCCAGCAGCATTGGCCTGGAGATTCGACAAAGGATGGGCCCTCACTGGTGCGATCCTCTTGGCATATTTCTGCTCCGTGGGTGTTCCGCTGCGTATGAGCACCTGCCAGCAAGGAGAATGAGCTCGTGAGGTCTTCCAGCACATTTTCAAACAAAGTCTGGCTGATCAAAACAGTAAATACAGGTCTGTGGTCTGTGGTCAGGATCGGCTCTGCGCTGATGGCTTCTTCTCGAAAACAAAGGGGTTTCCACAATTTAAAAAATCCCTCGTGTGAGCATTTGATGGCTAGAATACGATTCTATGAGGATGCCTTTATGAGGAGCCACTGTACCTCCAAATCGATGCTGTCCATTGACATGAGTCCCAGCGTCAGTCCGCTCATCAGGCCAGCCAACAGGACCAGTCCTGGAGATTAAATTAGGAATTGTTTGTTTTGTAATGTAGCTTTGTCAGAACACGAGCACGGAAGCTCGTCCGAGGCGCGCCTTGAGCACATGCACTTGCAGCTTGAAATAAACAGGATCGAGCGAAACAGACTCCGACGCAATCAAACTTACCAATACATATTATAATATAGATCCATCTTATCTCCGGATTCTCTTCCTCTGTGCCCAGCCACAAATTCTTCAGATCGTCCAAGCTGGTTCCCTCAAACATCTTTGCTTTTAAGGACCTCCCATAATTCCTGAAAAGCCACTTGAGGCCTTCATACGGATTTATTGTCCGTGTCTTGTTTCCAAGCCCTGACAGAAGTGGGTAGATGCTGTTGAGCAGAGATGAGATGTGAATCTGAGGATGCCCAAAGAGCTGCCCAAGCCGGGTAGCTGCTGGGCAACTTCCACATCAAAGTTCTTCATGCATCCCAAGGATACGTCAACGGATAAGCTGCACAGAAAGCCAATAGACGACACAAAGGGCCTGGGCGTCTCCATGAGCAATTCAAGCAAACACGATCTCCAGCTGTCCTCGGCTGCTGGCGCCTCGCCCGTCTCTGCAACTGCCACCGGCGAATTGCCGGAGCTGCAAAGGCTAGGAGGAGCCGGTCCCACCCGCCGACATGCGGGGCCGACATGCCGCACTTTGTCCCCATGGCGTATGCGGGCCTTGCGCTCTGGCAGCAATGAGGCCATGGCCGGCCCGGTGGAGAGGCAAGCCCTCGTCCATGCATGCTACACGCCCGTTCATATTGATGACCATGCCGCCCATCTTGGCAATGGCATGTTGGCCAAATTCTGGACTTGGGCATATAGTCTCGTCTAGGAATATGGATGTGAACCCAGTACGAAATTTGCAGAAACTGATTCCATGCATTCGGCATGGATAGATATCTGATGCATCCAAGGTTAGTAGAACCTACATTAACTCTACACTATTTCACTGAACTATTCTTCTCCCCTTGATGCAACACCATGTATACAGCCAGGATCTAAACTTGGTGCTAGGGTGGCGAATACAATGCAGCGAGGCGAGGAAGGGAGAGCGGATACGATCGTAGGCCAATCCCCTCTCGAGTCGATAATCACTGGTTCGAGTCTCCGAGTACGTAGTTCTTTTTCACTTTACTCCCCCGGCTTCTTCCCACAGGCAGGATCTAGACATACTATCTAAGCTAGGCATTTCTCCTCGGGGGGATAACCCAGAGAGCATACCGGCAGGCTGTTTTGTTCCCAAGCAGGCGCCGCGCAAATGTGCACTTGGCGGCCCAACAAAATATAAACAGACTCGCAATCGCTGAGACATGGGCACGCGCACGATCTTAATTGTCCTCAGTAGCAATGACAATGATCTTATTTGCTGCGCTGTCTGCTAGCACAAAACAGGGCCGCTCTTGATGGGTTGGTGATCTTTGCTTGAAGCGGCAGGGAACTCTTCTGTCCACCGATTCACCCATGACCATCCACCCTCTCTGTTGCAACCACAAAAGCTGGTCCTAAACTCCTGAGCGCAGAGCTCAGCAGGGGTGAACTCCCCAAGCAGCCACGTGTCAAGCTGTGGCACGCCCTGCCATGCATGTCCGAGAGACAGAAGTCATAGCATGACTTTTAGAGTCATGGCGCACCACAGAAGTCATGGCATGACTTTAAAAGTCACGGCTCACATATACGAGCAGGCTACGCAGCACCAGGCATGCAGGGGTGACCCAGCCACCAACATTATCATGATGCTAGAGTATTCTGTGACACTCTCATCTCCATGTGGGCCTGTCAGGCTTATTGCATAGATGTGCCGCCTCGTGGCAGCCAGCATCCTTCTCATTTAAAGCCGTCTGAGGTGCAGGGCCTTCTGCCTGTCTCTTGCGTGCCTCCAGCTCGAGCTCCCAGTCCCGGGCTTCCCTGACCACTGTGTCCAGCAGCTTTCGCGCCACAACTCTGGCCGCACCGGTGCCCGCGCTGCTCAACATGGCTCGCAGCTCTGGAGACTCACCCTCTATGTCACCCTGTGGCGATACGCAAACAGCATTCTCCCCAACGAACTTCAACAAATGCTGCATACTTGACAGGCATTGCAAGCACTGACATGAAGGATTCCGCGCATGCTATATCTTATGCCTTGGGCACTCTGATGCTTGCGCTCAGGCTCTGGTACAGGGCCGGTTTTGGAAGGGTCCAGACTTCTAGAACACCACAAACACTTCCATAATTTGCAGAAAAGAATTCATTTCGGGAGGAGAAAGAAGGAATGAAGTGCAGTACCAGGCTTGCCAACGAGGTGGCACGCAGCACAGACACAGCGGTGTCAATGTGCGCCTCTATGGCAGCATGCCGGTGGCCAGCGCGCAGCTGCAGATCGATGTGAACCTCTCGGTGTGCCAGCCGCGCGAGCAGGGTGGAGAAGAGGTCTGTGACCTGGTAGACCGCCTCGTCGGATCCCACTCTGCGCGAGCGCAGGTGCAGCGCTACCGTGTGCTCTACCTCCAGCTGCGAACACATGCACAGCCTTGTTTTCTTTTTCTCTCCTTGTCTCTAATTTTGGAGGCACGTGCCAGGAAAACATGTAGGTTGTGTGCAATCTGACAATCTTGTTAGATGATATTTTAACTGAGGCACGGTGCGTCCGCAGACAAGCTGCAAGAAAAGGCTGCCACATATCCTAAACCCTTTGCGGAAGAAAGTGTGCTTTGAAATAAGAGGGTACAAAAAGCACCTTGCAGAGGCCGTGGCAGGTGCGGGCGGCTGCGGAAAGGAGGTTGCCCAGAGTGTGGGCAGCCTTGGGCAGGATGTCATCGTCCGGGTGCGGCCCGGCCGGGCAGGGGTCAAACATGCTGAGGTTGCGGGGGTGCCACAGCGGGTCTGGATTAGTCATCCCATACCCAGCCTGCAATGAAGACACGAATACAACTTTCAAACTGCCAGTTCAAGGCCTCTCTATTATAGACTCTCAGAAATCCAGAGATCACCGCACCAAATCACCGCAATGCCCTGCTTGAATGCACAGTAGCATTTGACCGCTAATTTTGTCCAGCAAGCTCGACCTGATGATCTCAGAAGGCTTCGAATTCACCAGCCTTCCCAGTCCATACAGGCAGGTCTTCGTACGTATTGACTTTGTGCCTGCTTGTATGGACCAGGGATCATTGATAAACTCACAGCTTTTGGAGATCGAGTCAAGCAAAGACTGTCAGCGGAGCTTGAAAGGAAGGCAAGAAGAAATTACGCACCTCCCACAGGCACTCTGTGATGAAGGCATCGCCGCCGGACGAGTACGCACCATGCACACAGCGGTGCATGTGGTCATATGACACGCTCCTCAGCAAGCCCACGCTGATGAGCGCTCCCGCTCCCCCGTGCATGGAATACGTGCGCGCAGGCACCCTGCACACATTGAAATTTTCCTTCGAAAATGACAAATGCGTTCATCATTATCTCTCTTGAGTGCCCCGTGTTAGGAGCTGAAAAGGCTCTCCTAGCAGAGCCCTGCTTGCAACTAAAAGGCTGCACAGAATCCAATGCTGCGCAGTCTTTACGGATTATTAAAGAGGCATAGACTGGAAAGCCGGGTAATAGTAACACGCATAAGTGCGCAGTCTTCGCAGCGTTCACTTGCATTTGGGGCTGTGCTGAAGACACAAATCATCAGAAGATCTCTGTTATGATGCCCTGAAGTTCTTTTTAATTAGCAGTAGGTTTGTGGCTCACCTGGGCACGCCACAGGCCTTGGGCGGCTTGTTGAGGACGCCTGAATTGTCAGCGCGGCACAGCTCTTCCACTCGGCATGGGCAGCCCGGCGGCAGAGAATAGGGCAGCCCAGAAGTGTCCTTTGAGTACCTACAACAATGGGAGACACTTTATATTATCATTACAAACTGTTCCTGCCAGAGGCAAGGTGTGTATGCAGACAAGCGGCATGTGAAGGCAGCCAACATCCTACCCCTTGTTAGACTCGCCAGATCTCAGCAAGACCCAATCAACCGTGGGCACGGTGCTCTGTACTTGGACCGCCCCCCGCCAGCCGGGGCCACTGTATAAATAGTATGCGTCAAAGTGAGGCTGATTACTTGGGCTGCAGTGTCTTGAGGGTCTGCCATAGTAATGATGTAATGATTTTGCAGGTGCTTAGGTATGGATTTGTCACGCTTACCCGCATGGTGTGCATTGGGGAGCGCCCTGGTGGGGGTGGTACGAGCCCTTGCCCATCTCTCTCGAGAACCACATGTTGTCTGCAACTCACCACATACAATAAATCATACCCTTGCCCCTCTCATAAGTTGCTGCTGACGCATGAAACCCATATGATTTTGCACATACAAAACATTCAGTGCTTCGAGAATGACAGCGGGAAAATCTCGCTGCCAGGAAAATTTGCCTCCATCCAAAGCTGTAAAATTCGAACAAACTTGTTTTTCAAGCAAATTTGTTAGGATGCCATTTCCGGAAGAGTGCTATATGGTGGTGCAAGGGCAGACCTGTGAGGAAGTAGGGCATGTTGGGATCCAAGTCTTTGACAACATTCATGGCGCCCTCCAAAAAGAAGACAGTGTCGTCATCGCCGTAGAAGAGCCACTTGAAGGTGTCGTTCAGATCCCTGTCTCCCACAACACCAACCTCATGACCCCTGGCAACGCAGGACATCCGCGCAAATACTTGGGTGATGCTCGCTAAAAGTGGGGCGCCAGAATATGGCCTGCCCAAAACCAATTTGAGCTGCAGAAAGAGAGGCTGGTTCAAATCATATTACAGATTGATGACCAACAAAAGGTTGCAAATGATCAAGCAAGCGCCCTATGTGCAAATATCCCTAATTGCCAGCTTTCATGACAACTCTATGCTGCTCCCAGCTGAGCACTCCGAGCACTGAGCAGTGAGCTAACTTGAGCTACAAGAGAAGGGGAAAACAGCCCAATGATAAGAATAATACATGGTATGGAATTTTTTTGAAGGTGTGCACACTTGTAGGCCAGGAAGGGGACGATGGCGGCCCGGGGGTCCCCAGCAAAGAAGGAGCGCAGGGGCTCAGCATCCGGGTAGTAGCCCCAATTCTCACCAAAGGTAACGGAGTCATTTGCCCGGGGCCCCTCATGGTTGGTCGCATAAAATGTCTGTGCTCCCTGCAATGAATAATCACTGCTGTCAAAACCCACTCACACCTTCAAGCAGGCACGATTGCATCTGCAGTGAAAAAAAAATGTCCCTTGCATGCCACCTATGGGTCATGCCATCGCTGCACTTGAACTGATGACAGGGATTTGGCACGAAAAAGAGCGCAAATGCACCTGTCTGGAAGGCCTGCCTGCAGCCAGAATTGGCTCCCGGGCCTTATGGGTGGCAATGGCAACCACAAAATCTTCAGCGCGCAGCGCTGGCTCTTCTTCCTCTCGCAAGAACTGGCGCCTGTTCTTCTGCTTCCTGGCTGGCAGCTGCTCCGGGTCCCCCCACCAGCTCCACCTCTTCTGCCCCTGGACCCCCCGGTTTGCATTGCTGCCATCTGCAGCTGCCGACCCTGATGCATTCACAGGGTCTGCTTTTGGCGAGGGAAATTTTTATTTAATGCATCGCTGCCTGCTTGCTTCCTCATCCACATCATAAACCCGCATGCACCAGTACATGCTGCTTGCAAAGGGTTGCCTTGCTAGCAGTCAAGCAGGACGGACTCGTCCAACACAGAATTGAGGCAGGAGAGATTGCACCGCTATAACGTCGGCAAGATAGACTGCATCTCAAGAATCATGCTCAACTCTCCTGCACCACAAATATTCACAAGTTGCTGGGTCGCCTCTGAGGCTTGTTGGCGGGTTGACGGGTGTGGGTGGAGGCTGGCGCCCCCAAGTCCTCGTGAGATGCTCCCTTTTGAACGTGCGCCGTGCCTGGCTGCCTTTGCGAGCGCTGATCAGGGCTGCAGCGCCCGCCAGCTCCTGCAGCAGCTGGGAGGCAACGCCCTCCGCGGCGCCCACCTCCGTCCTCTGCACAATGCATCAGGCAGGCACAATTCAACCAGCCTTCAAAGGACATGAAATACTCATCAAACGCTATTACACGTCTATCATGGGCCCGGTGTGTTGCAACAGCGCTGCTCTGACTAGGCCAAAAATGGGTAGATCGTTAAAACAATGCTGTAGCTCGAGATATAATCTGATATGTGGGATATGAATTCGGGATTGCAAAGATGCACAAGCTCAGGGTATACGTGACCCGCAGGACATCAATTGATGACCTCAGGGCAATATGGCGAGCGTGAAATATAAGATAAGAGGGAGATGCACCTGCAACAGGGTGAATGATGGCCGCGCAGACTGTTGGTGGATTGGCCCTGAGCTGGATGGGAGAGACAGTGTGGAGTTGACAGCCTCCGGTGAGCCTGAGCTTGAGGATCTGGCAAGCATATGGACCGCCTGAGCAGCATTCCACACTCAAAACCTGATTGTTTGACCTGCTTTTGAATTCAAACCTTGCATGCAGCTTGAGAGGCTGCTGCAACGCTCGTAGCCCTGAGAGCTGGAACAAGCGTGTTTATTATTAATAATGCAACTTGTCATTGATCTCTGCTAGTAAGGGTTCCTTGCCTCGACAGCGGCTGCAAGATGTCCCAGCCTGATGATCTGGGACAGAGCGTTTTCATCAAAGCCCCTCTGGTGGGATCTGATGCTTTTCACGATTGCGGAAGTGACGGCAACTGGCTCTCTGAGTTGGTCAGGCCCTGCAGCACAGCACCATAAAGCTCAAACACATATCACTCAGCATCATTATGTCTGCGTCTGTCCTGATCCGTGCCTGCAGAAGGAGGTCCTACGGCGGATTAGGCAGCTGTGCTAGAGAAGAATCCCAGAGCATACATTGCAGCGGCACCTTGGGTGCGGTTTGAACTGGGAGAACCATATTAAAGGCCTGGTCTTGGATTTTGCTTTGCTGGACAACGGCTTTTTCTGTATTTTGATTGTAACACAAGCTTATGTCACTCTCTGGAGGTGCTAAAGTGAATTCCCCCTGTGCACTGCCTCAAGTACTTAAACAATTGTCAAATGAAAGGCGCGCACCAGAACGGCTTTCAGGGGCTGTCTGGGCTTTCAGATTCTTGAGGAAGGAGAGGATTGCTCCGAAGAGCTGCGCAGTGTCAGCCGTGCAATTGTTCGTGTCCAGCGACCCGCTGTTCAGGTGCAGCGACACCACTCGGTCCAGCTCGAGCTGCATTGCAGCAGGCACAACTCATTATCAGCCCCCCCTACTGTTACTGTTACTGTTACTGTTACTGTTACTGTTACTGTTACTGTTACTGTTACTGTTACTGTTACTGTTACTGTTACTGTTACTGTTACTGTTACTGTTACTGTTACTGTTACTGTTACTGTTACTGTTACTGTTACTGTTACTGTTACTGTTACTGTTACTGTTACTGTTACTGTTACTGTTACTGTTACTGTTACCGTTACCGTTACCGTTAACTTTTTCTGCTAAGAAGCAAGGTGGGCCTGCAGATAAGCTGCGCTAACAGGTTACCACAAGTCCTTGATGGACTCGCCAAATCCAATCAAGACCCCATCAATCGTGGGCACGGTGCTCAGTGTTTGTACCGCCCCCCGCCAGTCCCCTTTAGACACCACGTTGTGTGACCTCCCAAACTCTGACAAGCCTTCAAACCTGCTACGACTGACAAAACAGGCTCCCTGTAGACATTCTCCCTCACACAATTTGCACAGAAAGACCGAAACCTTTGCACGATGCACTGTCTGCGAAGCACAGTAAGCAAGCTCCAGACGCATACAACAGAGCAAGGGCCTTAAAGCCTGCAGGTGAATCTCTGTGCACAGAAAAAAATTAGGTTTGAAGTTGGCGCACCTGACAGAGTCCTTTGCAGGACCCCACAGCGGCCGACAGCAGGTTGCCCAGGTGGCGAGAGACCTTGATGGGAATGGCCTTCTTGCTGATGGGGTCTGGCAGCAGGGGTGAGCTGGCATCGAACAGAGTCAGGCCGTCTGGATGCCACAGGGGGTCCGGGGATGTGGGTGCAATGTTGGCCGCCCGCCAGAGGCACGCTGTCACCATCGCATCCGCTCCTGCAGTGAAAGGAACACAACATGCTCGGTGTCCAAGTTGTATGTCCTGAATGGCTGCCTCACATCTAATGGGTTGTAGTTCTATTTGTGTAAGGATTTCTAATCTCAAGGAGCGTTGGGCACTATGTGTGCGTCCGATCATTGGCTTGATACATCGAAGTCATGCAAGACTACAGCAAAAAGAAAATAGTCCCCCAGAGTCTCGGCCATTCCCTGCATCTCCAATGTTGCAGCAGTATGGGCACAAAGTGTGTCTGCCACAAGACTGACTCAGAAGAAGAGGGCGTGTAGAAGGCATATTCACAGATCAATCTGGGTGTGGGCACTCTCTTGGATAAATAGCAAGTCCAAAGTGAGCGCGCCTGTGGTCCACTGGCGTTGGGTGCATGCCTCCATCTCAGCGAACGAGACACTGCGCAGAAGGCCGATGCTAACCAGCGCCCCGGCATCCCCATGCATGGAGTAGGTCCGAGAAGGCGCCCTACACAGCACCGTTCCCCTGAACCCTACAGTCCATCAGGGATTTATAACCTAACCTTGTACTTTCGAGTCCCCTGAGCCCATAGCTGCAGCAGCTGCATTGCTAGTTTCCTACGCACCAAGCATGACAGGGACTGCACACATATTGTACTGCCAAAGGATATTCTTTTCTCCTGGAAACATCAGAATTCACCAGGACTCTTTGAGAATGCATGCCACTGGTGTGCTATCTGCACTGGCTTTCAACTGAAGGAGTGAACAAGCGGGCCGCACTTAGGGATCCCACAGATGCCGTCAGCAGAGCCTGGGAAGAGTCCGATGGTGTCGGCTGCGCAGAGGTCGGCAGGTTTGCAGGGGCACATCTTTGGCATGGGGAAATCCAGCTCGGATGTGTTCTGCGCGTAGCTGCATGGCAGGCACGCGGGCACTTTGGGGTGCGGGTGAAAGGCGCCGCCGAAATTGGAGTCCGCGTACCACATGTTGTCTGCACAACAGCACCCTCGTGTCAGGTGCTGCAAGCTTGCTAGGTCAATTTTGGACGTCCTTTGCTCTCTTGAGTGATGAAAGAGTGCTCTTGTTGAAGAACTGCCAGACGGTGATGGCTTAGCTGAATAGAGATGTGAAGAATCCCTGCCGGTCATCGCAAAGCATGAAGACGCTAATGAAACATTTGTTCTTGTTATTTCATCACTGATGCACATGATGAACCTAGTCCTTAAGGAATGGAAAACGCAAAACAATGAGGTAGGCGATCAGTCTGCCTTCACTTGAGATTTTTTTTTTTGCAAAAAAAAATAAAGACAAGGGCAGTACCGGTCAGGAAGTAGGGCGTTTCAGGGTCAAGCCCCTGCACAGCTCTGGCTGCTGCCTCAGGGAAGAAAGCGGTGTGAGCATTTAGAGTCCCAAAGAAGGCCCATTTGAAGGTTGATCCAAGGCTGCTGTGGGCAAGGAATGGGCCCAGGGCGTTCTGTGTGGCAGTCTCTGAGTAGGATCGGGCTGGCTTGTCAGCATCGTAGACTGCCCAGTGCTCAATGCTGGCCGGCATCGGCTGCAGCCGGCTGCTTGTGTTGGACACCACAAAAAGGCGCATGCCCTGTGCACACATGCACAATTAGTATAAATGCTCCAACAGTTATTGTTGTTATTTCAGACTTTTCCTGCCAGAGGCACGGTGCGTGTGCAGACAAGCCGCGGCCAAAGGCTGCCAAACTCCTAGCCCTTGATGGACTCGAGATCCAAGCAAGACCCAATCAACCGTGGGCATGGTGCTCAATAGTTATACCGGCCCCGCAGGCCGGGGCCTTGCAACATCAGTAATGTTACAGGAGAGTCATAAGCTCTAACTTGTGAAGTGCCACTGACGACTGCTGGCTGGGTGTTCAGATGGTCCCTGTATAACTGTAGACAGAAGGGGTGCCATTAATTTCCAGACCTTGGGGAGACGCACCTGCCACAGCTGCTCTGTTGCCTGCAGCAGCTCGTGCTTGTCATGGTCGACCGACAGCACCACAACAAAGTCATCATGCTGCCCTATTTTGGGCCTTGCTGCCTCCTGCCTCAACACTTCAGCCTGCTGCTTGGGCACATCTCCGCCCCCGTCTGCCCGTCCCTCCTCAGACCTTGCAGCTTGGCCGCTGTAAGCTCGATCTGTCGGGCTGATTCTGGATGATCCTCTCTGCGTTGCTGTCTGCTGCAGAGAAGGCTGCTCTTCATGCAGGGATGCCCTCAGGCCTGCCAGATCAGCGCTGGTGGCTGCCTGAGAGCTGGCTGCACTGCGGGTGATGTGAGCAACATAGACCCTGGTGAAAATGACCGAGGCTGCACAGAGGATGATCACACGCAGGATGGTCTTCTTTGTCCCTAGGCCCTGGCCTCGATGCTGCATCAAGTTTCTTCTGTCCAGCTGCCTTCTTAGAGAAAGGGCTCTCTGCATGATAGGCTGTTCTTCATGAGGCAGGCTGCACGAATAATGGACGAATGTCAAAGATTCCCTTCCTGTTACTGGAGCCACTCAGGATCAAGTGCACTGGTGTGCTCTCGATTTGAAACTGCAGATGTCACGTGGAGCACAGTAAGAAGAGTATTTAACTCGCTTCAGGTGCCTGTGCTCCTGTTGTGTTGTGGCCCCCGATAAAAGATTGTGGTTAAGTTTGAAGGACGTCCCAAACCGGGTTGGAGGTTGAACCTTCACGCAGTTCGCGATGTAGCCTCCTGTGTTCAGGTAGCGCCAGCGCACTATTGAATTGCTCGGCTAGGTGTCCTACATCCACTGCTTTTGATCTCCGCCACCTGGCAGCTTTCCGGCCGTCGAATCGTCCAAGAAAGTACGCCTTTTAAATTCAGCGACAAAGCTTCTCAAAACCCGCATTGAAATACGAGACAGGAGATTAGCGGTAATGTTTCTTGATAATAAGTCGCTGCAAGATTTTCACCTGGCGATCGCAGTGTTGTAGAACTGGTGCTGATTAACAGGAGCTAGCTCGACCACAGCAATAAAAGCAGACAGGCCTACACACCTGACATCACAGCGGTGGTAGTAAATTTCGCAGGTAAACTTTTCTACGACCTCTGAAATGTACTGCTGCCCATTTTTGAGCCTGGGCAAGTCTGTCGCGCGTAAAGTCGAGCTCGACATTGATACTCGTGGGTGGTACTTTCTTCTGCGTTTTGGAGACGAACCTTTGTGGAATGCCTGCTCTTGAGATCATAAGATGTCTTTGCCGTGAGGAAGACACCAACTTTTCGGGCCTGCCTCTCCCCAGCCTTCGAACAAAGCCCTCTTATGGTGGACAGCTGGCAAACAATCTGCCTGTCTCACCTTTGTTCGTTTCGCACATGCAGGATGTCCTCAGGCCATGACCACTGACGCTGAGAAGGCCTCAATGGAGCACATGTCGAGGCATGTGCAGAGGAGTCTGCACGACAGCCAGCAGCAGAGGCAGCGCGGCGGGAGGGTCTTCTACATAGTCTCCTTCGCCTTCTGCACCGCTGCAATAGTCACAGGCATCTGCTTCATCTACGCAGTGCAGCTGGGCCTCGAGACTCTGGCCCTGTACCACCCTCTACCCCACAAGGACATCATCTTGGGCAGCTTCCCACAGGTGCAGCTTGTTTCCTGTTATTCTGCATGGCAGTCCACTCGACGCCAGAGATGAAATGGTTGAGAACCTTATGCGATGTGATGCCAAGCTGAAGGAAGGAGGGAACCCATCAACTGAAGTGGTTGAGAGCCTTTTGTTACTGATGCTTTCCCCCTTTGGGAGTTTAGTTTTCATGGCAATGTATTCTCCCATTAGCGCCAGGCCGAGGTGATTGACAACCTTGTCAGATGCTTCATCCCCTCCAAAGCTTACTACACACGGCAGTGCCTTTCCTTGTTAATGCCAAGCTGTAATGGATAACCTTGCCTGATGGTCATCCACTTAGGAGATTACTTTGAGAATGAGTGGATCTGTGGGCGTTCAGGGACAGTTTTCTAGAGCCAGCCTGACCAGATTTGAGCTCTCCAATGGCAAGCAGGTCCTGCAGCCGCACGATGTTGTGAGACAGGTGAGGCCATGATCACTCATGCTTATGTCACAATGACTGCCTGCATGCAGCCGGCACTGAACATGCCTCAAGCCTCCGTTCAGCATAGCATGTCACACACTGTCTCCTTGAAGACACTTCTGTGATAAAGGTTTGACGAGACCCCAGCAAATGACTAAGGTTTGACAGCTAGAGCACAGGCACCAGAGCATGGACAATGGTACAATCACAGGAGACAGCCTGCTGACATAGGATGGTTATTTAGAACAGCGCGCTAGCCGATAATTATGGTCCCATGTGCTGCCGTTTAGATATAATATCACCCTCACATAAGCACAGTCTGAATCCCCGTCTTCTGACAACAGGCTGGCATGCATAAACACACACTACTGACAGCATACCCTTTGCATGTAGGGGGACGGAGCAGCAGAGAAGGTGCAGGTTGCTTTTCTGCCAGTTGAGACCTCGGGCTACAACTTGGGGCCGTCTCTGCCTGAGTCCCAGCAGCCGCTGTCCTGGCAGCGGGATCAGGAGGCTACTGGTATTACCTACAGCGGCGGCTCAAAACTGACCAAGGAAGACTTTGTCGCGGCCATTGTCACTGACAAATGGCACGAGGAGCTCGCCCAGTCGAGCCGACTGTGGCGCCAGGTCAGACTTTGACCAGTTCACTTTTCGGATCTCCTGTCCCGTTGCATTCTGGCAGGATGATTCTGCTGGTGTCGCCAAAATTATTTTAGAAGCTTTGAATGTCATGCTGGGCGCTGACTTTGAAAGTCAGAGTCAGGCACCATATCAGCTCCGAGCTGGCTGCAAGCGCTGTGACATGACTGGCCGACAGACATATTGTTCAACCAAGCCAGCTTACTCTTGCATCCTTAGACACCTATTCAGTTGCAGAATACCTATTTCAGGAGATGGTGAGCTCAGAATGTGCAGGTTCCTGCCAGCAGCTTGTAGGATGGTGACTTGGTGAAGCAGAGGCATTGGGAAAGTTGTATTTGAAGTTGAAGTTGACTTTGACTTTGACTTTGAATTTGAATTAGAGTTCCAATATTGAGTGTGATGTTTGGTTTCCAGGGGCTGAGGACGTTCATGGCCACGAATTACAGCATGTCACCAGAGCAGCTGGAGCGGCAGGCCAAGCATGGGGAGACCTGGCATGCCTACCCCGATGACAAACCCCTGCACTCCCTTGCCCTCAAGGGCGACAGCCGCGCTGCCCTTGTCCCCTTCCTTGCGCATAAGTGCGCCCTTGACTGTTTTCCCCTTATCGGCCTGTACACGGCCTTCCCCAACGATAGAGATTGTCTTTGCCAAGGGGCACTGTTTGAAATGAAGAGACATGCATGACAAGCGTCATGTTGCCAATGGGCGCTGTTCTCAAGTGAAGACACCTGCATTACAAGAGGCATATTGTCAAGAGGCGCAAATTTCGTTGAAGAAACCTGCGTCAGAATAACCATACTCACTGAACTGCGCTCTTCTCAAACATAGAGACCTGCATCACAAGAACCATGTTGCCAAGGGGGCGCTGTTTTCAATGAGACCTGCATTTGGCAAGCTTGCAGTGCCTAGAGACTGGCAGGCGTGAGTTAAATAAGCCAAAACCTTTCTGGTTGCAGGCACTTTGGGGAGTCGTACAAGTGGCTGCTGTATGGCGACGACGACACCTTCTTCTTCACAGATGCTGCCATGGATCTTCTGCAGCACCTGGACCCAGACATGCCCTACTTCCTCACAGGTGACTCACTGCTGACTCGCCACACGCCCTGTCTGTTTGCCTGCCCTTATAGACTGGTGCAAATCCAATGTGCAGTGTGTACCATCATAGACACATGCTTCTTGTAGCCCCAGGTCATGTGTATCTCCATGCAACAGCCCTTGTACATATTGGCATACTTGCATTCCGATACTGACTCCGGGGTCACTTCTTCAAAACGGAAATGTTGCAGAGCTGAAGAGCTTTCCAATGGCTGAACATGCAACCTGAGGATCACAAGTCATAGCCACGGTCACAGTCACGTTACATCACATCATAAGTAAAGAATAATGAATATCAGTAATCGAATGACACATGTGTGCATGCTATCAGACCACATGTGGTGGACCTCGCGCGAACTTGATGAGATCAAGGGCCACGAGCGCTCAGACACACACCACCCGCACGCGGCCGCCCCGCTGTGTGCGCCGTGCAACTACGCAAAAAATACATCTGCCCTGCCCTGGCCTGCGCCGAGCGGCTGCCCCTGCACGCCAGAGCTCCTCTGCGCCGCGGACACCAACGGCACGCTGCCACCCTGTGAAGTTGTTATTTTTCCTGTCACACGCTGTGCCTGTCGAAACGAATGGCGCGCCTGCAGATGCAGACTCTATGAGGTTCTTCTTGTCTAGTGATGATAGCAACATGTGGCATGCCCCGTCATGTTCTCCTGCCGTGTTTGGCCATTCCCATGAGCCTCACTGACCGCCATCTGGCCAGTTTTGTGCATTTTGCCGATTGTCAAGAGGGCAATGACGGTGTGTTTGTCATGCCATCGGGTCCGCCTGCCCATCTTGACCCTGATTTTCGTAGTGCTTGCTCTGCTGAACACGAGACACACAGACGGAGAGACTCCATCACTTCGGCATACCGAGTGCTGATTACATGTCCAACAGCTACTCAACCAGAAGTAAGGCCCACAGTCACGCTGGTATTTCCCTCATATAAACCCCTGGACCCTGAAGGTCAATGCATGGTGCAGGTGTGCTGTTCAAGGGTGCACGCGGCAGGTGCGGCCAGCCGCGCGTGCCGACGCACACCTACTCGATGCACGGCGGGGCGGGGGCGATTCTGTCGGTCGGGCTGCTGCGGCGCATCCCCCTGGGCTGGTTTGAGGACTGCGTGACCACCACTTACTCCACCGGCGGCGACGCATTCATCTCCATCTGCCTCTGGGCGGTGAGTGCATTGATCAGCCTATGCACCATTTCCCCATGCAAGCCTGGCACTCGCCTCATTCCAACTGTTGACACGATAAGATGGGTACTAGTTACCTTGATATTGCAAGCAAGCTGGGAGTCTTTCGCTGCTTGAGTGGTCATGGCCCCTGATGCAATGCGCTCCCTGGTCCTTTGACTTGGAGCTTAATTTACACACCCTGGATCTCACCCTTGAGGAGTCTCCCTTGCAGCAACGTACATAGGAAAAACCAATAGACCCACTGCAGCCTTGTAGCCTGACATGTCTTGTAGCTTCATGCATGCGCACTGAATTGCAGGCAGCCTCTTGCGCAGCTGGACTGCAGACAACGCAACTTGTTTCCTTGCAGGAAATGTGTGCAAATATTACTAAGAGTAGTAATAGTAATCCTTTATGCACGTGCATCAACTCGCAGGCTGGGTACGGGATGACGGCGCCAGATCCGCTGTGGCACCCACGGGGGCTGACAATGTTCGACGTGGGCCGCATAGCACAGCGCGACGACGAGCCAATCCAGCCGAAAGTGGCCCACGTCATGGGCAACCTCCTGCAGGCCTCAGCCGGCGGCTGCCTCAAGGGCGCCTGCAGGGTGAGCATCTTTCTCTTTTCCTCTGCCTGGAAGCTTCTGGAAACTTGTAGCACACGCGTTGAGTTTGAGTACTTTATTGCACAGATGTCCGCAGCATGTTTTGGAAGTGCTCGAACCTCCTGGCAGCTGCATGAAGGGGGCCTGCAGGGTCAGCGTTTGCCCGGGTTTTTTGTGCTCGGGGAGCTACTTAATATGATTTGATCTCAGAACAGACAGGAGCAATAGTAGACCTGAGGGTGCTGGTTTTATTTGAAATGGAGCGCACTGAATATTTCTGAGAATTTCAATGTTGATCTGCTCAAGCCCAGCCCTGCTTTTAACAGTAAGCGCATGGTGTGACAGAGCTGCGTGGAGTGCAGCAATGTATGAAGAGGTCCTGAACAACTTTCAGTGCATCTGAGGGCAAGGGCTTAAGCTGCTTGATCCTGCTGACTGGCTTGTTGTGATTGCTGCAGCTGGAGCTCGACCGGTTTCTGACGCTGCACCTGCGCTCGCGCAAGTTCCCCTCCATTGCGGCCTACATTGAGACCGTGCGCATTCTGGCCGAGCTCTCAGACCGTGTCGCCGGCCGCCCCTCCCCGCGCCTACCCCGCCCCAAGGTTGGACAATTTGCGCCACCTCTCAATGCCCAATTGGTCTCGTTCTTCGCCAAATTTCCATAGCAGCATTGAGGGGACTGTGTTGAGGCGAATCTTTGCCAAATCTGCATGCATGCATTCAGCATCTGGGCTTCTGTCTGATGTGATCCCTGCACAACATGCATGCGTTGGGAAATGCTTAGCCGATATACAGGCGCTTGAGATAAGATTTCTGCGAGCAGTGGCATGCCAATATCATGACCCTTGGGCCTTAGCAGCTGGGTTTACGCACGGCTGCTCCTTGTGATGCCAGGATGCGTTTGTGGATGAGTTGGTGGAGCTGGGAATCCAGGCGCTGCAGGACCGCCACTGGCTGGTGATGTCCCACTCCTCTACCTCGCTTCCCACACTAAATTATTAGTTGCAACTTGCAATGACTACTTGGGTGCTCAAGATCCCTGCAGACATGCTGGCTAGGCCTAGCACACGCATCTTGCCTTTCCATGCAGTATGAGACAACAGAGCAATGTAGCTGTGAGAAAAGACTTACAAACAATCAAGAGATGGAGCGGTCTTGAGGTGGGGTGTGCAGACGGCGCAGAGGCCGTCCAATGCGTCGAGTTCGCAGCTGGCCGAAATAGTGACCACAATCCGCGACGAGGCCGAGCACAAGGCGGCCAGCGCCGTGGCGGCCGAGATCATCGCCGCGATATTCGAGCGCAACCCCACGGACGACCCCCCGCCGGTGTATTTCGGCGCCGCGGCCACCCCCGACCCGGCCGACCTCGCCGAGGAGAGCAAGAAGATCGCGCAAGCCGCCGGACTGAGCATGGATGATGGGGAAGGGAAGGAAGAGAAGGGAACGGTGCGTGAGATGCAGGGCGGAACTAGGGGAGATGATCTTGAAGAGCCGTTGGCGGATCCGGACGCTCTGCAGGGGAAGGAGTGAGGGGCGCCTATTGTTGGCTGTCTACAAGTTGGTTGTTTACAGTGCATAAGACTACAGTATATAAGACTACAGCATATAAGACAGATTGTTTGTCTAGAGTGTTGGAAGTGACGTACAAAAGCGGTGTAGCTGTGTCTGAAGGGCCGTGTATGTGTGTGCTAGGCAGGTGGTCTGTGGTATTTTGTTTTGATAATGATGTTGGGTAGGTTGAAACGGAACGCATGTGTAGGAAGACATCCGGTTGGCAGGAACGAGGCGGTGTTGAGGGTAGGTGAGCTTTGAAAAGGTTCTTAGCAAATTGTGCAAAGGTGTTGCTGCTAGCACTTTTACCAACGGGCTGGATAAAACTGTTCTACAATTGTGCGCCACTTGCCACCTTGTGGCACATCTTGGGACAACTGAGGGGCCTGGTCGGGAAACGGAAAGAGAGGGAAACAGCCCTGAAAAGAGCCCTCATTGCCCGTCAATGTAGTGCCCCAGATAAGTGTCCCAGATGACCCAGTTCTCTCAGATGATATTTGTCAAGCATGATTGTCCAGATTCTTTCGGTTCATATCGCAAGCACTAGATAAGGTGGAGGTGATCATTCAGCCAAGTGCAGTGTGGCTGTGCCACTCAAGTAGGAGCTATGGCGGGAGTTGCTGAACCATGTTTAGAATTGTACGTGAGGTGAAGCATCCATCCAATAAATAAATCATTATACTTCAACGGAATCCGAACGAAGCTCACAGTAGAACAACCAGCAGCTTGCTCCTCACACCCTCACAACTCTGGAACACCGCAGCAAGCCCCAAGAGACATGCACATGCCTGCAAAATAAATAAAGCCTCACTGCTAGAGCACTCTCCCTCCCGGCACCCGTCTCAAAGGCTGGTGTCCTGTGGGCAGTAGCCGGGACCGGTGCCGGGCGAAGCTGCGAGGCCCCTCGCAAGCATCCTACACCGGTGCTCAGCAATGCGCGGCCGTGCAGCATCCACATCCCTGCTTACACAACAACCGCCACACATGACTCCCAAGCTGCTCACACCTATCACTTCCGCGTTGGGGCCCGGACATACTCAGCAGTTCTGCACGAAGCTGCCATTAAGCAGCACTCCAGAGAACGCTTCTTTGCATTATAGAACAGACTATAACCATAGTACCGATGGTGATCTGCATATATGAGTTGAGAAGAGATAGGGCAGCCTACAATCGTGTAATACACTTGCAGCTTGTCTGGTACCAAACATTTTGAAGACTTAGAGATGCCAACATCAAAACAGAGCGGGCGCCAGAGTGAAAAGAAAGGGGTGCCTGATGCGGTCTGATTATAATATAGAAGTAGGTCAAGAGCAAATGATGTAGGTGAGAGCGGCACCTGACGTCCCGGGCTGACCAGAGGCGTTCGGCAACGGCGGCTGCGCGCGGCCAGGTGCGCTCCATCAGGTTGCTGCCATCCACCCACTCCCCCCACATGCACGCCTGCCCACAAATCTCATATCTCAGATATCAAAGGTGACCATCAGAAAGATCCATACGCCCACACTCCCAACATGCATGCATGCCCAGAAATTTCAAATAAGCCGGGACTGGCACACGGAACGGGACTTCAAAGGGGATATTCGCCCCCTGCTATTCTATATAAGACTCTGAGCTTTCAGACATCAGGATTGAGGACAGATCACAGCAACCAACCACTCCATCAGAAGAGCATACGAACATGTTGTGCTGCTCCCCTTCTTTACAAGATTTCTGGAGTAACTTATGAGTCATTGCCAGGCATCGGGAAGATTGGGGTAACGGGCAGACCTCTCCGCCAATGACTAATGAGGCCTGCGCGGGGGTGGCATCAAATTCCAGCGGCTCCACGGTGTAGTAGTCCACCCACGCCTCCCCAGCATACGGGCCCAGATTCAGGTACCAAGGGCTGCTCAGCAACGCCCTGTACCCCTGCACAAAGGGACACATAAAAGTTGAGAATTCTATCAAAAACTAACCAAATCTTGGCTAGCCATCGCAACCTCACAGCCGAGTACATGCACAGCTCCAATTGAAGACTTCATGCGTACACAGGTGAGGGCAATTGCGAACAACGCTTGTAGGGACAATGGATGTTGCCCCACAGCCTCAGCATCATTTGAAGCTCATCAGCTCAGTGATGCCATGGTCGCAGGGGCAAGAGGGAGAGAGTCTATCCAAGGGCGTGCCTTGCCGGTGACGCGTGCGATCTCATTGGTCCAGCCGGGCGGCGATGCCGCCAGCTGGACGCCAGGTGGCTTGCAGCCCTGTGACAGCTCGCACACTGCCGGCTTCTGTGCGACGGCATTCATTTCTGCCCCACCCTCAACAGTCGCCTCAGTGGCTGACACTGGCCACCACCACTTCCACACATGAACCACCGTGTTGCTGTCCAGCTTCACACCGTTGTCCAGAGGCTCCTGCGCATCGACAGCAGAGCACGGCCGTCACTCAGATATGCAGTCCTGGTGTGCTTGTGTGCTCCTGGTGTCCTCCTAGGATGCTGCAGAGGCCGTTCATATGCAGCATGCGCGCCAATGGCCACAAGTCCGGACGAATGAGCAGGCCAAGAGCAGGAACGACCTGATGTGCATGTAAGTTTTGCACTTCCTGTTATAATTGCAGAACAGGAGTCTACATGTCGGTCAGCTCAGTCATCCTCAATACGAGCTATGGTCACACAGCCTGGAGTGCACGTTTTGTTCAGCAATTCAGAGAGGAATTCGGCGGTTTGACCAGCAGAGGGGAAAGGCACACCTGCCAAACGATGTAGGAGCGGCCGGCGGCGCTGGCCAGTGCCAGGACTCGCTCCTCGAAATATGTCTCCAGCCCCGCAATGGAGCTCACGTCGTGCTCCCTCATCCACGCCCTGATCTCTGGGCTGCTCTGCACGACCCGCAACACCCAATTAATGCTTTTCAACCTGATGTTTTCATCGTTCCCGTCCACAACAATTACAACTTGAACACGTCATCTAGATGAGGAATATCCTGAAGGTCAGTGTTGACTATATGCCTTTGAAGAAGAAGGCATGCAAGGCTGACTTGACGCAATTGGACCAAATGTTTGAGCGTTTCTTCTCGGCGAGCAGCACAGCCTTTGATTAGGATTCATATAAGTGTGCAGACTCAATGCGCGTATGTCTGTGGACTACGGCACCCATGCTCTGTCCAAGTGTCCACAAGGTGCAGCTGAGAGCCGCGCCTGCCAGCAGTCGAAGGGGACTTCGTCGCCGCCAAGATGGAGGTAGGTGTCGGGGAAGAGGCCGGCAGCTTCGCGCAGGAACGCCCACAGCAGCGCGTACGTCTCGTTCCGCACCGGATTAACGGGGCCCTTCTCGCCGGTCGGCTGCTCCTTCTCGTTGTAGCAGTCTGTTAGCAGGCCCGGGTAGCCCTTGCCCCACGACGCCGTGTGCCCTGCGCCATTTTTTTTTGCCAATCAGTTGCCTGCAGTTCGCGCACGCGCCCAACACGAAGCAATACACTACTTGAACAATGACTAATCTTGCAATGCTTCTTGCTGAGCGAGCGGTGACGGCACAAGAGGTGCGCTCCCTTCTGACAAGCCTCAAAATCTCATGCCGTCCATCGCAGCTGCACGAGGTTCATCAAACGCATGCTTGCGGACTCGCAAGCTCACATGTGACTTGTAATAACTACATGAGGGGAATAAACAGAACACGCACCGGGGGTGTCGAACTCGGGGATGACGCGGATGCCGCGGTCGCGCGCGTACTGCACCACCTCCTGGATGTCCGTCGGACGGTAGGTGTGCGCATGGGAGAAGGCGCCGTACTCGGCCAGCCGCGGCAGCGCGTTGGACTGGTAGGGGAAGCTCTGGTCGTCCACGATGTGCCAGTGCAACACGTTCATCTTCGCCGCCGCCATCGCCTCCAGGTTGTCCTGCAAGTGACACCAGCGGTTGAAGCTGAGCAAGAAGCTGCCTTCTGGTGTAAAAATTGTGTCAGTGACATATGCACTATGCCTTCTGTGTGGTGTTCCTGCATTGGAGACTAGGCTGTGAAGCTGAACATGACATTCACGAGACTTGAGCCAGTGAAGAGGGGAAGTACACACCCCTTTTGTGTGGGAAAAACCCCCAGAAAGCAACTCTCTGCGAGTACATTGACCGCCATGTCATGCATTGTTATTGCAATGTTATTGGAAAATTTCCTCAAAGGCAAGCTTGCACGTGGGCACACAAGAGGTAGAAGCTTGCCTTGATGACGCTCAGCGGGAGGAAGTGGCGGGCAGAATCAATGAGCAGCCCCCGGTGGGCGAAGCGCGGCTGGTCAAATATAGCTGTAGCGTTGATCAGTAGCATCCGGCTGTGGTCCCTGTGCTTCTTGTGGTGGTGCTTCTTTTTGTGGTGATGCTTCTTCTTGTGGTGCTTGTGGTGGTGTGAGAGCGCTGCGTCGCTGTCATCATCACTAATGTTATCATCCTCGTCATCGCTGTCATCATCAACTTGCTCACTGTCAAATTCTGACACATCCCAGGGGTCTGATGCGCCGCCGAGGATGTCGAGTATCTCACCAATGCTCGCCTGCTCATCAAAGTCCCACTCTAGGTCGCTGTCCGGAGGCGGCGAGGAGTAGAGCTGATCCGCGAGCCTCTGACTGTCCAGCACAAACTGCTGCAGGTCTGGCCTCAGCTGAGCCTGCTCTGGCTGGCTTTTTAATAAGGCGCCTGCTCCGCTAAGAGACCCGGTCGCTGTAGCCGCCTGCTGAGAGAGCAGCCTGCGGTTTTGCACAGAGGCTGTGCTCTGCGCCGCCTGCGCCCCCGGAGCAAACTCTGGTCCCAACCGGGGCAGCTCAATGTCTCCAACCACCTCTGCTCTGCCTCGGAAGCGGCAGCCATCCACCCTGTCAATCAGCTGTGAGAAGGTCTCCAGCCCATGCAGCGCCCCATACACCGAATTTGCCTGCCCAGAAAAATCCTAAGTAAGCATATTGACCACTTCACATAGACAAGGGCCCCGTGGGCTGCATCAGAGAACGTGAAGCTGGGCACAAAGTTAGATCAGGTGCACGTTCATGTTGCAGAGTGTACAAAGCACTGACAGCCTGCCCAAAAAAAATCGTGTGCCGCAAGGGTGGATCTTTAGTGAACCTGCCGTGAGTAGCACTGAACTCTGTCAAACATGAATGCAAGCAAACAAAGCAAGTGGCTTACAAATGACCTGGCTCAAGGGTGTACCTCAAGGGTGCTTGTAGGGGCTGAGACAGTGAGCGCATAGCTCTCATCCGTTTGCATGTTCAGGCTCTGATCGTTGGTGGCGACATAGACTTTCAGCCTGTGAATGCCCTTCTCAGCCAAGTCTGCTTTCTCCTTCATGCGGCGGCTCTTGGGCACGTATGCTGCCGTGTCAAATATGATGTTTTCATACCTGCGTCGTCACAGAACTTGATGCTCAGAACCACAGGAGTGCAGGGGTGTGTTTTCCGAGGAAGGCATGCTTTCACAAAAAATGCAAATTGAAGCTTCCCACCTGTCGAAAGCGCGCTGGAGTATGTCGCTGTCAAAGCCGATGCTTTTGAAGTGAAACCTGTCGATGTCTAGGAACAGTACTCTATCGCTGGTTGACTGCAGGCACAGAGAGCAGCTCTTTAGCCTGATGCATATTTCATGCTGATGTTTCAGTGCAGAAAACTTTGATAAATTGTTCAGACTAGCTCAGCAGCAATTTGTGACAAATACTTTTATTCTAGGACGCCCATGGCTTCCAGCATGGTGTGCAGTACCTGGTTCAGAGGGAGGGGCCACAACTCGCCACATCGCGCAGGATTTGGCAGATAAAGAAGCAAGAAAGCAAATATAATTAAAGAGACGGTATGGGGAATTAGTCTCATGTTTCTAGTAATTATAAGACCTCAGACTGCGACACTTGCTCACAACCCAAGACGCTTGGGGAGGCTGGATTGCCCGATATACATCATCAGACACATCCAATCACAACAAACCAATACAGTCTGCGAGTCTTTGACGCTGATCGCTCTCATGCTTCAGCGGGATTCACGAAACCGTCTTGAAATTTACGGGCATGCTGACTGGGCTGATCAGGGCCCGTACCTGGCTTGCATGTTGGTTTTGCCACTGTCAATAGGACATGGGAGGAGGATTTGCAGATATCGCAGCGATCTGAAACTGTAGAAATATATCTGGCAGTGCATGCAGCGTCCTGTGGGTGTGCTGAGCTTCGTCCTGATGGCCGTTCTGTGGAACGTGTCCTGAAAAGCACCTGATTCAGCGAGAGGCAATTCTGTAGTCATGTCACGCTTCCGAGGTCCTGTGATTGCTTCTAGGCTGCTTCAGAGTGCATCGCAGTCTTGTTGCCGAGCAGCGGCCGAAACCAGCTGGAACGCAGGAATAGATGCCATTGCACGTTCAGCGCTGCCCTCTCTCCTTCGACAGCTGCCCCAGCGGGACTCAATGGTCAGTCTCACAAATATATTTCAATTAAGATCTTTTGATTCTGCAGGGGTGGATCCTGTCTGCTCATTGTATGGAGCACATGTAACGTAGGCCGGGGCTTATTCCTGATTTATATTCGTCAATCCTGAGTAGTGGAATGCATGAATCCTATTGATAATCTTGAAGATGTCAGGAAGCTGGCCCCATCGCACAAGTCTCGTCTGGTTGCTTATGGTCTTGAATCCTGACTTATGCGCCTTGTGGTTGACTGTGCTCTGCGTGCAGGGTGTTTTCCAGAGCAGCTTCGCGGTCAGGCCCCTGTCTGTGGCAGCTGGGGCATCCAGCGCTGCAGAGGGAGCTGGCAACCAGAGCAGCGGCACAGGGAAGGATGGCAAGAGCGCCCTGGCAGCACAGGAACAATCTGATGATGCCATCACGGATCAGATCCCTCAGCGGCCGATGGGAGTCGTGGAAGGGACCTCCTACACAGTTGTCATCATTGCAGCCATAGCCATGGCAGGTACATGGTCCCGCCTGACAACTCTCATGCATGAGCTGCACTGCACCAGATGAGACAGGCCATCGATGTCAGGTCAATAGAGTGAGAGGATACTATTTGTGAATTTTAAAGCTATCCCTGTCTTGATAAATAAAGAGGCATGTTGCATGGGAGGATCCCACCTGTGAGCATGCAATTCTGCTCATTGCTGGTCACTGAATCTGGGTACCAAGCAGATCCCCTACAGGTTGTGCTCTGATCAAAGCCTGCTTAGGCACTGCCGCAGCAGATCGCCGGATATGCTGACCCGCCCACGCTTGGAGGCTATATTGCAATTCATGGCAATTTTCGGGTTGGTTGAAGAGCCTGAAGTAATATGCACCTTGGCGGCGCAGGCGCGGTGATGTGGGCGGTGGTGAACGAGCTGCTGATTCAGCCACGCGAGTACACGGCGTTCAACCTGACGCTGGACCGGCTGCGCGAGGACCCGCGCATCATGGTCACGCTCGGCACGCCCGTATCCGGCTACGGGCAGGAGTCCCACAACCGCGCCGCGCGCCAACGCATCCCCAACCGCGTCTACAACGACGACAAGGGCCGCGAGCACGTGCAGGCAAGCAGCCGCAGCTCTCCTCTTTATATCCTGCCGACTGCTTGAATATAATCCTAACTTTTAGAGCAGTCTTTTAAACTGTCTTGCACAGCATGAGGTTGCATTCAAGATGGCACAGCAGGTCCCTAAAGTGCCTCCTCGACGAAGTCTGTTGACGCCGGAAGTGACTTCTTCGCATCGGCAGAAGCCGGCAAGGAAAGACTCGAGTCCCTGTTCCGCTGTCTTTAGTGCGTCCTTCTGATGCTCTTTCTTTGCTTTCACCCTATTATCCTCATCTGTGGACTGCAAGAGAAGTGTCTTGAGGATGCATCAAAGGAATCATGCTTGCAAGGTGCACAGTAATGCACTGCCGGGGTGTTTGGAATACATTTCTCCGTCGTAAGCAACCGTTGCGGGGATGAGCGGGGGTTGCTGCGCTGCTGCAGGTGCAGTTCATAGCGCGGGGCCCGAGCGGCAAGGGGCGTGTGAGCGCAGACATGTACCAGGACGACGCCAAGCAGTGGCAGTACTACTACCTGCTTGTTGACCTGGACGCCGGCCGCGGCCGCATCAGCATTGTGGACCCCCACCATCACTAGAGCGGGGGGACTGGTACCTGTCAACCCCCCTTGATGGAAGCCTCATCAGTAATGATTTGGGAGTTGCGGGCTGCCCCTGACTGGACTCCATGCACTGTGAAGCCTGCCCTACCTTCAGAGCTGCTGTTGACTGGCTGTCAGATCTTTGGCAGATCTTTGGCAGATGGCAGGTCAGCTGGGCATGATTGGTCATTGCAAGGGCACTTTCCTGGTGGGCTGGTCAACTAAGCCTTGATGTAAGGGGTCTGGTCGGCTTGTGGTTAAAGTGTGTAGAGACTGGTGTAAGGTACAGAGCATGCTTTGCAATTTTGGTGTGGATGGATGTGCACCCAACAAAGGTGGCAGAGTGTGCGTGCTTGCTTGCCACACTTGCTGGGTCCAGCAGCGCGGATCTCCCTTCCTTGTCCATATCTGCACACATGGGGGGAGCCAGCTTCTACCTCAAATGAAGCTACGAATTCCGGTTGACAATGTTGATCTCATGACCAGCAAGAATGGTGCATCTGGAATAGAAATATGGATCAGTCTTAAGACTGAAATTGCTATCGAATGTCGTACATGTGAATTGTATGAGGATCAGTATTAAGCACTGCTTACACCTCGATCAATACATACACACCCGGCAAGGATCTATTGATCAGGATATATCACGAGCTCTTTACCTTGGAGGTCTAAATTCTCACATTCGTACATAGGCTATAGAGCTTGCATGGTGCAGCCAATTGCCCATGGCCATTAATACTCTTGGTGTGTGGCCAGAGGGAATATCATGATTAAATTTCTTGATCAAGCCTACCGGTCTGCGACTCAAGCATACATGCAGCTCTGACTCCAAGCTGTGACTAAGCCAATAGGTCTCCTGACTGCCAAAGCTGGCCAGCAGATTTCTGAAAGGGCATATTCTATAAGCCAACCAAGCTAATTCTACTTAAATGCATCAATGCATAATCCATATGGGTCTACAAACTGTGCAGCTCGGACAGGCTATCAGCAGGCATTCCTTGCACCTAGGGCAGAGGGAGTACCTGGCATGCTAAATGCCAGCCAATCATCGGTCTGGCATGATATCCTATCATCCACCATGTTCCATGACTAGCCCCTGTCCATCCAGAGCAAAACCCCTGCATCATAATATGCTGGTCACCAGTGACTAAGAGTCTCAAGCAACCGCAACAACTATTGCCCAACAGGGCCAGCACATTCCAAATTTGAATCCGTCGAAGCCGTTGTGTCTCTTCCGTTCAACATTGTGCTATGAAGCACGTCATGCGTTCTTTCCTGCCTAAGTCTCTTGCTTATACTGTTGCCGTTGTGAGAGCCGGCAACTCATGCGGCTCTCACAGCCATCTGTTACCCTGGTTATGACAAGGGAAACCACTCTACTTGAGGGTCCGTGGGCTCCGGCAGACTTCAAATAAATAGAAGAAGTCAACATGTATGCTTGATTCATCAACATGATGAAAGACACATTGTACAGAATTGCACAAGGTGGACCTGCTGCTCAGAATTTGTGCTCTGTTGATCTCAGCAGTCCAACCAGCACAGTCTGACAACAGAACTTGCCAGTACTCCACCAACCTGCTCCTGACCGAGCTCTCAACTAGCACCAACTGCTCTCCCAACGTAAAGTGAGAGTGCTCCACATGCACAAACAAGCCACTCTCTGAAGGATCAATCGAGAGCCATGCAATGTCTCGGCTTCAACAAGGAGACTGCGCCGCCGCAAATGCAATGATCCCAAGGACACAGGAGACCACAGGTGAACTGCTATCTGCAGGCAGCTTCCTACATGCGTGTCTCCTGAGAGCCAGCGATCAGGCGGAGAGATATTGCTGACATGGCTGCAGCACCCTGAGTCATGGGCCCTGACACACAAGCTTGCCAAGGCAGGGCCGCTGCAGCAGCACACACCGCTAAGGCATGTTGCTGCCGAAATGAAATACAAGACCCAGATGATAGGCCCCGTATGCGCCAGAAGGCGGTGCAAGACCCCACAGAAACCCAAAGAGTTCAAGGGTACCAACACTGTAGACTCTGCATTCTCTCACGAGTCGGTGCTCTTGTTGATAATGGGCTTGGACCAAGCCGCTTGGTACAATAGATTGATGTATTTCCTGGGAGCGTCATGCGCAACACATGTTCTGTAACTGCTCAGTACTACGCAGGGAAACTCAGCAGCCTCATCCAGGCGGCCTGCTGATCCTCGAGGCCAGCCATTGATGAGTGGCTCCGCTTCTTGCCGGCCTTTGGAGCGGCGGCCGCTGCGGCGTCAGAAGAGTTGAAGCGCTGAGATGGGGTGATGCAGCCTGCGCCACAAACACAGGTTTCAGACAGGCACATCACGTGTAATACAGTGTAATCTTAGTCAAACCGATGCCGGCCAGGATCCAGCAAAGAGCCCATTGAAACAATTAGAGCAGAAGCACACATCCTGACCCTTACAAGAGATGACAAGGTTCGAGGCACAAATGAGATGGGGACAGGAAGGCTCACCGCCAGGGAGGAAGCTGACAGCGGCGGGCTGCGGCTCAGCAAGGCCCGGCAGGTATGTGGGGCTGTCCAATCCATGTTCCATTGCAAGGAACGACCGCGCGCCGATCTTCACCCTGAGGGCCAGCTTGGGTGCCTGCAGCTCTGTTGCATGTGCTGCCTCTGCATCAGCGGCAGCCGTCAGCTGGACAGGGGCTTGCTGAGCTGGAGCAGCCGGGGTCGGCGCGGGCGTGGCAGCCTTTGCCGGTTGGGGAGCGCGCTTGCCAGCGCGGCCGCTCTTCTTGCCCGCGCCGCGCTTGCTGGCCGGGGCCTTCGCAGCCTTCTTGGGGGCCTGTGGCGCCGGGGCGGAGGCAGCTGGCGCCGGCTGCGGTGCCAGTGGCGGTGCGGCCGCCTTGACTGGCGCTGCCGGGCTGGCGGCCTTGCTTCGGCGGCTGCGGCGAGAAGCCGCGGCGTCAGGGGAAGCCGAGCGCGCGCGCTTGCGGCCACGCGCCTCCGGCGCCGCCTCATCAGCGCCGATACCGCTGAGGTCAGTGGTGCAGCTGCCCGGCAGCTGCGTCTGTGCGTTAGCCGCCGCTCGCTTAATCTGGCGCTGCGAGCGCCGGGCCGTCTGTGCAGCAGGTGTTTGAGCGGCAAGGCCTCCAGGCTCTGTCTTCAGGGCAGGAACCTCGGCAGGACTGAGCTCGTGCAGATATGCAGCACCTTTCATATGATCTGCACAAACAACAACACCGCTTACTGTTGCGCACTGCACGCTTGCTTACATGTGCAAGTCGCCCAATACCCAGCAACAACAAATTGGCGCACAGCATGGAGGACAACATGTTGTCAGTGCAGCCATTGACACTGACATGGCTGCAGGGGTGGAGCTATTGCGACAACGTGCAATCATGGAGGGACCTGTGGTAACGAGCAAACAGTGGTACAGCTTGCAGAACCACACCCGCAAAATTTTGCATGCCTTTGTAGGCGCTGCTGTTGTCGTGGCCATCAGGGATTGCGTTCTCGCTGATCTCCGAATCCAGACTTTCTGCAAGCAGCCAGGAGCCCAGTTTCAAGGCAGGAAGCAGCGCTGCGGCAGTCATGCAGGACTTGTGCAGCAGGAGTGTTATGGGACGGCTGATGGCCATGCGACAGCTGTCATGCACGTCATGTCACGCAGATCTGCTGACAGCACTGCAAAGTGTGCACGGCAACAAGGCCATCAAGATGTGTGAAAAAGCTGGGACACCCTCTGATGTGCTGAAATCAGGCAGAGGCTCACAAAGCAGTGCAGGATCTTGGGAGGTCTGGTCATGCCTCACCTCTGAGCTGGAAGCAAGCGCATATCTCTGTCAAAAGCGCGAAGCGGGACCCATCCAGGGTCTGTCTGTCTGGGTTAGGCGTGCAAGAGAGGGCCGCAGCTGTTGCAGCTGCACTTTTAGATCTGCGTTTCTCGTCCCTGATGGCCAGCTTCTTTGCCGCCTTCTGCTCCCCGTCAGTCTCTTTCTCCTTCCTGCAACAGTCTTGCTTGCTTCAGGGTTTACAACCTGAAGGTTTTGCTTGCTGGTATGTCAAAAACTTCTCAGACAAGCATGCGGCCTTGCTTTTGTGCTCTGAAATCAGTGGCAAACAGCGAGTACACGGGCATCTGGCAATGCAGTGGCAAGCGACAAGATCCTCCTCACCAGGAAGGGTGTGCCTTCCTTGCCTCCGCACTCTTCGCATTCCGAGAGGGAAGCGTCTTCTTAGCCACTCCGACCAGTTGGTTAGACGTGCTAGACTGGCCTGCAGTCGTCAAGAGAAGCTACTCAGGTGAGAAGGGAGCGCTCCGATCGCACATTGTTAGGTAGGATCGTCCAGTGAGGTCCAGACGCCAAACGAGGTGGGGACAGCATACAGCTTTCAAAAGCTGCCTGAAAATATTCCATAAACACTAAATGATGATATAAGCGCTGCAAAGAAGAACCTTCTCAGCATGCTGCTCATACACTCTGCTCATCCCCCAGCGCAGCCTCACCTGACTCGCGCCCGCTGCTCTGCTGCGGTGATTCCCTTGCCCTATGAACGCGAAATTTTGTTGCCATCTTCTTTAAGATCTCCTTCCCACTCGCCAGCACCACTTCCAGCAGCCTTCAGTGAGACAGATCAGTGGCGTGCAGCAAAACAATCCTGACAACCAGTGAATACCAAGGTGATGTTGATTTGCGTGTAAACGTGTGACATTGATGCTAGAGGTCATTGCTTGTTTGAAATGTACCTTCCCAAAGAGATGCTGCAACAGAAAGAGGGCAGGGCAAAACTTTCGCGGGAAAATCGCTGGGTCGTTGGTCGGACGACGAACGCTGCCAGGGGGTTTAACCTCACATTACGTGATCACTTCCTTTAAAGACTTCACCATGTTTTGGTGGTGCTGGCACCAAATTGCTAGTGTACGAATAAAAAGTTCCGGTATGTTAGAGGAATAACCCACTTGTTATGCCGAAGAGTTGCTCATCTGACTAGTACTGGGAATCATGTTTCCTTACAATAGTCCATGCTGAGCTTCAAGCCTCAAAAGACCCTCATTGTTCCAGCTGGATCAGCGATGCTTGTATGTATCCATCTAGAGCCAGCAAGAACCCCTAGTCGTCAGGAAAGCTAGCTAGAATAATGATCACCTAGAAAATCCAACTACACTAGCGCTGAAATCTTTGTTCTGCAGTCGTGCGCAACAATCAACAGAGCTTCAGGCTCGACATCCCTGATTACTGATTGTATCAGCGCGCCAGTGCATAAGTGGCCGTGAGAGGCTCCGCTGGCTTGCCAACACAGGTGGGCCCCACGAGCGCCGCAGGAACATGAGAAAGAGCGCCACAACGCAGCACCATATCGACACCACTCCTGCAAAGCACCATTCATAACCTTGGTTCAATATTGAAACCACTTCTGCTTGCCCACATTGCCCACGTAGCACACAAGCAACGGCGTGTTGCAAGCTGGAGATTGCTCAAGGCAGCAGGAAAGCGAATTCTCTTATGGTCTGTCGTGTGGAAATCCACGAAGCAACATTCACAGAGCAGGCTTGATCCTCCAGGACAGCCCAAGACATTCCCATTGCCGCTGTCCTGAGAACGATGACAGTTGATGTGCACAATATATATAAGTTGCTATGCTTGCAACATGCCCAAATTCACAGGTGTTGCCACACACCTTGCCTGTCATGGGATGATCTTCACACGCCCAGTAGCCTGCAGACAGCTTCCAGAACTGGATAATAGGCAAACACCTGACAATGCCATGTTCGCATGTCTAAAACGATTGGCAGCACTTCTATATGTTCAAAAGTGGTAGATTATCTATGTTTTCAGATCCAATTACCGTAGTCAAAATGCGCGCATTATTGTTTCAGCATCCATATGACGACTGTTGCGATTCAAGCATTGGATGCTGGCATTAGCACTTTGATCTAAAACTCTTTGGTCTAGAATTCAAAATTCAGAAAAATTTAGGGAGATGGCATGACTTCGACAAGGTCAGTCAGGAGCACATGATGAGCCCAGATGCAGAGCTACAGTGCGGCCACATCTTCCCAGTTTAAAGGTGACGAGTTTAACCATGGCAGCTGCTCCTCATTGCTAACATGCTAGTCTTCTCTGCGCTCTCCTCATCCTCAGGGCATACTCCACTCCCAAATATCTCACACCGCCATCATCTGATGTGCAGCCTGCATCCGCTGGCTGGAATAGGCCACAGCTGCCTGCAACGCCCCTGCCACGCCCCTGTCTGCAATAGAGCCCCTTAACAGCTCCAGTGCTGCACTTTCGCTGCCCCTTGTGCTCTCTCCCCGAGGGGAATACTGCTCCCATCTAGCGCTCCTGCACACTCATGCTCATTATAAGGTGGCTTTTCAGATGCCATGAGCAATTGTAAACATACTATAAAAGAGCTCAGAGGCTTGGCTGGGCATGCAGCAGCCATCAACTGGATGACAGCAGTGACTAAATGCCCCGGCAGGTGATCTGTTTCACATCACAATGCAGCAGGCTGGTTTATCATATGGCTGTGATGTTTTTTAAAGTAAAAGTCACAGGCAAATTCAAGGCCTGGCTGCCAGCTCAATGAATTGCACACCAACGCCTCAATAACAGGGCACACACAAGGCCCCAACAGACGAGTTGATCATGGAAGGACGCTATTCTTACGCGCACCTTTCTCGCCGTAGAGGGGGAGCCATGGCTGCTGCGAAGCTCTCCTGCGCGCGGCTGCTGACAGAGGAGAGGCCGCTGGTCTGCCGAGCGCTCGGCCGCGCCAGGGCGTGGCTCAAGGAGTCCAGCTCCTGCTCTATCAGCGGCAGCAGCGCCTCTGAGTCATCCACCGCCGGCCGCTCCCTCACAACCTGCCGTGACATCACAGCAGCCTTGAAGAGATCCAGCGAGACACATATCATCGCCCGCAGTTCCATTGGAGTTGCAAACTGGTCTGTAATCGACATCCAGCAAAACACAGGAACATGACTTTACATATTGTGCTTGTATCGGAGGGACGATCTGTCACTGCAATGCCACCTTTCAGAGGCTGTAACATTTTCACCCCTTCCACTGGCCTGTTCCCCATGCCCTTCCTAAACAGCCACCCCACTTGGCGGGCAGCCTTGACAAAAGAAAACCCCGAGCAAGTCAACACGCTGGGCAATAAATGTTAGCAGGTTGCCGCACCTGCGACAGCGGGGCGTCCTCGAGCCGGGCCTTGAGGGCGTGCAGGTGGGCGCCAATGCGGTCTGCGATGGCGATGTAGAGGCGGTCGTCGGGCCAGGCCTGCTCCTCGGCCGTGCGCATGAGGTCGGCCACCAGGATGGGGTCCCCCACCAGCAGCCGCACCGAGCGCCCCGGCCGTGGCAGCGCCGACCCCCGCGGCACCACCGCGTCCATTCCCGAGTGCACAAACGGCACCACTGCATGCATGCACAGCTCTGTGAATATATGCTGGCGCACTACTATATGTCCTGATAGCAGGCACTCATGCCCGAGTGCATAAATAGAACCACGGGCAGCATACAGGACGCTGTCAATAAAACAGCGTCTTTGTCTTTGGCAGCCTTTGTCAATAAAGGCTGTCAGATAAGGGACTGGCCTGACAGCAGGCGCTCATGCCGTATTGCACAAACAGTACACTGCATGCATGCATGGCGCTATCAATAATCACTGTCAGACAACAGAACGTGCGGACAGCAAGCGCTCATACTCGCACGAACGGCACCACTAGCATTTTGCGGGACACTGTCAATGCTCGCTGTCAATTAGCATTACGTGCTGATCGCAGGCGCTGAGCTAGAGTCGTACAAGACATATACTGGGGTGTCATGTTGGACAATTGGGCCGGCACAATGGGGGAAAAAAAGACGGGCCTCTTGTCTGCAGTATCAATGTGGTAGGAGACAACTGCTATCAGAAATGGGCGGCCATGCCGGAGACTGGCATTACGACTTGCATTTTATATCTGTGGCATGGCCTCCGGTTCACATAAGGTGCAATTCGAAGCCACCATCATAGAGCAGACGGGAGGCCCAAAAACATTCACCACCAGGCATGACCAAGCCGAATATCTTAAGATTGGGTTGGAAAGTACCGAGGGGGGTCTGCCTGCAGGCGGCAACGAGGCGGCCGACGCCTTTGCGCGCGTGGCCCATGCGGCCGTCGCGGCTGCGCGTTCCCTCCGGAAACACATGCACCCAGTCCCCCGCCGCCAGCCGCGCCTCCGCCGCGCGCATGCCCGCCTGCTCCATCCCAGCACCCCGCTCCACCGGCAGCACCTGCCCATGACATGCAATATGTCTCAATATATGTCAATGTTCAGAAGATGTCATTCTGACAAGTGTCAGCAATTTACTAGTGATATTGATCTGCACCTTGTTTGTTTTCACTCACTGGCCATTGCTTTGGACACACCCAAGAACATCATTTTAGTCCTGTGATGACAAATGCTGAATGGTAACGACATGATGCCCTCAACACTCTTGCCGCACTGATGCCAGTGCTAGGATGAGGCCGGCAAACGGCGGAACTCTGTGAGGGAATGTCTTGTTGAGAGACCCAAAAAGGAGGCTTTCCCAAATAGAGAGGAGACCATTGTCAGCCTCATATATTACATACTGTAAGTGCAACATGAACATGTGCTGTGCATCCGTAAATTTGCAATATGGAAGCCCTGCAGTCCGCTGAGCTACTCGAGTTGCACCAGAAGAATCTTGAAAGCGGCACCTTGGCGGCGCGGAAGAAGGCTGAGGCGGCGGGGTTGGTGAAGCATCGGTCGGTGGCGCAGAGCGTCCACCGCAGCGCGCTCGGCCGCAGCAGCGCCCCCATCGGCAGCAGCGCAGCCGTCGCCAGCGGATCGTCCAGCGACGCAACGTGGTTGCTCACCGTTATCAGCGCCTGCCCACCCACAGCAATCTACTCATCAACTCAAGTACCAATAAGCAAACGCCAGGGGGTACTTTTCAATTTGTTCTTTTCCGGTACTTTTCAGTACCCTCTGCAAATGCATGACCACGGGCGCTTGAAGCATACTGAGAGGCGTAGACATGCGGCAATTAAAACCTACTGAGAGCCATATGACATTTAATAAGGAGTGATTGAAATCTACCAAGAGAGACTCTACAACCGCCAGCGGGATGGGTACTTGTTGAGCATTGAGGAATTTTGACCCACACAACAGCAGCAGCCATGTGTAAAAGATCGACTTGGTGGTGTCACGGGCTTGCCCCTCCCTGAAAACTCAGGCAATTGAGCCTGATGGGGCTGACAACATTGGGATCAGCAGCCAGTTACAGCTGTAGAGGGCAGGCTCTTGCTGCGCTACATAGCATGATTACATGATGTCATACTCGTTAAAATCTACATTGAGATTTGAGTAGAGGCGCACCTGTCCCTTGGGCCTGTCGAGAGCGCTGCTGATGATGCTGGCACCCTCCACTGATGTGCTGCTCAGTGCTCCCATGAACAGTTTGGAGGCCACACCCAACGCCGCTAGTGTGATCGCCTGCAAAAAAAATTTAAGTTTGTTTTAAATGACTCTTCAAAGTGCCCGCACCAAAACCCTGCACTGAATGATCCAGTGTAGGCTCCCATTAGACTGTTGGGGTCAGAGGTCGATGAGTGTGCCTCAGAGACTGTTCAGTATTGAAGGCACAAAGCACATGCAGTGTCAAATGCACAGAGGTGTCGATGATCTCACCCTGAAGGGGCCATCCTTGCCAATGACAGCCAGATCATCTGGAACGGAGGGTCTCTCTCCCCGGACAGCTGCATAGGTGGCGCGCAGCAAGCCAGCCTTCTCTCTCTTGAGCTGTGCCAGGTCCTCCTTAGCTTCCAGCACTTTGTCACGAAGCCTTGAGAAGGCGCGCCGAGGATCCAAAGGCTCCTTGGCTTGTTTCCTCTGCTTGTACAGCTGAACGCGCTCCTTCGCCTGCTGGAGGAGGGTGGCGTCTTCTGTCGCTTGCTCCCGCCTCAGCTTTCGCAGGAGCTCTCTGTAGCCCTTTATTGAAGCCGCAGCAAGCTGTGGCGCTGTGGTGGAGTTCAGGATCGGCATAGCAGCCTTCACAAGAATGCAAGTCCTCTATACTGATGGCTGCGGTCCTGTTAGTTCATATAGAGAGTGCAGCAAGTGCAAATATCTTATTATTCAAGATCAGTCTGTCCTACTCGTCTTTCATAACGACTAATGAACGACGTTCTTCTACTGTAAAACAGAAGTCGCCGAAATGAGCTGATCTTCAGCGGACGCTGTGTCCCTGTGTTCTTTGCTGATAATTCGAAAGAGACATTTTCTCTGTCTCTCCTCAAATTGTGAGGGATCAGTAACGATAGTTGCTTTATTTTCTGCCTGGCCTACGTCAGACACTAGCGATCTTCGCTAAAACGAGGCTTTCAGCAGGCGATGTGCACTTTATAGTTGCTTCAGCACGTTACACAATCACATGAGAGGTGGATCTCTGATTCAATGCACGTTAATAAGGAGAAATGCAGGCATAACCACTGTTTAGAAGGGAACGCCGGTATCAGAGTGGACCCGCAGGTCCGCTCAGCTTCTCGACGAGTGTCAAAGCTAGAGCATCAACTCTTCCTCTGGAATCCAATGCATCTCAGCGGTGTCCAATATAATAGCGTCTGTAGCTTGTTGAGGAAGACTGTTGTCGACCCGAAGAAGACTGCCGGATCGCGATTGGGGCCAAAAACCGTGAGAACAACGACTCTCTGTCTGTGGAACCAGCAAGAACACTCTGCTGCAACAAGGAGATTGCTTTCAAGGAGTGCAGTAAGCGAAGAGAGCATGGCTGCGAACGTTCTTTCGCACCCTCACCGCTTCATCCTAGTCTCAGACCTGGACTGGACCATGGTGAGGGATCCTGGCATGATTGGGCAGCACTTGTGATGCGTACAGGCTTAAGGGACATTGTGTTCATTTGCAAACCTCAATTTGAGCTTTTGACGCCTCTCAGTCAGAGAGACGTAAGTGGAGCGGCCAGAAGCAGTGGCTGCCATGCCCAGTCCTACAATAGGGCATCGGGCCTCTCAATCCTTAAGACAGGAATGAAGAGATCTACATTCATGCAGGTGGACCACAACGATAAGGAGAACAAGGCTCTGAACGCATTCAATCAGCTGTGGGAGTCAAAGTTTGCAAAGGACTCTCTGTTGGTCTTCTCCACTGGAAGGTCGCACGCCTTGTACAGCGAGCTCAGGGTGAAAACCGACACCCATCCAGTTCCTTACATTGAATTAGAAAGTACCTCACCATCTGAAGTTGTGCCTCACAACTGTGCATATCAGAGCAGTACAACCAGTGGTCCATTGAATGTCAAGAAAGGAAGGCTAAATAAATTAATTGGTATCAATTGGTGGATGCTGCTGCAGAAAGAGGTCCCTCTGGGGAATCCGGACGTGCTGGTGTGCTCTGTGGGCACCGAGATCTTCTTTGAGGCTGCTGGGACCTCCCCAGAAGCCAACAAGGATTGGGCCGCAGAGCTGGACCAGGGATGGGACCGTGCCAAAGCCATCGAGATTGCTGGCAAATTCTCAGAACTCTCCCCACAGGCAAGCTCCTCTTTGCCCAAAACCCAACAGTCCTATCTTTTTGTAGTCGCAGCACTGCCTTCAACCCTGGATCGTGGTGTTGTGACACTGAAATGCTGTGATCATGCAATGACTAATTGACCAATGTGGCGAGCAGGCAGAGAGCGAGCAGCGGCCGCACAAGCTGAGCTATTACGTGGGAGTGAAGGGTGACGAGGCCAAAGGGGTCATTTCCAGGCTGCAGGACGCTCTGAGCCAGGCAGGCGTGCGCGCAAAGCTCATCTACAGCGGTGGAGTGGACCTGGACATCCTGCCGGAGGGCGCCAGCAAGGGCAAAGGCCTGGAGTTCCTGCTCAGACAGGTGCGCATCCCTTCTACAATGCCTCTGGTGTAAATGGATACACTTGGCCCCTCTCAAAACCTGAGCTTGGTGTATATCTCCGTGGATAACTTTTCACTCGTTAGCATCGAATCAGCTTCACCGCAGCACCGACGCCTCTTGTCCAGTTGGGTGTGGGTATTTCCAAATGCAGTCGTGTTGGGTGTCCTCATGATTGGTGAAAGGTCAGATGACATGTGCCCAGCTGCACAGTGAAATAATTACTGCCAAGGGAGCCAGCACGGGTGTTGTGTGCAGATCAAGGAGGCCGGCAATGCCCCCAAGGACGGGGTGATGGTGTGCGGGGACTCGGGCAATGACGTTGAGCTGTTTGCTGTGCCCGGCGTGCGCGGCTGCATGGTGGTGAATGCGCACGATGAGCTCAAGGACTGGTGCAACGCAAACGCCTCCCCCCAGATCTTCCAGGTGGGCTCCCAATGTAAATGCATGAGTAGTGTTGAGGCTGTTAGCTGCTTGTTGAGGGGAAGGTGGGCGGTGTCAGTTCTGAAGAAGACTGTCAGCGGTGATAGCATGCTGATGTGTGTGCAGGCAAGTCAGCGGTGTGCCGGGGGAATCTCTGAGGCTTTGGAACATTTCAAGCTCATATCGCAGTGATGCCCTTGGAGTCCGGAGTGTCCGTTGGCGGTGTCAAGTCCTAAAGGTCTTACCGAATTATTATGTAGCTAATCAACCATAGTAATCAATCTTTTCAATCTCAGGCCTATTAGATCCAGCAGCCAGCATCATGTGCAGAATTTTGGCCATGACCTGATGTGCAAATGTTCTATACAGCAATGCCCTAGGAAAATCTCCTGGCGCCCGGGTTCGAACCCCTGCAGGTGCCCAGGTTCCCTTGCAAGGCATCATTTGCACGCAGCCCCCATGAGTATTGCACCATTGTTTTGCTGAAATGTGACTTGAGTCAAGACTGTGCGCGAAGATATTTTGTAACTCAGAATCGGATTTGGTGGACATGCTTTCACATGGTAATATTTATAGCGTTGATAGCGCTGCAACACTTTTGCATGCGAGATTCTTGGCATCGTTTTGTTGTGCAGCCCTGCATGCTTTGATGCTCTCGTGGCACTCCTACTGCATGCATCATGATGTGCGCAGCAAAGTTTGCATGTGTGCCACAGTGCACGTGGGTCGCGAGTGAGGGACTTGCTGCCAATATCATGGCGACCGCCCAGTGCTGCATGACTGAATGAACTTACATCTTCGATTTATAAAAGCTTAAATTATGAAGTGCTGCAAAATTTTCAGTGAGCAGCTGGAATTCGGCCCATGCACTTCTGCATGCGCATATGCCTGTATAGGCTGCAGCAGCTGCGACACATTTTGAGCAATATTTTTGCGCAGAGCTGATCTGATTTATTTTCGACTTTAGGTCACATATTAGATCGACTCTGTGAAGCATAGAGTGATGATTGCTGGCATAAAATCTCGTGCAGGTTTGTGCTGATTCTTAGATGCCGCTGTCTTTTCAGGCTATTGGTGAATATCGAAGTGCGGAAAGCTCCTAAATGGTATACTATAGGACGATATGATTGTCTGTGCGGCGGTCATCGGGCAGCAGGTACGTGAATGAATCGGCTTTTTCTAAATTTCTGAGCACCCAGTGAGCAGATCCTGTACCTTAGAAGACAAGCCAGAGGTGATGTGCAAAGAATAAACCGGCGCTTCATATGCTGTCATCGCTGCTGCCGTAATAAAGGTTTCCAAGATGCAATCGAAATCTGTGTTGCTGGACATCCTTTGCAGAACAATCCTCTCTACTTGGAGACTTTCCAGCAAGCAGGAACGGGGAGTGAGGGCGCTCTGCGCTTTCACTACATCGTCCACTGCTCTCTGGACGCAGTCGAGGAGAAATGTAAGTCATCTGAGAGTTTCATATGTCTGCATGAAGCGTGTATAGTGCTGAAGGTGATGGCCGTCAAGGCGAGTCTGAGAGGTGTGAACCTGCCTGTATGCAGTGCTGCAGCCCCAGAAAACGCCAGGAGAGCCCTCTGATGCCTACCTTGGCTTGCTTTACCCAACTGAAGACTTCAGAGTGTATGGGTGAGCTCGAGCAGAGTATCTCTCCTCATGCCTGCTCGTACGATCATGGGCAGAGTCTGGGATTCCTCCACGATATGCAAACGTGAAGTACTTGACAGTATACGTGTGTGGACAGGTATGTGAGCAACACAAGGATGAAGTTCATACTGGTGCTCGATGATGTCGCACCAAAGGATGATGAGATGCGCCTGGTATCTCAATTCCTCACATTTGCATCATCTGCACTCTTTGAATAGTCAATCAAATTTTTCTCTTTCTATTTTGAATGCCGATGCTGTTCTGTCAAAGTTTTGTCTTGACTGATGATGACTGCGCATGCCTGCTGCAGATATTCAAGCGCTTCCATGCTGCCTTCATCGATGCAGTCTCCAATCCCTTCTACACTGTCAACACGGTGTGCCATCTGCGCTGCTCCAGAACCCAGTGGCACATGCAACTCTGCGTGATTAGCCACAGACATAACTCAGGGCCTGGGAGCTCCTTCTGGACATCGTGTTATCTTGCCACACAGATCCACACCCAAACTCTGACTCTTAACATGTGCAGTGCGGCTGAAAGCTTCATGTGTGCTTGCAGCCCATCACCTCCCCAAGCTTCGATGCCAGCATCCGCACAATCATGACCACTGTCTGAGACGGCTAGTCATCCAAATGGGATCGAGTCGATGGGAGCTTCTCAGCAGTGATCCGGGGGCGCAATGTTTCTGCTGACTCACAGATCCGAACTTGCACTGCTTGGGCAAATGGCAAGCTTGAGGCCCACGGGTGCAGCCAGCTGTGACTGCTATCTTAGCAGCTGCCTCTGCATTGCACAGACAGACAGAATTACAGCTACTGTGCTGTCAAATGGTATGGCGACAGAGTGTGACATGAGCAAAGAATCAGAATCCCCTGTTCCCAAGGGCGAGGGCCTTCTTGTTGGCCTGTGCTAGGTTCAAGGGAATGCAATGTGCTGGCACCCCGGTGATGCTGACAGCCGCATCTGTCTCATGATCATGATGATTGCGATTTTGACCTGCGGTATACCTTGAACTGCCAGTGAATACCAGGCACACGTGGCCAATGCCAGTGTACCTTCGATGTTGTACTAAATAATCTGCAGACAATAATGACAAGTGCACAAGGTAGAAGAAAGTGTGCATGGTGCTGGAACCTGATTACAGATGAGAGAGACCCACCTAGATATTGACTCAGACAGGTGCAGTACAGGTGCAGGCAGGAAATAATAAGCAGATCGTCGGTCCTAAAATACAAACCTATCCTCCTCTTCCAGAATAATCATCATTAGCATTCAGCTGTCACCATTGAATAAGGATCTAAAGAAACCACAAGATGTCGACCGCCACGTTGAAGCAAGCTTTCGTCGCACAGAACACCGTGAGGACCCGTGCACAAAGGTCACACCTTAAGGCTCGCAGCCCAGTAGCACGCCGATCAATCGTCTGCAATGCTGCTAAGGTACGGATATATCTTTATTCTTGCATCAAACCAGTCAGTATGAATTGAACCGTCTTTTGTAAAACTATGATAGCAGAGGTACGGTCGATATTGACAGATGGATACTCCTACTTCTTCAGAGATGGGACATTGCTATTTGATAAGGCCAAATTAATTGTTCAAGATATCTTGCATGTTACTTGTTTATCTTAAGATGTGCAATCGTGTGACCTTCTTACTGTTCGACGAGGAGTCGATGCCGACCCCCATCACCGGTTCCAGGAGTCGAGAATGTAAAGGCATTGCTCACCACATTCTGAGGAGGTCTGATATATGTGCAGGACAACGATGCATCGCTTTCCAGGAACGTGAGCCACGCCCTTGGAGCGTTGGCTGCAGCCCAGCTGCTCCTTGGATCGGCAGCAGGTGCGGTCCCTTCCTTGCTGACACCTTTCGCATTCTGGTTAATCCAATAAATACCTATTTCAAAACGGTCGACAATGTCACTGTGGTTTGGCCGTGATCGTCTTGATGGTCTTGCCTGCTGCAGTGCACTGACGCATGTGTTGTGTAATGGCAGCTCCCGCCTTGGCAATTGACACTACTGGCACTGGCAGTGCTGGGAAGTTGGGGGCCCCAGCCCAGAACAAGGAGGCCACTGACCTGCCCAGCTCATTCTTCAGGACAGGTGTGCATGCCTACTGCTCCACACCGCATTGGAAATATCTCAACTATGAATCATGCTTTGACAGCCGGGCACTGCTTGCTGTCTCATCGGTGAAAATTTATCATGGGTGCTTTACATATTCACGGATAGCCTTAATGCTCTAAGAGCTGCCAGGCAATATCTCAAGGATTCTTATTGAGCACTTGTGCACTGTTTGTCAGGTGACGAGCTGCAGAAGAAGCTGGGAATTGACACTGACCCAGACAACATCGGCGACAAGATCCAGCCTGGCACCAAGGGTGAGTAACCCCCTCCCAGCATGTCTTCCTTGGATGAAAATCTCAATCTGAGCGCCATCCAACTGCATGCTGTTTGAGGCTCGACCTGGGTGCCCCCTTGTGGAGGGTTGATTTCCCCCTTTGTACAGGTCAGGCAACGGGATTTACTGCCAATTTGATCTCAGCATTTCTTTCCTGGTCAGGCGCACTTCCATTTGACTGATTGATTGGCTTCCATGGTTTGCAGGCCTCAATGGAGTGAGCCAGCAGGATGGCAAGCTGAACAATGTGGCCAAGGCCTCCACTGATGCCACCCTGAAGGCTGCCCAGAACATCACCCCCGACCTTTCTGAGCTGCCCAACGCCTCCGACCTGCCTAACCCATTTGACAGCACCGGCTTTGCTGACAAGGTAATCGACTCGTTAAATTGTTTATTGAAACCTCTGCACTTGCTCTCGATCGGTGTCTCACCCTGCATTGTGAGGAGCAGAGTCTACTACGTCTCCCTCCTGGAAGTTATCTGTGTCCAGTAAGCTATCAGGCGTGAGAAGAATGCTGACAGATGCTGAAGGAGTCCTTACCTACCACATTTCATCATGCTGACTGTGCAGTGAATCTATCTGTTGTGTGTGTGCAGGCGAAGGGTATTGTGAAGGACGCCGTCAACAGTGTTCCGGACCCATCAGAGGCTGTTGACAAGGTGCGACTCCTTGCACAGCAAATTATGGCTACCAGTCCAAATGAGCTGTTCCTTGTATATGCCCATGAGATCTTTTACTGTCACAACAGGCAGTGACGCCCACGCCCCCTTGAAACACAGTGGATAGCCCAGAGAACTTCTTGCACTACTGTGTATCTTCCAACACCTTTGTTAGCGTGGGAAGGATGAATCTCAATCTTTTGGATTGCTTGCAGGCCAAGGGCGCGGGCAAGGAGCTAGGCAGGAATCTGCCCGACCCCAGTGCCGCAGCTGACAAGGTCAAGGGAAACGTGAGGCCCTTATCAACTCTCTGACTTCTCAAAGTGTCCAACTTAGCTATTCACAGTATGCTGTGTGTTCGAGCGCACGGGTCTGTATTCACACTTATATCGCAGTGGCAGTTCGTATCATTTGCAGCAGTTAGCCCGCATCTGAATATACTTCTGAATGCAGATCTATATCGTGTCACCCTGACACTGGTCCTATATGCAACCTCTAGGGATGTGATTTTTGGGTTACCTCTGACGTATGGACTGTTATCCATGCAGGCAAAGGGACTGGCAAACGACCTGCCTAACCCGGCGGACACTCTGAGGAACAAGAGGATCTAAGCTGCCGCAGGAAAGATACCATGTTCATGTACAGAGTGATGCGCAGCATATGTAAGCTGCCAGAATTTTTTCAAACTTCTTTGAGATTTCAGCACAGGATTTGGAAGTTGCTGACATTTGTTTGTGTGTGAGAGACGCAAAATTTTGAGTACATGGCGTGATGTACCGTCATGGCGTGCTTTGTACCTGTGAGCTCTGATGTGGGGGTATGCATATGAGGGAAGATTCCGATCCAAACCGAAACTTCTGTAAAGCGTGATTGAGTATGGCTTTTCATGAGATTTATAAATTATAATTATAATTTTATAGCAGGGTGCTTGCGCCGTTGACACAATACTCTCATCCACTTTCGCATGGCAACATCTGACATCCCTTGTATTCATGTTTTCGAGAAATTTTAGAGCAGAGGTTTGTTATGCATATCACACTATGTCTTGAAGATCTGTCAGAGTCAGTTTGCCCGGACAAAACGTGTACAACCACAATACTGTAGGGCAGTCCCTGACACAACAGCAACACTCAACAACTTATTACTTTCTACCAAGCCAACAGACTGCACCTCACTGAATTCTAAAAACCGGCCAGAATTTGCAGGCCCAGTGATCTACATGCCAGAGCCCTTCGTACGGGACATCGCTGGCAGAACTCTGCCCCTTGCTGCTCCCTCAAAGCAGCGGCCCTGCAGCCTCACTTGAGCAGGCTGCGCACAACAGACTTGACGTTGAGGCGCTTGAGGTCTACGTAGGTCTGGCCGCAGCCCACAAACATGATGGGCGCCCCGGATGTGTACACCATGGACAGCGCGGCCCCCACCTGCACCAACAAACCACTGTCAGGAGCGGTACATGTAGAATGCATTGTCCACAAATGAGTGCTGCACGTACTTATTGTGCTGCCAGGACTGCGGCAGGACATCTCCAGCTGTGCCAAGTTTCACAGAACAGATAAGAGCACACATCTCCCAGCACGAATATCCCTACTTCCAGCATGCCAGTAGGAGTGATGTCTTGGGAGATTCATGCCCTTTCACCCTGCCACACATTCCCAAACCCAACAGCCACTCCTCTTGCGATCTCCAATGCCACAATATCATTTAGCCAGGAAAAATATGCGCAGGAGAGATATGCGCACCACTGAACTGCAGGGGTCCCACTCCAAATCACCAAATGTAGGGATTGCGCATTGAGGCCATAAACTCACATCCAGGAGCGCGCTACATTATCATCGATGGTGTCAAACCTGCTCAGCAGTACACGACCCGGCCGAGCCGCACGCAACAGCCTGGCATCTATTAATTTTGCAGATCTAACCAACATCATGACACAAGTTTCCACTGGCGTTATGATAATACCTTGTCGTCGATGGTGTCAAACTTGGTGAGCAGGATGCCGTCGATGGTGTGTGCGGTGGCGGCGTCCGTGGCCAGGTCGGACAGGCGCTGGTTGAACTTGGTGAGCTGGTCCACAGCGTCGTTGCCCACCAGGGCTTCCCCCACAAACAGCACCAGGTCGGGGGAGTTGACCGTGATCAGGTTGCTCAGCGCGCGCATCAGTGGCTCGTTGTCCTGCATGCGCCCTGCAGTACCAGCAGCTTTTTAATTCAAATTCTGTCAACGGCAGCATCTTCAATTTCAGTTTGAAAATTGCCATTGGAGGGCGCTCAGGACTGCTGCGGTGCAAGACACATCACAAACTCTTGCCTGTGCAGCCATAGGCCAACCTTGGCATTATGAGCAACTCCTGTGCTGGGCACTCTTGCATTCTGCGTTTTACAGCAGGACTGGAGCACTCTTCTTCGCGGCCATGTGCTTTCCTGACAAGCTCGACACATGGGGGCCAAATTAGTAAGCCTCAGCTTGCCCAGCTGCCTGATCACCGAGACCAGGTCTCAACAGGATACACAACATGACAGCAATGCGAGCTCCAAGAAGGGGAGAAGGGCTGCCTCTTTGAAGGGCACCAAGTCGCGCTTCAAAAACAGTAGAGGGAGGCAAGGCTGCTGTACCGGCGGTGTCGACGAGCAGCACGTCTTTGTGGGAGCGTTCGGCGGCGCGCTGGGCCTCGTAGGCGACCTTGGCCGGGTCCTTCTCGTAGCCGCGCTCGTAGAGGGGCACCCCCAGCCGCGCGCAGTGCGTCTTCAGCTGCTCCACCGCACCGCTGCGGAACGTGTCGCACGCCGCTATCATCACCTGCGCGCGTGCACGCATTCAGATGTTCATCCCAATCTTAAGATATTCGGCTTGGTCATGCCTGGTGGTCAATGCTTTTGGGCCTCCCGTCTGCTGTATTATGGTGGCTTTGATTTGCACCTTAAGTGAACTGGAGGCCATGCCACAGATATAATATGCAAGTAGCTATGCCAGTCTCTGGCATTGCCGCCATCTCTGATAGCAGTTGTCTCCTACCACATTGATGCAACCCTCAACCTGCCGTTGTGATGGGTGCATCCTGCCTGAGGACGATGACATGTGGCGAACAAGGCCCCAGACCACCGCACATTAGCAGACTTTAAGAGGCGCCAGCGGGACAATTGCCATTTGAATGCAGATTTGCAACATGCCTCTGAAGGCGTGCTGATGTGATATTGTCGGGGGCTAAGGGACACTCGACCCACCCTGACGATATCCATGCCGGCAGACTATACATCTATTGGAGACCAGGGCCACAGGGAAGATTCTCCGACGTTTCTGCTGTATCAAGTCCTCTCATCAAGCATCTGTCAGGTCAACTGTGCCTCTGGCATCAGGCAACAGCATAATGATATTGCAATCTTTACGATATATACTGTATGTTTTGATAAAACAAGTGGCGCCCGCCATGGCCAATCGACTCGATGGAATCTTGCTTCTTGCTTGCTTTTTAAAAAGCTGGCTGAATGCTGCTCTATAATTATCATTTACCCCTGACTCCAAGGGGTATATGATAGAGAAATTCCGGGGTGGCAAGTGATCGCAAAGGCAGATCGACCTGAGGTCGATTGGCCTAAAAGTAGATTTAAAATGCTGCAGCCGCGAGACAGGAGGACACAGGTCTGGGGGCGCGCACCGAGACTTCGTTCTGCAGGAGCCAGTAGGCGATCTTGGCGAGGTTGGTGGACTTGCCGACGCCGTTGACGCCCACGAACACAATCGTGTAGGGCTTCCCCCGCGCCTTGGCCAGGGCGATGTCCCGCAGGATGTCGATGGATCGGCGCGGCGTCAGGATTCGGTGAAGCGCCTGCTCGACGGCCGCGCGCACGGCCGATGAGACGCGCGTGAAGCTGCCCAGACGTTGGCCCTCCAGGTTGGCTGCCACCGACTCCACCACCCTGGAACGGTGGAACACTAGGTCAGGGGTGCACATGGGTTCACTATCAATACTCATGGTACTCGCTGTTCCTGCCAACAGGCAAGGGGCGCCTGCAGACAAGCTGCATTACAAGCTGCCAGCATCCTGCCCCTTGTTGGACTCGCCAGATCCAAACTGGGGTTCAGCAGGGAATTGATGGCGCGGAATCGTCTGCGTGCTTCAATTCTACGAGGAGTAACCTCACAGCCATAGAGTCGAGAGAGATCCACCAGTGCACATACGGCAGCGCATATCAGCAATACTGCAATATTTTGAAGGCCTAAAAATGACAGGTGCCGAGTTGATAATCTTGACATTGGGGGTAGCTGCAGGCAGCCGATTTGCCATCAAATGGAGGTCTGGCTGACATGGCCTCCGAGCAGAAAATGGTCGCGAGAATGGTGCAGAGACCCAACTCCTGCTCGGTCTACCTCAACAGCCACACCCTCACCACATGACAGAACAGCTATCTGCCACAAATGAGAAAACCTGCACGCGCCAACTGCTGTCTGCCGCAGATACGTGATCCTGCAGGGGCCGCCAAAGTCATCAAGTCAAACAGGACAGCGCTGGTCTGGTGAGCCGCACTTTTCAGCGATGCCCTCGGCGACGTTGCGCTCCATGAGCTTCTTCTTGAGGCCCTGCAGCGCCGGCACGATGTCCTCGCGCGTCAGAGCCGCCGTGCCCACCACGCTCGTCGTTATGTTGCGCACGAACGAGCCCAACAGGCTGCTCGCTCCCTTCGCCGCCCGGCCCTTGGCACCACCCGCCTCTGCTGCCTCCTCTTCTTCTTCTTCTGCACAGACAGCGTTTGTTTCTGAATAGATTCTGTTCAGGCCTGACCCCTTCCTCAGACCTTCCATAACCAGCTTGCTTTGTGCACATGCAGGGAATGCCTGGTTGGCTAGCATTCACATCGATAGACCTCCCTCTAATCAAGGGTTGAGCCGAGCTAAACTTCCATCATGGCCGGCATAGATGTGTGAGGCCCTCTTGTGCATCCATTTGTGTCTACGCATGTTGCTTCCACTTGTGTTTTCACCCTCAACCATGAACCTCAAGCGCAAACAACAAAGGAGAGAAAAAGACAATTGTGCTCTTCCTGTTCGCACCTTCGTCCTCGGTGTCATCGTTCACATCATCGGCGTCGTCGTCGACGCGCGATTTGAGCGTCAGGTCGGCCATGGCCGCGATTTCGGGCTGTGCCGCGCCGCCGTCCGAGTCAGCCGCCGCCTTCTCCGAGTAGTCCAGCACCACGTCCTCCTTTGCCTCATCCCCCCACTTGCGCGCCACCTGGGCAGAAGCCACCAATTCTGCATAGAACCTCTTTGAGTATAGGCATGCGCACTGTCACATGAGCCAACATGCAAACAGCGCTTGTGTCCCTGCATGTGCCCTTGAAGGAGGTTAACTAATGCTGATCATTTGTGCACCCTGAAAGAGATCAGCCTGGGAAGCATTTGGGGAGCTATATGGTCATTAAGGGTGCTAAATGTCACTGAAAATCTCCACATTTGCAAGTGGGTCAAGACTGATCGAGGGTGCACGCAACATAGTTTGCAGAGGCTGCACCTTCTGCTTAGGTTTCTTTGGCTCGTCCTTCTTCTTCTTGTCCTCCACAGCAGTCTTCTTGCCGCGCTTGGCGCCGGCCGATGCGCGCTTGGCCAGCTTGCCCTTGATCGTGCTCACGTCAAACGCTCCCGCCTCGTCATCCCCGTCATCTCCTGTTCAGTCATGCATGCCAATAATTACTCGTTCCTGCTTGTTACCTGACTTTCGCCACTCGTGTGTCCAAGGAGGCAGGTCATCCCAATTTTGGGCTGTCATCTCTTCAAGGGAAAGCAGATTGTGCCAGCTTTGAGATCGCTGTCCCATAAGTTGGGGCTTTCAAGAGACTACAGTGTCTGACACATTACATTGTGTAGGAAAACACTGTGTTGACCAGGGGGGCGCACCAGAGCTGTCCTTGTCGGTGGTGCCAGGGGTCAAACTCCCGTTGGCGACCGCTGAGACAGGCACGGTCGCGCCCTCCGCATCGCTGTCGCCACCCTTCTTGCTGCCTATTTGATCGCTCCCCGCCATGCTTTTATCCACCCCCTACAGAGCCGAGCTGAGCATTGATGCCCCATTTTACCTCACTGAGAGAAATCCCTCACATTGAAACTGGGCAGGGATCAGCCAAGCTGATCCCCATCAGGCTATTAGGCTCATGAGGGTACTTAAGGCTTTCTGTGAATGGGACAGGGCTGCTGATGACAGACAAAAAAGCATCAAGTTCACCTTTCTAGGCAGGGGCGGTTTGGGTTGTACTCCCCGCTTGTTGGCATCTGCTGCACCCTCCAGTTCTGCACGCGCCTTCTCGAAAGAGTCTGTGAAGGCGGGATAGTCAAAGCACTTGGGCTGGTAGTGCTTGGGGAACTCTGCCTTCATCCTCTCCAGCAGCTCGTCCACATACAGCAGCTTGAGCGCCCTCTGATACACCGCCACAAACACCAGCCCCAATCCCTGCAGCACACATCATGTGGCCACCTTCACAGACTCTCCTGGAATTCCCGGGCATCCCCAATCTGCACTTTTGTGGGCTGCTTGAACGTTGCTTTGTTCCAGCAAGTTGCAGAAGAACTTCGTGGGAACACCTTATTGCTTCAATTCTTTCTAGAGAGAGACAGGTACAAGGTATCCAGGACAAGTTTGAAGACAAGAAGCACCCACATTGTGCAGTGTCCATTTGAGGCTGTATGCTGCCCCATTGGGCGGTGTGTAGGTGAAACTGCTCTCCCCAGACCGCTCCTCCAGTAGCCAGTTGCGAATGAGTGCATCCACGGGGTTACCCCTCAGCGCAGTGCCAGACATCAGGCTCCACGTCCATAGAAGTGCTCCACCCTTGGTGAAGATGCAGACGTAGTCCAACATCGGGCTTCACAACTGCACCAATTGATAAGGAGGCAAATCAGTCATTAGCACAAGTATCCAGACCTTCGGTGAGACTGTTGGAACCCAGTAGCTATGAAACTCTTTTCAAACAGTTCGCAATGCAAATTTTGGTCAAAGAGCTAGATACATCTTCGTTTTTGTGTACTCTTTGATTACTGTCAATCAGTCCATCTTCCTGCTTGTCAAGATTGTCCTTGTTTAGTCTGATTTGCATAGAAAGCATGCATAGTCACACCTGTAGCACCCTTCTATCTGAAGTGCTGGCAAAAGCCTCTGTGTCGATTCGAAGGTCTATTCTACAGAATTTATTGATACACAAGGACCTGAAAGAAGTTCATTTCCACACGACGCCCGGGTGGAGTTCACAAGGAAGCTGGTGGTGGGCGCGCGTTGCAGGCGTTCCTGCTCCTTTCGGCAAAATTTCCGACAGCTGCTTGACCAGGCAGGTCTCAGTTTCCACAACTCAGGAAAGGCAATCATTCTTATAACACCCTGAAGTATCTGAAACCGGGGACATGCTCGTGCTAAGGCAGAGACCTTTGGTGCTGGCTGCACGCTATGATCTGGCTCTCTGACACGACAGCTGTTTTGAATTGTGCAGAGGAGATTGGCAAGCACTACAGACAATACACGCCGCTCGCAAATCAATTCAGCCTTGCGAGTCCATACCAATCAAGTACTCCTTCAGCAGGCCCAAGTGTTGATCCTGCAGACCAGGGCTACCTTCAGGAAGCTGCTGATGGAGCACACGACAATGGGGTTGCATCTACTCCAGCTCCAACAGGAAAGAGAAAAAGGAAGAGAGGAAAGGTGTCAGAGCACGACATTGGCGCCGAAGTCAGACGTGAAGAAGCGAACAAACGCCATGCTGACCATGAGCAGCTTCTGCTCGATGCTTACAAGCTATTCAGCACATGGGTAGCGAGCAGCAAGGAGCACATCGCCCATCTTGGACCCTCGAATAGCGAGTCTGATCCGAACTCACGCCGTACTGCACCTGTGAGCCAGCAGTTACCGTGCCTGACCAGAGATGAGGCAAGACAGCCCTCCCCTGCATGCCAATCAGAACAGCCGGACGCAGCTGCACAAGACTTTGATCTACTGGCGCTATCGGAGCTCAGGAAAGTATTGAAGCCCAAGTTCCAGTACCACAATAGTGGCAAAGAGGTTGACCTCTTTGAGACCCTCTTAGAGAACACCGATGAGGCTGAAAGGCTCGCCACAGCTTTCACCACAGCAGTCGTGATCCCTGCTCGCAGCCGCTTCCTGATATCGGACGTCACTCGCCTTCAGCCCCTCCTTGCAGGTGCTTCCCAGTATTGCAGGTGATTGCTAGTGTTGAATACTTCCCATGGCCTGTTCTGCGCACAACTGTGAAAAGCCATGCCTGAGCCAAGCCCTCAACTCACTGGCTGTCATGTTGCCTTGCCATGGGTGGAGCAGTCAAAATAAATTATGAGCAAACATGCAAGTGTCCTCGGGAGTGGCAGTGGTTCTGGTCTGACTGACATTTTGGTCCCTTCGTCAAAATGTCTAGTTTTGGCGTGACCTGTCATATGTGTTCCTCCAGCAGCATTTGACCCAAATCAACGTGATGAGCATGCAATATGCCAACATAAATTAGTAATCGTTGGAGTATGGTGGAATTCAGGTGCACCCGAAGGCGGCTATGACTGCATTGTGATGGACCCGCCGTGGGAGAACAAGTCAGCCAAGCGCAGTGGGCACTACCCCACCCTGCCCTCCCGCCATCTGCTCAGCATCCCCATCGCACGCCTGCTCAACCAGGCAAGCCGCAATTCACTCCCAAAATCAATCTGACCCAGCTGTTTTATCAGGCCGCTTGGTGATAATCCTAATTTGCAGTCAATGCCTGCTCAGACCCTTTCCTCCAGTGATTAAGAATTTTGGGCTTGCAATTTCGCCATATCACAATATTGGGAGGGGCATGTGCATGTGGTAGAATGGTAACTGAAAATGACGCCTCGAAAAAGTATTATGAATAGCAGGGAGGACTGCTGGCGCTGTGGGTGACTAACCGGGAGCGGCTGCGCCGATTTGTGGACCAGGAGCTGCTGGCGAAGTGGGGCCTGGAGCAGGTCGCTACCTGGTTCTGGCTCAAAGTGACCAACAGCGGCCAGCTTGTGTCTCCCCTGGTGCGCCCTCTGCGCTTCAGACAGGCCCTCAACGGACCATATTGCACAGTGTGAGAAACAGCCCTTCAGTGACTCTCAGCAGCTGGGGCTCAGAGGTTTGTTGGAGCTACATATAACAGGGTCAGAATTGCTGCAGTTGGTATTTGAAGTGCACGTGGGTTTCATAGCGGCCATGCAAGTGCAGTGTTACTGCTGTCAATAGTTCCTACACTGCATCACAGCTGCCTCGAGGCTGAATGGAATGTGTCTTATTTGTGCAATGCAGGAGGTGGCGCACCGGCGGCCATATGAAGCTCTGCTGCTGGCCCGGCTGCGCCCGAGCGCCGCGTCAGGGAGTGACACCAATGAAGAGGGTCGCGCAGTGCGCAACATGGTGTTTTTGGCTGTGCCGGGTGAGCACTCGCGCAAGCCGCACATCGGTAGCTTGCTAGCGCCGCACCTGCTCGCGCAGCCGGCCTGCCTCGAGGTGTGCCGACCTCTGTCAAGCTAATTAATACGTAGACACATGGATGCAAGTTCAGGCAACGAGCAGAGCGTCAAATGGTCCTTGTGAAGCGCTTATCCCACAAGCCACCTCCTGCGTGCCACTGTCTGTGCGAATTTTTGCCATGCATACAGATTGTGGGCTTGCTTTTACTAACTTCCAGGGAGAAAGAGAGGGGGACACGACTCTTGCCAGGAATTTGCAAGGATTTTACCTCTTGAGGGGCGTGTCTGCTACAGATAAGAGCTGGATAAAGGCGTCCAATGTGACTGAGATGGTGTCAACGATGCTCTGCTACTTGCAGATGTTTGCCCGCGAGCTGGCGGCTGACTGGACATCCTGGGGGAATGAGGCGCTGCGATTCCAGACACTGGACCATTTCATAGACAAATAGATTGTGTACTTTGCCACTTCATCTGACTTAGATGTGTTGGGAAGCCATGGCCCAAATGAGGCATGTCCGCGCTCTCCTTCAGTCCTGTCCTGGTATGTTTTGCTGCATGCAATGGTGCCTGAAAGCCATGTGAACACGATAGTTGTAATTGCGCTGAAATATCACAGAAGGTGATCTCTTACATGAGAATAGGGAACCCTAATCTTGTACTCTTCCTCGATTCTTCATTTCCCTTTCTCAGCTGAAGGGAAGGCATCAAATCCGTAAAATTATGGCATATATTGTTTCCGAGGCTGAAATCCTTTTTGTCCCTGTCCCTTCCGTTCATTTGTGGTCAAGCAGCAGCAGCGTGATTATTGTTTTCATTTAAAAAGTCCGTTCTACGATCACCTGAAGGAGAAGCGGACTCTTTTCCCCAAAACCAGTCTCGTTCGTGTCTCTTCACAAAAGGTAGCTATTTGTTGGACTACTCTGTACATTCATTGTCGTGGTTTTCTACTGGCTTGATTCTGCTCAGCAAAGGAGTCTTGCACGCTTTTCCACCCATCGACCAAAAAAAAATCCGTCTTCAACAAGTAAGTGTGACAAGTAATAGTTTACCTGCAGACCTTCGCCAGCAAAAGAACCTATGGCGGAAGGCGGAGCACAAGGAGAGACCGTGTACGTTGTTACAGATATTTTCACCCGAGAAATGGACGATGCAGCTGGAATGACTGCAAGATTCATGGTGCTTTCAAGAGCAAGCAATTGGCACAGGAGAGGCGCGACAGAAAATACCAGGAGGCGATCATGGAATTGTCATAATCAAAAGTCCCTGTGCAGATGTGGAGCTCTGGTGAAGCGAAGACAGTCCGTATGGACCCAGAAAGAGCTGATACGTATGAGACTGCAGTGGTGGATATCATTGAAGCAAGGCTCGAGTAGGACAGCCTATCCTGTTCAAAAGGAAGCACCGCTGAGAAGTCGTGACAAGGCTCATATTGTCAAGATATCATAATTATACGCCTGCGCTGGATCGAGCCCTAACTACTTTTTCAAGCTGCTAAGGCGTTAACAATGGCTATCAAACTTTACTTCCAGTAGCAGTGTGCGCATTTTCACTGTAAGGCTGTGAACTGGCAGGTCCCGGATACGGGTACTGCACATTGGCAGGCACACCAACGACTTGATCATTCGGACTGTTAAGGATAATTATTTGGCTGAGCATCTGCATACTGTCCTTCGCCCTTACTGTAGGCTTGATTTGGATATTGAGGCACCGACGGCCCTGGCTGATAGCTGTAGCTTGGCCTGCACAGCACCACATGCAACTCTTCTTCCACGATGCAGTTAAGTACACCAGTGATGCTATCTTCCATCCAAATTGACAGTACACTTGCTGCAAATTACCTTGAGTATGGGCATGTCTTGGTCTAAATTTTTGCATGCAAGGATGACACACGCTTATGAGAAGAGCAGGGCGACAAAAGGGACTCACCCTTGCGCATAAATATATTGCGGGGGTCCATAATTCTGCTGTCCATAGTTCTGCTGTTCATGATTCTGTTGTCCATACTGCTGGGCCATCTGTTGTTGTGGAGGATACTGGGCATTGTAGCCGGGGTTCTGCATGCCACTATAGCCCACCGGTATATTGTACCTGCGACAAATTCCACTGTGTCGATCTGCACATTGGGGCTCATGCTCATGGTGACTGAGTCCCTTTAGAACCTTCTCATCTGAAGAGTTTCAACTTTCTGAGCACGCAGCTGAACAAGCACCGGCCCTAGGGCACTTGAATGTGGGCGTGTTTGTGCCGCACAGTCTTGCCTGTGCGGGCATGATCTGATTTTATTGCCAGTCATCAAGATCATGCATGTGTTGCACAGCACTACAAAAAGATTGAAATTATTTCTAGTATTTTCAAGTCTGCCCTAATTATTACTACGGTTATTACAACAATATTATTATCACGCGCTTGTGCTGCCAAGAGGCGAGGTGCGTCCTGCAGACAAGCTGCAGTTCAAGGCTGCCACAATTCTACCCCTTTCTGGACTAAAAGAGAAGACACGCAAAACAGGTGCAGACACACCTCTGTGAAGCGCTGTACAACAGGTTTTGCATGTACCCCTGCGGCTGCCCGTTGTTGTGCTTGTTGGCACGGCGCACAAGCAAGCAGCAGCAGCAACACGTGGCCGCTACAGACACGGTCAGCACGCATCCGATGACTAACATTATGATACCGGTGACCCGCGTGTACGCGGCCGGGATCCCAAAGCCGCCGCCGCCCGTCAGCATCAGGTACTTCAGGTAAGGATCCTGCGAAGTCATGTCCCAGCTGTTACTTAGTACCTTTAATTACTAACTTATGACTTATGACTTAGTAATCTTCAATAATGGTTTTGCCATATTAACGATTATTTTATTATCAATCACTGAGTACTCTTTGAAGCTGTCTTTGATGCAGGGCATGAAAACGCTCAAGGTGATTGCACCCATTCTCGACGGGCTGCAAGTCTTACCCTTTCCATGGAACGCATGCATACACTTGTCCCTGCTTTCATATTATTATTACTATTTTTACACGCTTTTCCTGCCGAAGGCAGGGTTTGTCTGCAGACAAGCTTCATGTAAAGGCTGCCAAATTTGTACCCCTTGTTGGACTCGCCAGATCCAAGCAAGACCCAAGCAAGACTGCTTTCATATGACCTCTGATCATGAGGATGCAAGGCATGATATTCACGCTAGGAGCGACAGGTGAACTGGAAGACAAAGCACCTGAGCTGATCTCAGCATGACCTCAACATTCCACTGGCTGCCATTGGTGGCGCCCCCCAAGCTGGCTTGCTGGTTTGGCTGAAACTGGCCTCCGCTCACAAAGCACCCTTGGCCTGCATATGAAAGCTCAAGAATCTCATTAGTCCGCCCAATCTAGAAGAGCACCAGAGGAAATCTGTCCCATGCTTGTTATGGCCTGCCCAAATGCAAAGCGAGCTGCATAAAACAGGGGCTGGGGGCTTGAAACAATAGCAAATGCACAGGTAGATGAAGAGTAGAGAATTTGAAGTATCTAAGCAAATGCCTACGTGCGGACCCTCTAGTCCACATTCCATGTGAAGCACAGGTTTGCAGACTCCTCATCATGATTGCAGGCTTCCTACACCTACAGCAAGTGACTGACAAATTGCTCATCAGAATGCAGGACTCCAGAACCACAGCAAACGAGTGACAGAATTGCTTACCGGTTGCTGGCTGCGGCGCAGTGGTGTTTCCTCTGTGGATGCTCGGTTTGGCAGCACTCACAGGTGACGCCCTGGCGCAGAGCCTCAAAAGTCCCTGCAAAGGCGCAGCCGCACAGCGCGCTCAGCACACCTGAGACCCTGTCAACACTGTGCAGCAGCTATGCACAAGACCATGACTAAGCCTCAGAGTAAGTGACTGCCCACAGCTGTGCTCGGCATGGCAAAGGAATCACGCAACTCGCAGATCTCCCGTCAAGATGATAGGGGAGCAGATTGTCAGCTGGCGGTGGCCCAACATTCAGGCGATCCCAGTTTTTAAGGAGCTTCCATATGCAGAGCAAGGACCTTTTCCGGGCAGCGACCGAGCCTGATGTTGCAAACACACCAGGGGGGGAGGCGCGGTCTGAAAGATTAATCTTGTGAGCACAGCGCTCAAAAGGGGCAAGGTCCCCCCTCCAGCCACATGTCAGCTTGCGGTAGGCCACAATCTACAGCAAGTTGGTTTCACGCAGTTGAGCGGCGCGTATCTCAGCAGCCACACTGTAGAGTCTCAGGCTTGTTACTGCCGCAGTCTCATTATCAAGATATCTGTAACACATGATCACCAGAGCACAGACCGTTCAGACAACGCAGGCAAGTAATGCACGCACCGTAGAGACGGTGCATGTGGAGGCAACGGCCGACCAAGTGCCGCCGTGGGCCGCGCATGCGTTGGGGCAGCTCTGCAGCGTGCAGCTGGAGGAAGCTGGAGGGCTGCTGTGGTAGCGGTTCACCGATGAGGCAGACACGACTGTGTCTGAGGACAGAGTCCCCCCGGCGCTCAGTGATGAGCTGGACGGTGAGCTGGACGAGCACCTGTTCAGGCAGAGGGGGTCGTTTATATAGGTTCAAGATCTTCAGACTTTGGGAAGTCCGAAACTTGGGCAGGGCAGAATCTAGGAGGCATGCCTGAATGCATCCAGATCACGCAGCTTGGAATTGCAGAGATAATTAAGAGTCTTCTGCTTGCCAATACCGTAATTCACTTTTGAAAGACCTTAGGAGTGCACACTTGAGGCAATATCACGCAATATTGTCACAAAACTCTGCTGGTGCGTGAGAAGTGAAGCTTTCCAACATGGCTGCCTACTCTTCACTGATTGGCAAGTACCCAGAAAGAAGGTTTCCAACCTTGATAAGCACATGTAAGTCCACAACTCGGCAAAAATCCGAGTTTCACAAGGAATTGGCTGAGTGGAAGTGCGCACTGTGTGTATGAGCCACACTGAAGGTTCTGGCTGGTGAGTGTGGTGGAGCTCTTGAGTGGGCTCTCCACAGTCACAATCTCAGTCCCGCTGCCGCTTGCTGCTCCATTTAAGAAGCGAACCCGCAGGGAACATCCTGCGATAGGCAGGCCAGCACAGTCACCTTCCATTAGACCTTGTCATACCCTTTCCCAGGCCGTCCCCGGCTGGCGGGGGGCGGTATAAGTATTGAGCACCATGCCCACAGTTGGTTGGGTCTTGCTTGGATCTGGCGAGTCCAACAAGGGGTAGGATTGTGGCAGCCTTTGACTGCAGCTTGTCTGCAGAACGTACCTTGCCTTTCGGCAGGAAAAGCGTGTAATACCCTTACCAGTCCTTTGCAAAGATTGTCTGAACCGAGCCGTCTCAACCCCAGTGTAAAGCATATGGAGGCAATCTGAAAGGAATTGCAACAACAATTCTGGAATGTAATGGGTGCAGGCTGTTTCAAGAAACGCACCTTCTGTGTAGGCCAGGCCAGCGGTCACACTATTGGAGGGAGGAAAGACCGTTCTGAGCTTCCATTGCTGCCATGCCTGCGCATGCACATTAACCCATGTTATGAAAGTGTGGTAGACTGTAAGGCCGCAGTCATGTAAGTGTTGCAAGCATTGTGGAATGTTTCTGGCAGAAAGCATGGCTTGGCGCATAGTGCATACCTTCACTTCTCCAGCTGTGTCTGGTATAACATCTGCATTCCCCGCAACCCCCTGCATTCAAATAGACTCTCGCCTCAACACAAGCCACAAAGGCCACTGCAGCTTCAGTGATGCTTTAGTGATGCGCAGCTTCGTGGATAGCGTGTTGCTGAGCGATTCGTCCATGTCAGCAAATAGTGGTAGCTTGCCTGTAGATTGACATCATAGTAGAAAGCAAGGGCCACTGAAGGGCAGACAACTGCACTGTCCCCCTGCACAATGGACATCCTGCAAGGAATTACAAATTCTCGGTGCAACTGATTCTTGTGTCTGGAACTGCACTTGGACGAGGCAAGCCATGTTCTACTGTGGCTTTGCATGCTTTACAGCAAGGCACGGCAATGCCAGCGTTTCAAGAAAGCGAAATGCTGCACCTTGCATAGGCTTGCAAGTTTGAGAAGCCTGAATAGCCATAGACCGGCTCCTCCGCCCACAATTTGGCAAAGTCATTCAGTTGACCTGCGGCATCATGCTGAAAAGAACTCACGCTGCTGCCAGTTCTTTTGCAATGCTTTCTTGCCCCCCAGAGGATGCTAGCACTTACTGATGCAGCTCGATGGGCAGGTGGCAAGGCCTGGTGTGTTGCTCACCAATGCGTGAGCTCCTTGAACTTCTGCCGCTTTGCACAATTATGAATGTGCCAAAACCTGCATCGTAGAACCACAAAGCAGTCAGGCGTCTGCAGGTTCGGATGTTTGTGTCAAGCATCAAAACGCTGCTTACCTATGAGGATTGGGCCAGCTACGATGAGGAGTATCACATGGCAGACAGCATGCTCCACCCGTGTACATATTCTGGACTGCAACCATCATCATGCGTTCAGGCAGCTGCTCTGTATGTGCTTAGGGCACGGGACCTAGATGTTGTCATAGGCGGAGAGGAACCCAACCGACTGAACACCTCAAAGTCAAATTCATCTTGATGCAGTGACTAAACAAAATTGTGAGAATGAGGGGTCCTCCTCCACCCCGGAACACACCATCGGGGCGATGCCTGCTCCCTAGGTGCCGCCTGGCCCCTTCAAGGACTTACGGCTCATCCCTTCACACAGCCGGCCCTCTTCATCATACCTGAATTTTCAAATTAAGGTACATCTACTCGATGCATCGGGAGGTACACCAACGAGAAGAGCGCATGGGGCTAAAAATAGAACTTTGCTTTGAGTGACCCGCTTTGAGTCTGGGGCGCCGTCGGACTGCTAAAAGTTCAAGTTCGCAGACAGCTTTGCTTGATCACCGACGGTGCGATCCTATAAGGATCCCTGTCCCAATAAGGGCTTCTCTTGCAGATGATGGATCCGATATTGTTCCTTGTATGAGAAATGGAATAATGCCCATTTTTCAGCCCATTATCTTTAGGGGCGCAGGACCAGCATCCCAGATTTGGGAGGACGGTATCATTGTGACTTAGTACAACAAAAGGAACCCTAAGCTGCTTCACAGAAGGTAGATTACAAGATAAACTTACGCACGTGAAGTGTTGACATTCAATCTGCATACATTGGAATGACGAGCAGAAATAAAACAAGATGATTCTCTGTTCAAGCGACACCAGTTGCTATGAAGACAGCAAGGCAAAGCGTGCAAATTCAACAGTGAATTTCAAAGCAGTTTTGATGATTTTGCGAGTCTATGTGTACTTCAAAAGCACTGTTAATTTCCTCCATGCTCTGGTGTAGAGGTACCCAGGATCTGGACCTCAGAGCCACCCAAGGGATTGTGATGTTGTGTCGATTCAGCTGAAATATCGGCTAAGATCGGGACCGTTGAGAGAGACTCTTAACCTTCTCAGGCGGTGCATCAACATCACCTGAGAAGGGTTGAAGCTCGGTGCAAAGAGGGCTGGCAAATGCTGCCATCCCTCACATTGCTGTGCAGGGCAGCCGTTGTCATTGCTGTCACATTTGCAGCTGCGGTGAAGGCTCAGAGTCCTCATGCAAAGACAGCCAACGTCCACACAGTGGTGCCAGTCGAGTGCACCCATGGCTACTTTGAGTGGCAGGTCATTGGCCTTGCCTACAGGTAATACCTCTGCCAACGCATACCCATCTGTCCTTGATTTTTTCGGAGCATGGAAATCCATGCAATGCATTGCACCAAAGCAACTGTGATGTTTCATGTGCCTCAAGTGCAGCTAAGAATCTTACTGTGCATAAATTGAACTACCTTTAGTTCCACTCCTTGGACATGCTTCTTCTTGTTAGCCCGCTCAACACTGGGAAAGTGTTCGCCAGAAGAGGGCCGCCACTCTATGGCCTGCCCAAATCGAGCTTTAAGAAAACAGGGGCTCAAGAGCTCTAAACAACAGCGAATTCGCATATAGATGATTATAGAGACTCAGCATCTTTCCATGCAAGTGCATACGTGTGGACGTTCTCTGTTTCACACGCTTACTCGTACCTGTGTCTCTGGTGCAGTTTCAGGCGGGCGGGACAGCCAGGCCCGCTGACAAGGCTGATGAGCTGCTCAGAGGAGCAGCTGAAGGACTACAACTGGCTGGACCTGATGCCAACCTATGTGGCGCCCCAAATGGCCCACGACGAGGCCCACGATGACTGGTACCAGCCTTACAACAAGCCCACCGCCGTCCAATACTGGCTCAGGGTGAGCCCTCCTGCCCGCTACGAACACTGGGAGAGAGGAGCCCTCCTGCCCACTACGGATTATAATGGCAGATTGTTGCTGCGTCCCACAATGTCCTGCCTGCTGTAATTATCAGTGTATCCGCCAATGCAGAAATAAGTCTGCCCTTCCGAGCAGTCCACCCGCTTCTTGATTGACAAGCATATGATCCTCCAGAGCCTCCAGATCCTCCAGTGATGCTCCTCAAAGAGGCAGCAGCTGCTTGTGTGCAATTTCAAATGAAGTGTCCTTGCAGAAGGTGACATAATAGGCTTGTGGGCAGTCCTTCAATGTGCTTACCACTCACATGTGTCTGCTAACACTTGGGATTTAGAACGATGCATAATGGCGGCTGAATTTCAGACAGGGGTGTCTGCTGCGCAGGACACAAAGCCTAAAGAGGAGTTCATAATGGTGATTGATGCAGACTCCATCCTGCGCATGCCCTTCTACCCAGAGCACTTCAACGTCACCAGAGGTGCCGCTCCACCCCTTGCCAGCTGTTTGTATACCAGTTTTTCTAATGGTATATACAGCAGATATTGTATTGCATTTGCTCACTTGGGTATTGCACAGGGGAAGTGGGGGCATGCGTGTGATCAACACGACATGCTGGGTATCTCTAGTGTCGATGGTAAAGCATTGGAAGTTTCGATACTCTTATATTTCCAGATTGAAAAGGGGGCACCGATGTGATCAGCACACCTTCCTACTCTATTTGATGCACAGAGATGAGCAATGTCTGGCAAATTGAGAATGATGCAGTCGTTCCAGTGAAAGAAGCGCTGGCGTTGCAGGGTGGGCGTACAGCCCTTACTACATGGAGCTACTTGATGGGGTGCAGAACGCGCTCGCCCTCAAACATGTGCCTGATGTGACGCCGCGGCAGGACTGGTTTGCAGGGCCGAAGGGCCGCCGCGCCGACAAGGTGCTGCCTTCCTCTTGCTTGAGGACTCGTTTTCTGCGCTTCATCTGCCTTACAGCGCTGCTTGCACACGCACACCCATTTTATCTGACCCGCATTTGTTCTCCGGATCTGGCGCGCGGGCAGCTGCCAAGAAACGACTCCATAATAATAATATGAATGCCTCAATTGGTGCTGGCGTCGTTGCAGGCTGGTCTGGCCGTCTAATGTGTCTCACAGGCATGCAACCTTTCACTGGCAGCAAAAATAATAAAAAATTTCTAATGGTTTCGGTGACTTTGGGGCCGCAGGTGGGGCCCCCCTACCTGATGCACCGGGAGGACATGGAGAGGGTGGCCCCTCTGTGGTACAACTTCACCTACGCCGTGCGCAACGACCCTCAGGTGAACTCCCCTCTTTTTGCTTCCACCCCCATCAACATGCTGGCAGCACTCCATGCCCTTTGGTAACCAGGTGACCTCTAGGTAGGGCATGCACAGCAGGAATATTCAAGAGACAAGCCTTGATCTCATACAAATAACATTGGCAGCCCCCAATCTGTATACCAACTCGGCTTACCAAAATATGCTTAAAATTCCATGCGTGGACAAGGTGAGTCTGGGGTGATGTAATGGTGAATCATCATTGCCTGATCTGGCGACGGCTTTTCCTGCGGCAGGCGTGGAATTTGACGGGGGATACGTCGATCAAGGAGCCAGGCGGCAAGACGTGGATCAGCGAAATGTACGGGTTCTGCTTTGCGGCTGCAGCCGCCGGCGTGTGGCACCGTCAGATCGACTATGCCGCCAACCTAGTCCCCGGCAACGGCCCCATCGGTGCGCTTGCACTTTTTTAGATTTTTGCGGCCTTCATCGAGGAGCCTGTGCACATGTTGATGCCCCACAGCTGATGCAGCAGCTGCGGCAAATCACCGTGGAATGAGAACTCAACGCAGCTTCGATGCCTGCATTTCTGGTTTGGACTGCAAGTGAGCCGTTGAACAGGGTCAGCAAGCTCTCTTACTGATCTGGAAGGCAACTCACTATTTGTTAAATTAGACAATTGCGAGCAGGTACATTTACTTCACCGACCACACAAGTGTTTCGCTACCTTGAGGCTCGGCACCATGAAAAACATTAACTAAAGTACCGGAGCTCGCATGCGCGCAGGGCCGCCGATGGTGCTGCATTATGGCAACGACTTATCAGTGAACAACACGGGCTACAACTTCAGCAAGATCGCGGTGCATGAGGCAGACTTTGACGCAACGGCGTGCCCTCCCTGGGATTTGTCACCGCTGCCCGGCCGCCAGGTGGCGCCCGCCGGGCTGCTGCCCTATCCGCCCAGCCCCCTCACCCTGCCCTCCCAGGTGACTCACCCCATTAGTCATTATGATTAATCAATTTTCAATGCTGACTCTGGCCACACACATCCAGGATTAACGGTTGACAGGCGCATTTCTTGACAGAATAAGGCAACACTATTTTCTGCTTACAGCACACACAAGTGGACAGAGCCGATACCTTGATACTTAAGGTCTGAAGGCATTTGAAACGTTGCCGAACCACCTGTGAGATCATGCTGCTGACTTACACATGACAAAAGTGTCCAATTGCATACATGAGGACGTGGGGAAATTCTCTTGTGCATGCCATGCGCGTTGGCATATCAACAGGTGCTGTTCTGTTGCGGCAGGGCCTGGATCTGCTGCGCGACCTGCTTTCGGTGGAGACGGCCATAATCCTGAACGCGGCCTTCTGCGAGCGCCACAAGAAGCACTGCAGCCCCTCCCAGCAGCTGCAGCAGGAGTGTGCCAAGGCAAGTCACCTAGAAGGCCCCCTTACCCTGTTGTTGGCTGTTGATCATCAAGCACTCGGCTCCCCAGTGTTGCGCAGCTGATGAGCAGCGATGCGGCATTCTTGTGCACCAGAAAGCTGTTGCGT